GCCCACGACCCAATATCTCCATATTAAATTAGATAGGAGTGCATGGTTCTCTCATTTGATAGGCTCATTCGGAAATAGTTGATGTACATATTGCTTAATGGAATCCAAAAAATGGAGCTGTGGGTATTGAGTGGTATTGATGTGGGTCGATCATGGCCCATGGCCAATATCTCCATAATAACCTTCGATAGGAATTTATGGTTCTCTAATTTGATAGGCTTATGCTGAAATAGTGGATGCATTACTTTAATGAAAAATAGAGGTGTGGGTACTCAGCTGTTATCGTATTATACTCCTTGTTACCAACCTGAAGTTACCGAAGGATGTGAAACCTAGTTAAGACAGCAAGTGCAGATTGTATGATGTCTTTTGATTAATTGGCATCTTAGGATCCTTTTCTAAAAGAGCGGCTAATTGAACGCTAGGGTTAATAGACTTTAAGGCATGTGTTTGGGTACCCAGTGCAAGACAGCAGTAATTAAAATTGATCACTGATTCCTAGTATAGTCATTGCAGACTTTCTTATAGCTACAAAAAAACAATTTTTTTTTTATTAATACCTACTTCTACGACGATTCAGTTGTTTCTGTTGGAGCTCCTATTCTTAGAACGTGCCCTGAAACGAAGGAAGTAAAAGGAAGAGGGGCTTGGCCATACCGCGTGAGCCGCGGGCGAAATTTGCCGCGAAACTTGTTGCCAAATTGGTGCCAAGCCTCGCTCTTATTTGTTGCTTTACTGGCTTCGTTCCGATTTGTTAGCCGCCTTTGGTTTTTGTATTTTGTTTATTAATCCTTGGGTTTGTTGTGGAATCCAGGGGAAGTGATACGAAGGGAGCTATAGATCAGCTACAGGCCGACCAGTAGTCTTATTAGGAAGCAGATGTCATCAGTGGAAACACCAGGAATCTCAGTATCTCAACCAACTGAGCCTACTAAGTGGTTCACTATATCCTCATTGAGGTGCTCAACCAAGCTAAAGGATTGAGGGGTACCCGTCGCACCGCCTCCCCCACTTTTTGCAGTAGGGGGTCGGCTACACTTCAACGCAAAACACACTTCAACGCAAAAAAAATAATATATTAAAAAATCAATGAATATTGCCTAATATAAAAATGATGAAGGTATACCACGATCCCCTTGCGTATCTATAAAAAATAGCGATTCAGATGACTCATTTTCTGACTCACAGAAGATTGTGTGGGTGATTTATCAATATCTTGACCAATTTGCTTCAAAAGAGCTTCCGCACCCTTGCGATTTTCTTTCTGCATAGCTCTATAACGAGACCGTATTTCCTCTGCTTTTCTCTCGTCAATTTGACGCCGAACTTGCCAATTATATATAGGACCTGGTTTGACCTGCCGGCGGGATCGCGTGGTTGAATTAGATGGTCGTTTTGCGCCTCTAAGGTTTCATCCAATACCGCCGCGGACATGGCTCCTTTCTCTGCGTTGGATAAAGCACCACGCAGGATACGATCAATTGTAGGAGAAAGCTCCTTTTAGTGGATCGTAGTAAAGTAATTTGATGACGAATTGAATGCAGTGTTTTAGGTGTTTCCACTTTATTCTGCAGTGGTGGCGTTGGAGTCCTCTGTACGGTAGTGGTAGTGGTAGTGGTAGTTGTAGTAGTGGTAGTGGTAGTTGTTGTCACTACTGCAGTATTCTCGGTAGTTAACGAATCCAGCTGGTCAAAATTCTCAATTATATTGTCCCCGTCATATATTTTCAAAGGTTCCTCCTCCATATCTGTTGTATATCCAATCTGTTGCAAGACATGCATGGGATTCCATGGCCGGATCCCTACCTCCCGCCAGCCGGCGCGGGATTACGGGGCTTTAAAGCTTGCTTCCGGATGTTATCAATATCATATAGGAATTCTAATTTGTCATATTGCTTGCCATTTATACGGGAAACGGCGTTAACTGCACCGGCGTGGCAAGCTTTAAGCTGTTGAAAGGGAACTGAATCAAGCGGTTGTAACCGGTGTGTTAAATGGGGTGGAAAAGGTAACAAAATAATTTTATGATCTTGACAGAATCGCACAAAATCCATAGTAAGATGGGACTCATGGTTATCCATAAGAAGAAGGCGATATCTCTCTTTTTGTCGCCTGCGTCCGGCAGTATGCTGGTTAAAATGATGAATCCAAAGATATGCAATTTCATCATTTGTATACCCTGATTCAGAGGTTTCAAGAATATAATCATCTGGAAGATTGGTTTGTGTATACCAGTCCTCTAGCCGAACCTTGCCTGGCATAATCAACAACGGTGGAATTAAGTCACCGGTAGAACTGACACACTCAATTGCGCTTACCAGTATCCGCGATGACGCGCTTGCAATAGCGTTATTGCGCTTTGGATACTTAGTAATAACTGATTCAATGCGTCCCTGGCCAACACGGAAGCCAGTTTCATCAAAATTCCAGATATCTTTATCTGCAATATTAAACGCCTCAATTTGATGCTGCAACTGATTGTACCACTGCAGAATATCTTCAATATTCTCTGCCTCGCGCCGATCCATCTCAATTACACGCCGCTCCCTTTGGTATACTGTGGATTCCGTCGTAGGAAGCGATATCCCCAGTTTTTGGAGACTCTTGGTGGTGGTTTTAAAGGATCAGTATGGCCTTGTTTAAGAATTGTATTAGCAGCCTTTTGAACATCACTAATACTTAACGGAGCGCCTAGGTCATCAAACCGATCAATATGATTATATAAAGCATCAAACTGAGCAGGATCAAGAGGCTGCTGAGTCGGTTTCCGCGTTGATTTGCTTGCTCTACCACCAATTCGAGCACGAAGGCGATGATAGGATACACCATATTGACGCGCAATTTCTGACATATTAACGCGCGAATTTTCGCGTTTTTTTTCATTGTATTCATGTACGGCCTTCTGAATAATATTCTCCTCTACTTTATATGTTGATTCCATGATTGTGGTGGTGGGAATAGCTTCAAAAGTAGTAAAAAATTGATTTTTGCGTTGAAGTGTGTTTTGCGTTGAAGAGTGTGTTTTGCGTTGAAGTGTAGCCGACCCCCTACTGCAAAAAGTGGGGGGAGGCGGTGCGACGGGTAGGATGGATCGTCCGATACTCTGCACCGCCAAGTCGGGAGGATCATAATTTTTCCGTAAGCACCATTTTGTAACCTGTGGCTTGTTGCGCTTTTTCGCCTTATTAATTATTGGCTTCCGTTTGTTCTTGCAGCTTTTCCATTGTCTTCGATTGGCTCGTCTCCCGCTTGGCGACCCAAAGGTCTCTCCCTGTCAGCGGCTGAACCCGTAGAACCTATATAATATGCCTATGTACAAAAAGGAATCGTTAGAGGGAAAGGAGGGGTAAAAAAAGAAGGGGAAAAGTCACGTGGTATGGGTCGGGGGCCAAAACAGCCTGTAGGGCCCAATAGGGACAATAGGGACAGTAGGGATAGTAGGGTCAACTGGTCCGAAAGGTCAAACGGGCTCTATCTAGCCCTTTATACTCCTCTTCGAAAACCTATTACACTGATGCACAAATGCTCTGTCGACAAATATGGTAATACTACAACGTGCATATGAAAAAGGCCTAGTTAGATGCGCGAGAGCCGCATTCGACTGGTCGACCTCCGTCCTTGGCTGAGCTACCAGCATTATGAAAACTTTTTGTATAAAAAGGAGCTTGGTCCTATCTAAGAAGGGATCAGTTAGATATTTAAGCCTTAATTCTAGGCCGGAGTATCTACCTGCGTGGATATGAACTGTAGCATCCTGCAAAGATAAAAATTACTATTCAGCCATATAAAAACTCAAAGGCTCTAGGAGAGCCATTATTCTGGTGTTTTATGTAATTTTCCATTTTAATACTTTCCTTGCACTATCAAGTCTTAGAGCATTGATTTACCATCCAGGAAAGGAGGCTGCCTGATTAGTTCGTCATCTAATAGTATTCACTTAGAGTGTGATGGTATATAGAAGTAAGCTTAAGGGCATAATTGATAGAAATAGTAAATATGAACAAATACCACCCAGATCTGAAAAGTATCAGCAGAGATCACAACTGACCTGCTTTTTCAGGTATACAAGAAATACCCAGTATAAATAATATGCATGTACCTTTTTCTTGCTGGAAAATATTGGTCAGCCACTGAATAATCAGTACATACATTTTTCACTAATAAAGACACACCACACCCCATCTTTCCATGTTGTGCCGCAGGCATCATGTCGTACAAACTATGTACCATCCGAATCAGTAAAGTCAGCTTTTATATTTCAATGTGAACCGACTAGTTGGCCAAAGATGTTTCCTCCTCGCTCTTGCGGCTATGAACACATCCGAATCAGAGGGACATAAATAAATTGGAACGACACTCCCAGCAGTGGGAATATTAAAGCCCTCAAAACCTAACATGAACGAGAACGGTATGTCGATGCTTGGTGGGGGCGGGTAAACAAACATTCGGAACTTCAAGCAACCACCATTAAAGAGTGCATCAAGTTCCTACCCTTAAGGGTAGATGGTGAGTTGCAGCAGATTCCAGAAGAGTAATCATTCTCTGACAGAAAGAATGATCATCGATGACAGTCGTCGACTACGGATGTTCAGAAAGATCAAACTCGTATGCCCTTTCCAAACCCCTTATTCCTTGGCGGAGCTAATTATGAGGAAAAGATTTTATTCCTTACTGAGCTGCTCAATTCGACTAAGAATATTCAGTCCGCGACAATAATATTAAATGACATCCCTTCAAATGAGATTGTTCCTTATAATCCACCATCAAAGCTAATATGCTTCACTCTGAGCAAACGGAAAGGTGGATATTATACGGCTGATGTTTTCCCAAGGCTACTAGTTGAGGTTTTCCCAAGATAATTGGGTGGATGTTGGATTCTCCATGACAAGTCTCCCTTGGCTTCGTGATCATGTGCCCAAAAATGCGACCCGGTCATACCTCGCTGCTGCTGCTCGAGATGATTTATGCAATATCTTATCATGTCGGGCCATACTGATGTAGTCACATAAGGGTAAGTTTTGCAGACTGTAACAACCAAAGTGATACACTAATTTTGAATGTATAACTAGCCCGCTCAAGTAAGATATCAGTGTCTTTCTCAGCAGCCGTCCAAGTCTGCTCTATAATTTCTTGCCGTTTAGTCCCTCTCACGCGAAACAGTGCCTTAAATGGAATTGGTCGTACACCAATCTCCTGAGTCAGACTCCAAGAATCGACCTCCAATTTTTGACCATTCTCATACGTATGGCTGATATTATACGCCCACAGAAGATGCGCAATTGCTATTGACACGGAGTTCTGATCCACATAAAACCTAGTACAGGCACATCGACCAAGTCCAAATGCATTCACCGGAAGATGCGGGCGCTGGATCCATCTATCTGGATCAAAGTCGTACTGATGCTCGAAAGTGGCCCGTCTGTATCCAGAGAGAAGTGGTTCACTACCACAGACCTCCGGGTCTTGGGTGTCGCCAGCGCAGAACTTCGCTAAAAGTGCCCGAATATATGGGAGACTAGGAAGATCCTCAAAAGCTGGCATCCGCATCCCGACTACAGAATCCAGCTCCTGATGAGCCCACCACACGACAACGGGATGCAGGCCATAACGAAGACTTCAAGTACGATAGCAGTGCTATCAGTTCGGCTTCGTAGAGCGTCCGATATTGTACATCAGCTCGCTCTCACTAAGTCCCATTTTCTCGTTCAGTTTCTTAGTAGCCTTATCCAATTTTACGACGCTGAGACCGAAGCGAGTTTCATGTTTCGGCTGAAAATCTCGGTTTGCCTCATGTAACTCGGCCATTCGCTTTCTCCATGGTGCAAGCAGTTGGGTAGATACTTCAAGATAGGGAAGACTTCTTCGCTTAGGTTAATGCCCTGTAGTGTTCCATTCATGGCATTCTCTAGCTCTCGGACTTCAGGCCCATTGCCTCTCGGCATGGGTTTGCCATATGCAAGTGTGTATATCTGACTTGAACCATGTCGCTGAAAAGGGCCCATAAAGTATTTTGTAGTGAGCAGTTCATAAATCATCTGCTTACTTTCGATGTCCTGCACCATTTGCTACAGTTGTCTCGCCTGAGCCGTAAGCAGTGAAGTATGCAAGCGGTGATGAATCTTCCATTTTTCTTTATATGGTAAGAATATTGGAAGAAAACCTTTGCTGATTCGATCTGCTAGGAATCTTGGTCGTGAGCTGTAATTGCTAGTCCTGGGTGACTTCGTAGGAGCCTAGAAAGATGATTTTTAAATCTCAAATTTGACGCATATAATTGCGCCGTAGAGGTTGTCCCTAATTTTTGATGAGTATGTGCTCTTTTTGGAACTGATGTAAGTTGCCAACAACTTGTAGATCTGGTGGTCCGGGGGTGATTGTTCGCAAGAGGGTCGATGTAGTAATACCAGATAGAAGATTGCGAAGATGATGGCGAACCCCAAGGCTACGATCATATTGAAATATAGTTGATTCGAAAGTGCTTTGTAGAGTTCTACTAGAAAGTTTGCTGATGCTATTGGAGGTGCTCATTAATTCAGTTCCCTGGCAGAGAATGAAGAACAGCGACAGTCTAAAAGATAGCCAGAAGGCCAGAAGCGCGAGACTAAATCAATTTCAGTGCGTTCAAAAGCGTCCCGGGAGCTGTCCGCTTGCGCATCTGGTTGTTCTCGCAGCCAGCCACCTGGAGGTGTGATGGGGTGTATTCGTGGAGTTCTTATATCCACATCCCTGCAGACACCTTCTATCTGGCAGATGCAATAAGCCAAGTAGATCTCACGAACTTTCGAGGCAGGCATAGAAAAATCACTTAAACCAATTATGTCTACCCATATCCTTCAGCTGCATACTGGGTATATCTCTACTAGGTCCCGACAGCATGTGGTACAGAGTACAGAAAACTAACAGGGCGAATGTCTCAGTTCAGGCCCTCAAATTATCTAGTGGCGATCTTTATATCTTTAGATATTTACAGAGTTTTAGCGGTGATACTGTATAAATACTGCAACCACTTACTAGTGGACATTCTACAGTATAGTGTGTCTTCCAATATATTTTGATGTCACAGGAAAGTAGCAGTAGACTTACTTCTACAATAATTTCAATATTTGAAAGCCTTATAAAGGGTTTAAACATCTACACTATGTTTTATTTTTCTAGGTCTTTACCAGATCCCTAAGAAGTATAAGACTACGATACACCCCCGGTTTATCTTCTCTACAAAGCACTCGCTTGCAGGGTAATATCGCCTGGGTGCGGACTTGGCCTGAAACGTCTGCAAATGAAGAATGATAACAAAGCACCACCCTTGGACATTGGTACCATGTCAATGCTTCGAGATTCGAACTTGAACCAACTTCTAGATTCAATCTACTAACTGATATGGTACCTCGCTTCAGCAGAGATTCAAGCCTGGGGATAGTTCTCTGAGTGGAACACTGCCACTTTTCTACGACAGAATAAACCTTCTCTCTGAAAATTACGATCCTCGAGATTATTTTACCTGTGATAACATATCTCCGACGTCGTCTATCAATAAAGCGGATTTGACAGGAGCAAAAGCCTGGCAATCAATAGAGAAAATGCTTTCAGCTCAGAAGGACATTACAGAGCGATATCAGAAATGGATTGGACATGGCCTCTTTACAGCGGGAAAACTCTAAACATTGGTCTAGGAGATCACATTGTCCAACCTTGATATCCAGGATGGTCCAACTATCTGTTCGGGAGACAGCATTGAATCTATCCCTCCGATCAAAGTTCCGATCGTCGACAAAATCCAAATCGTGACAGCGACACAGATAGTTAAAACAGTCTCTTTCCGACATCCGAGAAAGTCAAACTCTGCGCAGATGCCAAATATGTCCATTTTAATGGGCTACGGTGGTAGTCTTCAGGATGAAGGCATATTGCGTGCGATTTCAGACGCCGGAAATGATGTTTTGATTGGTGACTATTGTGAAGCAGCCGCGGAGGAGACTCTCCGCTTGTTGCAGAAACAAGGAGCATCCGCTGTTGCTTTTTGAAGGTTTGCAATCTAGTAGGGATCATTAGTGATTGGCAACTAGATATTCTCGTGGCTGCTCACATCCAGTTTCGGGTCTTGGGATACTGCCGTAACCGCGCCGTGCCGAAGTTACCGGGAGGACTATATGGCAGGCATCGGATGACACAATTGACTACACATCGACATATCGATATTGCTAATGCAGTTGGAGTGGTGGCGGTGTCTCTAGCAACGCGGCTACAGCTAACCAAGGCAGAATATATGAAGTTTTCCTATGGAACTACGTTGATCAATGATCTGGCCGATTCTTCGAAGTGATACGATGCGTAAAAAAAGAGAGAACCCAGTCCTGAGACGTGTTAGAGAATCTACCCATCAATTTCTTAACAGGCAAATTCTGAATGTACTCTTTGTGTGAGGGAGCTTCTTGAATCAAAGCAGTTCCTTACAATAGTAACATAGCTTTCTGCAACTGAGCCTTTTTTTACTTCCCACCGCAAATTATAAGAATACCCCATAGTGTCTGCAAAAATACCGAAGACCCCCAGCGCAAATATTACAGACTTGATGAGCAGTATGATCTCCTGCTCAATGCTTACGGCCGCATGGATCGCTAGGCCCTAATCAACCACACTGGGGAATGGAGTGCATGGAGCTGAATATTCTGTATAGAATTTATCGTCAGTTGCCACAGACTCGTTCTTCTCGGGTAGTTGATATGGTGAGAATGTCCACCCCTCGGTTTTTCGGAAATCGTAGATGTGGAGTGCATTTATTATTCTTGAGCAGGAGACGTTGGCGAAGTGGAGTACTGCCCTTGACGAGATCAGAGCAGTTGTTTACAAGTTCTTGACAAGAGGCTTAGTCGCTCTACGTATGTATTTGTTTGGAAGGCAACTCGCCTGTCGGAACTTTTGTTGTACTAAGTTTCTGCTAATTATTATATCTATTTCTTATAGAGCCTTTTTCAATTATATCCCATCTCCTTCCTATTGATATTAGATTTTTATGCCTCTCGTTATTTTACTGTGGCTCCTGTAGAACTGCTCTACTTAATTAATTTATAGAAAGCCTCTCGCAGACGTCGAGGCCCTGGCTGTTGTGATACATCATATCATCCTCGGCAGGTCGTAAATTACATACAGGACGGCGGATGATCTTGTCGATCTCCAGCTGTAGTGGATCCAACCCTTTGTAGCCATCGGTGTAACAGATCGATCAATGGTAATTAATTTCAGTCACGCAATGGGTGGGGAAAGAAAGGCGTCGTTTGTTTTTGTACAATCGTTGGCTTCATTTGAGTGGAATGAGTAAGCAGCAAAAAAAAGTGTTGCTGACAAGGACGGGATTCGAACCCGCGTTCCTTACGGATCAGGGACCTAAAGTGCCATCGTTTAGTCGATAGCCTGCTTAAATCTGACGCCTTAAACCACTCGGCCACCTTGCCATATACGTACTTCGATTCTTTTTCTATAGCTTTTATTTCTCCTCATGAATAGGCGGATGGATCCAAGGAACTGTTAAACTAGTTATAGGGTTTCAAAGGTTTGCTTGCCCGCCTTCCTAGATAAGAAGGCAGCCTAAAATTTTGCTGGTTTAAGAAAATCAAAATACATAACCTTTCGATACCGTCTTGGGTGTTACCGGGGTCGCTTCTTGGGGCTCGAGCGGGATTTGGTGAAGTCAGAAAACAAGTTGTCCGGTAAGCATTGCAATAGAGCAACGCTATATATTTTAGATACCGTTTTCGATAATCTGTGATACCTTGCAAAGGTAATCTTTCTTGTTCGAATACGGATCATCCTGATGCTTACCCCGGAAAATAGCGTTTTTCTATCTTGCTACACCACAGGTATGTGGTGTATATAATCTTTGATAATAATTCGAGGATTCCTAGAGCAGGGATACGAGGCGGTGTTCGCGGAAACAAAGGAGTTTTATATTTTAGAGACGTTCAGGACAGGAGACAAACTTATAGAATCCAGATAGTTATGCATTGACGAAAGAATAGTGCTATAATTTACTAAATATAACTTTCGTTACTCCTTACTCTGGATATTGTATTTTATCTTGCACGTTTCTTAAAAGGTAACTCACTATATAAGGTTATTTCCCAGAGAAGAGAGGGAGGCAACAGTTAAGGGAAAGATACCTCTGTCTATTAAAAACATCGTTCTTTCTTATGGACTCATGGACACGTCATCTTCAACGGGGTTGTCACGAGAAAGCTCTCCCCGGACATACTTATCCTCTTCAGCCGACTTAATCAAAATTCCTCCTTCACAATAGGCTCGCTGTATACCAAGACCAAACCCCGTGGTCGTATCTCATCACTAACCCGCTCCGTCCGTTTCCACGGATATCCAATCTTTTCGTTTGCATATCAAAACGCCGGTCTAAATTCAACCTCAGTCCCTTTCAGAGGCTTCTGTCTCTCAGTAGCTGCAGCGCAGGGCAGCCATAGCCAAGCTTCTTCCTTTCGCGCGAACGCGTCCCAGCGCGGCACGAATTCCGAATCTGTGGAAAAGTCCCATACAAATCCTTCAGGCTAGGACACAGTAGCATCTTCGAGTCGGGCAGCTGCAGAGTCCAGCGCATTATTTATCTGCCACCGTGACAATGTTAGGATCTTCAGGGCTGGAAAATCCGCTACATTGAACAGTACACCTCAGCCGTACGCGTGCAGTTTGCCGATAACAAGGACCACCAGAGTCTGCCGATGAACCGACAGCCATGATTGAAACATAAACAGGTCGAGGAACGAACCCATTCCGTACTGACTATCATTGATGAACGTAAATTAGACGGGCATCCGTGGCCATTCAATCAGCTGTCTGATCGTCTCGGGAGGTTCCTTCGCGGTAAGAGTGATGCTGAAAGGAGGATATTTTTTACGTTCTAACGCCATGAGAATAGGTCTTTGAGGCGAGGGATGTCTTCTGCATGCCTGGCTATTCTCTCGAAGCAAGGAGTCTTGGCCGGGAGCATTATGTACTTGGTTTAGCTTCGGATGCGGTGCAGGCAGTTTGTGGAAAGCAAATCCAAACCGGAAACGAAGGGCGTGGTAAAGAAATGGAAGGACGATGAGCTGAAAGCGATGGCAACTAGAGGCTAGATTTTGTGTTCTTTTCGCACTATACTTTTCATATACGCGAGTGTATAGAGGCGTATCATCTCATGGCGCTAGCCAGAATTACAGCTTTGATCTCGCCAGTCAAGTGGAAGATTGGAATAGAGTTGATTCCGTCTGAAGTCGTTTCGGGTTTGATGCGAAGATAGATATGGTGGAGGGCTGAACTGTGAAGTCTAGCGCGTCATTTGCTCGTTGGAGTTAATTAGTATAGATCACATATTGTATTTTGTTGTTCCATGTACTCTTCCATACTATTGTTGATATTCTAAGACCCCCGCTGTATTCAAAGATAGATCTATTCTAACGGTGTTCACAGACCCCAAAATTGTGCGATTGTGTTTCTTAGGTGAACATATTGCAAAACTCCTCAGTTCATTATCAATGACGAAACCAAGGAAGTAGTTTAGAGCATAGACGGAGACAATTTTGGCCGGAATCCACGAAGGATCAGATGTAGTGCAAAAGTCATCGCATAGTGGAGTTCTTTGCCTTCTTTCCAGCTTGCTGTCTTGCCCTCGACATGTATATTAGTCTATATAACCTATGCCATTGGCTGCAGCTCTTATACTAGCAAGATCGTATTACCATATAGGCTCGGGCTTCGATGGGTCCCCGATCGCACAATGTGGCGGTGGCGAACGGTGGGGCCTGTCTCTGGCTAGCTGAAATTCATGTGATTCTGGATATTGGTATTCACCACCATGTACGCCAGCACTAAATAAAGGGTTGTGGAATGTTAATGTGGGTAACAATGTCGGCAGCTTCATTGCCTCCGGTATGTATAAATGCCTATTCCCAAGCGGGCAATTTCCTATTTTGGATAACTAGCCTTACGTCACTCATCTAATCTTCCCCTCTAGCTCTTCTAGTTCTGTGTGATCTGATCAATAAAGACCAAATTGCTTATTGTGATTTCAGGTCGAGTACTAGACCCTACATAATCGATCTAGATTCCAACTAGAAAATGTAACTCTGTTTCTGAATGGGAATTGTCTCCCATGTCCACGAATTTCGAATCCCGCAGCTCTGTCCTCATTTCAGTCTCGCCGGTGTAATAAAAGATCTAATCTCATGGTGGAATGGAAGGCCAAAACCATGGCCCAGTGCCCCTCAGTCAGTAAAACCGTGGCGCGTAAATCCAATGAGATCATCTTCATAGCACCTTGTGACAGGGCTCCCTGCGACAAGACTAGCATATAGCCTCGCCAAAAGAATTGTGCACAACGTAGAGGAAAAGGGCCAGTTATAATGGCAACAAATCCTCAGCCTAATGATCGGTGTCGACGTTGCATTTTAGCAATCCACATCAGGAGAAAATGGGATTGTTTGCGTCACACGACGACTCGGATAGTGTGGTGATGACATGCCCTGAGGCTGTTAAATCCACTTAAAATACAAGGTGATGTGATCCATTTATGCGGTGACAGTGCGGGGCTCTGTCTAGTACATTTATAAAGGTGGAGCTATAGTTGATATCATGGCGAGATTTGTTGGGACGGGCGCAGGGGAGGACCCTGGTTGGACTCGCCACTAGATCTAATATAGATTATATTCAGGATCTTAGTCAAGATAAAGGCCAGAATAGCATGGTGGGGCGATCTTTGCTTTTTTGTTGACGATTTCAGCTGCTAAGCGCACGGTGATGCGTTCGTCTTCTCGGCGAAACCGTGGATCACAACTATGACATTTCTCCCTGCTATGGATTATATAGAATTGGCAATGCCACAAACTCATGTGTAAACTCGTGATGTATGGTTTTTTCCTTGGGCTTGTCCCACAGTTATACAAAGAGGATGATAGCCAAGTCCAGATATCAAAACCATCTCCCGTGCCAGTGGGCCTGGCCTGGGGTTTGCCGGATCGGTAGTGGTATGATTTGAAACCCAGCCATGAAGGCAATGAGCGTCCACGAACGGCGCTACCTTTGTCACTAAGACACAGCTGAATACTGTATCTAATGACTATCAGGACCCGTAGCTTGAGGTTATGGAACATCCATCTTGACAAGTCCCGAGGCTCAGCTGTCACTATCCAATCTAGTTCAGCTGATTATCCTGCATGCACCTTCCCGATTGGGACTAGATTTGGCGCCGTAATGCCATTCTTCCACCGAGAAAAAGACAATCATATTGTCCAGTGTCTCTTTGAATGACGCCAATCACACTCCCTATCGACGTTGGCACTACCTGCGGCACCGCCCGATTCGGAATAGCATTGCAGGGATGGCATGGAACTTGTTATGCAGCCTCTCCAGATCACTGTGCTATCATTGCCTCTGAGGGGCAATGGTGACCTCGTGGTGGCTATGGACGGAAGCGGGGCTTCAGCTGGAAAATGTTTAAAGGGTGCTCTTATCCATGATGGCGGAGTTATACAGCAGTTGAGCGGGAAAACTTTCCGCAAATTCTGTCTATTTATATGCCAGTATGATCGCCCGTTTTCAGCCGAAATCTGAATCTTATCACTTCGATATAGTCATGTCTTCCATTAGACAAGAAAAGCAGATCTCTCCTTCTGAAAAGAACACTATGGCTGGGATTCTGGACAGTTATCCCGAATATCAAACCACAGCCGTGCTCGACAAGCTGCGGAAGACCGAGTACAGCTACCTTGACGAGCAAGACCATCTTTATCTGGACTACACTGGCGCTGGTCTCGCGGCAAAGGTGCAATACCGTCATCACCAGGCTCGTCTGACAAATCAACTCTTCAGCAACCCACACTCTCTCAATCCCACCAGCGAAGCGTCGACTATACTGGTGGAAAAGGCACGAGCTCGGGTCTTGGATTATTTTAACGCTTCACCGGAGGAGTACACTGTTATTTTCACACAGAATGCAACTGGCGCTGCACGCTTGGTAGGCGAGGCATACCCCTTCAAGAGGAACCAAAAGTTCCTCCTCACCTTTGACAATCACAACTCAATCAATGGAATCCGCGAGTTCGCCTCTCGAGGACACGCACGCACGGTTTATATACCGGGACAGGCATCGGATCTGCGCGTCGATCCGGCGGTACTAGTATCTGCGCTGACTAGTCGGTGGGACTGGAGACGGGCAACTGCGTTGCCGTGCCGTTGCAAGCGAGGCCTTTTCGCGTATCCTGCGCAGAGCAATTTTAGCGGAGTCCGTCACCCGTTAGAGTGGATCAGTCTCGCGCAGAAGTGTGGCTATGACGTTCTCCTGGATGCGGCTGCTTACCTCCCCACAAAGAAGCTGGATCTCTCAGACAAGAATCTGAAACCAGAGTTCCTAATCGTGAGCTGGTACAAGTTGTTCGGATACCCAACAGGCGTCGGGTGTCTCATTGCTCGTCGTGATGCTATTGCAAGATTGTCTCGACCATGGTTCTCCGGAGGTACTGTTCAAGCCGTGACCGTAGGCATACGCAAGCACTTCATGGCAGAGGATGGCACCGCTTTCGAGGATGGAACACCGAATTTCCTATCAATTCCGGACGTGCATTTCGGAATCGATTGGCTGTCCCACATAGACATGTCGGTGATTGACACCAGAGTACGGTGCCTTACTGGCTGGTTCTTGGACCGAATGAAACGCCTTCGGCATTCAGACGGCGCCCCTATGATCCATATTTATGGTCCACGGGACACCAAATCGCGTGGAGGAACAGTGGCATTTAATTTCCTCGATGCCAAAGGCAAGGTCGTGGACGAGCGGTTGGTAGCGTCCGAATCTGCCGCTGTGGGAATATCGTTGCGCACTGGCTGCTTTTGCAATCCAGGAGGCGGTGAAAACGCGTTTGGGCTCGACACGCAAAGTCTTCGTCCGCTATGGCGCTTTTCCAAATCGATATCCGTCGACGACTATATTAGGATAGTCGGACTGCCGTCTGCCGGAGCTATTCGCGTCTCCTTTGGACTGGCATCGACGGCGGCAGATGTTGATCGTTTTATAGATTTTGCTGAAAAGACATATGGAGACCGGGTGACGCCAACAGAGGGTTTCCCACCTCGAGAGCATTGCTAGGGTATGGTTATATTCAAGCATTGGGTGATGATATCGAGGCGCTTGTAGTGTACTTATGTGTATAAACGACTGAATTTGAAAAATGGGCAATCCTAAACTTCATCTCCTGAAACTTAATAACTGCGTTCCTATCCAAGATGTTATTTTCAAAACATACCGGAATCGCGAAATACATTCTGCTAAAACAGCGTTATATCTCGAAGGCAATCTTCTTCCGCCCGATTTTCTGATCGCGATTTGACTAGACACATGACCATGACACGTACAAAGGCTATTATCATTAGTAGGTGCTTAGAAAATAGCCTCATATCAAGGTCCAATGGCAGTCGGTGAAGCATCAGTGTATTCTCTAAGACCGGCAATCCGAGAATCATTCTTCAAAACATTCAGCCAGATCGAGTTGTCCGCAGATGTTTGATTCCAGTCGTCCTCACTTCCGTATACAAGCCTCCGGGCTTCATTTTGGATCATATTATCGGAGGGGAAGGTGCCATTCATGCTCTGGCGGATTATGTACTCGAGGAGATGATCGTAGAGAAGCTTGAAAGCTTCAGGGTGATTGTTTGCCCAGGAATTTTGCCCTGAGGCGAGATCCCAGTCCTCCGGAAGAAAGGCAGGTCTCCAAGGATCAAGGGTAGAAGATTCCTGGCCAATGAGGTACGGAGGCATAGCATTCTTAACAAATTCCTGCACATGTTGTTCAAATCCCCAATCACCGTGCCACTGCAACATATTAAAGCCTGCTTTGAAATGTTCCGATAGGTGATCATTACGTTCTTTCCACGTTGAAAACACAGAGTCGCAGAATCCACATCTTGACCTGATTTCTTGGATGGATACCAGCCAGCTTTCCATGTGCGGTTGAAATTCTGCACTATGGGAGAGCTTCAAATGCTGAACCAGGTTATCTTTCCGGTTGAACATTCTGTCCTGAGGCAGCTTGCCCTGGCATTTGCTATAATCGTGAGACTCGATATGATCGACATCTGGGTCGGATGCGCCGCAGAAAGCGCAAATAGTGGCTCCATCTATTGTCACTGTAGCACCGCAAGGCGCACATATCCATTTGTCCAAATTCAGATGGACTGACTTCTCGTGTCTCTGCCAATCATACTTTGTTGCAAAGGTATGCGTACAAAAAGTACATCGGAATAATCGCTGTTTATTTCCTTTATTCTTCTCTTCGAGTGTACTTTTTTTAATACCACTTCTTTTTGAGAAACGATTCCGACTTTTGCTTTTTGATCTAGTCGGCTGTTGTGCACCAATGGATAGATGGTCCGCAAATAGACCGGATAGGGAGAGCTCAGAGGTTGAAGAATAGTTAGAATCCAAGCTGTGTACAGATGCAGGCTGCGTTATACTCAAGTCGCTGTAGCTTGAAACACTGCTTGATTTTCTGCCTGTATAGCCGTTGGATGACACACTTTCAGGAAGGCTTGGTCCCATGTTATAGTCGCCAGGCCGGTCCACCAATGCTTGATAAACATCGGATAGCAGTGCAGGCTCATCTTCAGGTGGTGAATTCTGCCAGCGCTGTAAAGGTGTCCAAGACAGACAACCCGAGTTTGGTTGTGTCGCCGAGGATGCTTCCGTTGGCTGCGGAGTCAGATTTGAAGGATGGGGCAATTTCTTCCGTTTCCTGGAATTCGCTAGCCAATAGCGAATCTGGGTTTTCGTGAGACCAGTTTCTTGTAATAAATACTGGGTATCGCCTTCAGTCAGGTAGGGATGGTGGGCATTTTCAGCGAGCCAGTTTCGCAAAATTCGAACAGCAGGTTTCGGTAGCCTTGTGCTGCTTTTTCTATCACAATCTGAGACCAGGACGATCTGTTCACCAGGAAAAACACTAGAAAAAGTGATTTCCTTATTGGGGGATTTGGTTTGTGGTTCAGGAATACCTTTTGGTTCCTTTGATCCAGAATCTGTCAGGTCAGGCCTCGTTTGAAATTCGTAGTAACCACATTGAGCATCGTTGGTGGGCAACAATTCCAGATTTTTGGTCTTATAACCAGCACAGCTGCTTGAATCTGATGATAGATTGATCAGTCGCATGCTTAACAACCATTATTGTGTATGAGATGTGCTAGATGTGTACATGCAGAACGCGTCTTACTATTATTGACACCTGGAACGGCAACAAAATGGGCTTCTGAGCCAAGTGATGCTTCGTCAAAATTGAAGAATTCCATCTACTGATGTAATAGCATTGAGAATTCTTTTTGGCAGCAATACAATCGGGTCAATTGTGATGAAGAAGACAAAGAACTTGAGTCAAGACAATACTACAGTGAACAATTCACTGACTAATTGAGGGGCACGTGGACAGATACGAGCGGGAAAATGAAAGTCCGGGATCATGAGATTCTTAATTTGTCAGCAGAGAAAATTAGTTAGCTAACTACATTAGGAAATAGCCAATGTAACTTATGTAGGTGTTATACTGGAAGACGCGCGCTTCGCAGGCTGTGGCCCTGAAACGAAGAAAAGGGTGGGAATGAGACGAGCTCTTAGAGGTATATGAGATGTCTGGGATAGGGTAGACCGTCAGGCTAAGAAAGAGTGGATGCGTGTAATAGCTAGAACGACAACAATTTATTGAAGTAGTCTATTTGGTGTTTTTGGGAAAGTACATCAATATAGGATATTTTCCGTGTTCTCTGGGAGCATTGTTCGGGTGTAGGGGAGCTAATTTATAATATTAATGCGATATTATTAGCTGTATCTACCCAGGTTATTTGTGTGTGCCTTTAGAGTGTTCATGGGAGCGTGTTACGCTCTGCTTAGGGCCTGGACTTCCAGTAGCCCAAAAAGACCACTATGTTTGAACCCTGGGTCCAAACATTCCTAAGCGCCTCATATGGTATTGCACTGGTTAGGTGACACCATACCTAACAGAGTGCTCGGTGGCAGTATGTGTTCCGGACTGGTTAGGGGGAATTAAGTCAGCCAATTGTAGGCGGGCTAATTTAATGGAGTGCCGGGGTAAGCTTGTTAACTTTAACAGTTATGTCGTTTTCGTTTACCAGTTACTAAAACAAGGCTCGGCGTAAAAATTGCGTTGGTGTTGGTAAAAATATATATTTATATATATATATATTTTACTACTACTGCTATTTGCTGATATTCTCTGATAATATTAAAGATGCACCCAGTAATAAATAACTGGGTGTTTAATAACTATTAGTGGTGGAAAACTAGTATAATATTAGCCGTTCTTGAAGTAGGCAGTGATAGGGAATGTATAATAGGTTCGAGTCGAGCTATTATAAACTGTGGATTTAAGATTATCGATAACGTAAAAGTGTAGAGCCACTGTTTTGCTGCCATTTATATTTAGTGATAAATCCGAGAATTGTTACTGTTGGTTGTGCCGCCTCAGGTTGGTGTATAAAGCATAATTTTATGTTTCCATGATTTCCCGGATAGCTAAACAGGGTGAGTGCGGAGATTATTGGAATTAGCGATAAACTTACTGATTAACAGTGTGGACATGGAGGAGGATATAAAAAATTTGGCCATATGCGGCATATGTGAGGAAAGATCCGCAGGCATAGATAAAAGCTTTATGTTGGTAGAGGCCCTCTTCCAGGACGCATTGGGTCTGGTTCCACATGATCAATAAAATCTCGAATGTGGAGGATGGCCAGACAGGTTTTAAATATATCATAAGCTATGTTTGTCAGCGTTGAATCTGTCTAGGTGTTTGGCAGTAGGTAAGCTATACTGTCCATTGGCCCACGCGATTCTCGTAGCTATGACTGATTCTAGCATCTAACGGAGCCTGTTAAGAAGCGCTACGGGATTCTAGGACTTCGGGAGCTGATAGTCTCGGGGGGGTGTCTTGCGTAGTGTGACCGTCGTAGAGGTCTGGAAGTGACGTGGATTGTGACATGCCTCCTCGCAGGCGTTGAAAAGGTCCGTCACGAGAGCGAGGAACGCCGGGATGTCGACCTGGATCCGCACACCTTGTTGGGGATCGCATCTGGTCCAGGCAGCTTGTCCGGGTGCGCTCGGTGGAGCGCCTTGCACACCTTGAATAACTACCCATATTAAACATGTATTGGTTTTAGCAAATATATTTAATGGCTTTAGCTGAGCCGAGGGCTATGGATTAGCATAGGACTACCTTGCAGAGCTGAGGTGGTGCTATTAAATAGAGTTTTAGCAAGCTTTTACCTACCTGAAAACGCTTTGGACTCTGTGTTTGCAAAAGCAAATTACCAAGTATACCTATAATATCCGACTATTTGGGCAGAGCAGCATGAATGTGGGGGTCTCAAAATCAGTACTTTTCCTCAGCTGCCTCAGCTGCCTCAACTACACTAAATCTTAGTCTAATTTTGGATGTAACACTCTCAGCTTTTGGTGCCTGAACAACCAGCCACCATCACCAACTGCATCCATAAACACGAACGGAGCTGTCATTTATTACTGCGTATTGTCAATTTTCCGAATCCTCGACAGCAATACAATTATTTGTAAGTGGCTGCACTTTGATTTCCGGCAATTGAAAATGTGCAAGCTGGCCTTAAATTATAAAAGACTCTGTTTGCAGATCCCAACTATCCAGTTAGCAAAACTTCTCGTCCAATCCATTCAGCATGTATTTCTACGGTAGTGAAGAAAATACATGTGCCAGTCAGTCACATTGCTAGCTTCAAATACCAGCAGCTATGCCTCGTTTGCGCCGGTCCCTTAACCGGCTCAGTTGCATACACTACCAAGTCAAGAATGCCGAGAGAGGGCTCGACAAGGATATGCAAAAGTGTTAGGAGCGCTCAGATTAGCCAGATCTTTAACTAGCTAAGATGCTTAGTCAGATGCGAAGTGTTTAACTTATATTGGCACCCCCGGGCCTGAACTCTTGAAGGCAGCGATTAGTTCTGCAATATACGTGGCCCTATCTTCCCTCCCATATAGATACTCCCTTTGGCACGTCAGCTCGTTACTGAACCCACACATAACAAAAAGGATGCGAAGGCACTTGAGACCATCGTGGGGGATGTCTATGGGCTCCAGCTAAAGAGCCCTGATGATCCGGACAAATATAAGATGGAGAGTGTTTGCTAAAGCGAGGGATATAGACGAGTCTAAACTATCAAGTTGTGTGAGAGAGTGTCAGCTGTAGATATATGTGTGGAGTAGTAGAATATTTACCAATGGCCAATCTATAGCTCCCGTTTATTCACTTCGATTGGTCCAGTTGACCTAGTTACAGGGGTCCAAACTTAGTACTAAGCAGGGATTTGCCCAGCAACCAGTTGGAATCCATAAGGTGAGCTCCAGTTCTGTTTTCTCTCTGTTGTCTTCTCTTGTAACGACCGAAGACAGTAACCTCAGTAAGGAGCCATGGCAAGCGATACGACCACATCTGGCGCCTGCAGTCACTGCCGTAATCTAACAACTAAAAGGTGTACCGAATGCTTGGGAGCCCCTGTTTACAACGAGGAGATCCCGAGGCCACGTCCTACTGCGATTCAGCGTGCCGGAGAGCTGACTCGAAGCAACATATGCCCAACTGTAAGACACTTTAGGACCGCAAAAGCCTTCGTCGAGCTGCTTCACTCCAACAAACAAGCTATCGAGTAAAACAGCATGCCGCCACTGTACGATTCAAGCTGATGCGCCTTGATGAGTCGCAGGTATATGTCGAATCCGATATGGCCGCTGGGTTGCACTCTTGGCACAATTTTCGATTCTACCAGACGTTAACTGATATCTCTTTGGAGCGGTCTTGGTATATTCGGGTTGTGTCAATTCTTCTGTGTATCTCCACAGCTTGACAAAAGAGCTTCTAGCCGGTTAGTTTCAGATATTAATCAATCCAACAGGTGTTTGCTAAAATCGAAGAGATTAATGTCAGCGTCGCCAACCCAAAGCTCCGCATAATCCAAATCCCTACGGACAGACAAATAACCGTCCAGAAGAAGTCGCGCATAATTTCTACAGAGGTTACCTTGAAGTAAGGGGAAATATGGACGCTGGCTCCGACAGAGGCACAATATGGGTTTACAAGCCCGTTACATCCGTTGCCATCCTTTGAGAAACGACACTCATTCATGATCAAGGAAGAATATGAGCCGGGTTGCATTCGCGATTTTTGTCAAGGGCACGCAGTGTACCCCTCCCTACCCGTGATTACCTGAGATCGAAACGGAGGAACTGATGGCAAGGATCGATATTTTTATCCTTGCTTTAGCTCGGAAGCACGGTGGTGCTTTGAGCAGTGTTTTGAAAGGATCTGACCCGGCGTTCAAAGAAAGAAAAGGACATTTTCTCAGTGACTTCCAGAACTGTATGAAGGAGAGCGTGACTGAAATTTCGACCCCAAGGAAATCGTCAGACGGAACTGAGAGGCCAGGGGCAGATGAAACAATACCTTAACGACCCCCCAGAACTACAGCGCATCGCCGATGTCTTTGAGGACTTTTTGCATCTACGACAGAGGCTCCCTGAGAACTGGTAGTTCGTGATCTTGTGCGAAGAGTGGATGGTAATTATGCAATGCGGATTTCGGTCACGAGGCTTTTCTACTGGTTTTCTCGAGTGTGATGGTTCGGGTGGGATTTCCTCCCGCTTATTGAGGTTTTTGAATACAGCAATCCTCCTAAATCCTTTGTGCAACTATTCCGTTGCAATCATTTTTTCCCATGTGCATAGAGACACCATCAAATGTGACAATGCGAAGGATGGTCAATGTGGATATAAACTGGTGTTCCTTAGAACATCCAATGCTCAACTTGAATCTGTTGCAGTCCAGCGATAAAACATTTTCTATGTATGCGCTTTCTAATAAGGCGACAATCTATGGTTCCGAACGCCTTGTAAGTCAGCAAAAGTTATAAAAAGGAAAAGTTTAGCGTCTTTCCGTATAAAACTATAACCTGCTGTATGTGGTTGAGACGTTGAAGATGCAGGTAGATTGGTTATGACCTATATTTGACACATTGATAGTATATGGGATTTGAGAATTGATCAACGGGACTATAGTTATTCTACCATTGGCAGTGAATGGACCCTCCGATTTCCATAGTTGGATACCCAGCCATCTTAATAGCTGACCTGACATGTACGTAGACAAAACTTAGGTAGAAAGAGACGTACTGTATAAGTAAATCCCAACCAATGAATGACCAGTAAGAATCAGCACAACCATTTACAGTAACAACATAGTTACTCCCGTAAAACCTGCTATAAAAACATACAGTCCCAACTGGAAAGATCCCACAGCCACAAAAGTACCAGCCATAACAGGTGCTGCGCCTGTAGAACTTGAACTCGAAGCGCCGGCAGATGATTTTGAGGCTATAGTGCCAGTCGGCGGCGAGGTCACCGTTCCGGTGCCGGCGGAGCCTGCTTGGCTCATGAGACTCTTGCAACTGTCGGTCTCCTTGGCGGCAGACGTGATGGTGGCCGAGCCACCAAAGCTGCAGGCCGAGGATGCTGAGCTCTGCTCCACGTAGTATTTGTTCAAGGCAAAGTTCAGCTGTTGCTTCGAGTTACACATACCGTAGGCGCCGTATTTTCCCGTCGTGGCATTGGCAGCGAGACCGTCGCAGTTGGTGTAGCCGCATACTACACTGAACAGGTCAGAGTATTTGGAACTGGAGACGGAGCCCTTAACGACACAACCGGTAGATTCCTCCATGCAGCTACATAGTTCTTCGTTCGGGGTAGGAGGCAAGGGGGTCTGAGTAGCCCTCCAATCCGAGTTTACTGCAGGGCAGCTCTGCAGAGCGGAGTTGGTCGGTGTGTACGATTCCTTGTTCGTACCGGAAGGGGTTGCGCTGGCGATGTGCTTGGAATAGGAGGTAAAATCTTTCATCTTGCTAACACTGGTGCTATCAACGACTGACACAAGGCCTAATATCTTTCATGAGCAAGATTCAGCATATCAGGAAGCGGTACTCACCGTAGTCATTTGCTTCCTGGAAATACATGTAGACAATTCCTCCTGACCATACATCATTCATCTTGTCACCAAATAAGGTATCGATTTCTGTAAACATGCGTGGTCGGATAGTGTTACAGCCGTACTCTGCAAAGAACACCGGCACCGAATAATTCCGAAACTCATCGGTGCGCTCCTTGTACCCCGACTCCTTGTAGTTAGAATCACCGCACCAAGAATAGATGTTGTAACCCCAAAAGTCAATACTTTCCGCTGGGCTCTCACAGTTGAAATAGTTAGCCATGTGGACACGGATAGTGGAGTCGTCATTAGTGGCATATCCAACACCCATGGGTCGGTATTTCTTTTGCTTAATATAAGCCTTCATATCACGGACAGCAGCCTTGACAAAAGCACTGGCGTCCGTGGTATTCACGTCGTTAGAGACCTCGTTCCCTGCAAAGAATCCCAGTGTGTTGCTGTATTTAGCCATCGCGTCAATCACGCTAGTGTATCTGCTGTAGAGCGAGATCTCCCAGCGAGGATCGTTGCGATTGATAGACTGTGTGGGGCTCGACAGATCGGAAATAACGTATATGCCCGCATCAGCAAGAAGCTGCATGCATTCCTCGTGGTCCTTGGTTGGATCGATCGCATACACTCGGATGGTGTTGGTGTTCAGTTCTTGCATGATGGGGACATCACGCTTGCAGGCAGTGACATCCGCTAGGGGATCTCTGTAGGTGCTGCTGCCATCGGTGGTTCCATTGCCGGAGTAGTCCTCTGGCTGGGTTAGGCATGAGATAATTCGTAACGGGAAGAAAGCATACGTTGGTAGGCAATGCCACGGATGTAACTAGGATGGTCAGCATGCGCAGTATGACTGAGATAACAATAACCTACAATTGTGTGTTATTGCTGGAATAGAAGAATTTCGATCCCTATGTGTGTTAGATGGATGCTTCCCAAATACACGTGCCCGCCTACCTTGATAACGATAGGATCAATATCCGCTAGGGAAGTACCCAAGAGGGTGGCAGCCCCAACAGCTAGAGAAAGTTTCATGGCAGATAGTCGACTATGTGCACAGGGGATAAAGACGTAGAATAAACGAAAGTAGACTGAAATGAAAGACGAATAAGGAAGAATATAGAGGGACAAAGAATGACTGAAAAAGGAAGGCTCAATCGACACACGTTAGGCAACAGGGTACTGCAGCACATATAACACCTGCAAAATTATAATCGTCACGACCATTGACCAACCCGTCGTCAATAGTCACAGTCTAATTATACTTTAGTGGACCGTTGAGCAAGCGACTTCCTGGCTCCCCTGTAGGATCGAACACGTCACATGTCTTCAAATTGGACTAACAGACTGCATTTTGGGTCAATATTATAAACGAGCTAGCAGCTATAGTCGAGACGGATCTGAGGAAGAGCCAGTGTGCATCAACGAGCGGATCCATGTCTGGAATAGCATGCAGACGTGGTTTCGTCGGTTTATGGGTGTGGGACGGCCCTATCAGGCCTTCTACTAGTCTGTTGATGCCTATGAATAATGCCGCATATCCGAGAAAAAATAGCTTTCCCTCAACTTTAGCGTCGGTGGGGACCTGTTAAATTGTTAATAATACTCTGGTAACCAGTATTAAGACCAATAAGACCGGACTGGCATCCACTCTCTCATGTTTAGGCTATAACCAAGCTTTCCATGAACTGACTCCATGATCCAGATCTTGACCCTCATCTAAAAAACAGACTTATTAAAACAAATTACATTGCCAATAGTTCCCAGTAATTTACATACACGCTGAATGAAATAATTCTAACGTCACATTGTACCAAGTCAAACAAACTACTTGTTTATGGCATGGCATTTTCCCTACGTCGTCGATCAATGGCAGCCTCAAACGATCGGATCGTGTCTAAAGGGCGCTCGAGTCGATTCCGAGTTGGATTTGACTTGTCAGGGTCAGCTGTACCGGCGTCAATAAACAGATTCGTACGAAGGATGGGAGATAGGTAGCATACTGATCACTTTACCCTCGGCATCGCGGTGCTGAATCGATCGCAAGGAAAACATCTCCGATCCCCCGACATTGGCCACTGCGACCGTTAGATAAATAGACTCCACGGATGTCGCCTCACCCACTTGGTTGCGCCTCATTCAAAGCCTGGTTCGGATCGGCCTTGCTGGAAAGAGAGGTCTTTTTGTATACTTCATGGGATCCGATGGATCCGGTATGATCACTGGAGGCACGAGAGGAACCCATGGCGACGGTATTTGGTATTCAAGTATTGGTAGGTCTGAGATGTGGGGATCGACTGAGTGAAGTGTATAAACAATCAAACGAACAATACGACTAGGAAGAAAGTCAGACATAGACTGTACCCCGGGCCTACTATAAATGCCCCGCCCAGCAACCCGGGCCTCTGATGTTTTTTTAGAAGCGGCATCATGCCAGCCCAACCAATGGCGATCAAGACATGCGTTTTTTCTGTCTGACGCGGCCGCTGCGGGACGTGTGACGTTGAAGGCCCCATCAGCGGCCCAGATGCGTCCTGTGAGTGGTGATCGAGTCGCCAAGCTTCGACTAATGCAGCACACTCAAGGCTTAGCCTCGGCTATCGACCAATACAAATCAATCAAAAATTATGGGCCACGCAAGCACGGGTGAGACTGAGTCGACCTGCTGCATGGCGTACGGAAAGTTTAGGCATCCATGATTCGGATTGGCTGTCTTGATAGCTGTTCCTGGCACCGATTGTTCTGGATCCGGATGGTTCGGATTTATGTCAGGGGCTAGCCGTGTGATGGATGGGAAGAATGTGGCCGGATTGGACCGTGCGTGATGCCTCTGGATGCTTTGAAATCCCTTGCTTCAAGATTCGGGGCTGACGGGTTGGCCGCGAAGGGGAAATCTATTAATAACCAACCACACAATATGGCTATACGTATTCTGCCCATGGAATTCGGTCTTCTGGTCGCCGTTGACCCTGGAATGTTAACGAAATCTTTCCCACGATTATTTCATTAGAATGTTATTTGCGGACTAAACACTACCCGCACTTGTACAAGTGCAATTTCCCTCAATCTCCCTGGAGAGCAAACTGACACTTCCGCCCACGTTCGTCTTTCTGCCTACCATGGCGGATTGTATCATCCGCCGATCGCTGGCCCCATATCGTGTCATGACTTAATTGCAAGAGTTCCCATCGACATGGCTAGGTGATCCAGCCAATCTTCCCCTTTTGTCTGCTCTTCGTGGTCCATATTATCCTCCGCCCTCGAAGTCTGCTGCACCAGTTCATGGACCGACTGCACCGGCTCCAGACTCCACGGAGCATTTGTCTCTTCCGCGCCGGTTAAACTACACGACTGGATCTTACGAGCCTCCAGAAGAACCAGCAACTGATCCTGTAGCGCCACAGCCGAGCGTATAGCCTGCAGAGACGACTTGGTAATCATGTGCACGAAATCCACGGGAATCGGCCCGGTGATACTTCCACGTCTCTGCCCGCATTTCTCCCGATCCATCTTGGCGGGTATCGAGCTCAGCCGCAGCTGAAGATCGCGCAGGATGGCGACGCTGTGACGAATCTCCTCCACCAATATCTCCCCGACTGATTCCGGCATCCGGCACGTGATCTGGTCGGACGTTCGCTTCAGAAAGCCAGGACACAAAGCCATCTCATTGAAAGTATGCTCGATGATGGCGCCCAGTTTACTTCCCTTCCCTTCGCGCTCTTCCACCGCCAACATCTCGCGGTTCATCTCCTGCCACTCCGGCTCGGCGAGAAAGCAGGCCTCCTGGCGTTGAAAAGCCTCGGCGACAAGAAACGACCGATACGTTAGGTGCATAGTGCGTCCGAACCCGCTTTGATGCGCCTGGGGCCCACGCAGACAGAACAGGGCTCCGATTCCGTGGGAGTGGATCAACCAGGAGTTCGGCCCCACGCCGTCGAACATCTCGTACACTCCTAGCATCATGGCGGTGGCCAGGACCGTGTCGGATTTGACCATCGACGGGATGCGGAGTAAATTCAGCAGACATCGCAGACCGCGACTGTATAAATGACGACTGGTGATAAGTAGGTTTTTATCCTGGTGTCGCTTCGCTAGAAACCACGTGCTGAGGCAGCGGATACACCACGTGACCGTGACGTTCTGGGCGGCCGGGTGAGTCAAGACAAAGTCCTTCCAGTTGGGGTCGACTCGTTGGCCGAATGTGGCGAATGTACCTGGGAAGGTGGCGTGGACTACGTGCTGGAATATTTGTTTGGATTGGGCATTTAATGCGGTCGCTGCTAGGTTTGGCGCCACGGATTCGTCCATGCTGGTGAGAGGGAGGTGTTTTCGGGAGCCGGTTCCAACGATGACATAACTGATGCACTGGGAATTGGATGAAGATGTCGCATCGTGGAATGAGCTCGCATCTGTGGTTTTGTGATAGAATTTCAACCGTCGTGCATATCCGGGGCATTTGAGTCGTCGGGTGCGACAGCGATTGCATTCCGGCCGTGCTTGGTCACACTAGATTAAGACGGGTCTATTAGGGTGATTGTCCATTCTATTTATTTTGACGTCGGATCGTGAAAAGGTCAGAATGCGCACCTTGACTCGCCGCTCGAGACATGTTCGGCAGCCTGTGTTGCGTGGCACGCCGACCATCAAGTTGTGGCTGCAGGCAGAGCAGGTGAGAAGAAAGAATTGCGGAGTAAGACAGGGGTTGAATCCCTGTCTGAGCGAGCGATGAGGGGCCACCCGTTGTAAAAACTAAGATAAGAGTAAGGAGAGATGGCGGGAATACGAGTCTCCGCGGTTTCTGCGATGTGTCTGTGGCCCAAATCAACCTAGGCGCCAAGACCCCGCTCGTACCTAGAATAAGATGGGTGAACAATTTGGATCCGCGCTCCTGGCTCTATATTGTTATAGCTATAGCATTCTAACTGTTACGGAAACACTATAATCCGCCCGACTTGGCGGTGCGGAGTATCTGACGATCGATTCAGCCCCTGAATCCTTTAGATAGTAGAGCACCTAGATAGGAATGCAAGAGACTCAGTTGGTTGAGATACTGCGATTCCTGGTGTTTCCACTGAATGACATCTACTTCCTAATTAGGCTAGTTGGCCTGTAGTTGATAGAATAGCTCCCTACGCCCCATTTCCCCTGAGTTCCACAACACTAACCATCCACCGTTCCCAATCGTCCCTTCTCTATCCAATTAGAACACATTTACTGAAACATCGACCTTACAATGCCTCTCTCGGGGTCAAAGCCAGGTCAAACTTCTGGAGCGTCGCAGTAAAATGATCTTCGTATCCGGACACAAACCAGTCTATCACGGCAACTTCTGTGCCGTCTGGAAGCCGAAAGGAGAACGAACAGGCGAGACATGAAACAAGCATGAGCATTTCCATCATCACCAAATCCTTCCTTCACCATATGTGGCTGTGAAGACCATCAAGATATGGGACTTCCCCTCCACCTTCTTAAGGCCTAGGTCCTCAGCAGGCGGTATGAGCTGGTTAATTTCCTTCCGTAGCAGCTCCTGCTTCTCTGGATGCTTTGCCAGCAGGTAGAAGACGGCGCATAGCGTTTAGAGGCGGTATCACTTCCGACTACTATTACAAGCTTCGAGTCATAGATTAGATCGCTGTCGCTGATAGTTTTATGGCAAGGATAGCCACTGGGTGAAGGCGGCAGATACGGGAACAAATCCACTCGACATTTACTTCATTTATGGGGGGATATCTGTTACTCTGGGGTCTTAAAACCCGGTATTAAGATCTCTTACCTGCTTCCATTCCTCGAATAATTGCTTATAACACTAAGCAACATTATTAGCTCTCTTCACACTGGTCAAAGGCACACTTTGAAATAAGATAAACGGCCATGGCACGCAAATCAAGACAGCAATTAAAGAACCTGTCTCCTCTAGCTGAGTCATCGTAAAATGCGCCTTTCCATTTCTGAGCATATGAGATGACTTTCCAAATGCCAGGTCACCCATAACATCGTACCCAAGAAAGTATAACCATACTGTGATTTCGACAGACGGAGCTTGTACGCCTTGAAAGTTGGCCAATGAGCTTTCGACACTGTTCCAGCACCCGAGGCTCGTAGTTCACTTAGTGCTGTGGAATCGTGAGAAGGACGGATTCGATCAAGTCATTCCATGATAATTAGGGCATTACCTATCATCGACAATCCTTTTCCCAGACTCTTGTTTTGGAATGAAAGGCCTTATCGCGAGTCATCTGTAGAGATTACAACAGGTAGTTTAGATAGTAAAACGGCTCCTTAGCACATTTTGACCCAGGAACATGAATTTCGCGAATTGCATGCACATGGGTGACGGTTATGTCCTGCTGTCTGATATGGATAAAATCCCTATATTTTCGATGCTGGGCATGAACGTGCTTGTGGAACTGGAAATCATGGACTGTTAGGCTCAACGAATAGAAGCCGTTATCCTGGCACTTAAAGGTTATGGTAATAGTGCAGTGGGTGCCAGAATACGCCGGTACAGCACGATGCTGCCGAAAAGACGGGTGCTAAGGCCAACGTTCCGGGCTAGCCATTCAACCATGGCATCCCTGATCGCCAGCTGATGCAATTTCCAGGCATGAACAGAAAGAATCCTCCAAGAAGTAGGTCTATATGTGCAATTCCGGGCGCATGCCGTTTCCACTCACACTGGATGAATACTGTCGAGTATGTGATAATATCAATGATGCATGCTGTGCTGAAGGGGAATGGCGATAACATTCTAATTCTGCTACGTCATATTATTATATCGTAGCAACGTTACAGTGGAAGTGAACACGTTTTGGAGTGCAGGATTACCGGTATTTTCTTGGGAATTGGCTGTATGGCATGCTGTTCTTGTCGCCTATATGCTGACCTGGTAGCAACCCAATCAGTCCATTTGTGATGGAGAAAACCCATTAGTGAAGTTGCGACGGTGTCAGACTGTCACATATTTAGTCTGTTGTTAGCGTCTTAGCATGCCCTCGTCTACTTAGTGAAGTCACCAGCATAATACGGAGTCTCTCCTCGCTTCCTCATAAAGTTCCCGCCGCCAATCAACCAAGTATTGTGCGCACCAGATCTGTCATGAAGCAGTATGGCCGGGCCTATGAATAAGTTGAATAATCAGCCACGTTTGAAATAGGTCTAATGTGGATCATATAGAAATCTCCAAACAGGAGACTATTTTGAAGTAAGAGAGACTGATGTTTATTCAACTTGTGACGATAATAGTATTCCAGAAAATTTGAACATTCGAAAACTGGAAGAGAGCGTATTCGAGCATGCACACTTATTGGTCAATCCCTTACTGCCCGGGAGCACGTCAGGCAATGAAGGCCGCTTTGTAAACGCTGAAGAACGATAATTTCGACTTTCAATGAACACATAGCCAAAGAACCCAGAGCTTAAGAAATTGGACGATTCCAATGATTCCAGTACATAGAAGGTTTGTCCCCTTATGCTCTCGGCCTACTGGTCGAGGTTCTTCGCTGGACGAGGGCTGAGACTGAAGTCTTCCTTGTTGGAGTAAGGGAGGACTTGAAAAATCGCCACTTGCATGCTTACCATATTGTGTGAGTTATTTTCATTCGTTAATTTCTCGAAACGTAGTTGGTACCTATTAAGCTCGGCAGCACCTTTGCCGTGTAAAGGCCCCAGCAGACTATATCATTTATTAACATGAATAAAGAACCGGTGGGTAGAAAGAAAGGAAGACACCCCGCCCGAGAGACAGATTATGTCAAAATGTCGACGGGAATGTCATGAGGGCCTTTTAATTGTATTGGCCTGGTAAAAGTGTCAGTGTGAAGCTACTGCATTGCAGCACTACTATCTGACCAATGAGTCTGGCAAAAGGACGCTCGGCAATACAGACAAACTATGAGGCACCGATTTAAGACCTTAGGATCAGCGACCAAGTCCTCCCATACATACAATAATTGTGAATAATATGGGTATCGCTGAGTGGTAGCTGTGCAGGAGGGCCGTCCGACTTGAGCACTTATGTTGAGATACACGAGCCGTTCGACTGAGGCCCCAATGGCGAAAGATCCGTGCCGGTTCAGCGGAAGAGGCTGCGAAAGGAGCATTTGGTCATCGCCGTCCTAGTGTTGACAGCCTCAGCAATTGTTAGCATTTGATCAGAAAATCAAAGAGTGATAAAAAGAGAACAAGATCAGATAACCCAGTGAGCTGCACATAAGGGGACCCATGTGTTATTGCTGCTGAAATTCCGGGTCTCAGAGCTAGGGAAAGGTCCCGATAACAGCCTGTTAACGAACCATTACATGCGTAAATAGAGCTATGACCTACAGAGTACAGAATATAGACAAATATATGGCTTGCAAAATAAGTGCACGGTTATCGACTTGAGTGATGGAAAGCAGCTGGGGTGGAGGAGTGGTGTAGAATAGAGAAAAAAACGGATGCCGTCAGCGAGAGGATTCGAACCTCTGCTCGCGAACGAAATGGTTTTCTAGACCATCGCCTTAACCACTCGGCCACACTGACTAATGGCGAATTAGGTTGCTCAGAATTTTTTATAAGAGCCTAATTTAAAAATGGATGAAAATTTACAGCTAATGTGCCCTCTATTGTCGGTTTATAGAACTTTTTACATACAATACAGTTATTTTAGCCAATTTAATTCAGCGACTCAGTCCTATATAGTTATGTATTTGTGAGCAACTAGTTACACACTAGGCCTGGGGTGACCAAATCAATAAGGAGGCATAGCAATGGTCGCTATATCTTTAGGGAAGTACTACGAAACTAGAAAAATGACCAAATGCATAACGCAGTGGAGTGCAAGCATCTTGTTTTCACCTTTGCTTGTGTTGCATAGGAGCAGGATCTTCATCCTTCCCCCCTTCTTGGTATTGCTTTGACAAAAAGGGCAAGCACCTGGCTTACGGCGGCGCAGCAGTCGAATCCAGCTAAGAAATTTGGAAGGACTCGATGTTGACAAGGGTGTGATTCCACAGGGAGACCAGTAAAGCTCTTGGCGAGACGCTATATAGGGATCATTAATTAAATGAATTTTCTTGAAAGGAGAGGAAATAGAGTTTACGCGTTGAGGAAGATGTTCTAAGGCAAGCAAAGACAACCATGCTAATGACTACTGGACTATAAATATTTGCCCCATTATGTCTAGTCAGGCAGCCGTGGGGTTCTCTGGAGAGCAGTTCTCTCCCTTTAACAAGAAGCAGAGGGACTGGCATAGAACCTCTGCAATTTGGTTCTCGGAAGTATACGGAGTACGGAGCATTAATATCAGGTTCCAAGTAACCGCGCTTCAAAAACGATCTCATGCTGGTTCAGACCAGTAAGCAGTCACTTTTTAAAATGCCTCATGTCAGAAAAATACCTATCATCAGTATGATTGGTATAAGAGAAACGCTTAGACGTCGCAGTGGCCTTACGTCGGGGACTTTTATGTCCCATGATCAGATTGAAAGGGTAGCATACCCAAAGCTTGGATAATAGCTACTACATGTTTTCCCCAAATGTATCTTATTTTTCACTGTTCATGCAAAAGCACCGAACCATTCCTTGCGAGATTGGGCTCTCTTAGATATAATCAGATCTCGTGTTTTCTTATCCAAAGAGGGTTAAATGGAACCATAAAAATATTCCGCGACGGCGAGATCCCTATCCATGTAACTTCGGCTTTTCTTAACACAAATCACACCTTCTACTCTGGATAATCGGATCGCATGCTGTACTGTCCTACAGTACGTTGGCCAAGTTCCTATAGCTTTCTTGCGTATAAAGGCACGAAAAACCATTATGTCGTCTTCTATAGTTCTGTTGTTCCCAGCTGATATGGAAATATATGGTCCCGAGCGCGCCTCGGCACCCTGCGGGCATATTCACCTGAAGATCTGCCCCTATTCCTGGAAAAGTGCGTGCGTTCATCAGATGGTAATTAAGACAATATAGATACTATCAAATACGGTCCTTAGTAGGCTACGTGCCCGTAGCTGTTATAGTGTTCCTCTCTCCCCTTCCCCCCGAATCATATTGATCAGGTTAATTTTTTTTTTTCAAGGATTGCTTACCATGAAATTCCCAGTCCTATCGTACTTATTTTGCTTCTTTTTGCTCGTCCATCGCGCTGTCTGCAAGACCACAAAACCTAATGAGCCGGTAGATCTTCCAGCTAAGAGAACCCCCTCTGTCATTTTTTCTACTATTAGGGGTGATACTGCTCGATTATCCTTGTCTGTAATCGAGCCAAGAGTAGTGGTTGTGACATTCCAGGAATAATTATCAAAAGGATTGGCACCAGCCAAGCGGCCATCTCATATTGCATCTTCAGCGGCCTCTCAACGCGTTTTGTTTCTCGACATGCATATGGTTGGTAGAGATGTAACAAAATCTCTCTAGCTGTCGTGTCAGAAGTTCTATTTATCGGCGTATCTCTGCACGAAATAGCCTAGAGCACAGGCGATAGCTTGTAGGCTTAAGCAATAGACTGAGAATGGGGTTTAATATGAATGATGAACACTAACCAGTCCATGGTACTCGCTCTATAGACTGTAGCTTGAGAACCAAGCCCAAGACTTGGATATTCTGACTTTGGAGATGGCAACACCCACGTGTATTTGCCTTTCATGCAGACCTGAATACAACTTCATCCAATAGTCCCAATCAGAACGCAGTCCAATTATCTCCACTATCGACTGCAAGCTCTTTTGCTGTCATCCCTACCAGTCTACCCCATCTCTCAGCAGTCCCCGACGCAACCAGCTCTTCTGCCTCGAGAGAAATTAATACATCGACAGTCCAATCCTGACATCTTCTTTTTCCATCCCTTGGGGCAGGTTCGTCCTTAATGACCCTAATAGCTGCATAACGAGACTTCGCGTCCAAAACCGCAATTTTGCACATCCCAACGGCCTGAGGATCCCTGATAGTGGTTGCTTCGCGACAGTTTGCTTGGTACCACAGTTTCTTTAGGTCAATCAGTTGTACCTCGTAGAGGTCTCCGAAATCTTCCTGCGAATGATGGAGAAGAAAACCCCAGTGACAGCGATGGTTGGGATCTTCTCCATTGCCAAATGCTTCAACGCAGAGATAAAATGCCATTTCAGGTGAACTCTGGTCTTTTGGTTAACTGATTTTACTGCATATTTCGCACGTGGTCACCCTGACTTCTTCAAGAGGAGATGTGCTGTCTACTGATCGCCCTAGTAAGAGAATCTTCATACAAATTCTACATATTCTACAGCAAAAGTTTTGAATGTGCGCTTGTAGCACTGCTCAAAATATACTTGAGTCATGTGTCTGACATGTCCTATTGCGGGGTACACCAAGCCCCGCGTATACTCACTGGTTCAATAAGCAACAACTGGATGGAAATAGTAGGCTACTCTCACTAATTAATAGGTTGATCTAAATACATTCAACTAGCACACTCTTATAACATAGAAGAAAGTCTAGGACAATTACATATCTGCTTTAATTAACTCGCTTACTACCGTCTTACATTACCTACTACTGAATAACTGAAATGTAGGGACTATCTACAATCCGCGGTTCTGACAAGCTGACAAGGCCGTGTAAATGAGGAAGATAGGAAGTAGGGAAGGGCCGCCACTACTTTACATGGAAATGCAGGTTTGAACGAGCAGAGTCCAGCACATACAGGCTGATTGGACAATTTATTTCCCAATATCTGCATAGCAATTACAAATATTCCACCTGCTTATCCTGAGAGAACTAAACGAGGGCATGATTGGTGTAATAATCAGCGGGGTTCACTGTACTTAATTAGATTCCCTCCCTGCGTATTATTCAATATTTGCGGAGACGGGTGCAGAAGTGATTAGCCTGCAGATTGGAGCTCTTTAAGACGGTTGCCATTCCCATTTCCTTTGGCAACTCATACACGATGCGATCGATATCCTATAAAATGCAACTTATATTTAATTTTCTTCTTGTCACCGGTGCGATCGTTCATGCCTATGACTCCAGCAATATCGGTTGGGATGAAGCCTACTCGCAGGCCAATTACGACTTGCAGAAGCTGAACCTGACAGAAAAAGTCGGAATCGTGACCGGGATGACCTGGAAAGGCGGCCCCTGCGTAGGAAATACTTATGCGCCCGACTCCATTGACTATCCCTCGTTGTGTCTGCACGACTCTCCGCTGGGTATCCGGTTTGCGAATCCCGTGACGGCCTTCCCCGCAGGTATTAACGCGGGCGCAACCTGGGATCGGAGCTTGATGTACGCTCGCGGAGCAGCAATGGGAGCGGAGGCCAAGGGACTGGGGGTACATGTGCAGTTGGGACCGGTGGCTGGACCACTGGGAAAGAACCCTGATGGCGGAAGAAACTGGGAGGGCTCGTCGGGGGATCCTTATCTGAGCGGAGTTGCTATGGAAGAAACGATTCAAGGTATGCAGCATGCCGGGGTTCAGGCCTGTGCCAAGGTATGTAGCTCTTATATGTGTGTCTTCACCAGCTGAAAAAGAGTTGATAATTGCATAGCACTGGCTCGGGAATGAGCAAGAACACAATAGAGAAACCATCAGCTCCAACATGCCTGATCGAGCCACACACGAGCTATATGTGTGGCCGTTCATGAACGCAGTCAAGGCCAACGTGGCTTCGGTCATGTGCTCCTACAACAAGGTCAATGGTAGCTGGGCCTGCGAAAGCGATGACATTTTGAATGGGCTCATGAAAAATGAGCTGGGATTTCGTGGGTATGTCGTCAGTGATTGGAATGCGCAACACACCACCGTCAACAGTGCCTTGGCAGGTTTGGACATGACCATGCCGGGGAGCGACTTCAACGTTCCGCCCGGCAGCATCTTCTGGGGGGAGAACCTGATCGATGGCGTGGTAAATGGCAGCGTACCCGAGTCCCGTCTGGACGACATGGTCACCCGCATTCTGGCCGCGTGGTATCTCGTCGGCCAAGATAAAGCATACCCTGAGGTGGCATTCAACTCGTGGGATGGCGGCCAGGCCAGGGTTAACGTAACCGATGACCATAACTCTGTCGCTCGCGCTGTCGCCCGGGACTCGATCGTATTGCTCAAGAATGATGCGCATGCACTACCGCTCCAACGGCCCAGAAGTCTAGCTATCATCGGCGAGGATTCCATCGTGAACCCAGCCGGACCCAATGCATGCAGCGATCGGGGCTGTAATAAAGGCACGTTGGCCATGGGTTGGGGGAGTGGAACCTCTGAGTTTCCAGTTAAGTCATTAATTTGAATACCTACCAGGTAGAAATCTGACAACCAAAAACAGTATCTTGTTTCCCCTCTCGATGCCATCCAGAACCGTGCGACAAAGGAAGACACCAAGATCGTCTCCAGTCCTACTAGTGACACAACTGCCGCAGCCTCTGCTGCAGCTGCCGTCGAAACAGCGCTGGTATTCATCACCTCGGATGCAGGCGAAGGGTATATTACCGTCGAAGGCCACGCCGGCGATCGTAACCACCTCGATCCATGGCACTATGGTAACGAACTTGTGCAGTCGGTGGCCAGTGCAAACGAGAATGTGATTGTAGTAGTGCACAGCGTAGGACCGATCATCCTAGAGACCATCCTCGCCGAACCATCAGTGAAAGCGATCCTCTGGACTGGTCTTCCAGGTCAGGAGAGTGGAAATGCCCTGGTCGACGTGCTGTACGGCACCACCGCCCCAAGCGGCAAGCTACCCTATACAATCGCACGGAAACAGAGCGATTATGGCACGCGTTGGCTCAATTCCCAGACCGATGATTTCATGGAAGGTTTATTCATTGACTACCGCCATTTCGACGAGAATGACATTGTTTCGCGCTATGAGTTCGGCTACGGCCTCTCCTACACAACCTTTGAATACACCAGGCTGGCAGTGAGTGTCTTCACTACGTCAGGCCCATCCAAGGGGCCGATTATCCCGGGCGGTGCGGCGGATCTTTTTGAATCTGTTGGAACCGTCTCCATTATTGTTCGGAATAGCGGCATCGTCGCCGGTGCCGAAGTTGCACAGCTGTATCTGGGGCTGCCGGATTCGGCACCCGCAACAGCCCCGAGACAGCTGAGAGGGTTCCAGAAGGTGAACCTGCATCCGGGACAATGGTCACAAGCTGTGTTTGAGCTGACACGACGGGATCTCAGCTACTGGGATGTGGAGCAGCAGAAGTGGGTGGTTCCGAGTGGTAGTTTTACGGCCTATGTTGGTAGTTCTAGTCGTGATATTCGCCAAGAGGAGACATTCATTATTGAGTGAGATTTGAATCTATGATTCCAGATATGAATACAGCTTGTTAGCCTCCTCCTTATAATTCATTAACAGAAGAGACAAGTAGCAATCACTAGCGTTATATTAGTTCTGCATAGAAATCCCCGGCACATACGACCACAGAATATGGAAAACAGGGCTTCTCGTCTGCTCAGCCGTACTTAAGCCACAAGATCCGCGGAGTCAGTAGTCAAAGAGCCCTCTGGCACTTTAAAAATCCGAAATGTAATTGGCGGGACTCTTAAGGTGAATGCCGGTGACGTGGGTGATGGCTCTATAATTCACATCACCAGAGGTGGTGATGGTCATTTTAGAGTAAAAAAGCCTCCAGGGTAGCCCATGCGGCCAATAAATATTTCTTGCGCCCTGTGCCTTGCTATGAACATTTTAATTTCCCTCTTTATCACATCCCTAACGCTTCTATACCCTATGTCTTCTATACACGACAGGTGAGACCACATAACCATTCTTTGGATCGAAAAGCTACAAAAATTGGTGGAGGAAAACAGAAGCCTTGCATCATTACTTGGATTCACCTTAAAATATTAGCATAAACAAGAAAGTAACGAGAATACGATAAGCCATTCTCATACTACAACCGCTACCATTGAAAAAAGATAATCGAGCTGCTAGAAACTGGGCCATGTAAGGAGGACTTAGTTGACTAATTTAAGGATGGGCAAGAGCTGACCGCTTTTAAGTTGGCGACTTTCTCACACTGAGCCTATAGACGCTAATTTTGGCAAGGATAAACTGGATCCATCACCACAACTCCTTGTTTAAACAGTTTGCAGAGAATTATACTGTAACTCGGAAGGCTAAGCCCTGATAGTAGTTAGTGTGCGACAACTTGATATATTTTACCTTAAGATGAGAGGGTGAAACACCTCTAACTCTTCCCTTAGAGGTTAAATTAGATGGGTTAACTGTAAGAATTGTTTCAGTTTGAAGATATTCTAAGCTCTACAACTACTGACGGTGCCGCAGTATGTTTAAACTAAGTTAATAAAGAAACACAGCCTCCCCATCAAACCCCTGGAACATTCATTTCCAGGTGACTGTTAAGGATATAGACTATCTTCTCCGTCGTCTTTTTGGTGATGACTGCCACAACTACATGCATAGATGTTTATGAATTCAGACTGCTAGTACTCTTTCCATCTTTTCCGGATCCGCTGCCAGAGCAGGCTGTGGTTGGGTCAAGTCCTTATCGACGAAATAATAAGTGTCATTACTATAAGGTCTGCTTCTGCTTTACTGTCTAGTTACAACATTATCTAATTATTCCCTGCCAGAATTTGTCGATTAATCTGGAATGGAGAAAAAGAGGCTTAATACGTATGTGTATGAATAAGGTCAAAATTTGGAGAAGAAAATAAGCAGTACATGGAGCGGACTAGAGAACAAAATACATGGACATAAATATGAACGGATGTAAATGTTATGACGTAGCATACTAAGGTATTCTCATATAATATATATAGTAGGATAGGAACTAATCTTATGCTTTGTTGCCTGCATTAGCTCTGCATCCACACGTCTATTTGCCTAAGGGGTACTTCTACCATAAGACTCTTAAGCAAAATTAGATTTCCAGCTAGTAGTTTATTTGCTCTCTAATTATATCTTTAAGTTTCAGAGCCGCATAGTTTGTATCTTTACCTCAGTTCTTTGAACTGCAGAAGGCCCATACATGTACTTATATGTAGTTCTGGGATTACTTCTGCTACTACCACAGGCTTGATGAATACCTCATAGGGGAGTTAAGCTTATGGCTAACTCGGTCTCATAAATACATTTCCACTCGAGGAGAAAAGCCTGACTTATACTGAGCAAGTACGGGTACGAGTACGAAAACGGACTCGAATACGGGCACGCATATATAAAGTGGGTCTCGGTTAGGCATAAATATGGGCACTCTGTACTGGTCCAAGTAAACATGTAACGCCATTGGCCAACTGCACGAGAATCTCGGCAACACTGCCGCATCTATGGAACCGAAGGCGTAGGTTTCGCTTCACTCCAGCACGATCACGAACACGACTCATTCCAACACAGTAGTAAGACAGGTACGTAGAGATATTGAGTAATTCTCTCCGTAGAGTTCCATTGGTAATATAAATCTGTCGCCCCTCAAAATCCCTTGATACTCCTTACAAATAATTCTCACTTCACCTGTCTCGGTTTAACATATTATGGATTCCCATGTCGAGAAGGTCGAATTTAAACTATACCGATATACACCTTCGCTTGCAGCGGCCATACTATTTATCGTGTTGTTCTTTCTCATCACAGCGTACCATCTTTGCCAGGTCATTTGGGCGAAATGCTGGTACTTTCTTATATTTGCTCTTGGGGGACTCTGTGAGACCGCGGGCTGCGCATAGTGCATTCACAATAACATTCAGCTAACGACACATCAGTCCAGATAATCGGATACATCTGTCGCGTACTAGCACACTCGGATAAAGAGAACGTCCCTATTTACGCCGTCCAATCGCTCATGATCCTCCTTGCGCCTCCTCTCTACGCTGCGTCCATATACATGACCCTCGGTCGACTCATCACGCACCTAAATGCAGAACATCTCAGTCTGATACAAGTGAAATGGCTCACCGCGATATTTGTGATGGGTGATGTGTTATCCTTCGCCATGCAGGGGTCAGGTAGCATCCCCCCTTACCTGTCAGTCTATTCTATCTCCAGTACATCCAACTAACACCACCAAGGAGGAGGAATCATGGCCTCCGGCACCATCAGCGCCATGAACACTGGTGAAAACGTAACTATCGGCGGACTATGCATCCAGCTTCTCTTCTTCGGCGTATTCATCATTGTGTCAATAATCTTCCACCGTCGGATCCGCAAATTCCCGACCCAGAACTCCGTGATGGACACAACCTCTGGACGTCTATGGCCCAACAACAACAATAACAACAATACATCCTGGGAGTTTGTCATGTGGGGACTGTATATCTCCAGCGTGCTGATCCTTGTGCGGTCAATTTTCCGACTCGTTGAGTATGCGCAGGGCAATGATGGATATTTGATTAGTCACGAGGCATTTATGTATGTGTTTGATTCGATGTTGATGTTTTTTGCGATGATTGCGATGAGCCTGTTTCATCCGAGTAAGGTGTTGAGGTCTGGGAAGAAGGGGAGCGCAGGTGATGGGGAGGAGTTGAGGAGGATATCCTCGTAGGAGAGACTATGCAGCTGTTAGGACCTGAGGCTCAATCCGGAAGTAATTGACGCTCTGTATGGAAATATTCTCAACGACGGCTGTTACCAAAGTATTAGTCGATGAATCCTTCGCCTGAATTATGCCTGCAATACCCATGATCGACCCGTAAGTCATATTTCAACTCAGTAATGCACAGAGGAGGGCGTTAGGAGCAGGATCAGCAAAAGTTATGCGGGCTGTTGCAGCACATCTACAGCGTCACGCGAATCATAATTGTCCCTAAGCAACAGCGGGATTATCTTCGCCGTATCAGTATTCCTACGTCATCGATGCATGCATCCCAAACTTTGTTTACAGCGCACTTTGTCTAGTTCCTCCGCGGACTTGAATTGCAGTATCAGTTCAGTCCTCCAACACATGCTTCATCACGTCGGTTCCTGGTCTTGTCAGCTTGTAGAAAAAGACCATTGCCTGATGAAGGCTCACCCCACATGTAGTCCTGCCTGTTTTAACAAGCCCAGATCTCCTGGTTGCGGTCATGTCCCCTGAACGCCTCATCTCGTCGACGCTGATCCTCCCATAAGACAAATGGAGCATCTCCCTTGTAACGGCCTTGTCCTGGATTCTCTCCGCGCGGGTCTTGCGATAGCACTCATAAACCCTCAAAGCGGTCCGGATATCATGGGCCAGAGAGACATATCTTCCAAATGGCTGCATCTTCCATGGATTTGGCCACTCCTTGGGCCACACATGGTACATGGCTTGACATGCATCTCCCACCAGAACGCATCTTTTTATTCTGGAACCAGCGCGACAAACTAGGGTCAATGTGTAGGCTCTACTTGATGATTTTCTCTTCTGGAATTAAGCTAAATAATATTCATACGACTTCATTCCACCTCTGGTAGGTACGTTGCATTTAGCGCTTGGTTCCCATTCCAGTCCAATATTAGTCTCCCTCGTCCTCACTTCCGGTTTGCGGATGGGTCAGAACCATGTTGAAAGTGCGATTCTCTTGATAGGATAATCTCATTCCCTTGCATAACCCATCATAACAATAAATACCCCGCTAAGTGATGAATATAACCCCTCCCAACCCAATCCAACCCAACCCACAGAACAACAGTCTACGTACCAACCATCATATCCATTCAAATCAACAACCGCACCTTCCACGTCACTGACAACGATTGAGAAAACTGCACCAGGGTAGTTTCCGTGCGGGTTCTTTCATTCTGACTGTTTTTCGCAGAGACGGATTGTACGTTGGCTCAACCTACCTGTCTACCTACCTAACTTGTTGAGCATATTCCGACGACAGCTAATCGAATCGAACAAACAATCCAACCTGGATAACAGCCCTAACAGATGCCCTTCAAATCCTCGGCTAAAATAAAGCATATCACGTATACCAGCTCATGCGGGGCAATCTGCGCAACGTGGATAAGAGCATTATGGGCTAAATACGACGTTTTTGATAAATTACTTGGTCATTGTCAGGTACATATCACTACCGAGGAAATGCAAGGGGGTTAAACCTAGTGGACAGGCTGTCTGTGACGATCCTGCGACCTGTTTCGTGGAGGAGCTTATCCCGCTGTACCCGGAAGTGAAGTTGATATTTACGATGAGGGATTCAAATGAATGGCATGCGTGAGTATACCTACCTTATGTAATACTATGGCTTATATTTTATTTATATGTATGAGTGTATACGCTTACAGATCTATTCGAAATCATGTCAGTCATGGAGCGATACCCAATCCTCTACCCGTGTTAGGGATCATCGCTGTGGAAAATAGTATCTGTCGGAGTCGATTTCGCTGGGCTTGGCCTGTTATCACCCGATCTGGAGAGGAGACCCTAAGGGGAGATTGAATTCGGGTGGAGTGAAGATCTACGAGGAATATTACAAGACGATCGAGTCGTTGGTGTCGGAGGAGAATCTTCTGCATTATCATGTGCGAGAAGTTTGGGGACCTATGTGTACATTCCTGAGACAGCCGGTTCCGTAAGTGCCTATGCCTAGTGGGAATACGAAGCGCGAATTGCGGTTGAGACGTGAGGGGTTTACGAAATTGGATATGAAAGAGTGTGCGATGATGGTAGGTGTTGCGGCTTATCATCTTTTGGGATGGGGTGTACAGGGTTGTGAGATCACTAATGTGGTAATAAATGTTGATTTGTGGTGCTGTGTTGTAGTAATTGTGAACATTACCACCTTGCAGAATAAATAGAATAAATAAATACAGCGAAACTGACGCTCGGTCATGACAATGCGAGGCTACTACACCCGGGATATCTACCATAAATCATTAAATTGCGTGGTCATCATGTCGATGCTGAAGCCGACTCCGGCTTCTGTCCATACACAATATGCACCTTGGAGTAAAGATGGTTGGACAAGTCGCGCAATTCATTGCGCATCCCCGCCACCAGCGCCTCAATCTCAACGCGCTCCCACCCCAACACACGCGTAAACAACGCGTAGCAGTACGGTCCAAGTGCTTCGAACATGTTGACCTGGTGGTATCGGCCGACGTCCTTGAGTTTGGGGTCTTTCGGCCAGGGACTCTGTGGCACCTGATACATTCTTAATACGTACGCCTCTGCAAATGGAAGGGACCTTACTTTGTATATGTCCTCGCGGACGTTGACAAATCCGGCTTTCTCCATCTTCTCCTTCCAGTGGACTACAGTGGTCATATCCTTGCCGTACATCTTGGATGCCGCATGCATGTTCTTGACTCCCTCGAGGAGACAAGGAGCCCGCAAATGTGTTTCGTCGTCCGAGTAGGTGTTGACTTCTAACGAGGCGATCTCGAAGTAACCGTTCGGGTTTAGATTTTCGTACGCCTGTCTGAACAGCCGGTCGTGATCGCCGATACAGCCCTCCAGCTCGCGGCCGTGGATATAGTCAAAGGGTTGACTATAGGACCAGTTCTGCTCGAAGTCGTCGATCTCGAAGCGGCAGTTAGGAGGGATCCAAGACGGTTGAATTGGGCTGAGATCATTTCCTACGGAGGGTTAGCGCAAGCAGACACTCCGTATTGCATTCCTCAGCCTACCGATCACTAGCGACTCGGGGTGTGCACTGGCGAAGTTAGAAGTGTCCTGAATTATATTGAACGGAGAGGCATCTCACTCTGCGAAATCAATAGCCCAGATGCCCGTGCCCGTACCGATATCCAACACACGTGCTGGATTGTTGACCGGCGCGCGACACAGTTCACCTTTCAGTAACATGCGGTAGATGTGATGGCTCTGGTACATTATAAGTATGAACGCTTCCCGACTGCGAAAAACTCACCAGATCGAGACGATCTTGTTCTTGCTCGTCATTCGGCTAGCAAAAATTAGACTACGATTAAACATAGACAGTTCTCAGTGCGTACCAAGAGGTATGTGCCTTCATGGTACGAATGATATCTGCGACCGTTCTACGCTCTTAGCATGATCTTCTAACACAAATCGAGGACAATACCTCATATCTAACAAGTCAGTAAAGCCCTCAAGCTATAGAGCAACAAAAACTTACTGGTAGTTCATAGCGCTCGACGTGATGCTGGTAGTGTAACTGGCATCGCCCAGTCTAGAGCTGTCAGCGCCTGATGCGGCCCAACGCACAGTCACACTTACGAGCCGGCATAGACGGAATCGCCATCGTCAAAGTCCTACAGAGAGGATGGTAAGTCCAATCCGGTGATGCCGCGGCAGAAGGATGGGACCAACTTCGGGTTCGATAAATGCCGGATCGTGTTCCTCCTGTTGATGGAGTTCTGGCTGAGGATGTTCTGGCTCAGGGCGTTCCGATTCATGGCGTTCTGGCTGAGGGCGTTCTGGCTCAGCGCGTGGCGACGCGGGAGTTCTACGTTCCTCTTCGTCGGCAGTCATTCTTGTCGGAGATCCGATATGAAGAATGGATCGAATTTGGAGAAGAGGGGAAGGGAAGTTAGAAAAGAAAAGGAAAGAAAAATACAATGTTTAAGTAAAATGGGGAGAAATTTATTATTTGAGGTATGGAGAAATTAGTTCATTAAAATCCTCGGAAAACGTAGGGAGGAACAAGGAAGGGTATATTTTTAAAGATCAACCACACAAAACCCTGCAGAAAGAACAAAAAGACTAATTCTTAATAATAATGCTGGCTGGCCGTTGAACAGATGGTGACTGCTCCGTAGAAAAGACCTGGCCCACTGCTGCTAGTCTCGGGCTCTATCGAATTGCAGTGACCTTGTTTCGGCGGATGCAGCAGCGGATGCCGCGGCGGTCGGTGATCGCTCCTCGTTGGGGCTTGGACAGGCACCGTTGGCGTTAGTCGTATGCCCTAGCATTGGCTGGTCCTGTCCGTGTGGGAATGCCTGGGTTAGAAATGGCCAGTCCTCTCGCAGGGAATCAATCTCCAGAATCAGAAGAAAGGAATTTCTAGCCATGGATGACGCAAGGGAGACTGCATCCCCCCTCTCACTCCAACTCGGCCACATCAAGCAAGAGGCTGCCAGAAGTACGGAAGCCACGATGATCTACATTACGTTTGGATGGACTATAAGTACTATCGAGCGGACCCGTCCATGCATCTGTCCATGTGGCAGTGGGGGAGGGGACTGTTCTGATACTTGTAAATTTTGGGTTTCTTCACGAAGGAACTCTGGGCATCTTTCGGGGAATCGATGGTCCATCGGGGAATCCCATCGAAACCCCGATTACACAGCAGTCAGATGTGCTTGCAGGACGTACACAGGTATGTGTTTTCGAACCAGCTTCCGAAGTTTCTCCGTCCATGCAGGACACCAATAGAAACTACCGCAAACTGGCCACGATCAAAAGTACGGATGTGGACGAGGATACACCGCCACTGGTTGGAGCGCTGCGTATGCAGGTCGTCCTCTTGAGTAACTACGGGTGGGTCGCAGCCTCGGTTATGACATGACTCGGTGAGCGGCATCTCCCTAGTCCAGCATACTCACTCTTTTCTGTTTTGCTATCTGTCTGTCATCCGAATAGCCTATGGGGCGTTTACTAGTGCTTATGAATCGACGGATTCAATGGCCTAGAACTGGAATGGTGCAGACACTATTTAGTATCTGTACTCCGTACTTTCTTTCATAGAAAAGAGTCTACATCATGCGACACATACAGAGGACTTAGTACAGAGTAGATGTATCATATCATTCAGACCGACCCACTATGCCTTCCGCATTCTTCGAGAATTTGGATACGTAAGCCCGATCGGAACTTAACAGAGGACGATCGAGCGAAAAAAAGACTTGCTCCATACGGAGTATGTACATAGTATGTTCCTATTAGCGCCTTCCAGTGCCCCCACCGCCTTCGGGATGGGGGTGCACCACACTGGTAGCCTAATTCACACCGGAAACCCAAATTTGATACTATTCGCACTATCTATCGTCTTTCCCCCTTAGTATCTATCCAAAAATTCTGATTTGCTTGTTGTGCTGCCATCGCTGAATCAGGTAATACAGAATCTATTATTGTAGAGGGTTATGGTGGTGGCTGGCTGTAACTATGGTTTTCTCTGTTGCTTATTTAACCTTTTTTTCTCAGGCCACCAATAACTTATTTGTTGTGATATGATATTATCCAACCTTGACTGGCTTGTCTAGCATCGCCATCTAGAACGGCTTAAGAGATCCTCACTACGAGCCATAACGCCATTAGTAGTAGTCTCGTAGTCTCCGTCTCCCTCCTCGTTATAACGTCAATTTTTCTTTTTCTCAGCATCCTTCTCCATCCTAGCCTTGATAGATCGATTGGCATCTTTTGTACTATGTATACCAGAATCTCCGAGCCTTGGAATCTGCCGCTTAGTGATTTGGGCTTCGGGGGGCTTGTATCTGTCTTATTTTACCGACTGTATCGCTCATCATAGAAAGCTCCTCGTGCTGCTGTTTTTCGGTAATGATAGAACGCTCGTTGTAGACTTCGCTGAAGCTTTGGAGTAAGGTTATTAGTAGTGAATATCTTTAAAAGTTTTCTCTGATTTTTTTTTAAGGTTAGGCGCTCTTCAGAGGTGTATTCTCAACGCTAGAAGAAGAGAGGCTTGTTAGTGGTGTGCACCATAAAAAATACGCGTATTCGCAAGTATCGATCCTCCATAGAATTAGGTCTCTGATTCAAAAACATCTCGCGTTTATAAAGGCAAGGTAAACAACCGAAGAACGTAAACTAACTAACATAGGAAATATAAGCGATCTGATGGTGTTGTATCATCAACAACATTTAACCAAGAAAGGTGGGTGCGTATATCAATATTACTATTTGTCGACGTGGTGTAACCTCCCCATACGGGCGAAGATCTGGTGTGGAGAGCTCTGGAACTGGTGGAAGAGTATCCTGAAACCTTTGGGATAATAGCAGATCTATCTGGAGGATATACACCACGTTCTTTAATTAAATTCCGGATGATCCGCTGGTTAAATGTCTTTTTTCGGACGGTAATAGTAATACTATCCGCCAAGTAATCTATCTGCCTTACTCCCGGGTATTTCACCCACTGAGCAATAAGGATATTTTGCTTGCGAAAATTCTGTTTATATGCAAAGAAAGGCTTGCTATTAAAAGGTTAGCAAATTATAAGTTGTAACAGGCTGAAAATAAAGAAAAATGGTAAATTCCTTGTAGAGTTATAAAAATTCGACAGTTTTATAAAACTTATAGCTGTTAAATATTAACACATGTTGTTTATCTCTTTTTATCCGATTTTTAGTTGTCCTATAAAACATTTAAAGCTATCTGATAGCAATTTTATCATTAATATATCCCTTCAGAGAAGTGGCCGTTTAATATAGTCGTAGTTCGGGATAGTTATACTAGCATTTTATAAACTTAGCCCTTATAAAGGTAAATAGTGGCTTGTTATAGCCAAGCTCAGGATCTTAACTATTCCACTGGACTAAAAGACCACTATATCTGATTCCTAAGCATCTTACATAGTGGCACACTGTAATATTAGGTGACGCACCAGACCTAACATAGCTCTATTATCCAACTATCAGCAGCAATGCGCCCGATAGCCGTGATATTTTTAGTATAATTAAATTAAGCAAGGTCAGGGTATATTCCCCTTGTTTTAATAGCCTTCCAAGATCTTCCCTGGCTAGGTTGGAAGCCACATTTATCAAAGTTATATACATGATAACTTGGGAGGTCCTTGACTATATTCGCAAGCTAATTATACCAATACTGTAGATATCTAATATTCTTAATATTAATATGCTTTTTTATGCTTTGTCTTCTAAATCACAGGGCGTAATTTTAGGTGTGCTGGTAGTCTTTTTTGAAGTAATATAGCCATATCTTGCTAACAGTGTGATCTAACCCAGACTGCAGTACAACCTAATCCGCCCACTTTGCTAGTATATTAGGATTAATAGGGAGATATAAATTACGGATACAAGCAACCTATTGGACTAAGGCTTCCTCTTAATTATTATTAAGGCCTTGATGATAGGCTTTTGAGCGCTGCGAACCTGTTTTCCCCGGCAAACCTGGCCACAAACACGCAGTGTCTCGTACGGGATGCCATATTTCCGCGTGGTCTTTGATAATTTTTTTTTCCAGCATACGCGGCTTCACAGGCCTTAATAACACGTAATCCGTCTATTTTTGAAGCTTTTGGCAAGGTGGGTGGATAGGAATAACGTCAAGAACATGGATGGTGGGAAATTTGGGTTTCTGGTGCGAATTGGACTACCAGTGTGGTGCACCCCCATCCCGAAGGCAGTGGGGGTACTGGAAGGCACTAACATACCCATATGAAATGACGGAAGCTGAAAACTGATGGGAATTGAATGATTCTTGAGCGGCAAATTGTCTGAAGCAAGTGTACATATTGCAGGCCATAATGAACAGACTGTGTATTGTGATTTCGACAAAACTGTAAGCCCACATATTCTTCTCCCATTTTACTAAATATTCTTTCCGTTATTAACATTTTTTATTTGTCCCGCTTTCTTTTTGTACTCTTCTTTTCTTTGTCATTTGCTGACCATGGGCAAATTTATGGAGCTAGGATCGGTATTTTTATTCCTGTTGCGGAAATACTATAATCCGCCCGGCTTGACCGGATCCTTGACAGGCGAATTTTACCTATGAATCTTTTGTTAATTAGTTGAGTATTTAAGAGGAACATCTTTAGTCGAGCACCCGAGATAGGAATGCAAGAGACTCATTTGGTTGAGATACTCTGATTCCTGGTGTATCTACAGATGACATATACTTCCTAATTAAGCTAATGATCGGTGTGTAGCGGATATAGCTCCCTGCACACTGCCTTCCCCTGAATTCCACAACATTGGTTATGAGCTCAGGCTTGCAGCGTCAATTTAACTACCAGCCCTCTGCACCTCGGGAGCTTATATTGGATTACAAACCCTATCTAAGCACGCAGGGTAAGCTATTAATCAACGTGTGTATCCTCAATATCCAGAACGGGTGGCTAGGACCGATCAAATTACTTACCAATTGGAGTTGGGCAATATTACCACTACGGCCGAAACGATTAGATGTTGGAGAGGGCTTGTGGTCCCCGGACAGGACGATTTATATCAAGCCCGGAGAATAATGAGGAGCTAGAGGGAGAATCAGGATTCCCACAAGAGGATTTATTGGAACTACCTGAAACCCAGAAGAACTAAGAATTCCCGATCCAGAGGAGATTCTAGAACCAGGCGAATTCTTAGAAGAAGAAGAGGGACCTGAAGAATCTATACAGACTGAGCAAGAATCTAGGATAGAAGTCAGCGAGGTTAGTTAGACCCTGCCAAAACCGCTCACTGGTAGGACCAAAACCCAAGCCGCGGGCCACCCACAACAAGCCCGTTTTTGCATAATTTTTCCAATTAGGACACTTTGGGTTGTATAAATCTGCTGATTCATTCAGATAGATTTTTTATGTACATATGTATTGGTCTGTTTGATTTTTATTGCTATGTTTGACATGGTTGACTACACGTGTGTAGTACACCACGACCTCGTACCCGCCCACGGGTAATTGGGTGAGGACCAAAGCCCGTTTCTTGGCGAGTAATTACTGGACCACGACGGGTAACCCGCGAGCGCTGTTGAGGCCTAATCCTTGTGATCAATGCAGACGGAATTAGCAGTCAGAATGGCAACTGATATAACAAGGCCTAAAGTGGCGAAAGCAGTCAAATTAGTATCATTTGATCTGCCAAAACTTACCAGAGAGAATGTCCGAACGTGGAAATCAAAGGTGCAGCGACTCTGCAAGATCCAAAGGATGTTGGACAGTGGTAGAAGAGACTCAGAAACGGTTAGATAAACCTGAGGAGTTAGGACAACTGCTTGAGAATGAGATATGGGCTTCCCAAGATGAAATTGCGCAGCATTATATCACTGAGAATATTCAGCAGAGTGATATGACTACGGTACGAGACTATCAGAGCTCAGGGGAGATATGGACTTATCTTATGGAAAAATATGAAAAGGCAGCCAAGCACGATAATATGGTGCTTCTACAGAGGATAACGACATGGAAAAAGGATCCTAAGATGGATTTGGAAACATCACTGCAAGAATTAGAGCAATGGAATGCAGATCTATATGGGTTGAGCAACAAGAAACATAAGTTTGATAAAGAATTGGTCTTAATGATGTTTCTAAATGGATTATCTCAGGAATATGGATTATCCGGGACGCTCTAATTGCAAACGCAACCGTGGAGAGAAGATAACCCTATCCCGATTGGGAATAGGGGCTATCTACTAATCAAAAATAGATAGTTGGAGTGTCTGCAAACCGGATTAAAAAAGAAAATGCCATAATTGCGGCAAGCCAGGCCATTGGAGACATGAATGCAGAGGTCCAAAGAGGGACCAAGATGCCTTAGGTAGTCATGGAATAGGTAAGAACCGTGGACGGAAGGGCTAGAAAAAGGAGTCCCAGAAAGACAAAGCAAGATCTGCAGAGGCAAAGGACTCAGATAGCGAGCTACCTAGTGAGATTGAGTCCGCAGGTGAAAAGGCTATAGGCTGCAACTGAATGAGCAGATCAGCAACCGATTTATGCATCTAATTGATCAGGACGATCAGGAGCAGGCCTACTGCATGAAGGACGAGTTATCTAGGTTTGTCAAGCACGCTACGCACCACCGCAAAGGCCGGCGGTTATTCCAACCATTATTTTACTTGCGGGATAGCTGGTTAGGCGTCCCGTCAGACTTACTTCGCCCAACAGATACCCCGGGGTCAATATCGAATCCAACGTTGAGGGGAATTTATCCCCGCGCATGACATCGAGTTCAGCCGACCGGGTTGCGAAGGACCGCCCATTGGAAAACGAATGCTCATTCTTTGGGAGACGTAACGGATTTTGTCAGTGTCTGGAAATACTGAGCTCATTAGCCTGACATGTTTTTGGGTTGCGGAGCTGGCCGCGACCTTAGATCAACATCTCCGCCTTGATGAAACCATACTGTTTTGCTTTAAATGAATTACACAGGATCTGCACAGATGGATTGCCTTAAGGCTCTATCCGTCGTACGTTCAATTAATGACAAAAATAGCAGAGTAACCTCTCTTCATCCTGTCAGGGTTTATGATAACTTGTCTGGTCATAGTTCTATGCCGCCTCCCGTGCGCATGCTTATGATCTTGGCTTCCAATCTAGGTCCCATTTTCCACCCTTGGGCTGCTCAAAGGATGCATCGCTGGGCTTCCAATCTAAGTCCCATTTTCCGCCCTCGGGCTGCTCAAAGGATGCACCGCTGGGCTTCCAGTGAGGAGTATCCCATTTTCCACCTTCACGCTGTCCGGAAGAGGATCCACCAGCTGGCTTCCAGTCCGGTGTATCCCATTTTCCACCTTCGCGCTGCCCGGATAAAGATCCACCAGCAGGCTTCCAGTCCGGAGTATCCCATTTTCCACCTTCACGCTGCTCCGATGAGGATCCACCAGCTGGCTTCCAGTCCGGAGTATCCCATTTTCCACCTTCACGCTGCTCCGATGAGGATCCACCAGCTGGCTTCCAGTCCGGAGTATCCCATTTTCCACCTTCACGCTGTCCGGATGAGGATCCACCAGCTGGCTTCCAGTCCGGAGTATCCCATTTTCCACCTTCACGCTGCTCCGATGAGGATCCACCAGCTGGCTTCCAGTCCGGAGTATCCCATTTTCCACCTTCACGCTGTCCGGAAGAGGATCCACCAGCTGGCTTCCAGTCCGGGGTATCCCATTTTCCACCCTCGCGCCGGCCAGACGAACTATCAGACGATGTCCCCTTATCTCCCTGCCATGTTCCGTCTGGCTGACGAGAGGAAGATCCATCAGCTTTCTGCCAGCGAGGGGTGTCCCAGTTTCCACCTCCCTGGCCAGAACCATCAGATGATGTCCCCTCCTCTCTTTGCCTTGTTTCACCTCGCTGACGGGAGGAAGATCCATCAGCTTTCTGCCAGCGAGGGGTGTCCCAGTTTCCACCGTCGCGCTGGCCAGAACCATCAGATGATGTCCCTTCCTCTCTTTGCCTTGTTTCACCTCGCTGACGGGAGGAAGATCCATCAGCTTTCTGCCAGCGAGGGGTGTCCCAGTTTCCACCGTCGCGCTGGCCAGAACCATCAGATGATGTCCCTTTCTCTCTCTGCCCTGTTCCGCCTCGCTGACGGGAGGAAGATCCATCAGCCGCCTCCCAGTGAGGGGTATCCCATCTTCCACCTTCGCGCTGGGCAGACGATTCGTCAGGCATGATGCAATTGTGGCCGTCAAATTCAGTCCCTACAGGACAGCATTTGACCTTTCCAGAGGTAGGGTCTGTTGCTGGAACTATGTTGTCGAGAGTGTACTTTGATTGTTGAAGGATAGCCTGACTAGGTGAATTGCCCGAAACGTGGTCAGCCTGGAAAGCTATAAACACGAGTATTAGTCCGATAGCTTGTTGTAGGGTCAGCATTATGTATAAGAAAGTAATATAACAAAATAGATACAAGGATCGCGTATGGAACATCTCGGATATTCATAGCACAAGAGGTTTACAAATGGGAATCTACTTATAGCTGGGATGAGGTAGCTCTATGAATCATCATGAATTGTACCTTCCTCTTGGTAACGTCATGTATATCATCATTGATTCTTCACCGCGATTCGAACGGGGCCTAGAATTATATTACAATCTCCGATTGCGACGATTATCTGGTCGGTCGCATCCAGCGAACTGACTGAAGCATTATTTCATTCATGATGTTATAAACTTAGTTATATTTCGCCACTTCTGTGTTATCTATAATGGAGAGTGTTATAGACAACTCCACAGGTCAATATATGTAGGACTGGATCTACGGAATCAAACAAATGATTGGATACCAGGAGAAAGACGTTCTGTACAGTATCAAGTTCAATCACTTGCTGTAAAAAATAGTTCTTGAATTTTCTCTATTAAATACGATAGTCAGCAAAACCTCCAGGGGCTCTTGCAGGAGAATGGGTTTGTCATACAAGAAATGGAGAGAGAGTGTAATGGAATCACCGTGATAAATCAAAGGAAAAGTATGCTCCATACCTTGTAGCATCACCCCTCCCAGACAACCTACTTCTTGTGAAACTCGATTAAGTTACTCTGCATACCTCCATTTCATGGTAATTATAATGTCTGTTCTTGGCAGAATACCGCCATTACGGCTAAGGTTAAAACTGAATTGGGGGGTGCCAAGGGAAAATGATCTATGACGCGCCTCCCTTTTCCGGACGACGGGAATGCATCTTAGTGACTAGCTGACAGATACATACGGACGAGAGTACTATGGTAACCATTTACTGTAAAGTCTCTTTGCGCCAACATTGCATATTTTTACAGCAGCTATATGACATGCATTCTGTATTTATTTCCGGGAAAGCAACACCACCATTTCTTCCCATTCTCCATTTCTTCAAATAACACAGAATATTCCTTGTGGACTTATCTGGCAGGACCTTTTCGGATATGAACGTCTATCAGAAGACACCCTTCTCGTCTCTGTTGGATTAATATGCTCCATAGGAGACAGATTGCCGAAAGGGCGAACATGCATCATGAGAGATACGCCGAAGTCAATTAGGAATCCCTTCAGCTATACGTCTGTGATGTTCTAGAATGGAGTCGGATTCTTCGGGTAGCTTATTGCTGCGGAGGTAAATTGGAGAACCGTGGCTACAGTCGGTGTTTGCAGTGAGCATGTTTAATCTATGACACCGGCAAATCCTGTTGCGGAAGTGAGAGGGAAGTCAATGATCCAAACGGTCCCGTTAACTCAAAACTCAACGATTCAATAGTGCTGTAAGCGAGAAAGTAAGAATATATATATAGCCTGTCCTTCAATTGATGATTGACTGTAGATACACAATCCCACTCCTTTACCCTTATAAAAGGATATTCCCTCTTCCAAATCAAGTAAATTTTCTCCAAGGACAGAGAAAAATCCAACGGTATGCCCTTCCCCTTTTCATTTTATTTTTATTTATTTATTTATTTTTTAAACAAAAATGACGAACCCCTGATAACATTGCCATTCAGAAAATGAAGGTCACTCTTGCCCCACTTGTTCTACTCCTCGCATCAGCCTCAGCCGTGAGGGTTAGTCAACAAGAAGCAAGAGACTGGACCCAATGCACCCATCGCTTGCTTGACCGGCTTGACAACGGTGAAGATGGCAATAAGCTATCTTGCTCCCACCTTCAGTGTCTACAGGACGTTGCGGAGACTTATCACCGAGGAGGCATGCTTGCCGAACTCTCCTCCGTCTTAAACGCTGTCTGTACAATTCGTGGCTTGCCGATAATTAACAGGTTCGGTTAGGCGACACACTATATAAAATTAATCCGGGTTTTTTTCTCTGCGTTACTGCAGTTTTTTCCTGGATCCGCGTTCGAGAGGAAAGGTGGTTCCGATTCACGGTTATATGTACGCTAGTCAAGATAACTTGCCTGGAATGCTGTAAGGCTTTGTTCGTGAATTAAAACGGCATATGAGATTGTTGCCATAGTTTCTACGGCATGACCCACGTATTCCGCCGGTCTTCGCATGCAAATTCCGTAGATCGCAACCTTTAGCCATCGTAGCCGTTATCGCCTCCGACTATTTGAAACTTACCGCGAGATGTGACACACTTGACATCTTGTAATGAAACAGTAGTGCGTGGTGACTACACTGACTGGTTAAAAAGTGCACAAAGCTACTCCATACTCTCAACATATGACAAGCATGGCGGGTCAGCTATCACGTGGGGACTACTGTAAAATCAGAGAGAAGCAGGCCGCTGCTTTTCGTTAACAAATACTATCACTAACCTTACGGTATTTGTCAGACCTATAAGTTGTTAACATGCCGACAGTCCCGTTCTCCTGGAGGAAAAAACATCAACCAAACTGACCGCCTTGAAGCCGGGGACGACTGAGAACTGGAATATAACCAGTATCTATGAGGTTGGATATTGTCACTGGCCAATGGGTTTTGAGCGTGGCGCCCACGAGAATGGCTTCGGTATCTATTGGAGATTCTTAGAATACTAGGAAACCTGAACTGATTGGCGGGAAGAATGACATTAACATCTAATAAGCTAGCGTTGGGATTGAAGCGCTAATTACTGAACAAAAAAGCGCTTTTTGAATGATAGACGACATCTTGTTCTACGCATTGTCTATTGCTGGGAAGGGGCATTTTAAAAATGCTGCCTCGAGAGATAGGGGCCAATCGCCATATTCCATATTCATGTGTCGCGTCTCGCGCTTCCGTTTCTGACTAGGTGAAATACCCTTAGTGGTATTCGTCGGGTTTGCAGCATTGCCGGCTCAAAGTCAATGAATATCAACTGACCATTTTCCTCGCTCTATATCATATTTCCGGGCATTGGGTCTCCATTAAGCTCGCCTGTATTGTGAATCGCCTGCGAGGAATTCTCAGCTTGTTGAACTAGTTCGCAGCGATCGAGGTCATGCCACCTTGCAAGGGTTCTTCCACCGTAACCCATGAATATCAGATAGACAATCTCGGCGATTCCGTTATAAGACTAATGGGTAGAGAAGTCACAGACTGCCAAGGAGCACTGTGACGCATGCCCTTGGATTGAGGTGAGATGCGAATGGGTACACGAGCTCTTCTGTTTCGTTCCTTCCACAAACTCGGCCGCCGCACCTTTTTCCGCAAAGGTATACTACCCATGTGCCCACATGGTTACTTTAAAAAAACGCCATACGTATCCCGTGAATGTGCAGCGATTTGCACCTCAGCTGTGAATGAAGCGGTGGATTATCGCTGAAGAGCTGCCGGTCCAGCCGTCGAAAATTGTAAGTCAATGAGACGAGTTGCTTGGTCAAGTCATTGGCTCATGGAGAGAGCCCTCTAGCGAATCAAGTAAAGCCACCGCTAAGACACAAGTACATCTTAGCCACATAGCAGGAATGCTGCCTTGGTCACTTTGTTCGTGGGACAGCGAGGCTAGACTGAGCATCAAGAGTATACGGGTACAGACGTAACTCCCACTGCATAGCAATGTCTCGCAGGTTTGGGACCACTAGTAAAGCAACAAGGCAGGGAAGAGATGCCAAAGATGCTGCTGTCCATCTGTTGTGCTTCTTCTAGGCTTCGATACGATGGTTCAACGAGCCCTTTTGTTTTTCGCTTGAAATCAATCAATCTTAGTATGGTCTATCGCTGTCTTTTACAGCCTCACACCGTTGAACAAGAAGACAAACGGTTCGCCAGGTACATAAAGGAAATTAAAAAATAGGGGGCCTTTTTTTATCTCTATTTTCAGCTCTACTTCGGTGGGCAGTGTAGTCGCCCACCATGCATATCAAGAGGAACCCACTCCCTTGGCGTTTTGATCTAGTATACTACTCCACCATATCATTATGTCACTCTGGTTTGCCCTATGAGTAACTGCGGCTGGGTCTGGTTTACTGCTTAACTCTTGTGTCGTAGACGATGCGGGTCAGAACATTCTTGAAGGAATTAATGCTAGGTAGGACTTGGAGGTGCAAGAAGAACACACGATCGTCGGGAAGGCATAAGACTGTAGAGAGAAGAGAAAGGTCTTCTCTGGAAAGGTATACAGATTAGTGATAACTAGGTCACCTATCGAATTGAAGAAATCAGCTTATCATGCTCTATATTTTAAACGTTCAATATAGGGGTTTAGATAAATTTTCTAGACTAAGAAGCCCACGATGTGAAACCCATGAACATAGGCATCGTAGAGGGGGAAGGAAAAAAAAAAAAGACAGGGTCAATCGGACTATTCCCCACCTGAAATTTCGACTCGCAGGTGCAGCAGAAGGAATAATAACCACAACTCCCTGTTCCATTGATGATGCCATCTCTTTGCTGGGGGTAAAGAAGAAGACAAAAGCGTTATGAGCAAAAATTGATACTGGTGGAACTCTAGCGTGGTGCATTTTATTGAGACTACCTTACTCAAGCTACTCAACCCTCTGCCCAGCCCCTGCTCAGTGAGCAAAAATTTGTGAAGAGTGAGTACTAAATTGGAAAGGAAAAACAGGTTTCTAGAAAATCAAGTACATACTCAAAGAGAAGTTCCTGCATTTAATTGGTAATTCACTGGTCTACAAATGAATATAATTATTATTTTCATTTCCAGATTGTTTCTGGAAATTGAGCTTATCACGGCGTCCTCCCTTTTGTCTTTGTGAATGATCCACGACTGCTTTAGTCTAAATAATATCAAATAGGGGTATTCTACATTGCTTAAGCGAATATCTACAATCTATAAATCTAATCTATATACTAACAAGTGATTACGACGCCCCGTCAGCCGCAGCTCTTATAGCACCCCCTTCGTTAATGGAAACTCATCATGTAGTCGTTCATGGCTCCACGTTGCATTCTCAGCCCCGTGTGATACCTTCTTGGCATAACTGGAGATCATTTGCATTCGATCATTCCATCTAGCGGCCTCCGAGTCCTAGTGCTCCAGTGTAACCGACAGCACAGTGTGCGCAGTAGTGGTCAGAGAGTTGGTAGATGTGCGCAGATAATACCAACACAGAGTTCGACAACCGTCCACAGTGCTGCTTCCATGACAGAGTCTGCGATGTGTTAGTTATGGCCCCAGGACGGAGTCGAATAACGTACAGGATGTATCTTGTTCCTGTACGAGTTTGAGCGTTGCGACCCGCATGATACTAGCAAAGCAGACACTTCAACTGGTAAATTTGGATCGCCTTATATTTCAAGAAGCTAAGGTAGATACTCACAATCCGCCGAGGAGGAATATACCCAGGATAGTGAGCCTGTGTGAGACGAAGCTGGAGCTGAAGAACCATCGGAATCGGCATTGTCAGGATGATCACGCCAATGAGGAGATTGGATATAGAGTTTCCGAAGAAAAATTGTTTCGCGCCAATACATGTTCCATGTTGCGTTTTATCCCAGTTCAGTGAGTTCGGATGACATTGGACCATACGGTGATAAATACTGCCACGCACCATGCGCAAGCTAGTCTACCGACGATCCAGCTAGCGATTCGGAACTTGCCTACAGCAAAGATTCGACGGTAGAAAAGGAGGGGTGGAGATTGTGATCGTTGGGACTAGGAGGGTGTAGGAGATTTCGTTGGCGAAGAAACGCTGGCTCTGTTAGATAAAATTTTGCAGTGAGAATAAAATGTTAAATAGGTATATGTTGGCTCACTTTTTGAAAAAAGATTTCTTCCTCTGTAGCCAGCTCGTCCATGTGTTTCCCTAATTCACCGTTGCCATAAGAATTTGGAATCATCTGAAGTTGCTTATATGGAAGGACAAATTAAGACAAGATTTACGTGATTCTTAACTATCCGATTGCCTATGGTTTGTTCTACCTAATCCTTCTATAATTGTACCACAACTGTATCATGATCTTATCCTATATTAAAATTCTCTTCTAGAATTTAATAAACTAACCAAATAATATGAATGATTATTATTATGCCCTACATAACTTGTATAAATACTCTGTATCTTGATGAATGATTCAACTGCACGTGGCATTCGGAAACCCACATCCACCAATCCCAACCCGGTTAGTCTCAGGCCTCCGTCTGCCCCTTTACAGCGAGAACACATTCCACAATACTCAATAGACAGATAATGAGACTCCGCATATTGCACCTAACCTTGGCCTCATCCTGCCTGTCCCTCCTAGGACTTGGTGAGTAGTCTTCCTTTCCATATATCCCTCCCCCTAACGCGACAACAGGACTCTTTCTATATTTAAGACACGACCCTCCCGACCCAAACCCGGTCGCATATTGCGCCGACTGTCTCGATTATGCCAATGGCATCAACAGAATGATTAACCGTGCTGCCAACAGTGTTGACGGTGTTCGGGGCAACAAGCAGTACTTCCGGTATGCCTGTGATTGGAACTGTCGTGATGAATTGTTGACTTCGGGCCACTGTTTGAAGTATCGCCGAGCTTTTCTGAAGCATTCGGATCGGTACATGTTCGCTGTCGAGGATCCTCCCATGGCTTGCCAGGGTATCAGGGCTTGCCCGTGACTGTCTAGCTTTTCTTTTCTTTTCTTTTCTTTTCTTTTCTTTTCTTTTCTTTCTTTCTTTCTTTCTGTTTTTTTGCTGAGCGAGCATGCATTGTGGTGAGTTCCAGCAACTCGTATTTCTTCCAATCATTGGCAGTTCTTGGATTCTTCCATCAACTCGAGCTCTTCGATCTGCAGCGCCTCGTAAGCGCGAGACCACAGTTCGAAGTCGTCGCCCAAGGGAAGAGGGGCAGAAGCCGTTGGCTGAGAGGAGGGGCCCTGGAGTGACATTTGGAGGCAATGAAGCAGACAACACAACCTGCCCAGGAGGCTATGCGAGGGTCGTTATGTTTAAGGATGTTCTAACAGTCCACAAACTGGTGGTTATGTAGTTAAAAAGGACGCTCCACCGCCCTACGGAGTGATAATAGATACGTCTAGCACAAGTTTTCATCCGAAAATGACGAAGATAATAGTATCAACGCCGTTCGATACACCTGCCTTTGTCTTTTTCTCGCCAGTCTCAGCTCGCAAAACAGGTGTCCATCATTGATTTATTAGGAAAGTCAAATCGCCGCAGGAGGGTGTCGCTGGCTGTCTGAGTGATCATCGGCCGAGGTTAACTTCGCGAGTTCTGGGAGTAAATCGTGTCGCTGAGTTGGCAATATTCAGACTTCAACACCAGGGGACCAATAGTGGAGGGAGTTCGCTAAATCCATGCATTCTGCTAGGAGAGCTTAGTGAAAGGCATCTTGCATCATAAGAAACAACACATGCAACCTGGAAATTTGCGCGGGGCAGTTGGGACAAGATTCTTCCCTGCCTCCTTGTTCCCGATGAGGAGGAGATCTTGATCAAGTGGATATGATTTTTTGCTTTCGAGGTCTCTAGTCACTTGAAACCTCAGCTGAGCCCACCAGAGGCTGCCACTTTGAGCAGCGGGACGACAGCTTCGATTTCCTCGTTGTGTTACGACTGCGGCGCAACGCGGAAATGAGGCGATCCTATTGGCAAGTCAACGCCAGTCAACGCCAGAAAACTATCTGACGTGCAGCCCAAAAGGAGGGCACACGGACCCCGCTGGATAACAGCTGTTCTGGACAGCCACCACGAACTTCCAAGAACTTGAATACGTTACGCATCTTGCTTACTTTGCCTTGGCGCAGATCTCAGCATGAAGTATAAAAATAGATGAGAAATACTAAAAACTATACCTCAGTAGCGAAAATTATGGTTCTCGCCGGAAGCTTCTAGTTATATAAAATGATATATTGCGAGTAATGTTATTCACACTCCAAAAAGTACTAGAAAATATTAATTGATCATGCAAAATCCCTCCAATAATACCCCTGTATTTTAAATTCGTGGATTGATGCAAGAGATGATCTGCAATTGAGTCTCTACTGGAATCAATAGTCTCGATCTATCGCTTCAAGAAGGGAGAGAATGAACTGATCCGGCTTGTGCGGCACCGGCAGCCGGCTGGGTCCCGCGGAGTCCGGGGTTGCTCCTCTCGGTTATCGGTAGACCAGTCGCTATGAGGCAGAATATTTAAGACGAATTAACAGACCACAGCCATATGCAGTCAACCGATCAAAATTCATATCCATTTATACGTTTTCATACCATATCTCGGTCGGCACAATGGGCAATACAGTCCAGCTCAACACATCCAATTCAATCCACAGCTACTATCCCTTGGGGACAAATCTGCCACATTATGTCGCAAACCAGGACGGCACCTTATCGCTCATTGTGCAGTTCGGCGCTCTCTGGGCAGCGGCCATCGGAATAGCATACATTATTATCCGTCGTGTGCGACCGACAGCAAGTACATCCGATCAGGGCGCGTTTCTCTGGATGTGTTTAAGTATGTTTCCCCCGCATCGCAGACGTCGGATCGTAAGCTAATGCGAGGGTAAACAGCGGGATTTATCCATCTATTCTTCGAGGCGTACTTCGTGGTGAACCATGCTACGCTTGCAGGCTCGGGGACTCTGTTCGGCCAGCTGTGGAAGGAATACTCCCTTTCTGATTCTCGCTATCTTACGTCAGATACCTTCCTTGTTTGCATGGAGGCTGTTACTGCTGTATGCCCTTTTCTCCCTACAAAACCTGATTCGTACCCATCCAAGGGGATGGTTTCACTAATGTTGGAACAGTTCGCCTGGGGCCCATTGGCTTTCTTCATTGCGTACTGCATCGCAGTACGACATCCTGCGCGCTACGCCCTACAGTTGATTATCTCCACTGGACAGATCTACGGTGCTGTGCTGTATTACACTACGAGCTTGTTGGATCTCTACGACAACGGTGTGGAGTTTTGTCGTCCGGAGGGGTATTATTTCTGGTTCTATTATTTCTTCATGAACTTCATATGGATGGCCGTCGGGTCTTGTGAGTATTTTTTTTGCCCTGGTGCGTCGTGCCGGTACTAACTTGGGTTATACAGATTTTGCAGTGGATAGTGTCCGGGAGATTACGAGGGCGTTCAGAAGTCTAGGTGAGATGGAAGGAGGTAAAAAGGGAAAGTAAATATGGGCACTAGGCGCATTGGATTGGTTGGTTAATGGATGACCCGAGCATTACCAGTTGAGATTACCGTAAACTGGCCGGTAGGGTTATCATTTTTATTGTTAGTTGGATGATATCTAGACTGCGGCAAAACCGCGGTTTTGGATATCACTTTGAAAACCACAACCACAACCGCAAGAAAACCGCACTAGCATAACTCTCGCTTCTTTAACTAATTCTGGTATATTAGGTGACACTTATGCAGCTTACATACTCTTGTTTTTAATTTGACAATACACCTGTTCTGGTTAATACAGTAAGCCCGGTTAGTGTCACGATCCTCCGAATTGGAAACATTCGACGCAGAAAACCGCTGCGCCAGGAGCAAAAGACTAGGATTCAAGGACAGCGTCCTTGAACTGTTCTTGCTTTATATAGTTAGGTCGTACAGCGCCGTCACAATGGTCTCCCACTTCCGGATATGCCAATTGAGGAGAAGACGCAGGCGCGGTTAGGGAGGGTTCGGAAGAGGCCTAAGCTACCTGAGGGATTTGAGATTGATAAGATGTAATATTAGAGACTTAGGAAAGAAATTGAATTTGGTCTAAAAGTGTATTTTCAAGGTTTTAAATTAAGAGACATAGGTATCTATTACATACTAAATACTCCAAAAAATACTGCGAAAAGTGCACAATTTATGCATTCATGGGAAAGTCACGAGTTTCAGCATGTTTGTAATGTTTACATATCCATGGATAACCGCAAAAACCGCGGTTTTCCAAAGTGAAAACCACAACCGCCCACAGTGCGGTTTGCGGTTGTGGTTTGGTTATCCGCGGTTGTCCATGGTTTTGCCGCAGTCTAATGATATCGATTTATGTACAGTATGGGCTGATGGTTGATATATAAAATATCACTGCTGGGCTATAGACCTAGATAATTTATTAAACCTAGTTTAAATGTGTAGATGTATACCAAATAGTATTTTAATTTTCTTTCAGAAATAAGACCACATACACGATTTGATCCACTGCAAGGCTTTGCCCGAGATTAGAGTTGTTTGGGACGGGTTCGGGCGGATGGGATTTAGGCTTTTATGTTTTTAGAGATATAATACTAAAAATTATAGTTAATAACAAGAATTACAATTTGCAAGGATATCCATCTATTTACTGTGTTATACAAAGATAGCATGAATTTACGCATCGAGTACGACGTGCAAATACATACTAAGTTTTACCTTTGAAGAGCTCTGCAATCCAACTAAATATAGATAGTTTGGTGCGGCTTTGGCGGGACAAACCATACTACTGAGGATGAAATTCGCCAGCGTCTATACTAACTGATCACTTTATACCATGTTGTATATGAAGATGCTTCAGGCCAGGTGGAAAACTGGGCTGGAGCTGCTGAATTAATGGAGGTTGATTATTGTCGACCAAAGTGGGCCAATATTACCCATTATTCAGCTTCCGCTCGGTCCGACTTTATTCCTTTATTTTTTCACCTTTTTTATCCAGCTCTCCCAGATAGGTTCAGATAGACAAGAGACCTTAAGAGACCTCATTCTTCAATGCAGATCCATATTATGATTATATGATCGGTGATACTAGCTCATACGCGTATTTAGCTGACCGACAATTATTAACACGTAATCAATCTGACCTCTCTGACCTCCTTGACCTTTCTAATATTTTAATAACTCTTTCCATAAGCTGCCTAATCCTACAAACCTGTTTAGCCTTCAAGCGGACTGCCTACGTCCCTCCGTCCATTCTATTCCCTTACCACCAATTAACAATTAACACAACTGTCCCAAACTGCATTGTAACATTGCTGTCGTCTTTTAGCTCAGCCCCTAGCCGCTCTAGCTGTTGCAGTGAGCTTTCCATGTCGACCTCCGCATCCTCCTCCGTGACCTTCTAGGTTGCTACTACTACCACTCGTCTGGCCCGAACTTTCCCCCCTCTCCAACCTTCTTCTTATATGCGGTAGCCTGCGAATCCATAGTCAAATACGGCGCTGTATTCCCCCACCACTTGGGAATCGACACACCCGGCAAAGTAATCGCAAAGAAAATCACAATCGTAGACAATACCAGGCCGGAATCCAGCCCCGCGGCCGTGATATAGTTATACGTATGCCACCAGCCGGACCACCGACGACGGATCCAGTAGTTGAATAGAAGACCAAAAATAGCCCACGTGGAAAAACTCAGCGGGGTCGCTCTGTCTAGTTAGTACAGTATATGTGTATGTGTAGATCGAGGTAAAAGACGTACGGAGGAAGCCAGGACATTGCCCCTAACATGCTATTGATTTATTAGATGCAGCGTAAATTGAATAGGAGAAGACCTACACAGGCGCATTTAGGAATCGAATCGGTGATCGTGGCCACACTCGCACAGCGAGGTAGAATACCACTGGGAGAAGAGCACCGACGAGCCAGAACCATTGGATGGATGTGTATAACCCCCCCGGACCGAACATGCGGTTGGGACCAATGACACCTGGATTGTCAGTAATACTAATTACAGTCGGAGAATGGTTTGCTTACCCCAGACAATACTAGATGAGAAAAAGGTTTTCCCGTTCGGACAGGTGAAATGTGCGGATTGATGACTTTCTTGTGAGATAATATAGGATATGTAAGTACAGATGACTTACGGCATGCAGACTTGATCAATGTTTCCTAGTGTCCAGTTCATCACAGCGATCTGGACAAAAGCGGCCCAGATGGTGGCGGCTACCTGGCAGGTGAAGACCACGCGGGGTGGGACTTTCATGTAGTGTGCTAGCTGGAGGGGGTCAGTATTTAGATCTATTCGGTATTGTTGGTGTACTTACCTTCAGATCCTGGCAGTAGTATTGACTATCAAGGTCAGCAGTGGTATGATCGGTAAAGGAGTGACTCACGCTTGTCCGAGAGTGATGGTGCTGAAGACTTTAAATACCATCACTCCGATAGGCCGTCCGGGGATTATGAAACCAGCCAGAAAGGGGGAGAGCACGTTGAGCGCTAGAATTATCAGAAAGAAGAAATTAATTGATGGAGTAACGTACATAATGTTACGTTGGTAATTGCCAGAATCATACATGTTGGGATCTATCTTGTTAGCCTAGCTTTGCCAATAACATGAATACTTACGATAAACACTATGGCGATAATAATCGACACGAAGAAAGCCCACCCTATCCGAATTAGTCTTGTCATCGTCTCAGTGGCGAATACATACATGGAAGCTGTGAATCGTATCCCAGAACCCCGGCTAACCCGAATGCCACCGAGACTAAAAACAGCGCTGCGTACCACCAGTCCGGTGCCTCGCGATATTTCTTCATCAGCTGCAGGTGGACATCCGGCTCTTGGTCCCGTGCGGCTCTGAATCGATACCAAATCTCCTTGTGGTGGAATAGGATGATGTGCACAAGGGCCGCTGTCAGTCCCGCGAAGGAGAGCCCGTAGTTCAAGGCGAACGAAGGAGCCAGGAACATAGGTGAGTAGTGTTTGTATTTCTGCTCGTCGAAGGTAAAGCCCGGTCCGAGGATGCGAGACACATCGTAGGGTTTTTGTCTATTGTCGTAGGTGGTCGGTGTGTTCATGGGGAGATAATCAGAGTACCTAGTTTGGTTTGTTAGACAGGTAGATTCACGGAAGATTAACGTACAGAGCTCCAGTGTAGGTGATGCCGATGATAGAAAGTATAACAAATACGATCAGCCCAATAAGCGTGTTGAGATGCGCATGCCACGGGGCCAGCAATGGGTCCATGAGATATGCAGAGACGTATCTGGCGAGTCAGTGTCCGTTAGCAATCAATGCAATATACAACTCACGTCCAGTCAAAGGTGATTGGTATCAAAGACAGCCCAGTATATCCTCCGAAGAGCTGGTTTAGGACGACATTGTTGGGTTTTATCCCTGGATGGTCAGTGTGAATCGAACGACGGATGCGAAATAATGCGTACAAGTAATAAAGGCGAAAACAGACAGTCCCTGCCATATCACCGCCGGAATCCTACATCATCAGTTTCTGATCAAGCTCAGGAGTGATGCAACATACCAATACCAGGCAAAAGCTCCCACCATCACATACAGGAAGTATCGATACCTCGAAATCTTCCATCCGTTCGTTTGCGACGCATCCGACATACTCTTATCATGTAAAGCGTAGAACAGAGACGAGTTGGAAAACATACCGGGCCAAATCATCGCCGCGGGCCTGCGAGAGTCAGAAGGTCCGTCTAGCTGGCTGCTACATACATACCAGACGAGAAATCGCCGGAACATCCCAGCGAGCGAGATGCCAATCAACTGGCTGCTCAAAGTAAAGAGAAGTTGGAATCCCCATCCAATGTCCAGATTATACAGCGCTGATCTATCAGTAAATACTTTGCAGGAGTAGCAAGGACGTACGTTTTGCTTTGAGAGCCAGCAAGGCATCGGTGCTGTATGCATAGCCAATGGACACACTGCAAGGGTTAGTATTAATCAGAGGTGGGTTTGAATCACTACTTTGCCATAATCTAAAAGGTCAGCCAACGCTATGCAATCCTCAGGTACACCTACTGTGATCACTGTATGTTCCTTGATGGTAAAAGGACCGGTGTTCAACGTCCATCGTACGCCACATGTATGAAACACTCTTGTTGGCATCACCCGCGCCCACAAGCAGCCAAAGGGATACACCAGCAACTGCACCACAATGGCGGGGAAGGAGATTGCAGGGTTCCTACTGTCGTCAGCATAGTCCAGCCCAATCGACTAAAGACACACCGCATGCTGAGAAACATATTCAATCCACTACCCAGCGTCACGAATATCATCCCGAGAACCCACGCGCGAACGGTATTGGCGACCTCTCCATTGTCGGTATTCCTCACGGCTGCACGGACGGATTCATACGGCGAGTCGTCTAGAACTGGCTTGTCTACTTCGGCGGCTTTTTCCTGGTCCTCGGATTTAGATGCCTCGATGGCGTCGATGTTCTCCTGTGGGAGGTTGGGGTCCCATCTACGGGCATTAATTTTTTGTAGATCATCAACAACTTCATCGGGGGGGTTGTTATAACTCTTGGCTATTTCGGCCTGTGGCTCAATGCCTGTGATGGATGATATTTTGGTAGCCATTCTGACGTCGCCACTGCATCTAACCGGGATCGACTGGTTGACTACTCCCTATATATATTACCGTGACCACCTTGCATTTGATCACCATTCACCACTCTATCTCTCGCGCAAAAATACCACTAAATAGTGTAACATCGGGCCGACTGCGCCAGATTCAACAAATTTCCCCGCACCGCATGGCTTGATTATCTACAATTCACCCCTCGCTAGCGTGGCACCATAAACAGATCAGCTGTTTCGCTTGATAAAATAAACCCCCTGATTCGCCCCTTGTAATCAACGACGAGATTATTCCTTTAGGATCAACGATGACTGTATGCACTACGATAGTGATATCTTTGTACCGACCTATAACTACTTATTCATCGTCACACCGAAACTTTCCGGATCCCCCAACTGTTCACAAAGGCCGACGAAGCAAGGCCTTATCCCCTCTTCGACCAAGCAGATCTATCGCGGATCTCTCAACAACACACCCGTTATCAAGCACAATCGCCTTATCATAGTCCGCAGTAATATTAAACCGATGCGCAATAGTTAACACTGTCATGCTAGTAGTGATACTCGTGCGAAGACAATTTAAATCAGCGTATCGGTTTCATGATCAATTGATACCGTTGCCTCGTCCAGAATAAGAACTTGCGATCGTCGAAGGAGAGCCAGTGCAATACACACTAGTTATTGCGACCCATGGAAAGCACGATGGCCGGATGATCCAGACCGACTAACCGGGGTGAGTCGAAGATAAAATGCCAACGCCATTAATGGCGGGCGATTTGGCCGTAATCTGCTTCCAGGCCACGAATTAGTGCCATCGATAATGTAATCTTGACTGCTCCGGTGCGTGTAACCACCGCAATACGCTCGCCACGTTCGACTTCTAATGTACTATTCTTCAGGACTAGCTACGTATGACAGATAGCTGCACGATCTATAGACAAGGTCCTGTAAAGGCTAAAAATAGGTCAGGGCGAGACTGGCAACACCAGGGCGGATAGATTCTCGCTTCCACAGGCAGACTCATTACTGCTCCTCACGCTCCCTGCAACATTAAATCACACTTAACAAAGTAATATAGCCGACAGAGGCGTGGAAGAGAGTCGACCGCGTCATGGTGGAATTCTTGGGAGAACCGCGCTGTCCTGCTCGCCATTCACACCATCAAAATCTTCCACTTGAGAGCAGTCCGGTATGCTTTCCGTATAAGGTCACTCATCCAGGAAGAGGGATAATCCATATAGAGAGTCGACTACGATGAGACCAAACAAGAGTCATATCGCACGAAAGGTGAGGACCTCCAGTCGTGCAAAGTGCCGGCTGTGCTCGTATGCATATGGGGGTTGCTCACTGTATTATCAGCCACGGCTAAAATATGCCAATTACAGTATTTTGCCAGCGGTCATTGATGGACGAAAGAAGCTGCAAAGCAAGGGAGATTGAGCTGGTCACGATGGGAATCAAAGTACTCAAATAGTCGTATTGGATACACGAGGAAACTCGGCCGTCGTCCAAGAATGGGGGCCGACCAAGACGGCTATAATGATAATAATAATAGGGAAATTATGAATAGGAAGTCGGGGTAAACTCAAGGGATTCAAGGGCGAATAATAAAGCCTTTGCTGTAGTGCTATAGTCTTTCCATTACACAGGCTGATTCATCCCTAGTTCAATGGAATCAATATTGTATCGATGTATCTACGAGGCCAGTAGTCTACTGATTTTGATTTCTTTCATTCTTTATTCCTCTGTTTTGCCTTCTCGGAGTTTATAGCTGCTCTTGGTATTGCTATTATTTCTACTATCATCCGGCCGCCCATGTAAAATTGGGCATAGAGGATGATAGGCTACTTTGGGGCCAACTAGCTCAAAGAGTCCTAAATCTAATGAACTTAGATGGTTTTAACGGATTTTAAGTGCTTTTTAATAACCTGGGGGCCTTCTTATAGCATTCTGACCCTTACTATATGCTACTTACTAACTACAGGGCACTCTGGCCGCTGATGACCCTCGAAGAGCCCCTTCAGGGAGCTATAATAAGGCATAATACAATCTCTCTCTGTTTGTTTCCCTCCTTAGTGTTGGGATACTATGGTCTGGGTGGATAGAGTAGCAAGGACTAGCGCAAGCCCAAACCTATTCCCCCCGCACCGCAAGGCTTGTTCTCTCGCAGCACGAAAAGAGACTGTCGATTTCACTTGATAAGAGAAATCCCCTGATTCGTTCTTGTAGAATCAGGATGATTCTAATGTCGCATGACCAGAGAGATTTGCTAGCACCCAATTTAATAATCGGTGCTAGTCCCCTTCACCCTTTCTTTGTCCAGAACAAGCGTACCAAAGTAACAGGAACAGATTCATCATGGTCTCTACCTACGCCCACAATTCTTCCATGCGCGATAGAATCGAGCGTGTCACTCGAGACCTAGAAGAAATCTCCAACATACTATCCATCCATGTATCGCCCCTGCGAACAGGACGTTTACGACGGTTCTTCACCGAGGAACTTGCATCTCTCCGCAGCGAGCCATTCGATGCATACGATCAAGAAAGTAAAGTGGATTACCTACTGCTTCAGAACTACCTGGAGAGACGGCTGCGCACCCTGGTCCTGAACACAGAGCGAGACGAGAGAGCACGTCCTCTTCTTCCCTTTGCCGCGGCGCTGGTCGATCTGTGTGAATCTCGCGCAGCGGTTCGTCCTCTCGTGCCGAAGGACACGGCGCAGGTTCTCTCCCAGACGCAAAAGGTAATAACGACAGTGATCAAGACTGTGCAGGAGGCCCCGAGGGATATTCCCATGGATAGATCCAGTGCGTTTCACGCGGCAAAAAAACCATCGATGCTTTGAGAGAGCATCTGAAAGAGTGGTTCGGGTTTTATAAAGGCTACGATCCCCTGTTTGACTGGTGGGTAGTACATCCATACGGAGTGGTCGATAGCAGTCTGGAGAGTCTGTCGTCTACGATTCGAGAGAAACTCGTCGGGATAAAACCAGGAGACGAAGATGCGATCGTGGGTGAGCCGATCGGACGGGGAGCTTTGCTTCTCGAGCTTCACACGGAGATGATCCCGTACACGCCAGAGGAGATCCTCGCGATCGGGGAGAGAGAATTCGACTGGTGCATCGCGGAAATGAAACACGCATCGAATGCCATGGGGTTCGGCGACGATTGGAAACAAGCCCTCGAGGAGGTCAAAAACGACTACGTCGAGCCGGGGAACCAGACGCAGCTGGTGCGGGATCTCGCCCGCGAAGCCATTGCCTTCGTGGAGAATCACAACCTCGTCACCGTCCCGTCGATCGCCAAAGAAACCTGGCAAATGTTCATGATGTCGCCGGAGAAGCAGAAAACAAACCCGTTCTTCCTTGGGGGCGACTCGATCATCGTATCCTATCCGACGGATACGATGGACCACGAGAGAAAGATGATGAGCATGCGCGGGAACAATATTCATTTCTCGCGCGCGACCGTCTTCCACGAGCTGATCCCGGGCCATCGATTGCAGTTTTATATGACTTCGAGATATCGTTCGTATCGCCAGCTATTTCACACACCTTTCTGGATCGAGGGCTGGTCCCTCTACTGGGAGATGATCCTGTGGGATGACCCCCGGTTCCAGAAGACGTCACATAACCGCATTGGGATACTCTTCTGGCGACTTCATCGCTGCGCCCGAATCATTTTCTCCGTGAACTTCCACCTGGGTCGAATGACGGCGCAGGAGTGCATCGATCTGCTCGTTGACCAGGTCGGACATGAACGCGCCACGGCAGAAGGCGAGGTGCGACGGTCGCTAGCGGGGGATTATTCCCCATTATATCAGGCGGGATACATGCTAGGAGCGTTACAGATTTCTGCACTGCGTAGGGAGATCGTGGACACTGGAGTGGTGGCGGAGATCGACTTCCACGACCGATTTCTGAAGGAAAATGGGATGCCCATTGAGCTGGTCAGGGCCCTGATGGAGGAAATTCCACTGAGCAGGGATTATTCCCCCTCCTGGAGATTCTACCAGCTATAGGCCCTGGAAATGTATCTGCCTGATATGTGAGACAGCCAAGGAGCAATACATGGTTTCCTGTCGTGTTTGTCGATCGGTACTAATATTAGCACTATTGGTTAGCTTTCCAGGGGGATTTCCCCCGCTTTCCCAACAGGCAGCCATTTCGTTCACGGAGCTTATATATGATCCGATAATTGTATTCGACACATGAAATTGCACCGACCATCTAACTAGCACTTATCTGATCGGCGTCGAACTTGTACGACAGATTAAGCTGTGTCAGCTTGGTGGGTCGAGAGGCTCAGCCACGCTTAGTACTATATGGATTTGTAATGAGGAAATGGAGAGAATATACATAAACTCCACTGGAGTAAAGGGTGCCATCCTATGTACTCCGAAGGGCGTTGAGAGGAAGGAAAAGTTTCATACTGAGAGCTTGGCAAGATCAACCTGCTGATGCTTAGCTTGGATTGTCATCTTGGCGGTTTCACATGGTTCTGACATGGGACCGTGGTGGGACAGATATTACGGGGCGCCTCTTAACATTGCATTCAGTCATAAATGACCAATAAATTGATTAGAGACAAGGATAGCCCTATCCTACACCAGAATACTCCGTACTTTATCTCCGAATCAGCGTGCACAGCCCCCGATCTTCGTTCAGGGACCAAAGAAAGGATAGGCGCTCCACTAAGAAACGGCGTCTCCACCGACAAATTAGTTCGTGGAGCCAACCATTAGCTAAAAAGTCGCTGTGATGGCCGTAGGGTCACTTGGCATGCTGCGAAGGAACGCTGCCAGCCAGTCAGGCCAGTCATTCAGGGGATCGCGTATGGAGATGTCTCAATGGGTTTCAGTTTATTTAATTGCATCAATCTCCGGGCATGGGATGGGAAGATTCATGCCTGTCCATTCAACCTCAGCAATATGGTCAGTCCTCTGCAATGGCGTCGAATCTACCATCAAACCCTAACCCTGGTTCATAAGAACCTGCTGGTGTTCTACAAATCGCCTGTAGTCACTTTGATACGGGCGTTTATCGTCCCTATTGCCATTACGATTATTTTCTGCTTTCTGAAAGAAATCAAGAACGAGAATGAAGCGTCCTACGGTATCTCCCACAAGGGACAGCCCGTCATGGATCTTCCAGACGCCGTTGCAGCCAGTTCCTCCCAGCGACTGGTGTTTGTCATGAATAACATTCAGAGCCCGGATCTGAATGGTTCGTTGAACGCCATCTTCAGAGAGCCTGGAATGGGCCAGTTCGACATCCAGGTCGTCAATGACCCGCGGTCTCTGGTGGATGTCTGTCGACAGTCCATCCACGGCACGAGCAATTGCTTCGCCTCGGTCATCTTCACCGCGTTCAATAAAACCAACGTCGAGTATTCAATCGGTCTGGACGCGGATCCCATGTACAACACTCCCTACAGCTATGCCCCCGGACAATCCATATTCTCGCAACGTCTGCTGCCGCTGCAGTGGGCTTTGGATTCACATCTCGGGGGTTTTGAATCAGCACTGAAACCCACGGAGAAGATGTGGAATGGATATTTCGAAGAAGATGGATCCAGTCCTTTTAAAACAGGCGCGGAAGTGTACTGGTTGACGATTGTTCAGTACTTTGCGGCTACACTGTTCGTCTTCATCCTCCTGGCTGCAACGCATCACATGAGCAGCGCCGTGGCAGGAGAGAGACAGAACTCAGTGGCAGAGCTGCTCATGGCACAGGGAGTCAGGACGACCCCTCGCGTGTTGTCGAATCTGATCTCTTTCTTCATCCTATACGCCCCCGGTGTCATCATCTGCTCGATCCTGCTCGGTGAGATCCTATTCAAACATACCTCGACCGGCATCATGTTCATCCTCATGCTGCTCGCCTGCTTGTCCTTCATCGTCAGCGCACATTTCATCGGTTCGTTTTTCGCAAAGGCTTCGTTAGCCGGTCTCTGCGCTTCCATCTTGACTTTCGCGCTCGGTCTGGTAACCGTCAGTCAGAACTTGACTGATTTTAAAAATCCCGCCCAAAACATCGCTCTCTCCCTTCTGTTCCCCCCCTACGCATGGGCCAGCGTGATCCATGACATCGCGACTTTAGAGAACGTCCAGCATGGCTTCCCCGATCCGATGCTGTCACGCGAAGGGGAGAGCATCGACGGAGGTCTGTTCTTCCTGTTCTTCATCCTGCAGATTCTCTTCTACGGCAGCGGCACGTTCCTCGTGGAACACTTCCGATGGGGGGTCCCGCGTCAGCGCGAATGGACAGAAAACTCGGACGAGATCGCCCTTCGTCTCGGACATCTCACAAAGACTTTTGATCGCGGGAAAAAGGTGGCTGTGGAGGATCTCAACGTCGAAGTGCGCAAGGGCTCCGTTACCTTCTTGCTGGGTCCCAATGGCAGTGGGAAAACTACCACGTTGAAGTGTATCTCGGGGATGTTGACGGTCGATCGGGGATCGAGTATTCAGTTTAGTAGTGACGGACATTCGTTTGGCTTGTGTCCGCAGAATAACGTGAGTTTTTCCTCCTTACATTCAAATTAGGCTAATGGTGTAGGTTCTCTGGGACCCTCTGAGTGTTAGTGAGCATGTTCTGATCTGGGCTAAGCTCAAGACCGCAGGGAGCGATGCGTCCGCGTCTACGGACGTCGACGACGTGATTGCTGAGTGTGGTCTAACGGGGAAAGCCCATGCAGCATCACAAACGCTCAGTGGAGGTCAGAAGCGTCGGTTGCAGTTAGCTATTGCTTTCTCGGGAGGATCGAAAGTGTGCTGTATTGACGAGGCATCCAGTGGACTGGTGAGTTGTTCCTCGTGGTTGAGGATGTCGCTAAAAAATCATAATAGGACCCTCTATCACGTCGCAATATCTGGAATATCATCCAAGAAGGACGTCAACATCGTACGACAGTTCTCACAACTCATTTTCTCGACGAGGTCAGTATTCTCCTGTGTATTGAGTCTACCACTGACCATCTAGGCCGACGTCCTTGCCGACCATATCGTGATTATGTGCAAGGGCCGCCTCGTCTGCCAGGGATCCAGCACCGCTCTGAAGGCCCAATACGGTGACAATTACAGAATCCGTGTCGGCGACGGAGAGGAAATCGCCTGGCGGGCAACGACCTCTACCGAAGCGACCAAAAAAGTTCTGGAACTGGAACGTCTCCAAGACGATCAATCCTGCCACGTCACCTTCCCCACGCTCGAACAGGTCTTTCTCAAGACAACTTCGCAGTTCGGCACTGCTGTGAACACCCTCGGCGGAGACGGTATGGTGGGTGATAGCGAACCCATCCAGGAGGACTCGACCGCGATCGAGGACAAGATTCTGGCTCTCGAAAGCGAGTATAACGGAGAGGACCTCAATCTGGACGTTCGAAGGTCCGTCGGAGTCGTCCGCCAGATCTGGGTTCTGTTCCAGAAACGATATCGCCTCCTACTGCAACCCTCTGGGATGATTGTTTATGCTGTGAACTTGCTCATTCCGATCATCGTCGCTGCCGCGTTGACCGGTTTCATGTATAAGTGGGATGCGCTGGTGACCTGCGAGCAGAGCTATCAGGCGTATATCAATCCCACCGGGCTGGCAATGCCTCCACTGGAGAATCCGACAACATACTCGATGTCCGCCGACCCTGGCGCTATCCTGGGCCCACAGACGGCGTTCTCAGGAGCCACGCAGGACGCGCTGTATGCCCAGAGCATGTAAGGAGGTCCATCACTCTTAGTGTACGGAGCTGACTGTTGCAGTGCACCGACGGGAGAGAAGAGTGTTAGGAAATTTGTCAACAGCGAGGACGCCTTTAACACTGCGATGGACAACTCCACCGGTCAGGCTGGATTTGGCCTGTACGCTCCTTCGCATGATAATGCGATTTTCTACCATTCTGCCAGTCCCTACGATTCTCGTGAGTAACTTTCCAACCCTAATTTGGATTGAACTAAGTATTTATGCTAGGATCGGTCCTGTCGGCCTTCAGTCTGATAACAAATCGTATTGCCAACTCTACGTCCAAGAATCAAGCCAGGCAGGTTTCAACAGATCTCCGACTCATGCGCCATGTTCGTCCTGTCCATGACTGGAGGAACATGCCTATTGCGATTCTCCTTGTGATTGTATTTATGGCCCCTGTGTCCACGGCCATCATCTACCCGGGTATGTCACGCGCTGACGTACTGGAACATTCCTAACGAGTGATAGTGTATGAGCGCGTGTCGAATGTTCGAGCGCTGCAGTACAGCAACGGCGTGACCCCTTTTGCGCTCTGGACTGCCTATCTCCTATTTGATGTGCAGTTTATCATTCTCCAAGGTACGTACTCCCTTCACTGCCACGTCCGTTGCTGACTGTCTAGCCCTGATCGTGTACGGACTCCTCTTTGTCCGTCCCATGCATAGCATCTGGTATCATCCGGATTGCATTTTTGGCGCCATGATCCTGTTCGGCATCGCCTCTTATCTCGGAACCTACCTCCTGTCTAACATCTTGCGGCGCGCCGGGTTTGCTGCGGCTCTGGGAATCCATATGCTGCTCTTCGTGCTATATTTCATTGCCTACGTGGCCGCGCAGTTCGGTGGTCCGGCTGATTCCCGCCAGGACAGTACGTCTCCCCTTCCCAGTTTGATCTATTCAAATTGACTCGTACAGCATTCGACTCAATCCAAGCCGGCCTTGGCCTCATCGCCCCCGCCGCCAATCTCGCCCGCGCTCTCTTCATCGGAATGAACACCTTTGACGTCCTCTGCGGCAAATACGGCGACGCGGACACCTCCTACCCCTTTACCTATCCCCTCTACGGCGGCGTCTACGCCAACCTCATCTACCAGATCGTCTTCTTGATCATTGCCTTGGCTCTATACGAATACGGCAGCGCTGACTGGTTCCAGCCCCTCTTCTTCTGGCGTCGTAACCGTCCGAAGCGATTACACCACGCAGTCGACAACGAAGGTCTAACTCTCACGTCATTCGACAGCAGACGCGACATCATGCTCGAGTCGCCAAAACATAATATCCCCCTTACCACTACCGCAGCCACGAACCCCATCCTGGAAGTCGATCGCGTAACCAAATACTTTGGTCGGTCCTTCGCCGCGCAGAACGTCTCCCTAATGATTTCTGCAAATGAGACTCTCGCTCTCCTTGGTGGGAATGGGGCCGGTAAAACTACCGTAATCAATATGATCCGAGGAGAATTAAAACCCAATTTCGGAAATGTATATGTCAACGGGGTATCCATGCTCAGACAGCCTGGTACAGCACGTTTGCATATCGGTGTTTGTCCGCAGGACGACGCGGTAGATAATCTGACGGTTAGACAGACGTTGGAGTTCTATGCCTCCGTCAAGGGTCTGAAGAGGATCAAGGATAATGTCGATCAGGTCATGAATGCGTTGGATATTTCCGCGTATGAAAATGTCAAGGCTAGGGCGTTGAGTGGGGGGACGAAGAGGAAGTTGACTGTTGCGATTGCTTTGCTAGGTACTCCCTACTACATTCTTCCTTTCGTTTGTCCCTATTTTGTAAGGGTATGTGAAAGCTAACGAGAGTAGGGAACCCACCTCTTCTCCTCCTCGATGAACCCTCCACCGCTCTCGATGCAGGCGCGAAGCGAATCCTCTGGCGCGCGTTGAAACGCATCCGTCCCAACCGAGCTATTCTTCTCACGACACATAGTATGGAAGAGGCAGAGTCACTCGCCTCAAACGTTGCAATCATGCGCACTAAGATCCTGGTCTCAGGGCCCCTCCGCACGTTGAACGAGTCCTACGGGGGTGCGTTCCGTCTACGAGGCGTTCGCTGCGCTGAGGTATCCAGTGAAGTGGCTGCCGCGCAGGTGAAGACGTCCTTTGCCCGGTTAGAGTATCAGGTCAAGAAGTATGTCGATGTGAATGGGCTGGTGCAGTTTTTCGTCCAGTACGAGAAGAGGGATCTAGGAAAGATTATGACGGTGATGGAGGCATTGAAAGGTGAAGTGGTGCGGAGGGACGGGGAGGGTGGCCCCACTGGGGGCACGGCGAGTGAGGGAACGGCAGCGATGAAGGTGTTTGAGGATTATACGTTGATTGAACCGACGCTGGAGGAGGTGTTTATGAATGTAGTCAGGGAGGCAGAGGGGTCGGAAGGACTATAACGGATGGATGGCGTATAGGGTTTGTTTGTCAGTTATAGGAGTCTATTTGGTGGATTGACGGTTTGCTTTCTGATTTGTTTGAGTATTATCTAGCTATTGTATGTTTGCTATACAGTCATTGTCTAGATCCAAATATAATAGGACATCACTATCCATTGCTGTAGTGAATCTTTATCCAGGGTGAATATGTCCATACAAAGAAGCATCATCTTCACTTATTGATCCATGGTATAAATGACACTTTGCCCCTCTTCTTCTTCGTTCCTCATCCACGAACTCCATTTCTTATTCTATCTGTCATTTCTCCTCTCTTGATCTAGAGTATACATCATCTGCTGACTTATATTATCTACTATAGAGCGCTCCTGTTATCTTCCCCATGGAAATGGAAACGAACACAAAACATCCGCTGATGCACTGAACTTCGGTCGTCATTCTTCAGCTGTTTGTATCTTACCACCACCCTACTGTTCATACCATCAGCTCTTTTATCTCTCTAGAACCTGTCTCGCTAAACATCAAATTTGCATATCGCAGAGCCGTATTCGACACTTTCACTTTAGACAGGGTTTGCACCTAGTTTACCAGATCCGAAAGAATTTCCGTTAATATTCTAGAGATTACTTGGCTAATTACAGACTTGGCCACTTTAGTTCAGTGAAATTTTATCACGACATCGTTCGTTTCATAACTTTGATCGCGAACTAGTATATATCGATTATACTGCACCGCTATGCACTATTAAGACCCATTTAGTGTTCGGAATAATATTCATTTCCAACGTATATCGTGAACAGTTTATTGGCCAGATCTGGAAGAGGTTGCGACATGAAGCTAGAGGCCCACAAACACTCGCTGAAACTGGAAGTGTACCAAATGTGGGAGATATTCTGCAATATATAGGATCAGTCATTCATACCAATTCCAGGTATACAACACAAGAATTTGGTTATACGAGGCGTCGCACAAACTACGGTGTATCTCGGAAACGCATTTCCGATAGCCGTCCCAGAAGATTTAAGCAGTTTCTACAGGATACAAACAAGACGCAGGACAGAGTTAAGACACTTAGAGCTGCTCTAAGATGACCTAAAGAACCCTCGCATCAACTCGTCCAGCGTGGCCTTCAGAAAAGGTTATGAAAAATATGCACGATAGTACCCAGATAGAGCTCACAGAGCCAACGGTGCGTTTGTGGTCGAACGGTATTTTCCTTGCTGAGGGAAAATTATCTGTTCCTGAAGAAGACAGCTGGAAAACCGGTTCGCGAGCTTCATTGCAGCCGATTTTCCTCATAGGTTGACTCTACGCCGCGACTAAACCAGAGGAGGGTTTTTAACCTCCTCGGCCCCGGGGCACATGGGATGTGATCGAGAATTTAACGGGCCGATTGAAACGACGTTCTTTATCCCTTCATGCATGTCTACATTACCATCTTTAGAATTCCCTGGATGATTCAGAGTCAACTTTTGTTACGCTTTATTTTGACAGCAGTCTAGAAGAACATAATCTCCAGGCCACATTTACCGCAGGTCCAACAGCACGGGCGTCGAGGAAGATATCTGAGTCACTCTGCTGAGAAGTCGACCCCACGGAAATAAGCGTTACATAGACTCGATGATGAAGGCAAACTGAGGCACTTCTGGTCTTGTCCTCACAATGACACATCAACATAGGCTTCTTGTTTGTATCAAGATCCCAGTTTCTTCGTCGTGATATACGAAACAGTGATTCGTCTCCATTACGCTTAGAATTATACCACGACCTCTCATTCAACTAACAACTAGTCGATAGGTACTGACTAAGAATTCAATGCATAAGAAGGGAAGAAGTTATTGCCGTGGTAACAAAGAAGTCCTAGACTTCTCGTGTCGCCTGGAATTTAGGTATCCCATCGGTGTTAGATAGTATGAGAAATTTTTTTATACTCCGAGGGGCTGCTTCAACTGTTGTTTTACTACTCGCACACTCCTTATGTTATCGTTTTGAGCTTCTCCAGTTATTATCAGATTGAGTCTCTCAAGTAGTTGAGCCATTGAATCCTGCCATCACTCGAGGAGGCCGGACGGATCTATTTGAGCTACTTAATGGGCCAGCTCGAAAGTTTGTCGATACTATTCCTGTTCCTGCAAGAACAGCCCATCTGGATTCTAGCCACCGAGGACGTCACTCTTAACATGAAATTATTTCGAAGATGTCCGCATTTAGCCTCTCTCCTTTCAACTCAGACAGGCCCAACCAAAGACATCTTCCCAGCCGGTGCGTTCTGCTGTATGGGTGTTGTTACTTATGCTGACAAGTACAGTCTAAAAAGAGGCTGATGTGACTCAATCATGGCGGCTCTGGAAAGATAGATAGATAGATTTCGACTGGAAGCCCGATCCATAACATAATTACAGCAATTAAGTTCTCGAGACATTTAAAATAGTCCCCCAAGGGTACCTTCCATATACTATCGAGTGAAAAAACGCAAAAATAAGAAAAAGAGTATGTGCATAGACTTTTTTTTTGGAATATCTTCCTTCTAGTCCAACATTAGTCAAACACCGGTCAGTGTAAAACCAGCTGGCAGATGTATTGCAATTATTACGTGAGGCAGGCAGCGAAATACATGCCCTCAGACCAACCCACAAGTCTACGCTATCCCTGCGAGTACAGAAAAGCTGTTACTAAATGTTCACGCTTACAATTATACTGGTACGGCCTCAGGCTACCGGCGATCTTCTTGGAATTGTGAATAGAGGCTTTAATGGGCAGTCAAGATAGCAAAAGAAACGTCCAGACAGGAAGCTCAGAGTCACAATTCGAGATGAGGTTGTATCCTTGTACTCGCAAAAAGTCCAAAGGACTATCAGAACTCCCGTTAATAGCTCATCGCCACGCAAAACCTCAGTCATCATAGGATAAATGCAAACAACTGATTCAAGCATTTCTACTATTTCTTACTATTTGGCCTTCGTTGTCTATACTATATATCATAAATATCAATAGTATGTATTAGATCGTTCTAAATAATCTGCTAGCTGTTTATAATCCCGGAAGGTATTGAAACATACAGGAAGCTAGATTAGGGTATAATACAAGATCCACGCAATCCATCTACAGAATAATTATAAATTCAAAAAAGTTAACATGGAAATACAAGACCACACCGTTATAGCGATATCACGGCAGTAGTAGGCTTAAATATTTCATCAGTGGATTAGTAGGGTAATAGAAAGGTGTGTTGGGGTGGAACAGAAGATCTCAATCAGTAGAGTAATAAAAATAGTATTCGACGATTCTCCAATTTGGGATCGGATAGATACAGAAGCTGAAGCTTGAGTTCCTTCTTCAAGCTGTGGTAACGCTCGTATATGTGACAGGTACAACAGAGATAGGAAAAAGCAATGTGAGTCATAAGACATTTCCACGTCAACCTTTTGCAGATCAACAACATAGGTGAGGGGTAATGTATCTTATTACAAGTAGAGAGAGAAATTCATCCTATATATGGAGCCAGTATGACTGCCTTGTAGCTTTAACAACTTATGGATGGCTTCTGAGATGTTGTATGGTTTCCTATGCCATTGTGGATACATGGTTTGATTACATGTAGATAGCCTTATATATTAGCATTGAGTACAGCATCTTGTGTGTTATTTCTGGGTCCTCATCGCTATTTGTTGACTAGTTCGGCCCGGTATCTTCGAGACCATCACATCGAAAGTAATGGGCTTACGGGCATCTTTATTTGACACCGGATAACTTAACATTTTGTACTGCACCCCGATAAGAAAGTTCATTGAAGTCTCAAAATTTTCAGATCCTGTAGTATGCAATTCAGACGTCACATAGAATGAACACTGCCCATATTCACCTAGTTTTCCTCTCGGCATATGTGATAAAACTACATTGTGTTACCCTTGCTATATAGATAGACACGAAACGAAGGCTTACAAAGTCACATCGTCTGCAAGAAGAGCCTTTAGGACAGTTCCGGTCCACTGAGCACAGATCACCGCACTTTAAAGCCTTTATATCATTTGTTAACTTGGTTGAACTAATTGTCTGAAGCTTGCTCATACTTCACTGCTTTCAGGATTCGGAATAGCCATTGTAATTGCAACGAAGGCTACGAGTGCGACAAATCTTGGCTTCATTCTGAGAAAGTCAGTAGTCTCCACGGAAGAAATATGGGCTGGTAACTTGCTTGAGTTATAGGTATATGGGGGATGTTGACTTTAACAGATTATTGCCGGGACATACGATTTCTTTATATCATGGGGTATACCAGATCGTTGGACGTAAATGCCAAGACCCATTTTTATGTACATTGGGGTGGTACTGCTTTTGGAGAACTACGCTAGTACTTCTGAAAGACTTCGGCTTATGTCTCTACTGTACCTGTGGTTGTGTAATGGTAATCTTTAAGTTGATGTAGGAGCCCGTGATTAATGATTATTAGCATGAGTTCATCTTGCCAAACAACCTTATCTATATACTGAACTAGGCTTGCTGAAATAAACATAACAACTTCAATAGATCTAGGTACTAGGTAGTCTTATTCACAGACCACACTTTTCGCAAGTCTTACTGGTATGCAAGTCTACCACATAACTTGCGCATTAGTGAAAAGTAGCTCTCTCTTATCGGCGACCTTATGGTAGTACCCGCTGGTAGGACATGCATTGTCCCGGCCTTTGGATAGTCCAATATATTGTAATCTGGGAGCTGTGTGATTGTACATATGAAACTATTTTATATTACTGTTTATAGCTTACTATAGCCTTGGCACAATAATCAAATATATTTTCGAGCTCATGAGTTGGGCTTCACTCAATATTATCCACTGGGAATGCTTAAATCCGAATCCGGCTCTCCAATCCAGCTCCAACCAATCAAGTCTATCTATTCCATTTAGCTTTCCATTTTCGGTCTAGGTCACGCCCGTATTCAGATACTGGCCAATGGAATCACCGAATTAGACCCACCATTTATTCGTCTTACCCGAACCGGCCATAGGTAATAATTGCACTTGACATATCCGTCAGTGTTGATGCATCTCCTCCTGTTGCACAAGATTGCTTCCCAGACCCTAACTTTTGCCCCGATATCCTCTGTCGCCGCCTGTCCGGCTTTTTTCATGCCCCTGAATTAGAGTACGAATAAGCCTCTTTCATGCCTAATGTATTTCTCTTGAAGTCATGTTGTTCGTTGCTCTGTTTTTCTGTCTGGGAGAGACTTTGGCTACGCCGATTGTAATGTCTGACCAGAGCACGGAATCTGCAGAAACGAATGCCCGTATCGCTTTCGATCCTATTCAGCCGAATCTTATAAATGACACTCCTCGGTTTATTCCGCATGATACCCATCATGATCCCGCGTTTCACGGATCGCAGTTCCTAGTCAAAGACTACTCCTCTCCCAATAGTTATCCCCATTCACTATTAATTTCACATCACATATGTTCGCAGAACGACCTGCATCTGAGATCCTTATTACTTGCATCAAGACCACCGTGGGCCCTTCTTGGACTCATTATCCTAGCGCTTTTACGGTGGAAATTGCATCGCAGGTTCTGTGAAACTACTCCGAAGGAGGGAACGGCGGAGGAGAATTCCAAGGGTGAAAATGCAATATGTACCGACGCTCGAGGAGACGAGGAGATAGCGGATGATTTTGATGATACTGATTACCCGATGGGGTAAAGATGGGTTATATTTATGATGGTGGGGTACAATGGCGTTGCGCGTGTTTCTTTTTGGGGCTGGTGCAGTTATAAGTATATAATTGAGGCGTTGGCGGCACAGTGCATCGGCTGTTATGTTACTCATTGTCTTGGGATGAGTACCTATGTTTGCCATGTATACATACTGGGCATATTTTTAGGATTTACCAGAATACTTTAATTTTCTAGGAATAACTACCAAAAATGTTATTACCTACTGTATTGTGCTAAGTTCCCATTCGGACTCCCGTCAAGCCACTTTTCCGTCAACATCCGCCTGCCTTCACACCAGTAGCAGGGCGATGTCCGAGAGACCTGCATAGATGACGAGAGTGAGGTTTATGGTTCTGAAGTTTCGCTTGATTTCTTCAATATTTCTAAATAATATAGAGGTGATAATGTGAAGTCTGCCGATGGACATCTAATTATAAAGCCAACTCTCCCATCGACTTCCCTGTGTCTCTCGATCGCGATATAGCCTCCTCTAACTCGAAGTGTATAGGAACAATGGGAATTGTAGGTTATTGTCTAGGAAAAGCATGATGTGAATAAAGCCCTGTTTCAAGTCGCCACATCATCTGTAGAACATACACCTGATAAGATTATGTTCTTGGACTTAAAAGATGGCTAGAGTGTTTTTCCTCCAATTGCACCGTGGGTTGGGATGGAGAGTGGTGTGGGAGTACATCAGATCGGCTAATACCAACAATTTTGGATTGCCGTCATACACATGGTTGAAATGTATTATGGGTTGGGATGGGTACTAGGGCATCATGTCAAGACCAAGATATATGGAGAGCTCAGTAGAGTCAATGGCACCTTCGCGGCTGAGTGGTATTTCTTGTTGGCCATTGGGTCGGCTAAAACTGACGATTTTGCATTGTTGTCAGACAAAGTCGGGAAATTTGCAGACGCCTCCCAGGAAATGAACTACCTATTGTGTGACATCTTCCAAGGCTCCTAAAGGGACATGGTGGATGAAAGACGCTGGTCGAATTGGACTTCCGGTCGAATCTGGGTGCAAAAATGCAAACATTCGCTGGCCTATTTTGGATTTTGGAATATCCGCGCGTGCCTCTCTTGCACTTTTCCACCAACAGCCTCGCTTCGATCTTACTTTCTCGCAGCGCCTCGCTATCCTCGATATCCCATGATAGAAGTGGCAAGTGAGCACTGCCTCGACCCACCGGCTCATTGGGGAAGGACCCACACATGCTCTTATCGCCAAGGACCTCGGCGACCATCCCAAGACTTCCCCAAGACTGTCTTGCAATGACTGACGACCTGCAACCCGGGAACGTGCTCTATACCGCCCGCTGATTGGCTGCAAACCAGCGTACCGTAGTCGAGATTCTTGGCGCCAAGTCCGCTCCTCTAGCAGGAGCTCCAGCAAGAACCAATCCATGTCAGCGCTGGATTCACGTTCTCAAGATTTCTGGTCGAGGTGAAAACTATACGATGTCTTGGCATTGTGTGAACACGGGCTCTTCCGTCGTGGCATATAGAGACTCCTATACTTAATGCTCGCGTGCTGGACATCCCCTTTCACTTCATCGTTTCGTCGTTTGTCCTATTGTCAAGCACTTCGTGGCAGTTCCTGATCGCCTATCTCTTCCTTTGCTCGAGCTTTTGCTCGACAATCTACGCTCAATATGATCCCTTCAGCTACCGCCCGCTATGACTGGATTCTGGCTTTGACCTCCATTGCCTTTGTGTTCAGCGCCTTCGGAAACGGAGCCAACGATGTCGCCAACTCCTACGCGACGTCTGTCGCTGCCCGTACCCTAGAAATGTGGCAGGCTGGTATTCTAGCTGTGATCACGGAATTCGTCGGTGCCGTCGCCCTCGGCAGTCGCGTTACAAGTACTATCAAGTCTGGTATCATCTCCCCTGACCGATTCACAGACAAGCCTGGTACCTTCATGTTGGCCATGGGTTGTGCTGAAATCGGAAGTGCCTTCTGGCTGATGTTTGCGACGAAAAATGGATGGCCTGTCTCAACCACTCAGACTATTGTCGGTGCTTTGGTGGGTGTTGGTTTTGCTTCGCAGGCAGACATCTCTTGGGGGTGGAAGAAGGGTAGCGTTTCACAGGTTGCAGCGTCCTGGGGTATCGCTCCCGCCATTGCCTGTGCTTTTTCGGCCGTCATCTTCGGCATTCTGAAATTCACCGTTCTCGAGCGCAAGGACTCCTTCAAGTGGGCGATGCGACTCATTCCCCTCTATCTCGCGTTTACGGGAGCTATTCTGGCTTTGTTTATTGTTATTGAAGCCCCTACGGCTCCCTCTCTGGAAGAGTTCGGCGCCGGGAAGGCTGTTGGCATTATTCTCGGTGTTTTCGGAGGTTGCTTGCTCTTCGCCTACGTCTTCTTCATGCCTTACTTCCACCGTCGCCTTGTCAAAGAGGATTCCCGAATTCGGTTCTACCACCTTCCTCTCGGCCCCTGGTTGCTCAAGGATGATTGCCCCTTGTACTTTCCCGGAAAGGGAGACAGCATCGTGACAAGCTACTATGAGGATTCTTTAGGGGAAGTTTGTGCCGGGCAAAAGGGGAACGAAAAAGAAGGGCAGAGTGTATCTGGAGATAAGAAGGGCACGAATGACGCGGTCGACATCGAGCAGAAGGCCACCTCAGCCGAGTCTAGCCCAGAGATTCAGCCCAAGAAAAAATTTATCGGTCCCAAGGAGCGCTTCCTTGGGCCTGTTGAGCATCTCAGCTGGCTGCATCCCACAAAGTACTGGGGTTGGATCAAGTTCATTCTCTTGCAGGGTATCTCGCGCGACGTCGTCACACACGACTCGGATCTGCTTCGCAAAATCCATGCCCGTGCCCACCGCTATGACGACCGTGTAGAGCACCTGTGGACGTACTGTCAAGTCGTGTCCGCCATCATGATGTCTATCGCTCATGGTTCCAACGACGTGGCCAATGCGGTCGGACCCTGGTCTGGGTCCTACTCGACCTATCTATCTGGTAGTGTCAACACCAAGTCCGAAACTCCTATATGGTTTTTGGTCATCGCCGGTCTGCTCCTTGGTGCCGGTTTCTGGGTATACGGATATCACATCATACGTTCCCTCGGAAACAAGATCACGCAGATGTCGCCAACCCGCGGATTTGCCACCGAACTGGGCGCAGCGATCACCGTCCTGCTGGCCTCCAGACTAGGCCTGCCCGTTTCTACGACCCAATGTCTGACTGGGGCAGCCACTGGCGTGGCCTTGATGAACTTCGATCTTGGTGCTGTGAATTGGCGGCAGCTGGTGTTTATTTTCGGTGGTTGGGTGTTGACTCTACCGTGTGCCGGTTTGGTCGCCGGATTGCTTTGCTTGATGGCTCTCAATACTCCTCATTTTTGATCAAAACGCTGAAATATAATGCTGGTCGTTATTATTGATTTCCTGTATATTTTACATTTTTGCCATAGGATATACCCTTATGTATAGAATAGATTAATTTCGCAGTCATTGATCTCTAGTTCTTTATGTCTGTTTGAGCTTAATAAATCCGCATTGGAAGAACTCCCTACTCCAATGCGGAAATTCTCGCTAATTATTATGTCTCCACTTCGCTATTTCTATAGCTTCATAGGAGGTTAGTGGCACTCGTTCTAGAGGCTGTTCAATGTTCAACTCCTCCAGAAAAAGATGCGTTATCACAACTATACAAGTGCATCTTCAATCGACAATAACAGACCACTGTGTGCAATGGGTTATTTTCGTACAACCTTTTCGGTATTCTTTTCGAAGGCTATCAAGAGAGGCGAATAAGCGATACGAGATCTACTTCCAAGCACCTTGGGGACTGAGCATCGTGATCGACAGACAAAAGTATAGGACGATCATCCCCAAGGTAGTCGCAGGGTACCCAGTCCACTCCATACAGACATATATAGATGGGCAGTGCCTTGATAGAAAGAAGCACAAAATGAAGCCATACTCTATCTTACCCGGGCTCCTCGTTCTGACATCTGCTTCTCCCAAGCTCCATGACTTTGATGCACTGGGTGCCTGGTTTGACGGAGTCAGTACCATCAATTCCAGCCAACATGCTCCCCCAGATGCGAAGAATAGCACCATTGCCATTGTTGGGGGCGGGATCTCCGGCCTCGCCACGGCATTGATGCTCGACAGCGTTGGCGTCCACAACTGGGAGATTATCGAAGCCAGCGACCGAGTAGGCGGCCGGTTCCGGACTAAATTCATGGGTGACACGCAGGAATGGGCAGAGATGGGTCCTATGCGTCTGCCTGTCCGAGTACACTATAAGGATGGCGAAACCGTGGAATATACGGATCATGCGATGGTGTTTCAGTTGGCTGCACTACTGAACAACATGAATCGCAATGCCTCCGAATGGAAGATCGACTTTATCCCCTGGATTCAGCACCATCCCAATGAGCTCCTCGCTCTGAATACCGGTCGTCATCCGGATGGACGCATCCCCACCCGCGCAGAGATTGAGCAGGATCCTAGTCTAGGCAAGACGGACCCAATGGATACAGCCGAGTACAAACAGACCAAGTTCCGCATGGACGATATCCTCACCCGCAAAGACAAGCTCAAAGGCATGCAGCGCGATGTCTGGCGCATGCACAAGCAGGCCATGGACCAGGGTCTGGATGACTGGAGTGAACAAGCCATGATGCATCATGTTTTCGGCGCCAGCGAGAACGTTTCGGATGCGATATGGACGCACACCGATTACGACGTGTTCTGGGATGAGCTGCATCATAACTCTAATCTCAAGTTGGACCGATCGCACACCTCCCCAGGCGAGACCGAATGGGCTTGCATCGACCGCGGATTCAATCGCCTTTCAGACGCTTTCCTGCCTCATGTGCGAAACCGTCTCACTCTCAACCGGAAGGTCCGTAAACTTGAATCAGTCTCCACTCCTGACAACCGCATCTCCACTCGATTATCATGGTATCCATCCACCACCAACCGAACCCACCAATCCAAGGAATACGACTACACCATCATGGCAGTCCCCTTTACCATGACCCGCTTCATGGACCTGCCGCCGTTCTCCTCCGTCCTCTCCCGCGCCATAAGCGAGGCAGGCCTCCGCTTCAAATCTGCCTGTAAAGTAGCACTGCTCTTCTCCGAACGATTCTGGGAAAAGGGTCCGCGTCCAATATTCGGCGGGTACTCGACCCCTCCCAATGCCGCCGTCGGAGCTTTATATTACCCTGTCTACGGACTCAACGAGTCGCGGCCAGGACTCATCATGCACTACCGCGGAGGAGATTGGAGTGACCGATTCGTCAGCTTCTCCGACGAAGAATACGTTCAGACCGTGCTGGACGCAGTGGTATCCCTGCATGGTGAACAAGCAAGAGAGCTGTACACGGGTGTCTATGAAAAGCTGTGCTGGCTGCAGGATGAACATACCGCTACCGCTTGGTGTCGGCCGGATATCCAGCAGCATCGATTATACATCCCTGCTTACCATCGCATGGAACATAACACTATCTTTATCGGCGAGCATACGGCGCCGACGCACGCTTGGGTCAGTAGTTCCTTGCACTCGGCTGTTAGAGGTTCGGTGCAGCTACTCCTGGAAATGGGGTTGATCGAGGAGGCAAAGAAGCTGAATAAACAGTGGATGGGACGATGGATTCATAATTAGATTTCCATCCGTACAAATATTTATATACACGGTATATAGTAATATCACCTACTACATAGAGAATAACCACTTCTGACACCCCACTCCATCCAACTCCCATCATACACCCGCATCGACATCGTATATCCGGCTTGTCTCAATGCGATCTCCAGCACAGCAGCTGTCACTCCGGAGTTACAGCTCAGTATTGTCGGTTTAGTATTAGACACCCCGACACGTTGAAACAGTGTTTTCAACTCTGTAGCAGAGCGAATCGCACCGCTCTCATCAACTAACACTCTTGTAAATGGTATATTCATTGACCCGGGGATATGTCCCCGGTTTACTTTCGGGTCCGAATACCCTTCCTTCCCTGAGAATAGTCTCTCTGCTCGAGAGTCTAGGATCTGGATGTTTGTATCCCCGCGGGATACAATATCATAGACTTCCTCATAGTCGATTATCAGGGAGGAATTTACCTCAGGAATGGGATATCGATTCTCATTCTCATCCTGACCCTGTTTCTCATTCCGATTCTGATCCTGATTCCGATTCTCATACTGAACCTCATCTCCACAATACGGTATAGAGAATATACCCCTAGTAACAGGAAACCCCAAAGTACAATACCCTCGAAAATTATTCAAAACATGCACGCATCCATGTCCAAAAACGCGAAACATCCACGCCACGCGCGGCGCATTATACGTGCCTACATCGGGAGCGTCGTAGATCACCACCGTATCTGAGGGGGTAATGCCCAGTTTACTCACTTCCGTGGAGAAGGATTCTCCACTCGGTAGCATAAATGGGTATTTCGATGTGGTGTTGCGGATTGTGTCCATGTTGAAATACCTATATTATTTATTATTATGTATTATTATTATTGATATTAATTCTTAGTTCAGTAGGAGAAGGGGGAGTACAAGGATCCCGGAATATGATGTGCCTCGAAGGATGGGACATGTGCAGTTCGGCCGGCTGCGATGGGGATTATTCGCGGTTTAGACTGCGGGTTGTCCGCTGGTTCTCGAAGGCGTTGTGATGAGTATGCAGAGTGGAAGACTTCCGGGGTGATCAACGGCGTTGAGAACATCTTGAATTGGTGCTTGTTGGTTGTGAAAAAAGTGGTGATGATTCATAAATGAACCGAGCAATTTTTGAGTTCGATTCACAATAATTACGAGCTGCCAATACTACAGATGTACTAGTCCAAACTAGAGTATATTTGGTTAGTGGGAATGATATAATTCAATCTGCGACGCAACGCTCAAACATGCAAGACTGGGAAAATTGTTAGATTCTATTTGTACAATTATTTCAAAATAATCCCCTCCACAACACTCCTCTCACCACTATTCTCTACCAAATTCCGAAACACCCCGCCCCGAATATCGAGCAGTTCACGGGGAGTCCCGAATTCCACTGCCCTGCCTGCGTCCATCACGAGAATCTTATCGAAATCGGCGATCGTGCTAAGTCGATGAGCAATCACTAGTAAAGACGAGTTGCGTCCGAACTCGGCCCGGATGGAACGCTGGATCAGTGCGTCCGTTTCCATGTCCACGGCTGAGGTGGCTTCGTCGAGGACCATGATCTTAGGCTGTGACACAATCGCCCGTGCTAGACAGAGAAGCTGCCGCTGTCCTTGTGAGAGATTTAATCCTCCTTCAGTGATGGGTGAGCATAGTGATGCGAAGGCACCGGATTTCATCTGCTCAGCTACCGAGGATGCCGAAGATGGAGGCAGAGTGTCGCTGCCACTGGGCAGGTCCTGGCTTGGCTGGGAGCCAAGCGTCGACGTATCCCCGAATGAGAGCAGGTGTACTCGTTCCAACGCGTTATATAACTCGAGATCCGTGTGTTCGTGGAATGGGTCCAGATTAGAGCGCACCGTGCCTGAAAACAGCACAGGATCTTGCGGAATGATAGCGAGACGGCCACGAAGAGCCTGCAGCTTCAATTTCGAAATATCCAGCCCGTCAATTACGATGCGTCCATGACGAGCTTCGAGAAATCGAAAAAGTGCCAGAGTTAAAGACGACTTGCCGGCTCCGGTACGTCCAACTACGCCGACGCGCTGGTTGTGCTCGATGGTAAAGCTGAGCCCTTTCAGCACTGGTGGCAGTTCAGGCGCATATCCCACTTGTAGGTCCTCCACCTCGACCTGTCCGCTTGTAGGCCACGCGGCGGGTGGTTCATGACCTCCCTGGTCTTCAGTCTCCATGGCCGAGTATTCCAGTACCCGCTCTGTGGCGTTCATGTCCATTTCCACATTGGCATAAAACCGTAGACCCATGGCCACAGCGTAGTTGTATTGCAGTGCAAAGCTCATGGCAAACCCGGCCAGCGCAGCTGAGATCGACGGCATGTACACGACAAACGCCGCGGTGGCAGTCGAGAAGATGGCTCCTACAATGCTCATCCGGAACCCGAGCCATCGATTAAACAACCATAGGTTCCATGCGGCTTGGGCATGATGATCAATGCGCTCATACATCTGGCGAATATACACCTCCACCTTGTTGAAAGCGCGAATGGTCGTGAGTCCAGCAAGACTGGAACCAAATTGTTCCATAACAGGACTTTTGGTTGTGCTTTCTAATCGTTTGAGCTCCCGCACGCCGCCCAAATACGTCCACGAGATCTGCATACAGACGATCAGCAGTACACCTGCAAATAACATGAGAATCGGTGACACCATGACGCCCGCGACTAGAATGCCTACAAGCTCTAGCACCTTGAGCACAAGGTTACCAAGGTCATAGGCAAGCCGCCAGTCCAACATGTAAACATCGCCAGTGAATCGGTTCAATACCCGACCAAGAGGCACTGTATCCAGCCAACGTAGTGGTGCCCTCAGGACAACGGCCAGAAGGTCCTCAAACATCTGGTGAGAGGAGTGTAAAGACGCAAAAGCGAGGGCTAGCGTTCGGAGAGTTCCTACGACGCAAGCGGCGATGGAGATCCCAATATACACACTGAGATAGAAGACAAGATCGGGATCGATAGAGGACTGTGTAGAAGTCATTGTGTGATGCCACAGACTGACGGTGTGCATTGGATGTGCCGAAGTATGAGAAGAGCTGGCCCACAGGCTCACCCACCAGGACTAAAAAATTAGCTCAATTTCTTCAAACTTGAGAGGCATAGGGGACTTACTCTACCAACCAGGAGAGTTGTGAATACCACATACGCCAGAAAAGTGAGCACCCAGATCGGCAGACACTTTCCCTTGCTCAGGTACGCTATGTATACTTTCGCAGGTATCGCTCCCGCCTCGCGTTTCTCGTCCTGAGTGAACTTCCGCGGGCTGCCGTGGCTATGTGCAACCGGCGGACCAACCGATGAACGCTTGCGACGTGAAGCAGTGTCCTCCTCGTCTACTTGCCTTTTCTTCACTACCGAGTCCATGACCAACCCCTGGAGTAGATCTGTGAGACCTTGGATGTTGCTTAGCTGTTCCACTGTGCCAGCATGCGCCATTGATCCATTTTCGAGCAAAACACAATAGTCGGTACGAGAAAGACAGAGTCCAACGTGATGGGTCACGAGAATCCTCGTACGACCCTGACCCAATTCGCCCGTCAATGCGTGCTCGTATACGTGCCGCCCAGTCTCTGCATCGAGGGCGCTAAATATGTCGTCCATCACCAGGATCCCTGCCCGGGAATACAGGGCGCGGGCAAATGAGACTCTCCAGCGCTGTCCACCACTCAGATTGATGCCATTTGCGCCAATGTCGGTCATTTCGCCGTCCGGCAGCACTGAAAGGTCTTTCTCCAAACCGGAAGCATACAGTACCTTGCGGTATCGGGACCAATTGTATGGCAGTCCAAATATGATATTTTCTTGGATAGTGGCATTTTCCATCCAAGGGTTCTGCGCAACGTACGCAACCGCTGAGTCGATGATCCAGTTTTCTCTCGTGGCTCGGTGATCAAATCGTTCATCCAGAGGTGGAGAATGTGGTATTGCTACAGATCCATTCAACACATCACATTCCCCCAAGATTGAGGCCAGGAGAAGGCTTTTGCCTGACCCGGTTTTACCCGCAATCACGCTAAGTCCCTTTGGGGGAAATCGCAGGGATAAATGACGCAAGACGAATCGGTCATCGCGCTCCCAGTCCTTCTGTTCCTCGCTGGTCTCATCTGCAGGCCACGCAAGTGTGGCATTCTCGAATACAATCTCCTCAACCTCACTTGTGTGAGGTGCCTTTTCGGCAGATGCAAGGAACTTATCAATACGGCCCGAACTGACCTTTGCCTCCATGGCTCGAGATAAAAGGTCTGGTAAGCTTGCGAGCGCAGATTCCAGATTGCTGAACACCGACAGTGCTGTGAATGCCACCGAGGCAGAGAGCTCACCATGAAGCAATGCATACACGGTCAGCGAGACTGCCGAGAGCATTAGCGGCCCCAGAATCCATACTGAGACCAGGCCGGTGGTGTATAAACTGGTCTTCCACAACAACCGCAGCTCCGCCGCTCGCTTGTCGGAAATATGGTCCTGCCATTTCTGTTCGAGGGCGGCAAACTTGATCTGGCGAATTCCTTGAAGAACTTCCGTAACGGCTGAGGTACGCTTATCACTCGCCTTCATAAGATCTTGCTGAACGGAGGTGTACCCTCTGGTCAGGAAGGCATTCAGAGGGGCCAGGAGAACCGCGACGGCAACTCCAGCCAGTAGACTGCGCCAACCGATCAGGTGCACCAAAAATGCACTGGAAATCCCCAGCCTCATCAGGCACGAGGGGATTAGATAGTTAAATGTGGCAAAATCGGCGATGCGCTTTGAGTCAACTGCAGCCAAATTTATGATACTTTGACGGCTCTTTTCCTGTTCACCCTGCTGCTCAATCTCTCCCTCCACGTTCGTAGATGATTTCCGGTGTTTTACATCCCTACATCGCATCGATTTGGCAAACACCAACGCAGAAAGCCCCTCGTAAATTGGGATCCAGAGCTGCGAGTAAATGAGCCACCATAGCCATGATTCAATGCCAAGAGAAAGGACGAGGAAAACGCCTAGCATCACTACCCAGAGCCAGGCTTGGGTAACTGGGCCGGAGTCGGCCGATCTTCCTTCAAGGGAAGTGAGTATTCCATAAAGCGCTACCTGCGGCCCAAATCCCAGGACGCAAGTCACCATGCTCAGTATCGTCTGTATTGTGAGCGGCCGCATATTATCCATGATTAAGGCTTTCCATAGTTTTAATGTCCCCCGTATCTGTTCCAAGCGAGTGTGTAGGGTCTGGGCGCGGGCTGCACGTGGTAGTTTTGGCAAGCTATCAATGTCCAGGTCCTTGTTTTGTCCTATATACTCCAACAGGCCGGTAACGTATCCGTAGGTGAATCGACTATAGGCATTGACCGTAAGCTCCTGGTCTACAACTTGACCATCAAAGTAGATGTCTGGTCGACGCGGAATCAGAACGGAGCAAAGGCCACGTAATGCAGCTACGACTGTCTGGCTGACAAGCAGACAGGTGCTAGCACGGCCAATATGTACGTCATCACTGGCGCACCATGGGATGAAAATGTTCAAGCAGGATACGACAATTGTCAGCGCGCTTGTCCAGAATGCGTGGAGGCCGAGGGTATACCGCTTCACGGTGGACGGCTCCGTGAAAAAGGCGGTCGACTGAACACATTGTACCATCTTAAAAGCGTCAGTTGTTGATCTTCACGTCATTTTTCAAGCGGTAAACTCACCCAACCCGCTGTCTGGAGCCAGAAAGGGACCACCAAATGCCCATGGTGTTTGGATTGGAGCGTCAGGACCGCGAGAGCTAACGACAATTCCAATCCGATCACAGACAACAATATAATAACGACCTTCTGCCACGTATCTGAGTACGCCTTGAGGGAGCTTTCAGACGCCTCACCGTCTTCATCTTCGTATCCGGGATGGACAATGGACGACGCGTCCACGCGAAAGAATTGCGAATCCCTTCTCAGCCGACGAGCAGTCTTCCATACCGCCGGAGCACTACTAACAACAATGAAAACCAGGACCAGAACGCCCGTCACCGTGGACAGAATCTCCGGGGTTGATGCCATTCCTCGAGAGCGACCGGATTTCACATCGGGGAGGTGTTGAAGGAAGAATGGCAAAGCGTGGAAGGGCAATTGGCAGGGGCAAAAGGGCCGGATTCCACGCTTAGAGAATTGCAAGGAGCAACATTCCTCCTGCATACTTGAGCTGCTTTCCGCAGCATAATTCCGCCGCCCGCCCTGATTGGCTCTGGGAGAGTTATAGAATGCGGCAGCCAATCGGCGGTCGGATACCTAAGCGTTGTTAGCCTGAGGTATCATTATCCCTTCCATCACCTGCAGCCCTTGGTGCTACCAGTCCCGACAAAATAATACTGGCTGGTAGTAAACCCCCGCAGTGTATCACCTATATCCATGGGATTGGGTAGCACCGCCGATGTGAGCGAACGTCATGCATACATCTGACTTGGCGCTATGACCTGTCATGCAGATTGGCCCACTCCCAATAAGCTTTGCGTAACTTGCGTTAGCTCCGGGCTAGTGCTCGGCGAAGTCTATATACAATGTTGCAACTGGTTAGTTGCATGGTAGTGATAGCAATGATCATAGCTGATGACCGTAAGAGTCCTCGGATCATTTGACTGGTGTGCAGGACAAGATCCCTTGCGTTGGTACAAGGTCGCTAGGACCAGACACAGTTTTGGATGTGTTCGTGTGTTGGACATACAATTGTAGATTTCCTTTTTCCCCTCCTCGTTGCCATTTCCATTGCTGTTTTGCAGGTTTATGTAGTCATTCGTAATAGAGATTAATGGGTTATTTACAGTATAAGTTTGAAGTTCTTATGAATCCTACTACACCGAATATATATCTTCCCTGTGCTCGATGCTAGCACGAACGGAAGACAAGGTTGAACCTTGCTTGTACCCGAGCCAATCCGATACTATGCAAACATCAGCAATGATATATTCTCATCTGACAGCCTGTCATACTCCTCATGGTGGTACAGGTAGTCCGACAGCCTCTGCATTTATTCCTAAACAGGCAATGTGTCCCGCTTATCATCACTTGGACACACCTCTGGATTGTCATAGGGTTATTACCCAGGAGATAGTATTGCGATAACCCAACTAATTGCTAACAATTCATGGAAATCTGCATGCAACTAGATGTATGCCCTGCTAGTAGTCTAGGGTTAATATAATGTGCGGCGCAGGAGACTCCTTAGTCAGATCTTAGTCTGGCCTGAGCGTAGGTCTCTTACTAGATAGATATTTTTGTGATATTGCACAAACAACCGTCTAGGCTCAATAAGATATATAGAGTGGTGTCAGTTCATTTTCTGTTCATATAGCTAGGCAACATACCTAATTAGGAGTGGGTGTGCCTCAGGATATCGGGGTGTCCTTATATTACCCCTACTTCAACTGATTTGATACATGCATGTCTCTATCTATAATCTGTACCATCGCTTGAACCGGCAAGCTAAGATTTTGAAGTCCGCAGGTCTTTTCACAACAGATCAATAAAATATACAATTCCGTGAGCAGCCACTGCAGCGAGGGGACCAACCAGCACATATTAGAGTAGTCTACGGTACGCCAAAATTCCAAATACTCACCCAATGAATCCAATGATAGCCAGGAAAATGCGAAGCCACATAGGCGCCAAAGTATCTCGCGGGATTTACACCTATATCGTCAGTTATGCCTTAGGTATCATAGATCGAGTAACCCACTGGCACCTATATATCCGTCTCTCGTCCACGCAGTCCCCCACCTCACCACACCCACCACAATCCCCACAAACCACGGGGACGTCGCATGGTCAAAGACCTTTGCCTGTCTCGGATCCACCGCTACGCCAAACGCCAAGAAAATCAAGATCAAACACGACATGAACTTAATAATCAACGCTTCCGACACGGGCACCAGCCCCGTATCAAAGAGGCCAACACGCATATTGGAGACTCCCTCCCACTCTTAACTTTTAAAGTCCAAACTTAATAAAGTCAAATGCAAGCACTGCCTGAGTGCTGGCAGAGCAGCAGCAATAATAACTAAATTAGCTTCGATAACACTGTTCACCTGGAGGTCAGAGTGCGCTTCAAACAGAGACGATGGCCCTGATATACGCACACTAACAATGCAACAGGTGCAATACGGTAAGTTAAATCAGTGGAACTTAGAAGAGGCACGGTAAACTTACACTCTCATCCAACTTCCGGTGGTAAACCTACCTGAAGGGCCCGACTGCTAGATTTAGTAAAGAGAAGGTGTAAATACCAAGACTGGAACCCTCTCGGGTGGCTTCAACTGTTTGATATTTTCCTTCATTTGTGGACCTGACACTCGGGGGTGAGCCTTACCCCATCCACACTCCCTTCTAATAAATTAAGAATGTGAGCCAGCTTAATTGGTCTTCTAGCTTGTTCATAATACCAATATCCTCTCTGTCATCTCTTGCACCGATGCAGTTCACAGGGGCTGAATCTCTCATCACCTATTTTCCGGATTTCAATGCCTCCCCAGGAACCTACCACAGTTCAGGGCCAGATGTTCTCCGCCAAACGCAGTGGGATTATACGAAACGGCCCAAACCGGTTACCTTTACGCGCTCAACAAGGACGTAAGCCTCAAATAACGGCGATAGGATGGAAGTAAAGTGACGGCAGATGTGACGTCGGCTAAGTGACTATTAATTTTGACAATACCCCAGCGCCTAATCTGTCCCCATGCGTGCGTTCTCGGCTGACGATCTCATGTTCCGGAACATCGCGGGCGTAAAGCTAAACAGGAACAAATAAAGCTGCTTTTTCTGGGCGGGTTGTTTTTGCCCAAACCGCGTTGCTATGAGATAACTGTGAACTGAGCGCCTGTTGACAGCGAGCCTCGTAATCCAATCGCCTAGCGCTACCTTTTCAAACGAAGGGTTTCGCCCTCAGCCGGGCCTCCCCATCACCCGGACAAAAGGATTAGCGACAAGGCTGGGATAGCGATTGGCTTGACTTATTAGCGCCGAGGATCATGTAACGAGGCAGGCATATGTCCTGCGACTCTGGCGCCCATTAGGCAACAGAGGCAGCATCTATGATACTGTGTACTTGCCGGTTGGCTGAGTATATAAGGATGGGTTCGTCTTCAGTCTCTCCACCCCTAATACAGTCATAGCAGCCATCATCACTTTCTTGCACCTCCTTTCGATCCACCGAAATTCCTACCCTGTTTATTCCACATACAGGCCTCTAAGAAACCACTGGGTGCTAGAGAGCGGGCCTAGGTCATCAAAAAGGCCCAGGAAGACGCCCTCGCTCGATTGCCCCAAAACACGCTCTTCATCGTTCTCTATATACGATCCGATCCTCCCCAGCCAAATGACTTTCACTGGGGCTACTATTTCCACACCAGCGCTCAGGGCGGGTTGAAATACCACTTGAGAAACCTGGGCGGAGGGTGGATCCCAGACCATGGCTTAACTGGAGGCGTTTTCAAGTCCAATTTCCTTTGTGTCCTTATCGAGATCGCAAGTGTCCCACAGGCAAATCATGGCCGTCTCGATCAGATTATGAGATATCGTGATGGAGACGTCAATTCAATTCCCGGTATAACTTGCCGGGTATGGCTAATGGTCATCCTGCAAGAGCTGATTCGACATGGGATAGTACGCTGCGGCAACATTGACACATTGCAGCAGGAATGTATGACTTTTGGAAACCAATATAGTGCAGGGGCAGCAGACAACAGTCAGCCACGGCCTGTCGTAAGATCTGCTTTGTGTCTTTGAAAGCAAATTATCGGGGGAACACACGCTGTTGGGCCGATATTTGTTTTGTTTTCTGCTCTTGCTTGTAACTCGTGATTATTGTACAAATTAGATCAATGCCTCCATGCTTCTTATCATTGGCATTATAAACTTACTTTGTAGAATCAATCAATTAAAGTGCTATATAAGAGTCGACTGTTAAGAGGTTCAAAGCCACATCAGAGTCCAATTCATCCCAATATTGATCTCCGCCCATCCAAGAAGCGACTTGAAACCACCAGCTATCTCTCCCAAAGCGCATAGCTGTTGTGAATTCCCAGTATCCGGGATACCAGCCTGCGGATTCCCAGTCAAGAAACCCAGATAAGTGTCCTTCATCATCGACAAGAATGTTGTGCGCTTTGAAATCCCCATGAGTGAACACAGTTCTATGCTGATAATCCTGTAATCTTCGTGCACGAGACAGAACTTTTTGATATTCGGTATTGGACTTGAAGGCGTGAGCCGAAGCCGGAGAAAAAAGATACTTGTAAAAAGCCTCTAGGCTGGAAAAAGGACCCATGATGTGCCCGGGAACTCGTGAACTCCGTAAGTGGGTTCCAATAGGAGAGCAAATAGTCTCTGATCCTGGAGGGCGCCACAGTCGCATAGAGGTAATACATAATTTCAACTCATCCAGCCAAGGCTCCTCAGCATCAACCTGTAGTTTATCTCTCGAGTTCTCAAGAGGTACACCAGGCAGCCTGGTCATCAAGATAGAAAATCTTCGGTTAAAAGGGGCATTTAGGTGTTCACCACAACTAATGACTTTGGGCACCGGTATTCCAGCAGGTTCAGCCATTTGCATTGAGACAACCTCCTCGAGGCTCGTCCGGTCCGTCCATTTCATAACAAGTCCAAATGGCAATTGGATAATATTTGCATCGAATGAAAAATCGAACCAAGAGCAGTACCATTGAGAGAAATAATAAAGTAACTTGTGAATGATGCCCCAGAAGATTCTGGTGTATCGGTTGGGCCCAACTGGTACTTGAGGGGTGGTTTGCCGGACAGCAGACTGCACCCGCCGCGGCCAAGTATATTCTGGCGTTAAGATTGATGGAATTAGAAGGCGGTCCATTAAGTCGTCTAGGAGCTTGAATTAGGAAAAAGGTAACAGGGGTGCCAGAGTTCTTTTCCTGTCGAGACTAGGAAGATAAATGATTACTCGATGATAGAATCTGATGAGAAAATTCCGCTGGTTGTGCCGAACTTGGGAGAAGGAAACGAAAGGTAAGAAGCAACGGGAACAGGGCACAACCGCAATTTCCGAGGAGAAAAGAAAGTAGGTCGAATAAGAGAATAAAAAGGGAGGGGCTCAAGTGTCGGAGTTGAAGAGATGGGTGCGACTGACTGACTGCAGAATATGAGAGTAGAATGTGGTAAGGAGTTTGGAAGAAAGAAGAGGACGGTGAGGGACGAGACATATAGTTGGGCGCTCCAGCTGGTGGACAGAAGGCAAGTTGGTACGCTAACCCAAAAATGGTAAAACTAACTGGAATGGGAAATTCACTCGTTCCCAGGTCGATAATGTCTTTTTTTCCAGATTTCCCGCTTCCAACACTATTATGAAGAGGCAAAAAGTATGGGGTTTGGGCAGATATGGGGCCGCTACGGCGGAGCGATCCAAGAGGGTATTGTATATCAGCTAGTGAACCTTGAAACTACCAGTCAGCCTGAACCATAAACAATGTGGAAAGACCGCTCAACCACAGCGCAAACGTATTCCACCAAAATTATTCACTAAGTTGACTATGTTCTTTATGAATAAACTGTGCCAGGTCTTGGCCTTGGTTACGTCCTGTACATTAAATTCTGGGTTACATGCATGAAGCCAGAGCACATTCGGACACCTGCTTGGAGAGACGCCTGGGTCCTATGTTCAAAGCGTTTTCAAAAACGCTTCTCAACGTCTACGATGAGACAGTTTCTATGACCGCTCACTGATATTATTCACGTCATGTAACAATGGCCCTTCAGAACTGTGGCCCTTGTGTCATGAATATAAACACCAACTCAAAAGTTCCGTCGACTAAGATTTCTGATTTCTCACAACCGAGATAAGCCTTCTCTTACAATTGATATCCCTCGAAAATGGCCACGAAAAAATCCCCGACCCCAATCACAAGAAAGCTGATCCGGCAGAAACGAGACCGCCGCAGAGCTAGCCTAATTAAGAAATCATACGAATATAGTAAGATGTGTGGTGCTGATGTCTTCCTTGGCCTCCGCATCAGGGAGCCCGGCCACGTGCTGCTCTTTTCTGCTGATGAGTTAGGATTCTGGGCATTTGAGGAATCACAGTTGGTATAGAGCAACCCATATCTCTCTTGCTGCGGACAATTGTTAACATTGACAGAACACGCATTACCCAGTGCCAAGGAAAATAAGTCATAAAGATACTATGGAGCGTAAGCTGGGAACAGAGGAGCGTTCTTGAAGAAAGGAGAAGAATCACAATCTTGTACGACAACTATAATGATTCGGAGACCCTCTGTCTTCACTTTGGTTCCTGAGTTTAGCATAGAGAAAAGTCGGAAGCTGGCTGCATCCGCCTTGAATTAGGTTTTTTGGCTAGCAAGTTGATTGGTCAAATATCAATGATTCATCTTAAGCGGTCTGAGGGCTTTTTGAACTACATAGATTCCAGAGAGGCCTAGGGCAAGCGGGATATTCATTTCAAGCTAAAGAGGTCAAAGCACCTAATAAGCAGAGGGTGAATTTTCAGGGAATTAACATCCAAACCCATCCACCCTACTGCATCAATGATCATTTCAGAATTATATCATAGTCCGAGATAATAACAACCTTTCTCTCTTCCGTCTCCATCTCCTTCTTTCTCCTCTCAAGTACTTCCTTATGCTCTTCCCTAAACTTCCTACCCTCCTCCTTCTGCTCCGCCGTCAAAGGTGGCGGCAGTAAACTCTTATCAGGGTGAAACCATTGCTCCCTCGGCACAAGAGTGCCATCCACGCCTCGAAATTTGTCTTCGGCTTCTTTGCTATAAGGCAAGATATCAAGCATTGCCTTGAGCAATCTAGGCGGAAGGGCGACCGCACCCAGGACGTCACGGTCTGCCGTGAGTGTTCTGACAACGCCGTCGCTCCCGACATGTAGGATTCCCTGATCATCATGAGGTAGTGACTTTAGCAGCTCGTTCAGTTCCTCGTGATCCTTGTCTAGGGGTTGTTTGATGAAAGTGGCATTCGCGTATCCTTCTGTATCCGAGCGCTCGGAGGGGTGGTTCTTATCTTCTCGGGGCTGCTTGACGTGGCAGTACTTTTCTTTAGGTGCTTGTGCTTCGATATTGGCTTCAGGGCTTGTTGTTTCGGCCATGGCATCTATACAATAGCGGTATACTGGTATAGCAATGTGAAAACGAGGGGAGGAGGCGTGAGAATAGGAAAGGGAACAGGTGTAAGAGTAATGATTGCGAGCTGAAGCTTATAAGTAATAACTCCAAGAGATAAGCATTCGGGTGGCGCATGACCTGTTGTCCAAGCCTTGCTGATCCTTGTCTCTGTCTTTAACTGGCGACCAATCATGGGTTTTTTGATCCTCTAAAGTTCGCTGCTATCATTAGGCACCAACGTTAATCCTTCATATTATATTGTCATGTATCCTGTCGTGTCCATATATTGCATTCAAGGGAAAGAGTTATTCCCAGATAAAATATTATTTAATTCATGTCTAGCACTACTATCACAGACACAGTATATCCGCATTTCAGTGCTTTCCAACAGCATATGGGATTTTTACCCACTTATGTTACACCTGCCTCACATCAAGTGCATTCCTGGAAATGAGCTTTATGGCATAACTCAATGAAATTCTAGGGTGTCTCTTTATTCCTTTACTGTGCATGATGTCCCTAGATAGTTGGTCTCATGACTTTTGTAGCAGTGCGACACTCTTGAGTCAGATGCACTTCTTCAAGTTAGTGGCTGTCAGCTGTTCTAACCCTACTAGTAGTGTCGCTGCCTGGGTTGTTTTTACGTATACCTCCGAGATCTCCGTAGGTGAAGTGGAAATGAGAACTCATCCACGACTGATCGCGGGTTTTAATGCACAATCGGCCAGTGTGGCTTTGCTGCTCAACCACCTTCCCTTTGCACCCCTCGTTGCTAGTTTGGACAAAACGAACCTTGCGTAGGACGTTGAGGCACTTATTGGGAAATAAGCCTTCCTATGACTATCTCCGAGGCGATCTCTGTTGAGCAACAACACATTTACATAGGCTCAAGGAGCATTTCCACGAGGAAGGTATGGCACCGCGTGATAGTCTAACACTAGTCTATTTTTACCTGGCGCTAATTGTAGTCCATATCAGGCCCGCCGTCTACTTTTTACAGGCAATGAAATTTTGTGCCTGCTGGCAGTGTAGTAAGGAAGCGAAGTGGGCAATAACGTTCGCCTTTAGGTAATTTTTCGCGATGTCGCGCGTTCTCGGGTGAGTTGTTGTTATGTGTGGGGGTCGGTAACGAGCTGAATGGGGCGCTACGGTGCGAAAGGGAGTGTCTATATGGGAGAGGAGATAGAACCACGTATATTGCAGAACTAATCGCTGGCCTTCAAGAGTTCAGGCCCGCGGGTGCGAATATAAACACTTCGCACCTGGCTAAGCATCTTAGCTAAGGATCTAGCTATCGCGCTTCCCAGCGCTCCTAACAGTTGTCTTGCCAGCTCACCCCGAGTGCACAGGTCGCGAGTGCACAGGTCGTGCGTAGGTGGGGCAAAGGTCGTGTCAGGTCCCTAGTCCGAGCTCAGCCCATCTATTGTGTACTCACCCAAGCTCACCCCGCGCGACCGTAAAGCCGCTCACCCGCTAACTCACCCGGGCGGCAGCCACCCGACCACTGGCCGCGTTTAAGCAACACGCCCTATGCTCACGCTCGCGATTTGTCTAGTTTAGCTCCCCGGCGGCCCGCGGTCTCCGTCTGGCAAGGACTGGTCTGCGGTCCACGAGCTGCACATCCAGATGACCAATTTCAACTGTCTGGGCAAACAAGGATGCATCGATGCATACATCAACGGTCTTAAGACCAAGCGGCCTCTGTTGGTTGTGGCGTTGAACATCTCCACGGCGCAGAATTACAACCACACCCACTGTGATAGCTGGGTCACAAGGCGGGATGTATGGAGCCATGCGCCCTGATGGTTCTATGTAGGGTACAATCAACCTAATCACAACCGCCTATGTACTCAGGAATAGGCCATTACTCTGGTCGAATACTAGGTTATGCTGACATGGACCCAATCGGGAGAAAGACGACCCTGGCTAGCCTTTCTAGGTGAAAGCCCACTACTGCCTGGTCGGCGCTGAGAGCGACATCAGCCAGCGATATGGCCTGCACTACGGAAATCAGATCTTCGCGGTGATGAGTGTATGCACGTTGCTGCAATGCTACACGATCTTCTTCGTCTGGTGGATCTCTCGCAGAAAGCCTGGCCAAAGTCAAGAAGAACGAACCATGGTGTTGATAGGTGATGTGGTCGCGGACTATTTAGACTATCCAAGTAATATGCCCAGGTCTCAGGCCGTGTGTGCGTATCCGCAGGTCCGGTGCCGCAAGAGGGGCTTTCGTGGTCCAGGACTGTCAGCGGCAGCGTTTATCCCTCATATTGTAAGTTGTGGTGCACAGCACTATGGCACCCATTCATGCACCCAAGACAGCGAGAGGGTAACGAGACAATCCCCTAGATTTCTGCTCGGGATAGCAGCTCTATTGGCTATTCCAGTCGATTCCGTAGTCTTTTGGGAGCACCGGGACTGAACATGAGCATCCCCGCCATCGTCAAGCTCGGCTTCAGCCTCAACCCCGGCTATCTCGGCGTGAACGGCGAACCAGCAACTACAGCCTGATGGAGTGCTTGTTCCTCGCTAACATGGTTCAGCTCCTTGTCACCTTTTGTGCGTGTTCTACAACATCCTGACGCACTAACTCGTTGCCGATTAGTGGGTGCGGTCCCTCCGCCTGGAGGGGAAGAAATCCCTGCGCGTGTTCATGCTGCTGAGGATGTGGTCCTACCTACTCTCCCTGCCCCTCACCATGGTAGGTTACTCGCTGCTGCCCATCGCCCTAGCCACGCTCTGTGGCGTCTTGATAGTGACGGGTTTGCTGGTCCACTCGCTGGTGTGCAGTCATCACGACGTGTCCTCCCAAGCTCCCGACTGGGGTCCAGCAGTATTCATCTCGAATTGCTGTGTTGGAGACTCCGATATGCACCTTTTACCCGTCAGCATTGATGTGGTATCTGAGTGTCTTGACGGAGGTGGCGGCCTTACCACTGGTTACCACCTCCCACAACTCGCCTTTTCATTGGACGGATGTCGAGTTACGCTCGCCTGAATATAATGGCATGGATATGTTCCCGGTAAGGACGGGAAGACGAGAAGCGATAGGGCTTATGAAACGCGGCTTCCGCCGGACCTGGGGATTCATAGTGACGCTTCTGTAGAAGCACTTCCGTGCTGTAGACACATTAAGGGCACAAAGAACAAATAGAATCCCGTTTTTCTACATTTGTTCTTCCTCTGATGCTAGAAATAGGTTACAGATTCGTCCTTTAGAGCACACATAGAACATTCTACCGGAGCACTTCGCTGATCTCAAGGTGGAAAGACCAACAGGTATGGAAAAGACAACCAGTCATAACCAGAGATGACAGTCTGGAGGTGCAGTATCAAGAGTAATGAAATCCAGCACTTGAATTCCACTGAATAATACACTCTGAGCTGCAATGCTCCGTAAGCTTAGGCAGGACGTTCTGTTCAGTAGTTCTGAGAAAATGAAATGCGACAAGAATGTTAGAACCTCGAGCGTGCCACCATGACAAGATAACCCGATTATATAAGTATGAGCTCAAGGGCTTTAGATACACTAATTGCATCGATTATCTTCCCCTAACTTAGGCAACATTCCACTATTCATACACGAAGGTGTTTCTCCGATACTGAGCACTGCGACTGACTCTAGCTATACAGGGGTATTATCGATCGACTCGCAAATATTCCACTGAATGCATGATTGTATCGGGAAATAAGATCTAGACTCGAATATGCTACGGTTACTGTTACTGTGGAATGGACTGTAACTCTCATGATAGGGCTGAAGGTAAAAGTCAATTAGTACTTGGTGCGGTTGGATCTTGTGTGGTAATAACTATGTACGTAAAGCCCGGAAGCAGGCCTCTCCATGCCGGTCCAGCCCTGTGCCCTAAAAATAGCGCTGTCAGCACTTATCACCCGCTAATGTGCGCACGCTATTCCTTTTGGCCAGTTGGCACTCTTGGCCAGTTAATCATGTGGTACCTGCATGTCGTCCACTCTCTCTTCTCCCCTATTGTTATTGAAGCATCTACCTCAATCGCTTTTGGGTCAATTAACAATCCCTGAGCATAGTTTGTGGCATACATGGCCCGGCTAAGTCGTCTACAATTTTTGGGGGTTGCCGTTACTTTTCATCTGCTCTATGTCTGTTCCATTTTCGATGTTTACTTTGTGAGCCCCGTTGTTGGGGGCATGAAGGCCCACCGCGTCCAGACTTCCGAACCTCCTCCGGCTCAACGCGTCGTGCTCTTTGTCGGTAGGCAATTACTCCTTCCGTTTCGCAGCCATTTTGTAAAGAACCCGCTGTTCTAATCTTTGTGATGGCTGTCCATTAGCTGATGGTCTTCGCGCGGATAAGACCTTCCAACAATTCCCCGACCCGTCCCCAGATGCCCCCGCGAATGAGACGGCCCAAATACTACGCCACTTGGCCCCGTTTCTGCGCTCACGAGTGTTGGAATATGGTACCTTCGGAGTCTCCCACACACGAGTGCCAACTGAGTCGCGCCCAGGCCATGTGGCCCTCCTCGCGGGCCTCTATGAGGACGTCTCCGCTGTCACCACGGGCTGGAAGCTGAATCCAGTAGGTTTTGATAGTGTACTGAATCGCAGTCGACATACATGGAGCTGGGGGAGCCCAGATATCCTACCCATGTTTGCGCACGGAGCAGAACCGGGGCGCGTGGATACATACATGTACAGCGCGGACGCAGAAGATTTCAGCAAGGATGCCATCGAATTGGACCGCTGGGTTTTCGACGGCGTCAAGCGCTTTTTTAACTCAGCAACAGAGGATATAGAATTGGAAGCAGCGCTGAGACAGGATAAAAATATCTTTTTTCTTCATCTCCTTGGCTTAGATACATCGGGCCACGCTTACCGTCCCTATTCTCGCGAATACCTGCACAATATCCAGGTCGTGGATCAAGGGGTGCGGGAGTTGACTGCCCTATTCGAGGCCTTTTTTGCGGACGATCAAACGGCCTTCGTCTTCACCGCCGACCATGGCATGAGTGACTGGGGTAGCCATGGAGACGGCCATCCGGATAATACACGAACGCCGCTCATCGCATGGGGCGCGGGCGTGCCCCGTCCGAGAACAGGGCCCATTGGCAATGTCGCGCGCGGGCACGATGATTTCTCCGCCGATTGGTATCTGGACCATGTTGAGAGGAATGATGTTGCCCAAGCTGATATTGCGGTCTTAATGGCATATCTCGCGGGAATCCCGTATCCAGTTAATTCGGTCGGTCGGCTTCCTTTGTCGTATATTGATGCGGACGAGTCTGGCCAGGCGGAGGCACTACTAGTAAATGCTCAGGAGATTTTGGAGATGTATCGAGTCAAAGAACGTCGTACAATGGCCAAGAAATTCTGGTACGTCCCTTTCGCGGGGCTAGCTGACGATCGAGACCAGACAACAAGCCAAGAAGAGAGAATTAGTCGGATACGCGCAGCAATCGACAAGGATAACCCCGAACAGGCAATCCAAGAATGTCAGGAATTTATCGATCTGACCCTCCAGGGCTTGCGCTACTTACAGACCTACGACTGGCTTTTCCTTCGAGCTCTTATTAGCATGGGTTATTTGGGGTGGATGGCATTTGCCCTCACAACCGCTCTCACTCAACATGGGCTACTAAACTCAGACAAGAATTTCCAGCTTAACCGCTCCTCTGTTAACGCATCGGTGTTGGGGATTGCCTCGATTGCTCTTCTGGCATTTCTGTATCTACAGAGTTCTCCTTATCACTATTACGCGTACGCCACCTTCCCAATTCTCTTCTGGGCGGAGGTGTTGGCGTACCGCGGGGCCTGGATCCGAGCTATTAGGACGACCTCAAAGCAATTTTCCGCCAGCAATGTGACTACAGGCACTGTCGGTGGATTGGCGTTTGGCCTTCTTCTGGAAGCGATTGTACGTTTTGACAGCCCGTCGGTGCGCAGTGCATTCCACAGACTCACTGCAAGCAGGTCCAAAGCTTTCATGATCGAACGATTTACACGCTGGTCTATGTTCTCGCCATCTTCTGGCCGTTAATGTACGGTGCAGAATTCATTCTGTCCAATTGGTTCCTATGTTTGGCATGGGCGCTCCAATGTGCCTCCATGAGCATATTCACACTTCTTCCAGCAAACAAAACGGAAGACACTACCTTGATGTATGTTCAACCCCACATCGGACGCGGTCTAAAGTCTCCCAACTAAGATATGGAACAGCACTCTTGGAGGTGTGCTTATGTTTGCCTTCGGCGTGTGGTATCTAATATTCGAGACAAAGATCCTCAACCGAGGATTCTCGGAGCGCGAAACCGTTGCGACCGACCGAATCTCGAAAGTGCTTCTGACATTGCAGGTTGTACACTCCTGTGTAAACTATTACTCTCTGATGATACTGATAATGGCGCGTAGGTTGGATTAGTGCCTCTGGCTCTTCTTGTTACACTTTCCGCAGCAGCATCATTACAGTCTAAGGAAGGACTCCCGCGTCTCACACAGTTACTGAGTTGGACAATCCTTGGTCAGTGTCCAAAATCAACCATCGAATTCTCTGGAAGACTACTACTTGAACTTACACGCAAGTCTCTTAAATAGTAAGCTCTTTTGTGCTTCCATTTCTCCATTCTCGAACTGGAATCCGCCATCACATCCACCGTCTGGTAGTGATATTTTTCACCTTTGCCCCACTATTCATCCTTCTCACCATCTCCTACGAGGGTCTGTTCTACTGCTGCATAAGCGGCACACTTTTCACTTGGGTGCAACTAGAGTCTCGAATCTTTCAGTTCCACCAACGCCCTCCTATCAGCAGCAGCGGCAAAGAAATCGATTTCTCCCTCCAAGTTCGACCCCTACATCATTCCGATGCCCGCACCGCCCTCTTCTTCCTTTACCTCTCTCCCACTCCGCTTTCTTCAGCACCGGCAACATCGCCTCCATCTCCTCCTTCTCTCTTGACGCTGTTCTCCGCCTGATCCCCGTCTTCGAGCCCTTTAGTCAATCTGCCTTGCTGATCCTCAAGATTTTGGCGCCCTTTGTCCCTGTCTCGGCCAACTTGGGCATCTTGACCCGGTCGCTGCGATTGCGGCCCGGTGCACTTTTTGTGTTAGTCGTCGCCGCGAGCGACTATCTGACGCTAAGGTTCTTCTGGCGCGTGCGGGATGAGGGCTCGTGGTTGGAGATTGGGGAGAGTATTACGGTCTTTGTACTGGCGTCTTTGCTGTGTGGGTTTGTGGCGGTGCTGGAGATGGTTGGGGAGGGGGTTGTTGGAGGTTGATCCCGGCCTCTGACCTTGAATATGCGCTTGACAACTTGGAGGACGAGAAGCGCAACCTCTGTCCATGACTTTCGATATTTCCTCGGCTCTCTCTGACAGTAAATATCTTCAGAATACTTGTTGGATAGACGTTACTAATACACTGATCCTGTAAGTCGAGTAGCTTCGCTGAATGTTATGTAGCTAATGGATCTAGTCACCTATTGCACCGGATATTTATTCACCTATTGACCTCGTTATCAATGCTTTGCCAAGCTGGGCTTGCGCCATCCGCGGATTTTGCATTATGGACACTGCCGGGTTGGTCCATCAGAAAGCATTTGTGAAGTCCAAGGAAGCACAATGAGTAAATGGGGAGTGTTGGTCCTAACATCTCCAGCTACATGTCATTTTTGATTTTAGTATTGAATATTCTAGATCTGTTCCTCTACTCAGCCAGGACTTGGTTCCGCGTCTGTACAGGCTCTCGCGTGTTGTATTTAGAGCTGGGTGGGATGGGATTGACTCGCAGTATAAACTTGCATTAGATTGTGCATTGGCTAAAATGTCCATTCACTTGCTCTGCAGACCAATCAACGCGCTCATATCCAACCATCTGCGAGCCGATATGTCAGGTTCTCTCTGCTTGCACCAATTGCATCCTAGTTAATGCACGTAACTACGCTTCCAGGCAGATACTGGAAAACCGACTGAAAGATGGATTGTCGTGGCTATGGGAAATCCATGATCTCAATCCATTCACATTCAGAAGCTGGAGGCTAAACTATCAAAGGCAATTCTAGAGCTTGAGGAAAAGAGTTAATACAAAAAAGGGAGCGACGATTACGTTCCTGGACTTGCGAACCGCAGATTTGGAGAGTTTGTATTTCAAAAGCCTGTATCTTGCTAAGCTAGCAGAAAGTGAAGATAATTTAGAGGGCCCAGCACCTCTGGCTGTTTGAGGGGCCGACTATGGTTTAAATGGAAAAATATAAGCAACGCACCTGAGGTACACCTGGCTTAGTGAAATTATGTTCTGGGCCTGGCGCTGACTCTTGTTGACATTTTGTTCTAAGTATTCGCCAAGCTTATCTCCGGTCCTCTCGCAAACGTCTTATGGACCGCCGTGAGGTCGAATAGAAACATTGCACATTAGCATCATATAGGGAGTCAACTTTATAGCCTAGCTTTTCCTCCACTTGCTCCACGGCATAAGAGGCCTGCATTTCACCATATTGATATTTTCAGCTGGCGAACTCTCATAAGTGGCAGAGGATGAGAGAAATACAAGATAGAACGTCGTTACGACGGTCTGTGGCATTCGTGGCATGCTGGCATTCGTATACTATCAGCAATACTTGCTCCACCAAGTTGGTTTTGCGTTGCGATAATATGTATGCTCCTTAAGGGAATAGTCTTAATATCTCTTACCTTAACGATATAGTAGAAGTCTGCATTCTTTCAGCAGTCTCTTATGGGCCACCTGTCTGAGTCCTTCTAGCCGATATTTTCCCAAGCTTTAAGCCCGCTAAAGGGGTCGGTACAGCCACAGCAATAATTTGGCATGCCAACTTTCATCATTGGAGTGGTTGTTCCAGAGTTGCGTTTAATTAATGTTGACCAAAAATCCTGTTTATGGAGACCCTTGTAAAATGTCCAATGGCCAGATTGACCTCAGAGTTTCGTCTTTTACTGGTTCGTCATCGTCCACGATAAAACAGCCTGCAACATCCCATCCAAGAGTTCCTTGTGTGATATTTAGTCGCTTTCCAACTATCGGGAGGTACCCAACCGTCTGATGCTGTATTTAGAAAGGCGGACAGATCAGTTCGCAAATGCTGTGACGCTTCAAAAAGCTTGTATTCCTTCTCATGTTTCACAAGTTCTTCTGGCGCGGGTAAAGGGTAAGGACATTGACCTTCAAATACTAGCTCTTTCCAAAGCCGAGTAGTTCTAACTATCTTATAGCGTAAGGCCACTGCACCATCCTTCCATGTCCTATAGCAATAACGAAATGGTCGGAAGAGGCTGTTATTTATCAGCCTTGGGCCTGAGAGTTTGGGCGCTAGGAACTGCGAAGAGAGTTTAAAAGCTTTTGTGCATGTTTTACTCCCTGTTGCAAAGTCCGGAATTGCATCTAAGTACCAAAACGCTGGTTCAACACTAGCTGCCTGCCAATCAATAATGCGCGTAATAATAAAAGGGTTGTCTTCCGAAACAAATATATTTCCTTATATATAGGTCTGGATGGAACAACACAGGCGCGGTAGAATTACAGATTCGAGGATCCATGGCCATTTGTTTTAGCACAGACCGGGCACATTCTAGGAGACCCAAATTGTTTTAGCCGATCCATAATAGATTGGTCTCTTCTCAGGCTCGGCATCCACTAGGGAGACCCGTGATAGACCGGCGCAAATAAGACCATCACAGAATTCGCCAATACTCAGCCCTATTAAGGTATGGTGTAAGTAACTTTACATAAATAATAGAAATCTCGCCGCAACTTACATGGTCTGTAATTTTTTTTTTTGCGTAGTAATAATACCTCTGTTCCCCGGCATCACAATCCCAGTATCAAGTACCCAACACAGAAACCATTACTAACAGCTGTTTACAAGCAGAGCCAAAAACGTCATCAAAGTAAATACTCCCAAAAATTGGGAATTCCAAATTAATTATTTCCTATGTCGTCCGGTAGATTGCATCTATGCACCTAACCTGCTGGTCGCCTGCCATTGTCTGCCATTTCTCGTGCAGTGAAACGCCAGTTGCATGCTCCATAATTATGTATTCGCTCCCAACAGCATTGTTTATATCACTTGCGTTATGATTCCAGTCGAGAATCTTTGGTATGGGGATACTCGTCTTTAATTATACGAAAGTATGGATTGGTCAGCACCCAGGCTAATCGGCGAGGGATTGTTATAAAATTACAGTAGCCAACCGTGGCAACTACAGAAACAGTGGTCAGCCTGGTAGGTCCTGCCAGCTGAAACGGGAGCCTCGCCACGATTTTCTTAGTGTTGTTTAATGTGAAAATAAAGACCCTATTAAAGCCTCCTTTAATTTTTCGACAAGCTGCGAGAGCATTTGCTCCTGGAAATAGCTCAATAACCTTCTGGTGTTGGGCGCTGTAGTTGAATTCGATGTAGCGCGAACCAGTCTCTAGTTTGTCACGTCACAACCAGCGACCACTCGTGTAGGCATGAGGCTCAATATCTAGGGTTGCATCAACGGGAGAATAAATATACCATAAAAACAAAAGGCTCACCCAGTCTTAATCCTACATTCGTCGTATTTGCGGTCGAAGTCTGCATGCTATGGACAGGCTGGAAAGAAACGAGAAATCAAAGGTGGAAGAAGAAAGCGTGAAGGCGAAGTTCGGCCAAGTTGGCTTCGCAACACCCAAAGAAAAGAATGTTTCACAATCCGTGGCATCTGATCTAGGTTACTAGATCCCGTCGAAAGTTCTATGGATGGAATACTACCTCAATCATATCTGCTAGGTTTGCCCGTTGTCAAAAGGCGCCAGGCTCTCGACTATCCGTAGTAGAGACGACGTACACCGCCGCTGTCCCACACCAACATGACATTTTGATTATTTACACGCGTAGGGAGCTGTCCCCATGTAAATCAATAAAAATAAGAGCGTTATTGTCCTCTCCAGCTACTGAGTTTGACGTTTCTTGTGCTAAATTATTATTTTCCTGCTTTTGTTGCTATTTTTTAGCATTTTCACGCCGTACCCTAGCCACTATAATACTGACAAACGCCACGCCACAACTACGATGGATAATGAGATTATAATTACTTTGGTACTAGTGTTTATCGTGCCAGTGATAGTCCAGACATTGGGCATAAGGCTTTGAATCCAAAATACTATTTCATGGATTTGCTTTTAGCCTGGCCTTTCTTCCATACAATGAAAAAGACTAACTTGATCTTGAAACTACCTTTAACCAGCAGGCTACCTGCCGAGTATATTACTATCCTAGCTTCATGTCTAAATCTAGCCTCCTGTAAATGCTTGGTCGTTTGAGATATTATGGCATTGAAAAGTGAAATGGAATACAGAGGCGATCTGCTCGGAGTTGTTGATCGACTCAGGTAGGGAATTGCGTCAACCACTGTGTAGTTAACTACTTATAACTTCCAAATCCCACTTATTGGCATAAAATGCGAGGCATAAAAGCAAAGGGAAGAAATAAAATGGGACGAAAGGAAGTAGATCGACGACAGCTGTGGAGAACTCTTTCACTTAAATCCTATTTGCCTATATTAGTGGGTCATCGCATAATTACCCGAATACCCGCACTTTTCAAAGGGCTCAGATGAAGGACTCCGAACTTGTTCGCCTATACATTCTTAGCGAAACCTCATGGACTCGACATCAACACCGCAGAACAAACGAGCTACACGCTCACCTCTGGCTTGTTTGCCCTGCCGCTCGCGCCACCTGAAATGTGACGGTAAGCGACCGTGTTGTGCTCGCTGCTCTGAGGCCGGCAAGCAGTGCAACTATGCTCGATCACGGCGCGGCGGGCTGAACCGCGCAGCTTTGGCTGAGCGTCGTAAACAACTGGTAGAGGCAGCAGATACTCCCCCAGTCAATAACTCGAGTCCGCAGGGGCCTACAACAGTTCAGCAGCCCCAGGAGCGTACCGCTCAACCCCTTGAGGTGGACTTTCGCCACGAGCCTGTTATGCTCGAATTTAGTAACGAAGGCACCACTAACATCTTTCTGCGAGAAGCAAACGCAACTCGTCCGAACAACATTGCAAATGATCCGTTAATACATTCATACTACAGGAACTTTCACATATGTCACCCCTTTGTCTTACCACCAAAACACCTGACAAGACTGTATCAAGATCCGAGCAGACGAGGCGGCTACGTACCACTGGTCGCTGTTCTGCGCTTTCTTGGGAATATTTACAGTGCGCGAGAATGGTCGATACCGTTAAAAGAGTGCCTCGAGGCATCCTTTTCACAGGTGCCACCATCAGATCCAATCCTGGTCCAATGCCGACTCTTATACTCCATGGCCTTATTCTGGTACGACTACAAGGTCGATGCCAAATTACAGATGGACATGGCAACTAATCTCGCTATTGATCTACAAATGTTTCGTCTCGAATTTGCGGCGGCGCAGGGAGCCGACGATCCCGTACTGAGGGAATCTTGGAGACGAACGTGGTGGATGCTGTACATCGTGGATGCGTACTACGCCGGCACCTTGGGGACGACGAACCTTCGGGTTGTAAACATTGATATAACGGTGGAATTACCATGTGACGAGTCGGACTACGAGTCAGGGGTGAGTATCAACGTCCTGTCTCCCGGCTGCTTGATGGATAGATAACTCATGAAATTACAGAACATCCCAGCCCCCCGGACCCTGCAAGAATTCAATTGCCGCGAATTCAGCCCCAAGACCATTCACTTCTCATCCTTCGCATATCTCATTGGCGCCGTACAATGCGCCGCAGCCGCAATATCCGCAACCCCCACAGTCGAAGCCGAAGAATGCTCGACGCATATAATTCAAATTGCCGACTGCAGTCTTGACGGATGGCGACTTTTACTACCCCCAGATCGCAAACAAATCATTACTGAAACTGGCGAAATCGACGAGCTTATGTTCCAGGCTCACTTGCTAATTCACGTGTAAGCTTCTCCTGATCTATCCCATGAAGCTTCGCTCACTCAATAGGTCAACAATCGGCCTGCATCGTCCATTATCAGCCCTCAAATTCAACGCCGTCGAGAGTATATCAAGCTGCGCCCGTGAGCCACCCCTCGATACACCCACACCAGATCTGGTTAACGTGCATACCGTCCGTGTGCTACGGGCTATAGAGGCCCAAATCCGCCTATTAGCCTTACCAGTCCGGCAATTTCACCACACTCCGTTTACTACCTGCATGGTGAGCGAGGGAACGCTGGCACTGCTTTCAGCTTGCAGTTCCCTCCTCAAGGGGAGGGATCTAGCCATCGCAAGAGATCAAATTCGAATGACGCTCGGATGTCTCAGGGTGCTGGGGGAAGTGTGGCCGAGAACAGCTAGGAATGTGTGCGAGATACAGAAGATTGCTCAATGCGTGTTGGGACTCGGGTATGTACCAAATAGTGGCAGCACGCCTGGTTCTAGTGATATCCCGTCTTTGAGTGTAGAAGGAGCAAGTCTGGGTTCGACTACCGGCGGTATACAGGGTAACGACATTGATCTGTTTGCTTCCCTTGGGACCATTGATCTTTGTGGTTGGCATAATCTTGGAAATCTGGATGATCTTCCGTGGCGGATGGGCAATGGGTTCTGATTTTCCATGTCATCAGTATCGTGATGATGGACAAGTCTACAAAGCTAAAATAACCGCGCTGGCAGAGCCGTAAAATGACAAGTTGATATAAATATCCGGAGACAGAATCTCACATCAATCCGACATGCAAATAGGATGATATTAATAAGTTCATATAAATATAAACAGCTACCTAGAAGACATGTAAGACTTCGAGCACGTGAGATGGTCAAGTCAGAGTAGGTCCCTCACTGTCAGAGCCCGCAGCAACAAATGTTCTGGCACGATTCGCAACAGGAGGATAAATCACGACGCAATTAATATTTTGCTTGATTAGTTTGGCCTAAGATGCTTGGAACTTGACTCCCAGTCCTCAGTAACAACAGCCCCCTACAGGCCTGGATAAAAGCACGTCCTATAATGTTTACTACTGAGAATACGTTTCTCATTGCAGGAGCATCTTCCTGGTCCCATATGCAAATAGACCCTCGAGTAGAACCCCAGAAATCAAGCAACAAGGCCAGGTAGATGACTACCACCCAAAGGATCACTGCGAGGCTCAAGAACGAGATATTAATCGTCCTTCTCGCTCCCGCTCATTATCGAGGGCTGTCTGCTGGTCCAAGTCTAACCTTTGCGTACAGACCAGATTGGATCTGTCGTAGCCACCCGCAAACTCTGCGAAAATATTCTAGGATCCGAAGAAGTCTCGAGAGGCAGGTAGGATGCTCTGGCGCTAGGCTTTGCTGACATAACTACAGTCCCGGAGAAGAAACATCCTGAAAAAGATACGTCCCCAATGGTAAGGGAGGAGCGGTGCGACTTGGTGGGGTAAGATTTCAGATGGGTCTATCACGGTCGGTCTCCGACTGGATAGGAGAAGGATACAGTTCTATGTGGTTTCCCCCGTAGGATAGTACTCGCAAGACGAGGCACATGCTCGTACGGGAACCGCACTTGAAAGGTTTGCACAGGGTTTTCGCGCGGTTCAGAGAAATCTCCTCTTAGGTGTCATGTCCAATCGTAATGGTAGAGGCCGAGCCCAAGGCCGAGTGGAAGTGATAGAAAGGAGAACATCGAACGAGCTGTCGTTGTGAGCTTCTAGGTAGTGTTTTCAAAAGGTGGAGAGCTCCATGCACAACTAAATAGTTTACCAAGATAATGTGACCCATCCCCATCCGTGCAAATCTTTCTATCCGCAGGGTCATGAATTTGGCTTAGTTTACAGCCATGCTTCCAGTAAGTTAAGTTAGTGTTCAAATAATATGGCTGTTGGTGGACCAGAATCATGTGACTAGATGGGGGTAAAATCCCCAGGGAGCTGTCTGATTATTTGGGGGGTCTGAAGTGGTTGTATTCAGAAGGATTGTCTGCCCAACCCCTCTATGAGGAGTATTGGGTATATATATTCACATGATGTCCCAATCTGGACTAGTTTATTCTGACAGGAGCACACAACAAAATAATCAATCAAGAATAACCAAGAGAATAATCAAGAAGAGCCCAACCAGCTCAATTCATTCAAATAAGACCTTTTTATCAATCGTATTCTATTTCCTCTTCGGGACTAGCCGCATATCTACTGCGGGGATGACGTGTAGTCTCCACCCAGACGGATATGCGAATGGTTTGCCATCCGTTCATAATCAGTGGAGCAATACCCGAATACCCGAGTACCCGAGTACCCTAGATCGCATCTTCAGGCTTTGGTGGAAGGCATGGGTCTTACGCAGGTCAACATAACCTAGGATAGGTTCTTATGAACAGTAGTAAATCGATCAATTCCGAGTGACAAGCGACTTGATTCCCCATGAATCTGATATTTAGACTTATTTGCACGAATGCAACGGTGGTTATTTTGGAAGCTTTCTCTATGGACAAAGCGGACACACGGCAAAGCGCCGTTATCTTCAGACGGTAAGGATGAACTTTCCATGTCCAAAATACCGTCCGTTTGCAAGGTCATACGCCTCCCGTGCCTTTGAAATGGGGTAAATGTCCACCACGAAAGACTGGAGGGCTCCCACATCCACCAATTTAGCAAGATAGTGTAACGCCTCAGTACTACCCTTCACAACGAAAAACAATGCATGCACGCCAGCCTTGCATAGACCTCGCTTTTTGTGCTCTTCCACAAAGTTGAAGCTCGCAGAATCCACAGAGACCAGTACCCCCGTCTCTGTTATGTACTCCCAGCAGTTCTCCAACACCTCACCGCCAACAACATCAATAATGATATCGAACACCCCTCGATAGCGCCCCAGCATACCGTACTCAACCGCCTCATCTGCCCCAAGACGCTGGAGAAACTCTCCATTGCGCGCATTCGAACTGGTAGCGGCTACTACCCTTGTGCCCGCCACCACCGCAAGCTGAACGAGATACACTCCCACCGCACCCGCAGCTCCGGTAATCAGCACGCGTTTGTTATTTCTGGGCACAGACCGGGACTTGACCTCCTCCACGGTAGGGAGGGGGAGCCGAGCGTGGTTGAATAAGGCCTCATAGGCGGTTTGGGCGCTGAGTGGCAATGCTGCGGCCTGGGCGAAAGTCAATGCGGTCGGTTTCAGGGCAACTTCGTCCTCTTTGACGACGGTGTATTCAGCCCACGTGGCGGCTCGGTCTACGCCTGCCATGCCGAAGACCTGGTCACCTCGCTTGAACTTGCTGTCCGGCGAAAAGACCTCGGTCACGGTTCCTGCGAGATCGTTGCCCAGGACGGCGTATTCGTGCGCGTATGTTTCGGGCCAGGTTAACATGTCGCGAACGATGGTTGTAGCTTTGACACGGACGAGAAGTTCCCCGGGTTGCGAGGGACTTGGGATGGGGACATCGCGGTCCAGCTGTAGGGCTGTGGACGGGGCGGGATTGGAGGGTGAATAGGGGAGAGATTCGGGAGAAGCGGGATGGACGCTAATGGCTTGCATATGTGCGGTGTTGTTGTTCACAAGTAAGTGCGAATAGATGAGAGGTCGATCTGAGTGATGATTGCGCCGGTGCAAGTAAATGTCCCATTTAATGAGTGATGAAGAGAGGGCATCTAGATATACGTAAGAGAAAAGCACCGTTTCCGATTCCGAAATAGGCTATCAATAGCGCTCTGTGGAGCGCGAGAATAGTATCAGACAGAGCGTAGGAGGGCCCTGTGAGTTGCCACCCGAAAGCTTGCTAGAGTTAATCGGGGAATGCTTCGAGTTTATGAAAGCAACATAAAATACGATCCAACGCGATCTGCAACCACCCATAAGCTCCACACAAGCAATACCTGCAGATCTTGGGACAACCAGGCAAAAATGTTCGTGATCTCCTTTATACAGGATCGATCACCAGTGGCAGAGGGTGAATTACGGAAACAAAGACCACCAAGGAGGAATTCATTGACATTAACTAGGAACCAATAAACAAGCGTTCCCGGAACCCTGCCAGCCCACATTTACGCCTGCATCTTCCGCGCGACAATATCCTTATATTCTGCATCATATTGCACAAGCACCGATGGGCCCTCCTGCTCCAAGATCTCCGAGTCAATCACAAAGTTCACGAAGAACGCCGCCGGCTCGGTCTGGCTCGCATTGGCACCAATCCGGTGATGACAGCCTGGTGCCTCGTACCAGGAACCGCCGGTCTTGATCGTCCTCATCGGATCATTATTCATCTTATTCAAGATGGAGCCGTGGATCACATAAGCGGAGACGGAAGCGCCCCCGTGACGATGAGGGGGTGTCGCACCGTTCGGAGGAAATTCGACGAGCATGCCGACAATGGTCTTTCCAGGGCAATTGACAAGTCTATACTGGTAAGCGATGGTGGTCGTCGCCATAGGGCACCTAGTGAAATATTAGATCATGAGCTCCATCTAGGCTTGTGGAGATTGCGGTCTTCTAGGGACCTACTCAGGGTTGTAGCTTGGTTCTTGCATGATGACAGGATGAGGGGCTGTACTGCGTGTGGACGGTTATCTTTCTTTAAGCTAGCGATGCAATTTATTGAATTGTTTTGTTGGAAAGTTGTGGTTGTATGGCCCTTATATACCCCGGATAGACCCGTTGCATAGAAACCCGACCGGCCAACCTCTGCACACTCAACAAAGTATTGCATGCTTGGGGCCCAAGTTGCTAGGCTAACCGGCCACTGTGTTTATTGGTTTATTCATTGAGCTCATTCGGGGACCCAGAGTTAATAGGCTAACCGGGTATCCGATGCCTCTGCTGGGAAAAATGCAAATAACGAACGCTGGGCACAACCGCTCCCCAGTATGTAGCAATTGAGTAGACTTGTGTCGAATCAAAAGTTGTCGCCGTCAAGATATCCGCGGGGTTCTAGGAGTTATTAAAACAGATATTAATTAACCTGATCTGTTCTATAATGTGCAAAAAATTGAAAGACTACTTACGAGCTATAAAGATTTTTTCTTTGTAACCCTGCCTGCCATGTCACCCAAAGCTAAATTAAATTAGGTTAGTATCGAAGAGATTCCGAAGAGTGTTATATATTATAAGCGGATCTCAGAGATTTTGGGGATTGTCAAACAATTGCAAGCATGGATAAAAACAGGGGTAGAGTCTAAAACTGTCGTTCCCTATTATTAGGATTTGTCTGAAGAGAGAAAGTCCCGGATCTCGAATAAATTTAGCCAGCTGGATTCGAAGCATCGAATTGTGGTAGTAATGGGAAGATGAATTAATAATCCCAATATTACAAGAGTAGTAAATTAGAAGCAGCTATTAAATCTTATACCCCTATACAACGCGCTGGCAGGCCCGCGCGTGCCCCTAATATAAACGGGGAGCTTATTTGGCTGGTTAGACCTTCCTGCTTCCATTAGACAACCTACCAAAGTTAAAGTTCGCAATCAACTCAGGAAGCAATAATCCGCAATCCAGCAGGTAGCATTATTAGATGCAGAGATTCTGTCTAATAACAGTTCTAATTACTTAGGAAATAATAGAGTATCAATCCCATCACAACAGGGCCATCTTAGGGCTAAGCAGCGTAAGGGCCTTGTTCCAGGAGTGTTGAAGCTAATTAACAGCAATTATATGTGACAGGAGATCTTACCCTTATTTCGGCAGCCTTAATCAGTCAGTCTTAGTATCTGCTGCTCTAAATGTAGCCTATACTACTCGAGAATTAAACGCCCTGATAACCTCAAACCATTAAGCTCCTCACGGAAGATGCCTAGGTGCCTACATAGAAAAAGACTCGGGTAAAAAAGACTCGGGTAAAAAAGACTCTTGCACAGTGGCGCAGGGGCGCGGCAGTCGCCTATCTCCCTGACTTTATTTTGGACCCAAGATCACTAGAGAAGACGCTAATATTGAAGGTAATGGATTGTTGGATAGATCGCTGTACCGAAATAACGACAATGGAGGGATTTCGGAAATGGGCGCCAAGGAATAGGATTGGCTGGAGTATAGTACTTTTGCCGAAGAGCTTGTAAAGGTAATCTATAATATAGTGGATCCCTCTTACTTGCGCTAATATGGCCCTCTGCAGTCTATTAACTCTAATCTTGTACCATCGAGTACTTTGTCGCCGCCTTAAAAAGGCCTCGAATTAATAAAATACCTATATAAACTAGAAGTTAGGCTTTTTACCCACATAGTCTTCGCCTTCATCCCAATTAAAAAGCTTATTAAGCGCTTCAGACTCTTTAATCATATGTACTGCATTATCCAAACCCAAAAAGTATCTTTTTATTAAAGTTTAATAATAGAATTCACCATCTTCTCGGCACCTCCGCCTGAGAGGTCCTTAGCACGGAAGGATATTTTTCCACGGCATGTAGGACGCATAGACTCCGAGATTTAAAAAGCAACAACAAGAATATTATAAGCTACAGGTTTGTCAGGATTGGTTGTGTTAATGTATATAGCTAATTGGTTATAAAGAGATTTCTGTCAAGGGCTGAACCCATAGAACCTATGAGATAGGTTATGTACAAGAAGGAATCGTTGAAGAAGGGAAGAAAGGAAGAGGAAATGAGAGGTAAACAAACAAAGTGGAAGGTCACGTGACATGTGGATCGAGGGCCCATGACCAAAGGTGCCAACAGACCAAAAGGGACAGTAGGGACAATAGGGGCAACAGGGACAACAGGGACAACAGGGACAACAGGGATAATAGGGACATTGGCCCGAGAGGTCAAATGGGCTCCAGCCCTTTACAATTTCTAAAAAAAAGGCATAAAAAGCGGAGTTTAATATATAGTAATTAAAAATATAGTCAAGATCCATATTCAGAGTACGACAACACGGTTAATCTATTTTATATTCCTCTTGTGAATTTTGACTTCCTAATTAGTTTCGAACCATTTATATCGCTGTTCTCTCTAGTTAATCAAGCTATTTGCCAAAGTTGCAAGTTGGAGCTTAGGTGTCGCGGCATCTGTACAGGTTAGCTAGAACAGATATAGAGTCTCGTACGCATATTTTCTTTGCCGAGAACCGTTAAAGTAAAAACATGACTTCGCGATGGCACGGCGAAGGAGATTAAGATCTGTGTGACGACCGTTAACCTGAGCGCGGTGACGTGATGTTTATATGGTTTTCACGTAGGCCGTATTGGGATAAGGAAGAGCTGAGGGCACAGGGTTAGGTCTGGGAAGCTTCCCACCATATCCTCGCTAGCCATGACAACGCCCTTCTTACTTCTTCCTTTCCTCGCCATCTTTAGTATTCTTGATATAGGACTCAATGTGATCTTATCCCCCTGATTTGCCTGCCGTCAAAATCTGCATGTTTAATTACATACTTCAGTGTCTGGTACGAGAGCGCTATCCGCAAGAAGTGTAAATAGTTATCGTAGGCATTATTAGTAATATTAGAAAGATGTACTCTAAACAACTAGGCCGCTGTACAGTTAATAATATTATTTAAATATTTAGGTGTTAAACTTGATAAAAGTTGGTTAAAGGGAGGTTTATTCCGCATTTTTAGTTCGCTGTGTATAGCCGCAATAGCGCGCCCTTGGAAATTGTGAATCAGAAACTCTTCCAGGTCAAAGAAAGCTAGTCTCTGACTGCTGATCTTCTTGCGATTAAGAAGGTTCCGAGTATATGCTAAAAAAAGAGGTGCAGTGCATGTGCCTGGAAGTAGGTTTTATAAGTACGACCCAGTTTATTTTAAAATAGAAGAGTGCTGACACAGATAACAACCACCGGAGAGATTTAACCATGTCCACGTCTTTAGCACGTTGAGCCTCTAGTAGTAAAATTACCTGGATTTTAACTACATCCACTTTTATTCCGGGGTAGGAACACACTCTCTCCACGGCCTTATTTCCCTAAATCCCGCTTAATATTACCCTTATGTAATAATGTCTCTTCCACACCCCCGCCTATCGCTTAGAAGTCCTATTGTCCAATCGAAAGACACCATCCCAGGCAAGGATTTAGGGCACGTTGCATGTTACCCCCGCATTTTATATAAGGGTGCAACATACACACCCGTATCTATTGTACTTCTATGTGTTCACATCTCTATTTGCCTTCTTCGGGGGCAAATTGAACACTCTGTTGGCCTGCTGAACCTTACTGATAGAATGTGGAGTCTCTTTGTCCACTGTCCGCAATTCTCGCTTAGTCAAAAAGAGTCGAATAGCTTGTCAGGATAAAAATAGTATGCGCGGATTGTTACGGAACGGAGCAACAGAAGTGCTTGGCTTATTTAATCTACCTACACCAAATGCTTGTTTTCTTTAACCAAGGGGTAGCATAGGGGGCAAGTCCAGTTACCGGAGAGACCCGCAAATATTAAATTTACATGGCGTAATAAAAATAATTCGGTAACTTGTGTAAGTGGAGAACAAGAGATCAGTGCGTCTAGTATATAGATAAAACAGGAAATTGGAGAGCGACATGCTCTCTATAATTGAAGCTGGGAGTTACGAGGTTTGTTTGTCCAAATAGCGTTTAGTTGGTTGGTGAAAAGGTGTGCACAGCTCGCTTGTAACTTTAATATTGAAGTTTATTCTCCCAGTTGTGAATGACCACTGGATCACCTTGTAGGCAACTAATGAGTGCCACCCATAGCTCTATCTTGAAAGAGGAACAATAGTGCAGAGCTGAAATAATTCTACCCATGTCTGCAGTCTGCTGTACCACCTGGTGCCTGCCTGTTGTCAATTCCTAAAGTCATAACTAATCAGCCAGCCACTTCCGGGCGTCGCATAGCCTTCCCCCCACTTGAAACTGTTCCATATCGATCAAAGACATGGAAGGCCACATCGCACGTTTCCTCGCTGGGCTCTTCCATTTTTTCCCAGAATTCATTGCGCATACCCTCTCGATGAATATACCGGGCTAGAGCGGTGGCGACAACGACGCCATCACAAGTGCATTCGGCCACAAAGTTTTTCATCCACCTGGACTGGCTCATTCCGTCATTAGACAAAAAAAGCCAAATCTTCACCGTTCGTTCCGCGTCACCGGGGGTAGTATACTCGTGCTCCTCAATGTCCTGTTCACGATCCGAATCTTCGCTCTCATCTTCCCTCCACCATTCTTCTTCCTCGGATTTATCAGATCTATTGTATTCAAGGCCATCACCTGTCGACTCATGGCCTTCGAAGTCTGCTACTAGCCGTGAATGATCTGTTAGTATTTTTCACACCTCTAAGATTACGCTCCCTCTGTGTTAGTGGAAGGGAAGGAGAGCGCACTGCTTCGCTTGAAGGGTACTCGGGCCCCGTCCATTTTCTCCCCATCGGTTTTCATTCTTGTTGTCAACCTTGCTTCCTGGCCTGGTTTTGGCGAAGCCGTTATGAGGTAGAAGAATGGCAGGTGAGAAGCCGGAGAGATAAGAGATGAGAGATGGGGTCAGTTTCCTGGTGAGAATGGGAATGTAGCTGTAGAGAATCTCTACATTAGCGGAACCTTAGTTTTGCAGATCTATCGTGCTTTTCCTTTTCGAGAAGCCCGAGTTAATTTAAATCTCGGCGGCCGAAAATAGCGGGCGATTTAGTATTGGTTGCTAAAATCAGGCCATGCTGTGCTAACGAATAGCTCAAATTATATTATGGTATAAGGACAACAAAAAATGAAATAACATATCACTGTCGGGTGTTTGATTATGTCCACTCTGTACTCGCCGAGGCCCTGACAAGCTCTATTCGCATGAGGCGGGAAAAATACGGTATGCAGAGATTGGCTGCTGAATATTTTGCGGTACCTATTATGTATTACTCCCCTGGGCGGTTAATGATTTTTGAACTGACGGCATTAATGCAGGTTGATGAAGCAGTATAAAAAAAAAGCGCAACTGGAATATAAATGCCTAACACTCCTTATAGCTCACAGTGGCCTTATTCTGATACCCTGTACAACATATTTCTTTAGGAAACATTCTTGGTGTGAACTTGGGCATCCAAGGGGAACAAGACAGCCATTCAAGTGGTGTAACTCGCCAACTCTAGCATAGCGGCCGGCAAGAGTTTTCTGACAGAATAGACAATAAGGTTCAAGTGACTGGGTTGCCAGAAGCTTACGGGCAGCTTCTTCATCATGGTCGGTAGTCCGAAGAGCAACCTCATGGAAGAATCTGTTGAAACAACTGTAGCAATATGGGTGACCACAGCCTAGAACAAGGTCGACTATTTTGCAAAAGCAAATTTTGCACTCGTAGTACTCTTCGAGAGAATGGTCTGCATGACTTTAGTAATCGGATATTGATAGACATATTTATGCCTTACCATTATTGGTGATATCACCATAGACCAAAGCATCCCCAACATTGCCAGTAGAAGAAGAACTGAGCGATCTTGTTGGATCAGATGTACAGGAGTTATCTGCTCCGCTGTCATTAAGAATGATGGGGTTCTCTGTAGTGATGTGAGGAAAAAGTCTGGGTTAGATATCGTGTTACAACATACCGATTGTATCGCCTGGGCGAGCATCACTGCTGCTCTCCAAATTCTCCAACGCGTCAACGTCAATTGGATTTTCTTAAACAAGATTAGCAAGGAAATACAATCCAAGGTATTTCAGTCTCACCAATTGCATTTCCAGCAAGAGCGACACGATCTGGAAGTCCTCCTGCTTGCCGCTGTTCGTTTTGATCATTGAGAAGAGGGAGAGCCGGTGACTCCAAGAGAATAGGAGTAAGGAAGCCAGGCTGTGCGTATGATGTATGATGACTGTACCTCAGTACAGGCAGTTGAATGTGTATGGCATGACGACGAGAGGGAAACACAAAAAGTTATCAGCTTGAATGGCCTTTCCAAAACTTAGGCATCTCAGCAAGCATTATATACTTGACCTCTACCAGAGCCATCCCCCAAAAAGCTACTTCTAAAGGCCTATTTTTATCATCTGGCCTAGGTATCCCTGTTAAATTAGAATCACTCGGTGTAAGAAGCTATTTTTGACGGCCACTTGACTGACCGTATACGATGACCAAGGTGCATATTATGAGGCATTGCTGTTTATAAGGAGAGGGGAATGCGCCCTGAGAACTATAATTGGAAAACCCATAGCGAGCCTTTGGCTGAGAGATCACCACACGATATCCTAGTTTCCCTTGGTTCATTGGAACGTTACAAAATAACCAGGAAAGTTACATCACTGATGCATGTAAGTCTCCTGGAGAGAGCTAGCCTCGTCTCCTTGCCACTATCATCTGTGATTGATATCCAATGAATACTCCTCGGCGCAGAAGCCTGGCTCTTCTAATACGGTAGCGCTGCGGCACACCTTGTTTTAGAAAGCGAAAGGGGCATTGCCCATGCCGTTTGAAAGCTGTGGGTTAAGGCGTGCTCCTCCGCTCAATCCTAACAGAATGCCTTCATTTGGGGTGACTGATTAAGAGGCTGCCGATGTTCATCCAGGCAGAACTTTGGGGTGCCATTGGTAAAGATGCCTTGTGCAGTGGCGACAGTAACTTCGCTGTTTATATTAGTAGTCTTGTCCAAGCATGGCTACTTCATTAAACACCAGCCTGGCGATATCATGGAGCCCAGAGCCATTTCTTTTCACTCTGAGGACCTCGGACTAATGTGATTTCTGTAAAATATTTTTGCGGTTCCTTCAGAGACGGTAGTCGTGTTCTGTTTACTTTGTGAGCCATACGAAACGAAAACGACTACCAGGCCCTGCCTGGATTTTGCTGACTTCGGAATTAAACTACCCCACCAATGTCAATAATTCCGCTGAACGAGCAGCAAGCGAGTTTGAAAGCATGAAAAAGAGCCAACTAGGAAAGCAGGCGAGCGGTAAATGGTTCCTTGATGATGCCCGCCAGTTCCAATGCTGACATTTGCAGATTATTGAAGTGCGAAGGCTTGGCAAGCGAGGTGACTAAGAATGGGATGGGATTGGACCACTAAAACCGATTGAATGAAGCAATTATATTGACTATATCAAACGATTGAGTTGAAGGTGTTGAAGATCTCTTTTCTCGCTATCTAAGAGGTCTATTTATATTGCTAGAATCGCTTATTTTGATCGTCTTTTATGACTTTGTTCCTAGCATTGCAAATTGTGCAATTTCCCTGATCAAGCAAGGCGATGATCGCTAACTATCCCATTGTCTTAACTAACGTAATCGGACACCGAGTGTCCGGGAACACCGAGTGTCCGATTTTTTTCCCGCAGCATCACCAAAAATTTCAAATTACTCTACACTATCCACATTATCAAATGGAGGATAATTCTTATAATAAGAGAATTATCCTGGCCCTTAATGCGCTTCAAAATGGTCAATTTTTATCTACCCCAAAGGCAGCAGCAGCATTTGATGTCAATAAACGAACCCTTCGAAGACGTCTTAAAGGTGTCTCTGCACGCGCAGATACAGGAGCAAACTGTAAAAAGCTATCAGAAACTAAGGAATCTACTTTATCAGCATGGATTCTTGATATGTACCAACGTGGCTTGCCTCCAGGGCCTAAGATTATTGAATATTTAGCAGGATTACTATTCTCTGCACGGCTATCCTCCTCCTCCGAGCCATCTCCAGCCCCCCTTGGTCAGAAATGGGTAAACCGGTTTGTTAAGCATTATCCAGAGCTTTGCTCTAAATATAATCGGAAGTATGACTATCAGCGCGCAAGATGTGAAGATCCAGAGCTTATTCGGAACTGGTTTAAGCTCTTTAATAAGACCCGACAGAAGTATGGCATTCTAGATGAAGATATCTACAACATGGATGAGACAGGCTTCCAGATGGGCATGATTTCAACTGCAAAGGTTATCTGCAGCTCAGAAACAAGAGAAAGCCGGGCAAAGGAACTACAACCAGGGAACCGGGAATGGGTGACTTCAATTGTCTGTGTTAATTCTACTGGATGGGCTTTGCCTGCACAGATTATCCTAAGTGGACAGAAACACCAAGCCCAGTGGTATTCCTCAATTCCACAAGATTTTCGGATTAGTCTAAGTGAGAATGGATGGACAACAAATGAGCTTGGTTTTAAATGGCTCCAAGAAGTTTTTGAAAAGCATACAGCTTTAAAAACTAAGGGACAATACCGGTTATTAATTCTTGATGGCCATTCTAGCCATGCAACTGCAGAATTTGATAAATTCTGTACAGAGAGAAAGATTATTCCTTTTTATATGCCTCCATATTCTTCACATCTTTTACAACCACTTGATGTGAGCTGCTTTTCTCCATTAAAGAAGATATACGGCCAGAGTATTGCAGACATGATGCAGGGAGGGGTTCACTTAATCTCCAAGAATGACTTTTTGTGTCTTTATCCCATAGCTCATCAACGTGCATTATCACTCTCTAATATCCAGAGTGGATTTACAGCAACTGGGTTAATCCCTCTTAGTCCACAGAGAGTACTCTCAAAGCTTTCTATTAAGCTACAAACAAAAACACCAACACCTCCATCTACAGCCCACAGTAATAAATCATTTGGCCCAGGGAAGACACCAGCGGATCTCTACCAACTTAAGCAGCAAAAAAAGCGAATTAAACGCCTCCAAGCTAAGCAAAATGAGATATCCCCTTCGACAATTACCCAGGCAGTTGACAAGATGATTAAAGGTGCAGAGATCAGTATGCAAAGGGAAGTTCTAGTACAGTATGAGGTACATTAGTTTCGGATATTCCAGCAAAAAAAGAAGAAAGGAAAGAAAGCACCTCGAAAATTTATTCAAGATAAAGGCAGTCTTACTGGTTTAGAAGGCCAGCAAAAACTTCAGCAGATAGAGGAGGAGTTGCTTCAGAAGGAATTATCTAAGAAGCAACGAAAGCCTTCAAAGTGCAGTAATTGTGGGCAAACTGGGCATAACTGTTTAAAATGTCCTAGCAAATAGCTTTATTTTCATTCTATATATGGAAAATATTTGGATTCATGATAATTATGCAATAGTTGTAGTATTTGTAGATTCAGGGGAGCGGAGCAAAAAATCGGACACTCGGTGTTCCCGGACACTCGGTGTTCCCGGACACTCGGTGTCCGATTACGTTAGTTAGTTACTGCCATTGCTTAGTCAATCCCGCACTGCAACACAGATCTAGTAGTTGAGCGGCTCGTCACGTGTAACACCATAAAGACTCACCGCCCGGCAGAATACATCGTTCTCTAACCTCGCCTTCAAGATCTGCGTTTTGAAGATGCATTCTGCCATGTGGATCCATAATAAAGACGGCAAATTTAATCTTGGCAATGTCGTGCTGAGTTGAGAGAAGTTTTTTAATCAGAATTGTTGATATCGACCACCATAAAGACACGATCTCCCCTTATTTCGATGGCGAGGAAATGAGTTCGACTATCATTCTCCCACTTTGGAAAGATTCCATCGATGAACTTTCCTGCTGAGACACGATAATCATGGGAATCTAGTTGGTTTGTATGCGCTTTGATCACAAGTCTTCGTGCTTCGGTATTTTTAATATCTTCTCGCGAATCTGAGCAGTATTAGACATGGTGAATGAGTCAATCATGGGGTGATGGTGAGGCCTCATGAAGTAGACCAACGAGGGTTGAACGCAAGACGTGCGGCAGGTATCCTTCTTATACTCAACGGCGATAGGCGTCTTGCGGTTTGCTTTGTTTGCAGTTTGTTTGCATCGCGCGGATCCCTTGGTCCAACTGAAAAGGCTTAAGCCAGGAGGATCATTTGTCGAAAGTGCATGCTAACCGTTGCGACTACAGCTATAGTTTGGACCTGCATATGGCTGTGGAAGCAACCATTGAGATATTCGAGTGTTAGGAAAATTGGGTTATCTTTGGTTGTATATCTTGCGATCTAGCTTTCCCCTTACCAAAAGGCCTGATCTATGAAATTGATACATCCTCATGTTTCTGGCGAACAGAAGCAACCAAGCTAGCTATGAAAGAGAGCCTGCGTACGGACAGAAAACCCGTACCCCTATCTTCGCTACAGCCTATTCTTTTGTCGCCGCGCGTTCTTATCTGCAGCCCTTTTTATATTTGCAGAGGCAGGCTGCATACTGCATACGAAGAATTATTTGATTATCACAGCTTCTAGACAATGCTTGTATGTTTAATATGCTAGCAGTATATACTATGGGAACGTATGCTGACGGCCATCAACTCCAACTAATGCAGATACACTATATGTTACATTGAATTCCTCAAGGGACAATCTTCCGACTCCACAACCCAGTCCCCAAATCATCCACAACTATGTCAAGCGTCAGGCCTGCATCCGCACACGCAGAGCGCAGCGCTTCCTCTTCCTCCTTGCGGAACTCCGTGTGATTCTGATCCCAGAGACGCATGGTGATCCGTTGCAGTTCCGGGGTGTGCGCACGCCAGTCAACAAGGAAGCGGTGTAGCAGGCTAATTTCCTCATCCTCGTCCCAGTGAAAATCGTACAAGCTCCGTAGGTCGTCTCGTAGGCACAGCTCGCGGAGTGACCTTGGTAAGAGAGGGCCGAGTTTGGCGGGGTTATCGTGATCAACGAACCAGCCGAGCAGAACGCAAAGCGGCATCTCTGCTGTTTGGAGATTGGAGAACCGATGCAGAATATGGGAAAATGGTTCCTTGATGTGATCATCGGCGTCGCCCCAGACATGATCGCCTAAACTCGCGGGGTAATATTCCACCCCGAGTGAGAGGTTCTGCACAGTTGGGCTCACGGAGACCAGGGCCTGTGCTAGCATCGGGGCGTCGCTTACTACTAGCTCGCGGCGACAAGCATAGGCCATTCCGAGGTGCAAGTTTTTGAGCTTCAATGCCCGCGAGAGCAGGAAGCTCACATCCTGATCGGAGATCGTAGCGCGAGGCAGAATGAGCGTCTCTAGATTACTAAGATCCAGATCAGGTTTCATCTCCTGCAGGTCGTCGAGATCTCGCATCCAGATGTTCAAGACGCGCAGAGATGGAAGACAGAACCAGCCCGTAAACTGGCTAGGGTTGTACGGAGGATAGCTGTCGGGATACACATCCTCATCCTCACACTCTGACTCGGCAATTGGGACATTTCCACCGTAGTCCACGACCTGAAGGTCTTTGAATGTAGAGAGGGTCCCGTTGGGGAAGAGGACGGCCTGTTTGATCATCAAGCCCGGATACCCATCCCACCAGACTAACGAGTAATCTAGACGGAGCGACTTTAGGTTGGGCAGCTGAGAGAGGAGGATCGCTGCAAAGCAGTAAATATTACCCCCGTAGATCGGCAGATGCCAGGTCTCGGCATCGGCGAATTGGGCGCGCCGAACAAGATCCATGGACTGGTCTAGCACGTCGCGGAAAGACTCTGACTCGGTTTCCCAGTCGATCTCCGGCTGGGTGTCCTCCCATTCCTCGGCATCGGGTGCAGATACTAGACTAAGATGGTGGACGCAGGATGCCAGCTCGGGGTCTTGGAAGACCAGCCGAAGCAGCTGCAGGAGCCTTTTGAGCGGCCGGGAGGTCCAGTCCAACGAGATACTGCGGTAGGCGAATGGAGTGGCCGATGCACTGAGGTCCTTGCAGGTAGATGAGATGGCCAGGGCATCATTCAGCGAGAGCTGGTCCAGGATTGTGACCAGGCAATCCTGGGGCAGCCGGGACAATGGCCTGGGGGTTGATAAGCGACAGAAGAGAATTAGTTTTGGGGGGAATATCTTACCCTTTATTTTGGGAGGGAGAATTCCTTTCATTCATGGTGCTGGATTGCATGGAGAATAGTTTTCGAGATGAAAGGCAGTCCACCTGGAGGTGCGGGTTATAAGCAAGCGATATGGAAACGGGGTGGGGGCCTAAAAGTGGAATGGAGCATCGGAGCGGAAGATGCGCCCGCCGCCCCTGAAGGAGAAATAACATTGATGGGAAGGTAGACGTTTGAAACAGAATGGCTATACCGAGTGCCGCTTTAATGGGAAGAACTCTGCCTATCACGTGTTAGGGATATACTTCTGCTAGTAAATTTCTATGGAGGATCTAGAAATAAGATATTATAAGGAGGAAAAACCACGTTGCATTGAGCAGTATCAGGCAGTATTCCACCAGCCATTTCTATATGGCCTAACATGACTAATGCACAGCTGTACAATCACAGGAAAATAGTATACAAAGTGGCAGGAAACATGGCTCTGTCACTCCTTGGCTGCTATCCCACACCCTCCAGAATAGATCTCAATCTCAATTACTTGGGGACGGGAAATGTGGGAACATCCTTCAGCACCTCGATCTGATCCTTCTTGAGATAGGTAGGCGTTTTATTGACGACTTTGAAGTTCAAGCCTTTGGGCCCAACAAACGCCTTGCAACCCCAGCCCTCGCCACATCCGTCCTCCTCCGTCAGGCTCTTACCATGATCCGGATCCTTTGGCTTAAAGAGCGTATTGTCACAAGGAGGCTTGATGCCGCCGCCCTCCTTAAACACATTCCCGGAGGGTATCTTGGGGTTCTTTTTGTCCTTTTCTGTTTTCTCCTCCCATGCCACCACGGTGGGTTTCTCCGGCAAGTTTTTCAACGACTTCGTGGGGTTGAGCAGGTAATATTCGAGGGATGCCATGACCTCTCCACAGGCGCCCTCATTCTTGTGCTTGAGGAATCCCTGGGGAATTTGGTCGATGGACCCGGTCGTACTGCTTCCACCCTGGTTGTTCGACTGTCCCTGGCCGTTGTTCGACTGCTGCTGACCAGTGCCCTTTTTCTTGTCGTTGTTTGAGCTGGTGCTTCCGCCCTGGTTGTTGCGTTGTCCCTGGCCGTTGTTCGACTGTCCCTGGCCGTTGTTCGACTGTCCCTGGCCGTTGTTCGACTGCTGCTGACCAGTGCCCTTTTTCTTGTCGTTGTTTGAGCTGGTGCTTCCGCCCTGGCTGTTGCGTTGTCCCTGGCCATTTTTCGACTGCTGCTGACCAGTGCCCGTTTTCCTGTCGTTGTTTGAGCTGGTGCTTCCGCCCCTGCGTGGTCCCTTGCCTGTCAGACCTCGTTTCTCCGGCGCGCTCGTCTGCTCTTGTTGAGTTGTCGCAATACTTCCTTCCCTGCAGCTGATGAGGGCGTTCATGACATCCGGTGCTTTTTCCTTAAGGACACTGGTAAACTCTTCGTTCTTGCCCCTCAGTTCGTCTGGAGAAGCGGCCAATTTAGCAATGCCGTCCCTGTCATAGATGTAACCTCCACCCTTGAGGCTGGATGCGAGAAAGACCTCATCCCCGACCTTAAGGGCAGTCATGACAGTTGGGAGCCCCTTTTGCTTAGCCTTATCCTTAGGCGGATTCTTGATATACAGGTCGAACATTTCCCACCAGGCGGCTTCGGCGAGGCCTGCAATATCGGCTTCAGTCACGGATGAGGAGGATTTCAGTTTAAGGTGGGCAGCATAGCCATTGAACCTATTTGGGCCGCCGAATTCCATATTTTTGACACCCAGGCTACCCAGGCCATCGAAGGACGGTCTAGCCTTGTACTTGTTGTTTGGCTTTGACTGAGAGGTTTGGCCTTGCGACGCTCCTTGTTTACCCACAGGGCCGGCCGCGACGAGGGCCACAAGGAGGCATACCACCAGATAATAGATTTTGGGTATCATGTTCGGATCAACCCAGCATAAGACTGAGGTTCAAAAAGTCCGACAGAAAAAAAAAAAAAAAAAAAGAAAGAAAAGAAAAAGGAAAGACTTGGATAAAGAAAGACTTGGATCAGAAAACGAGGGAAACTAAAAGAATGACTGTGATAGTAATGGTGAAGATGACAGCCTGAACGAAGGCACAACGACGAGGTATTTATACCCTCGACCGCTGGTTACCATCTGGATATACGGATATCAAAACATCACCGTATACTCCGTAGCGGAATAGACAAGACGCTGATCAGACACAGCGTCTGTTGGCAAGTCGGTTATCCGGAGGCTACATGACCCCTATGGGGGCTGTTCTGGGTTCGCTTAATCTTTTCCATACGGAGGTTGATGTATACACTCCTGTATACGGGCCCGATTTGATGTCCGACTGTGGACCAGAATTCCAGAAACGGCCCCGCGCCAAGACCCCTGCGAAGTTAAGAACCGTCCTCCGTTCACGACCACGGAGAATGATTCCATTTAGCGGGGCTCCTCTGAAACGGCCCCTTCCAAGGAGAATTTGCCAATTTAAACGATGAGGTGGAGGATTTATACGACTTCCTGGCGCTAAACTAGTCTACTAGCCTTAGGCTATATCGTTATAGTCTATTTTTGTACGAGGTGTCAGGTGGTAGCAACATCCCCATCAGCCAAAAAGCGCACCCCACCCGCCGTATACAGTGCCATATCGGTAATCCTTAATCTATATCAATTCTAGGGTAATCCCGGTGGTGTAAGGGGTGGAATACAACTGCCAGGCGCATTGGACCATTACCTTCCGTGATTTGGGGAGATCTACTATTAGAGAGCATAGGCGGTTTGAGTGTTATTGGAGAGATATCCATGTGTCCGTATCCAGCATCGTCCGGGGGAGCGTTGGGATTGAGCGGGTTGCCGAGCTGAGGTTACGGGCCCAGAGACCATCTTCGCCGCGACGGATGGCTTCATCAATCCACACTTTCACGCTCTTATACTGGCTACACAGAATACCCTTATCGACCGATGCAAGATACAGATCCCATGGGGTCAGAATTGCAGTGTCTTGTCAGTGGCAGTGTGAACGACCCGTTCTGGAATGCAAGAGCTGACCCACGTTGGTCCCTCACCCTTAGGGTCCGTGCTTTCCCCTCTTTCCCCTCAGCCTGAGGCAGTGCCCCTGTGTGATAGGACTACGAGCTTGATATACTCCTACTGCTTTCTCACCGAGACAAGTTTGCCAGTCCTATATGTTTCTCAGCCTTAATGCAATACTAAATGTTGTTGCCTACTCCCTACCTGAGTTGGGAGGAGGCTTATCCGTCCAAGCTAACACTTTGCAGAGACAACCTAGCCTGGTGCTCCAAACCTATATCCTTCGTCCTTTATCCCGTACCTATTCTATTCAAGCATTACATATAAATACACTATCTTCCTCCATTATGGCCGGATCACGGTGTCAAATTATCAACGCACCCTCAGACGAACTTCCCTGCGGCATTATTTCTATCTTTCTTGCTGGAACAACTAGCAAAGTCGACACAAATGACTGGCGGGAGTTATTATGTGCGTCTCTCTCCAATATACCAATTACCATTTACAACCCATATCGCGCTGATTGGGATAGCTCGTGGCGTGAGGATATTGACTTCCCACCTTACCGCCAGCAAGTGGAGTGGGAGCTGGATAAACAGGACAAAGCCGACGTTGTTGTTATCTATTTCCACCCAGCAACGCAAGCGCCTATCAGTTTGTTAGAGCTTGGGATTTGCGCACGGGTGCCGAGGAAAGCTATCGTGGTTTGTCCTGAGGGATATTGGAAGAGAGGCAATGTGCAAATTGTGTGCAAGAAATTCGGTGTCGAAATGGTGGACGATGTTGACAGACTCAGGGCAGTAATAGTGAAGCGATTGCCGGATCCTTTATAAATTACCTGACCAGCACTTCCAGATTAAGGCTAGGTGAGGAGGTGAGGAGATTAACCGCACACTGTCAGTCGTTTGACCTATTCTTTGTTGCGCTCGTTGGCTGCTTCGATGGTACCTAAGAGTATGAATCTGTACTACGCATTATGGCAATGTCTTACTATACTGTTCCTGCGAACACGTCGATATGTCAACAAGTTACATGAGATTTCAAGACACCATTGTCGTTTCTTCCGTCATTTCCACTTGCCTCAGTAATGCTAACAGTGCTCGGTCTCATGCCGAATAGCTTAAGACAGTAGGAACTTTCTATCGTTGGCTAATATGTATAAGGGAATCAAAGTCCTTCTCATGCACCTGGTCCAACGATTTTACAGAAGAGTCTGCTGGCCCATCAGATGTCGTAAACGTCTTGCTAACGATTTCGAAGTATGAAGCTTTGGCATTCGCAAGCTCAAGATCAGCTTCGGCCTCCTGTCCGTGAGCTTGACGCAGTGCCTCAGATAGCTTAAACCGGCATCGAGCGTACTTCGCAGGGTGAGTACCCTTATTCAAGACCCTAGTCCTTATGTCCTCGAAGAATCTCTCAGTGTCTTTTCGTTTTGCTTCTTGCTGGCCTATCATGCATGGTAAGTATTCACCCAAGACCTATATAAGTTGGCGAGGGGCACGTACGGATCCTTTCCGGGATAGCCTTATAGTGTGTAAGGGCTGTCTGAAGAGCTAATCACGGTAGCTTCTCTGAGATGGTGACTGAAATGAACGGAGAAATGTCAGTAAGCACAAGACGAGATTTTATACTGGTCCTGTCAGCAAAGACTCTCAGACTCACAGCGCAGCATCTTCATTCCCCTGCATCAAGGCACAACAGCCCAAATGGTATTCGATAATGCCGTTGAAGTCAAGGGCTCGAGACTTGTCTCCTTGGAGCCACATCGACTGACATTCCAACAACATTCTTTCTGCACTTTTATAATCTCCTTGAAACATCAGAAGCCGACCTATGGTAAACTTGCATCTGCGCATCGTTAGTATGACCTACTCCGATACCACCGTATCGTCCTGTATATCGCTGTGTCGGAGAGGCAACTCACGTAGCTGTTGGAGCCCAAACAAACGGCACCGCAGCCAGAAGTCCATCCATAGCCTCATTTAACAACAACTTTGCTTCATTGAGTCTTCCGGCGTATAGTAAAATCCTTCCGTGTGTCAGCTTCAAAAGTGGGGGGCACTTGAACACAACGCCCGACGACTCAGACCAGGCCCTCCACGTCTCACGGCTGTGGTCGGCCCACTTGATTGCAGTATCGAAATCCCCCAAGCAGCCATAGATTGTAGCTAAGTTGTCTTCTATCCAGCACGTGTTGGGAAGGTCACAGGATTTTCGGCTTGCTTTAGGCTGTGCGCTGTAAGCAAGCTATTCAGGGCCAGCTTGAACTGTCCCCAGAAGGCCCACATTGACGCGACATGAATTTCAGTAGACGAGAGGAGGTATATCTCCTTATCAGGCTGTGGAAGCGTCTGCATTGCTATCTTGTTGACAGACACGAGATCCTCGAGCTCGCGCCAGTTCTGCGTTTTAAGAAGATAGCTAAAGGTACATTAGCGTACATAACACTGTTTCGGCAAAGGTGCCTAATAGAAAGAAATGCTCCGTTGTTATCTATCTGTACGGATCAGATTGAAGCCCACTTACCGCTGGCACTGAACCCATGTCTCGCAAGTTTCTCTACAAGCAGAAGTTGGGGTGTCGTCTTCGCTCCTGAGAGAAACTGGACTTGAGCTGCAGTACGTGCTGCAACCAAAGTTGGCACTTATCCCACACATTGTAGAGGTTGGCTCTGGTTGCTCCAGCCTCTCTTGGCCGTTTGGGAAAGACGTACATCAAAATTGAAGCTTCAAAGAAAGCCTTCTAGGTCTTTAGGTTCCAGAAATCGCCTGAACTGTACAGAAATAAGACGATGGATAGAGAATACGCGACTGTATCTGTCTCTTTTAATTAATGCAAAAGCCAACAGTTCTTCCGTGTTTGCACTCAGCCTATTGCGCAATCACTGTTAGCAAATTCACTCGCGTTGTGCAGGTCCGACACAGAACACTAACCGATCAGGATCAAGATACCGAAGCATGCCATCCGTAAGATTTTCTGTCCTTTCATCTGTTTCGAATAAAGATTGCGGAATGCTATCTGGTGCACAAAATGTGAACACCGATAAAAGTGCAGCACAATCAGGCTGAAGGCTCTCGAAGGAGAGCCCGCTAAACAGTATCAAGTCCATCCTTGAAGTCCCTGGATCTATCATACACCTCAACGAGCTCTGATATGGACCATGAGGGACGGTGGATCAGGCCACACATGTTGGATAGCGCTAATGCATGGCCACTTAACTTCTCAGACAGGCTGTATGCGGAGTCTGTTTCATTTGCCAGAAGTTCTGCACTGATTTGTCCTGCGAGGAGATGTAACAAGAATCTGGAGCCGGTAGCCGTGTCCCAAGGGAGGACCTCAAGCCCAGCATCTGCTGGATCAAAACCAAGCGAATGATTTCTCGTTGTAATCAGGATCCGGCCAGTACTCCCACTCAAAGGCAAATAGTCCCGAAGGAGCTCTGATGTCTCTGCATTATCATAGATGACCATCCATTTACACGCTGGTGAATATCCGAGTTAGCGTTTATATGGGCCAAGACTAGATAGACATACTGGTCTGCTGGAGCCAGCCTTTCAAAATCATGCGGTTCTCATCGTGAGTGGCTGATCTAGTATCAGGTAGTTTCAGCCTAAGGGCAATCTCTGTAAAACTCTGCTGGATAGAAACGGAACTTTTAGCTTTGACCCAGAACATAGCATTGTATTCCTTAGTCGCTAGATTCTTTTCTAGGTATTTCATGGCGACGTGGCTCTTCCCAACCCCTCCCATGCCATAGAGTGCCAGCGAGCGTAGCGGCGCAGTTGAGTCACTATCTCTGAAGTGACCATCGATCTTCTCAATCACATCATTGCGGTCAAAGAATCTGGTTGTCCGTATAGGCGGGAGCACATAGCAAGGGAGCTGAGTGGTATCACGGGACACGTGAGGCGAGAGAGAAAGATATGAAAGCCATGAGCTCAGATCGCCCTGGTACTGTCTCTGGTATATTGTAGCGACTCTTTCAATCCGATTGAGGATATCGAAGATATCCTCGACCGCTGTTGCAAACTTTTCGGTTAGTTGAGACCATGTTGACGGATAACTCTCTGGAGTAGCAATATTAGTTCGCGCATACTGGAATGGTAGCTTTGGAAGTTTGGAACTGCACCGCTATTATAACTCTGAGAGATCATCCTCTGCCTTGCGTAAGAGTTGCACAGCATCCGCGAGGAACGTGACGATCCGCAGGAATATGTCAAAAGAAGACTCTTTGTCCTCCTTAGTAACAGCGGGACTCTTCCTACAGTGAAGGATGAAATCATGGCGGTTTCTGCCTTGTTTCTTGAGCATCTGGACAATTCGTCGCATAGTGTCGTCGTGCTGTAAAGCCAACTAGAACGTGCTGTTAATAATAACACCTTCGCTACAGCGCCAGATCCCTTACTGTAAGTAGTAAGCCAAGCAAACCCCAGAAGATACCTGTGTCCAGAGTCGAGAAAAGCTGTGTGGAGAAGAATTCACTGAAATTTTTCAGATCGATCAGTCGCGGCTGCAGCATTGCCAGCTCATGCAATGCGGCTTCTGATGCTTCTTCATCTTGTTCCGCAAAAACATGCTCTTGTATGTCCTGATAGGTGCGGAAGCTCCTTATGATCCCGCGATCGTATGGCTCCATACGTTCCGAACATGCCTTGATAGTCAACGTCCATTGTTTGCCGAAGTAGTCCTCCCTGGCAGCGCAAAGAAACTATGTTAGAATACCGTTCCCCGGCGACTCGGAAAATCGGACGTACAAGACAGGAGATTCCATGGTGCACCGTGTTATTCAGCAGCATGTACCGGCTGCTAAACATTAGTTAAGTCGACCACAGATTTGAACAAGACGATGTTAGTAGACCAGGCCAGGAAAAGAGAGACAAGTGCCAATCGCCGGCCCAGTGGCACATGTCATAAGATGTTGCAGAGCCGTTCCGCTTCGAGTGGAGCTGACGATTGCAGAGGTCTTTGGCCAATTGATGGGACACACGTGTAACGGTCCGGCGCGATAAGAGGGAGCGGGGTTGTGAAATCTATGGTTTTAATAAGAGTTAATACCTCTGTGGGTGCACTGCAGAATACAACGTGCTAATAAAAGACGACCTACCCTTCTTTGTGAATTGTTTGGTTAGTACAATCTGATCCAACAATCGCTCCTGGATATATCTCCACGCAAGATGTGCGCTTTTAATAACATGATATTTAGCTTTTCTGTGTTATATAGCTTGGTTTGGTCGCATGGAACACGCTAGGTATAGTGAACTAGAACTAGAACTTTATTATAGTATAGAGTCACGGCTTTCTGCGTCTCCGGGCGGCTAAAGTGGATTCAGCGGATATTGTCTGGTTTATAACTCGGGATTTATCGGCGATACACGGAGACAAAAGGTATAATTACGCATTTGTGCAGACCCTATACCTCCATTATAAATAACATGTTAGATTAATATTATTCCCTCAAATAAATTGCAATGTGAGCAGAATCGGCCTACAGTTACAATTATATACTAGTTAGCCCTATAAAGATGGACTAACCACCAATTAGTACTACTGATATTATTTGGTTACAGGCACGCCGAACATAGAGCTATCTATTACAGAACAAAGATATAGAGATTCTCCTTTAAGGACATTTTACCCGACCCCTCTTCTTTCCACGTGGTGCAGCATAGCAGTGGACATCTTTCAAGTGATATTCTAACTTGGTCAGACTGTCCAGTTCTAGAGCACAAGCGGGATGACGGCAATGGAATTTACTGTCCAGTGCTTGGGGAGAGAGATGCAAACCCACGTGTGCAAACCACACTGGTTGATCTAAGAACTGCTCCATCCTTTTTGGAGGTTTCAAAGTTATCCCCGCGGCAGAATGGGCAGTACGCGGCTTTTGCTGGGGTATTCTAAAAAAATTATTAGATCGCAACGAAGGAGATACTCTGGTTTATCCAGATAATGCTTACAGTAATAGGACTATTCCTAGACACCCTAAATCCATAGATTGCACTTAAAGTAATATTCTGTATAACTGTTTTCGCCTATTTAGGATAGCCGCTGCTTATAATATTTATAAAGATGTGTTTACTAACAATACGGCTAAAGCCTGATTTTTATAAGCGCTTGTTATAACACAGTATATAGGCACTTACATTTGTATTAACATTCCACAGACATATTTCCTATCAACAGGTTTTATCCTATATCTATATGCAACAGGGCTTCTAGAGCTTTAAGGGCCTCCCGACCAGTATCGCTCCGCAATGTCCCACCTAGGGAAAGAATTTAAGCAAGTATATCCCACTCTGGCATTACTTTTTTAGTATAATAAAAAAATATCTGCTCACGAATAGTCCCCGCTTGGACTGTAAACTGTCTCGGCTAAGCTTTTTGTATCCACCGAAGCTTTTCCAAGTAGAGACTTTGTTTTTAATTATAGATGCAGTGTTGTTCTAGCTAATCCGCTGCTACCTTAGGGCTCTGCAAGCTAATAAGTTGCTTGCTTACTTATTATATTAAATTATCAAGAGAAATTATGTTACTTTGTTCTTGGAACTTAAATTTAGCTTTTACTAGCAGGGATTACTATAGCTATAAATACCGGTACATACCTATACTTTGTTAATTTTAAATATGCTTATATTATATTAAAACTTTAAAATATATTACTAGTTTATTAACTTAGCTTAGCGTGTGCGCATACAATCTTTTAAATATATTTTAATAAATATAGCCTGCATATTTTATCCATGCGGTTACAGAATAATGCTTATTTATACTAGTATTATTAGTAGGTATTTGTATTTACTAGGTAGCATGTGTTATACCTACCTTTATTAAAGCCCAGCACTAACAAGCACAACCAGTGACATTACAGGTATATCTACTCCTGTGGCCTAGTTCTATAAACTCCTTGCTAAAGGTATTTACTCCCCAAGATCTTCCGGTGGAGAGCTTAATATCCTGTTTGTTATAAGGGCGAAAGACTGGAACATCCAAGACCTCCGGCCTGAATTTAATAGTTATAATTACCTTTTTTTTAGGCTTGTACTTTATAGATTTTATTATATTAAGGACCGCCTGAGCTGACTTATAGTTATAAAAGGTCCTGTTAGTAGAAGCCATCGGAATAAAAAATAAAAGAAAGTTAAAAAAAAGTGGGAGCTTTTTTTTAATAAATTTTATAAAATACATGGATTGGAAGCTCCAACCTTTTCTTTTTCTAGTATTCTTTTATGTTGAGAATCTCGGGGAAGAAGCTATGTCGTGAGGTGCTAGGATAGCGGTGACTGGATAGTATATTGAAACTATCGGTGCGATCTAGTATCGCATGGTGAGTATGTTCTTCTATCTAGGAGAGAGAGCGTAGATAAACGCTTCCTTATGTCTACGTGTCCTTTAGCCCCTTAGCCCCTTGCGTGTGATATGTCAGATGGCTTCAGGACTAGGATACCCGAAGGTGCCTTAGGCATCCTGGTTTTCAACATTTTATATAATTTTAAAAATATATCAGAACAAGCATTTTCACACTATCTACTAATTAAATAGGAAGGATAGAGTGCTGTATAATAATTAATATAATGTACTTAACTATTATTTTATACCTTACCCTATAGCATGCTGCTATTACATGCGCTTTAAGATACTTATCCTCCCCTTTATGTTTTTATTTCCTAAACAAGTCTTGCCAAGTGGTTAACTCATGCACTTCCCCTAACCACACTAATGTAAAACAGTAAAAAAGAATTACTGTACTTAGCTACACTCTTTTTTAATCAGGATATCTTCCCCTATACTCTTTAAAATCTCGACACCACAGTTGCGTTATAAGGATAGTAAGATTACTTGGTAAGAGGCCATCTTTTTCCATCTTTTTTTTACAAAGGTCTATCTTTTCTTTTAGCCCTTGCTTTATCCACTATAATACCAGTTACTTGTCACGAGTTAGGGATATGCTAACCTCTCGGACAGTTATAAAGATACTTTCTAGCATATTGTAACCCTGTCGGAGAAGGAGCCCAGCCTTAAAATCTCTGCGGAACCTGTTAACAGTTAACACTGTTAGCATTTCTTTACTCCCAGGTCGGCCCTTCATATTTTTAGCCACAAATTCTAGAAACCCTTTGTAGGATTGAATGTCTGGTGGAGACACCGCTGTTGGATGCAGAGCAAGGAATCTGCGAACCTGTCAGTATACGGTCTCTGGGCAGGGTGCCTCTGACTAACTTCTTAAATATCCGAAGAGCTCGATTGTACTTCCCTTCGGTGCGTAGGAGAACGGCTCGAGTTATCTCGGAGTTGTTACGGTCGTCCAGATTAATTGTCTGGTCGAACGTGGACACGCCTCGTCCTGCCATATTATCCAAGTCTCAGTATGCAGTAAATTTATAGCTTAAGAGCGGTATAGGTTTGGAGAAAGAAGACAGACTACCTAGATATCAAAATCTTCACGTTTACAGGGAGAAGGTGGTTGGTGCGGCTTCCTGGTCTTATTTGCGCAAATGTGACTTCCTTCTAGCTCGGGTGTATAGTATTCGGGTGGGTGAACAGGGGCCTGAAGTGCCCTGAAGGAAAACTGAATAGGGCGGCAAGCCTCCCACGCAGCGCTTGGTGGTCACCACCATACTTATGCTGTTGTATGTTTTGATTTTATATTTTTAGTTCATTATTTGGAGGTTGTTAGCCATATTCTCAAGTGTCTTGAACCGTTGTGAAGGGAGCGGTTGCTGGCTACACCAGAAGAAAGCCATTAGATCGCGTGAATGCCATTCTGTTGGGCGTATGATTACTAGTATGCGTACAATAAACCTCGTGGTGGCCAGAGCGTGGACGGCTTTGAGCTTCATTCTATCATTATGGATTGGACTAAAAGAGGGCATTAATGGAACAATCACAGATAGAAGTAAAAGAAAGTGTACTGGACATGTTTCACTTCTCGTTTCATGGGCATAACTAGAACTAGAACTTGCTCTTACATTTGCAAGACGACACAAGGAAAGCCCCATATCAGAGCTTGCAAAACCCCTTCTCTCGGTATCCAGCTGAAATTTCATGAAGTATAAAGTCCCTACCGAGTCCGTTAGATATACTGTTAGGCCTTCTCTTTTATTATCGCCTTTAGAAAATATACGAGGATGCAGCATTATGTTCTTTACCCATACGTGCAACCATTTGATCGAGTAGAACCCCAGGCTCTTAGTGAGCCACACTAGTGAATCAAGCCATCATAGACAAGACTAAATTATAGCCGCCATACTAGTTTAATACAGCAGGAATGCAGCAGCACTATTAGGTGAATATGAGAAGTGCTGATTCACAATAAAGAACGGCCGATAGATAGGGAGACAGGCGCTAAACTAGTACATGGCCCACGGCAAAAAATAAACCATCACACAAATGGATAGCCGCACGAGGCTATATTATGAATAGAATATAAGCGCATACATTGGTATTTTAGGGAGTGCATAACTTTTTTTACAGATATAAAGAGCTGGTTTGACAATGCGATACGCGTCTATCCGGCCGCTGCTTCCTACGGCAGCCGGGAGGATCGAAGCTCGCCTACCCAGATGGAAAGCTCCGCGAATTCCGGACTGACCAGTTCCGTTGGGGGTCGATGAAGATGCCAAGACTAAGGAGTAAGTAGAACTTTTTTATTTTTTTATAATTTCTGTAGTTGTCCCTTAGTATACAAAAAGGTTCTTGGCGTCTGCTTGGATGCTAAGGAAACATGCTGGGGTGACACTTTTTCTCTTCCAAATAAAAGGCGAATATTTAAAAAAAAACTTCCAAGTATTTCTTTACCTAATGAATAATCTATGGTTTACTCCTAGTTCAAAACCGTTGAGGGTTTCCGAAGAACTGCTAGGATTTATGCCTAGGCCATTTACTCAGACGTCCAATAGAAGAAAAAGACCATCTGGCCTTAGCCGGTTACTATCCCCGATTTCGAAGGTGTCTGGCCATCAAGAGCAAACAAAGCTAGCTAATTACAGCGATGGTTCTTGTCTATGGCGATAGTCTAGATTTGTCTCACTCCCACTTAATGCCAGGGTACAATGCTGCAATGAAACCTTTTACCAATTTGGACAGCATCAGATTATACTTGTCATCTAACAATCAAGATCAACAAGCCCTTTTTCTCCTCTAAGTAGAATTATTTAAAAGAAGGACAGTAGTATGTGTAAAAAGTATTATGCCTCAGGCCTGTGATAGATAGTGGCACAATAGGTGGTGTTTTTTCTCTTGTATCTTTTGTATTTCCTTGCTTTTCTTTGTATTCAGTACTCTGCACAGATAGGAAGATGGCTGGATTGGCAGCACACGCTGACCATGGTCAGTGCCTCGCCCAGTCCTGGCCCAGTTTTCGGTGGAGCAGCCTGCATGGATTTGATTCCCTGGAGCCTAGGCAGCATCTGGTGACCCGCAACACCTTTCTTGTTTAGTGTAGCTAAGCCAAAATATCAAACAGCCTTATCCAGTAATAGTATTAGTATGTCTCACACATACAAATAAAAGAGCGCAATATAGTTATAAGAACATTTTATTAATGATTATCTAGTTAGCAAAATGGTACAAAGCGTATTTTCCGCCATAGTGTAAAGGGCTAGAGCACGTTTGACCTCTCGTCCCTATTATCCCTGTTGTCCCTACTGTCTCCGTTGTCCCTATTGTCCCTATTGTCCCTACTGTCCCTACTGTCCCTACTGTCCCTACTGTCCATTTTGGCCCATTGGCCGTCGATCGATGTCACGTGACTCCCCATCCTGCTTATTTTCCTCTTCCTTTCTTCCTTCCTTCCCTTCTTCAACGATTCCTTCTTGAACATAACCTATCTTGTAGGTTCTATGGGTTCAGCCCTTGACACGTAGTATCTATTCAAGTTTTATACGGTCTTCTATGTATCATGAACATTCAATTAGCACCGAATAACGATTCAGTCATATAGACAAAGGCTCGTAGCAATTAGTAGGGTAAGTCTCTATGTTGAGCACCCTGAATGAGGTATAATTCAGGCCCAGTATAGCTTTACTGCCACCGATATTTTGATTCCACACTGAGTTGGCCAGATCGGCCGACAATTTTTCAACCCCCACTTGGTTGGGATTCGAAATGAGCCGATAAAAAGTAGGAATATCGCCGAGTTGAAAAGTGCCACGTCCAAGATTAAACTTAATGTGCTAGGATTAACCAAAATTCTAATTGTAATTGACTCTTTAAGTGGCCTTGAGATGTCAATGTAACCCTAATCATTCAGGTGGATATCCATTAACCAATGGCGCGAATCACTGATTATCAATCTAATCTAATCTCGGCCTACTAGTACGGCTAGTTAGGTAGTCTTAGTGCTTCGGAGAACTACGGAGTACACTGTTTCTTTTCTCTTTCTTTTACCTAATTTTATTTATTCTCGGCCAAGAGAATAGGTTTACAATCGGAAAATCGATACATAAGCCTTGGGTTTCCTTATTACCGTCTTGTTGGAGCCATTCAGCTTTGGCGTTGAGGAATTTCCAAACATGTTGAAAGTCACCACTTCAGCCAACGAGGCTCCTCCTATCACAGAGTCTCAGGAAGTATCAAAAAAACAGCAGGATGGCGTGCGCGTTGCAGAAGCTGTTACCATGTCATGGTCGAAAAGATCATTAATTCTGGTATATATCTGGTAAATACATGCGATTCATATGGCATTGCACAATAATATCTGACATACTAGTGGCATGTAGCATGTGGTTGATATACTTCGTACGTGCCCTAAACGGAAGTCTAACAAGAAATTTGTCGCCATTTATTACGAGTGATTTTCAAGGCCATTCCCTACTTACTGTAATTGGTATTGTTACCAATATTATGAGTGCTGCCTGTACCATGCCAGTTGCCAAGATTTTGAACTTATGGGATCGTACTGTCGCGCTGACTACGATGCTTGCTGTCTCTATAATTGGTCTTATCCTGATGGCATGCTGCAATGATATTACCACCTATTGTGTGGCTCAGGTATCTAGTTTCTTGAACCTGTTGCTTGCCCGCAGCACTAACTGTATACATAGGCATTTATCACCGTCGGTTTTACCGGTCTCATTTTCTGCATAGACGTCTTGACTGCCGATACATCCACTGTGCGAGACCGAGCCCTTGCGTTTGCTTTCACCTCATCTCCATACATCATCATGTCTTTTGCAGGAGCCCCGCTCTCTGACTCCTTTAACAAATCCAATTGGCGCTGGGCGTATGGCACGATTGCAATTCTTCTACCTACCGTCACTGTTCCGCTTATCGTTATTTGGAGATTCGCCAGAAAGAAAGCCCAGCAGAAAGAAGCACTGTTCCCTGTCACTGAGAAGCGCTCCTGGTTCGAGAGTATTAAGTATTATATCATTGAGTTTGATATGATTGGTATCTTGCTCCTCATCGCTGGCTTATCGCTCTTTCTATTGGCATTCGTGCTTGCAGGCTCCCAAGAAGGTACATGGCATTCCACCAGGATCATATGCATGATTGTTATTGGTGGTGTTACCATCGGAGCCTTTGTTGCCTATGAACGACTTTTTGCTGAAAGGCCCTTTATCCCTTACCATCTACTTGTTTCACGAACAATAGTTGGTGCCTGTCTTCTTAATTTCACCTACATCATTGCATACGACTGTTGGGACAGCTACTTTACATCCTACTTGCAGGTTGTATATAATACAACATTAACACAGGCAGGTTATGTAACAGCTATTGGAAACCTGATCTCTCCTCTCTGGCTGATTGGGGTTGGCTGGCTAGTCCGTATTACCGGCCATCTTAAGTGGTTACTGCTGTGTGCGATTCCAGTTTACATGCTTGCTGTTGGTTTGATGATCCATTTCCGAAGTCCTGGCCACAGTATCGGTTTTATTTGCCTGTGTGAGGTGCTTATCGGCTTGGGCAGTGGTACTATCGTTGCTCTTGAACAGACAGCAGTTCTAGCAGCCTCAGAGCATAATGACTATGCATCAATGCTAGCGCTACTAGGGCTCTGCGGAAATATTGGTGGCGCTATTGGGAACAGCATCTCCGGCGCAATCTGGACAAACACCTTGCCCAACAAACTCAGGGAATTTTTACCAGACGAGACAAGACCGAGATGGAACGAGATATATGAGTCACTAACCGTGCAGCTGAGCTTCGAGGTTGGATCAGCAACTCGTATTTCTGTTCAACGCGCATATGCCATTAGCCAGCGGAATATGCTGATTGCAGGAATCTCAATCATGGCAGTGACAATTGCGTGGGTGCTCTTGATCAAAGACATTCGGGTCAAAGGAATGAACAATATGAAAGGACGACTGTTCTGAAGGTACGGAATCCCTGCAACTTGTTTTAGCCTTTGGGATTCAAGGCACCCTTCACGCTTTTGTTATGTGTATCTTTTCATTGACCGTTGAAGATAACAGGCTGCACGCTGAGTGACTTAAATCTCGTCAGTATAAGCTTTATCATTTTTGTGGGTGGCTGGCGGAATTGGTGTTGGTAGCAAAATGACTTGAGATCCATTATAGTTAATGCCTCCTTAACAATAACTATGGTGTAAAAAGTTTTAGCAAGTTACTTAATCGGTCTAGATTACGTTCATAGACTCTGGCTTAATTCTAGAGAAAAAGACTATGGGACTAAACTTATAATACTTCGTTCTTAGTGGTTATTGGCCATAGTAGTAGTACTGTCAGGAGCTAATTTATATTATGGCTCTCGGGGTCCCTGGCTCTAACACGTCGGCAATTGCAATTGCAATTGTATGATCACAAAACAGTGTCTGTCTAAGAATCTAGAGATTCGTGTCTTACCAGCTGCAACAACGTATACTATGCCGATTCAAGAGGAGGTACATCGCAGCGCCACTTGCACTTCTGTAAACACTAGAGGCGATTCAGGTTCTATAATTATTTTATCTCCAAGATATTGATTTTCTCTCAGTGAAATTAATAGTTTGGTGCCTTATGATGGAACAAATTGATCAAGTATAATATCTGAGTATCACTAATTGGAAGATTAGAGAGAGATTTTTAATTAATTCGATTTTTTCTATGTGGCTGCTTTGCTGCACTAGTGTACTTTAGTTTACTTTTAAGAGAGCAATAAAGACAAAGAACTATGAAGTATCAGCTTGCAGAGTATCCAACATTTTCTTTTCGGTTATCCGAACATTCTTCTTCAGATCCTTACATGCCAGGCAATCTGGAGGCGGCGGAGAAACTATAGATTTATAGGTATCAAGCGCACCATTCGTGCTAGTCTCGATACGGGATGCAAACTCGGAGCTTCACGTAGCCAGAGTATTTGAGTCAGACGCCGTAGTCGAAGCAGATGAAGGTGGCCTCAGCGGTTGCAGCGCAGGGAGATGTACCGCTAGTCGGGGGGATTAATTCCGTACCTGTGATAGCGATAGACCGATACGGAAATTGCGTTGAAATAGTTGGTATAGGGGATTCAATGTATGGTTCCATGGTGGCGGTGGTGGTAGCATCCGGTCGTGGGGCTTTACAATAGATACTGGTGGAACTGCTGAAACTGTGCAGCCGTCAAAATAAAAGCTGGGTTTTTGTATTATGAAACAGTGAGAGGATCGGAGGGAGGTGAAAATTTACGAGCTATCGGATGAATAGGACCAACCCCATGTATCAGTGCCTTGGATAGCCGTTGTAGGCTCTCGAATATGGTAATCTTCGGTTTTGGTACCTTTGTTGCAGTGCAGGATGAGTGTTGTTATCGAGTTCTCTTAGTCGAATGGGGTTAGGATGGATGTTGATGCTGTTCTGGACTTCCTGTGATTGGTGAGGAAGAATGTACATGTGACTTGTACGGCGCTGAGAGGTAAGATCAAGCCTTCCATAGGGCAACGTAGGACCCGTATCTTAGTCCAGTGGAATAGTTAAGATCCTGAGCTTGTTTATAACATGTATAATCATCTCGTGCAAGGTTAAGGAGCTTTCAGCCAGAAACACAAGGCACGGCAGTGAGAGACAAATAAGAAATAACTTTAAGAGAATAAATAGAAAGGAGATTGTGGTGGTATAAAATTTATAAGAAGGATAAACAGAAAATAAAGAAGGCGTTAAAACTGAACATATTCCTATCAGTTTAGTTATATACAAGTAAGAAAACTTTCAGTGTCAAAGGATAGCAGGGATACGTAGCACAGTACTAAAGGACGTTGGACAAAAGCAAACGGCTAAGGATGTTGAAGGGAACCACTAAATAAACATAGAACTTCCTATCCAATAATTGCGGCGAGCTTAGCCACCGAATCATAAGACCATCTCTATCGAGGCATGCCGTTGAATGATGGTATTCCCTCTTCAGTGTCCGGAAGGTATTTCGGTCTGTTTCTCACAAAAACTTCCGCTTCCGGAGGTAGCAAAATAAGACTTGGTGAAGTTAGCATACACAGGTTTTGCCCGGCGTTTTGCGAATGAGAATGTATAGGTACTCACCCATTTTGTATTAAACTTGTTCGCACAATAATAATCTCACCCTCATGCTTCAGTGGTACAGTCCACAAGGTACAGCCACATCTGCTACAAAAGTGTTTCTCCTTTGGATGTCCACTCTCCGTTCCTGTTGTAATTCTGAAGATAGAGATTATATTCTGTGGATCACTGATATCAAGTTGCGAGCGCGAAAATCTTGCTACCTGTTGCACTGAATGAATCAGCATGGGTTCATTATAAACTCTGACTTGTTTGTATCTTAAAAGCATTGAAAGAAAATGCATCATACTAGGAGGGAGTGGCTATATACTCAAATTTATAGTGTAACTTACTATTTGGGAAGCTCCTCCTGCATTCATCGAGCAGTGATGGCAATAGCATATAAATGTCCCCTGTGGCGGGCCATCCACGGAGAAGCTAATGGCTCCACATAGGCAAGAGCCTTCGAGCTGCGTCATATTAAATAAATTACGAAAATTCCACAAATACTGAGCCTTAACGGGTGATGTTAATTTTGTCTGCTAACTGTGCCCTGGGGCGACGTTGGGGTTCTTATAGATCGAGTCATTGAACAACACACTATCCGATATCGGAGGCATCCGTAATATATAGGACATCTGCGGCATATCTTAAACAACAGTGCAAATCAAAGGCGGCTAGCAAATCCGAACAAAACCGGCCACGGGACCAATCAGAGGGGCTCTTGATGTAAACTCATCATGCATGATGGCATGGCCGAAAGTATGCGCTTCTCTCATTCCAAGGCACACTTCTCCTATGCCAAGCCCTGACACGAGGACATAACGTTATGCTGGAAATATAACTATAAGCCGCATCCAGTCAACCAACAATTTATTTTATTCATCAAGCAAAACTCCAATTTATGAATAATTATTATATATAATCTACTATTAGTTGAAGATGATCTTGACCGCCCTTGCAACGTTGCGCATGGCCGTGGGCTTCGGCCTAATCTCCATCCCGAGACAAGTCGGTGCAGTGTTCCTCCTCCCATACACTCCTGAAGTTGCCATCACGGCTAGAATGGCTGGTGGGCGTGATTTTACAGTCGCGGCTCTTCTTTTTGCCTGTCGGGACCAAGCTATCATTTCGGGCGAAACTGATCCGGTTTTGAAGAACGCCCGTCAGGGCCAGCGCCTCGGCTGGACTGCTACGCAGAGAGCCTTGATGGCAGGAATGGTCGTTGATGGTATTGACATACTGAATGTCGTGATTGGCTATTTGGAGGGCACTTTGTCAATTGAGGGAGTTGCTACACTTGGAGGAGGGGCGATTTTATTTCTTTCTATGGGGATTTATTGTTGGTATCGAGAGAAGAATAATCTGTAAATTACATATGGTAGTTGCCATTGGCCATGAGTTCTGATGTCCTATTTTAATGGGATAGGGTTATTAATATGCTAGCTGAGGCCTTGTGGGAATGCTGATTACTTGTTCCGTCATCAATTAAACCTGATCTGCGGTCTGCCGAAAGCTCCCTCCTTTATCCTTTGCTACCTAAGTGCCCTGTTCTTGCCGATATCCAAATCCGTAGTGAGAGAGGTTTCTACCTGGGTTGAGCTGATAGGCATAATCTAGTCATGGGCCAAGTACTGGATATGGATTTAGACTGATCCTTGTGCGGATGGAGAGATTCTTGGGCATCATTCTGTGTATTCACTAGTTATAGCCTTTTCATCTATTTGTATCCACCCACGTCACTACGTTGTATTCTTTTAACACTGGCTATGCCCTACTCCTGTGGATATTATGCATGTAGTTAACAAGCCGATAGCATATGAGCTGCTGTTGTGGATCATTTTATAACTCTCAGCGGAGTACCAGTAATTTCCAATTCCTGTGGCCCACGAGGTCTATCCCAAAACATCTTGGCTTTCATTGACCCTGGATGAGGTAAAAACAATAATTTCGACTGAGTGGGGCCACCTGAAAGGAAGAGGTTGCTTGTGAGATGGATGGAAGCTAACGTGTCACTCAAATGTCTATATCCACATGTGGTACGAAAAGTGCCTCTTCACTCTTGCTACCCAAGCCGCCCATTTTTGTTCTTACTAAAAATAAACCAGAGCCATTCTTCACCTCGGCCCGAGCCATATAATTCGCAGGGCATAAAAGAATGCTCCCCCTCTCTGGATTGCTTTCCCTATCTCTGAGGACCGTATTGAGCGTCTAACCACGGCGAGATCTCATTGGTTGATGCCATGGCAGTGGGTTTTCATTATCGAGGGTTACCATGTCCATCTTCGCCGCAATTCCAATATATTTCCTTCTGCTGATGTTTCCAGAGAGTCCAAAGCATTGTGCCCTCGCTGTAGGTTATCGGGAAGTTAAATTATATATATCATTAACACGCGACCGAAGGATATAACGCTATGAATCGGTTTGGTCAAAGAAGTTCGACAGACAGATGTGGCTTGGAATACCCAGGCAATCATTGAGTACGTGTGCCCAAATTAGGAGAGCTCTGGATGCTAATGTAATGTGATAGAATAATGACTCGTCCTTCCAGGTCTTATTCGCCAGTTATGTCTGCATCGCCATCGCAGCAGTCGCGCAGGCTACTTTCCTACCTACCATTGTGCATACGGTCTGTATCCAACCAATCATGCCGAGGATAGGGCCATCCCACTGACAATCCCAGTCGATGCATTTTTCCACTCAAAAACCAAAATTATACACCGCTATCGTCAATCTCGTCGTTGTACCCTTGTACTGGACATATCTCCTCCATTCTGGCTGGACGCGTGAACGAATGTGGCATTCTATTGTCACCTTTGCGTTCTCCATCCACTGCTACCAGTATAGACCTACTGCAGCTCTCACTCCGACCGACACCTACAACGTTAGTTATCCGGCCACGTACAGCACGGCATTCCTCGGCCAGCCACTTCTCCTCGCGCAACTGGTGTTGTTTTCTTATCGCAGTGCGACATTATACGGCGCAATAGAGCAAACAGTCGGCACATCGATCACCGTGGCTGTCTTGTCTATTGCAAGTATTATCGCCACAGATATATCCGAATCGTGATGCACCGTATGACTTGGCAGAATTTTCTGATACTGCTGCAGGTGGTTAGTATCCTGTCGTATTTGACTATTCCACTGTGGTTGCGTAGGGAGCCAAATTTGAAGATAAAGAAACAGGGCAGGCTGTGCCGTTGCAGAAATTGGATGATTTGGAGAGGGGTCGGCTCGAGGTGGTTGACGTGCAGACGAAGAATGATGTGGTTTGATGCTGGTTGCTAAGATGTTTAATATCATGTTAGAGATCTAATGTTCTGAACTGTGAAGTAGTGTGCAGTTACCTTTTAGAACTGTATGCGTTGCCTTCAGAACGATCTGAGAAAGATTTCAAGATCGCAACACTCTTAGTTACGCTAAGAAAATACCAATAATATCATATTTAGAATTAACAGTACTATATAGGACATATCAATATTAAATCCTTCCCATCGGACGATATCCAGTGGCCGCAGTCCTTGGGAGATCAACGCCTCAACAACACGACAATCTCACTGAGTGCGTTTCCCGTCGAGTAGCTTGCTGCCCTCCATGCTCAGGTGAGTGTGAACAATGGATGGAAATACAAATTATCCTGGCATTCTCTCTCCCTCGGTAATCCATCGTCTCGCGACTTCCTTTGCAACTTCATCACCATCCCTCCGAGCATCAAGAGCCAACAGAATCCCACTGACGAGCCATGCCAAAGTGAACATAATCTGCCGTCCGTCCGCAAGAATATCAGCCTGTCTATGCAGTCTTTCAGATGGGTTCAATTTGCCCGCTAATGCCTTCCATGCATCCATCAGAACCTGTCTATATGTATTCTCCTGTACCTTGTTTACGCAATCGAGAACCCATTTACCGAAAAACTGTACATTTTGTGCTCGAGTAAGATGTAGGACCGTTTCACTAGCAAGCACGTTCGTAGTACCCTCCCATACGGAGTTGCTCGCAGTGTCTCTCACCAGAGTCTACTGACGTTGAAATCCGGCTCGTCAGGCTCATCTAGGACCATTTAGCAACGTGGTGATCGTGCTCATGGTATATTATACCCATGTATCCGACTCCACCCATTGCCTCCTGACATTCCTGGAACGCTAGCGTCGCAGACTTACAGATCACGGCTTTGGACGCCGAGGTCAACGCGCGGAGAACAATGGTAGTCAATTCCGACGACGCAGCCAACATGGAGTAGTGACTCGCGGTATGCGATGGGAAGCCATGGTCATATAGCTTAACAGGGAGGTGATAAAGAACACCAACTGCATCCATCCTCGATGCTCTACCTCCAACTGTGCCAGTACACGGAGGTGCATTGGGAACGTCCACAGGGGCTGATTAATCATTGTTCGAGCTCGGCTAAATGCCTTCGCAACGTCCATGGCCAGACGAAGGCACGACAGCGCAGTGATGAAATTGTGCGTACGAGTCACATTCAAGAGTACGTGATGGTGGGAATCCACGGTCCTTGGGACCGATCATATGAGCTCGCACAGCCTTCAGCTCTAGCTCAGCAGTGGGGAGCTCCTTCATTCCCATTTTGTTCTTGAGTCGGTGGGTACGGATGCCATTCATTACTTCTTCCTCCTTTCCGTCGGTCCCCGAGATGGTCTTCACTGTTGGAGCCACGAACAGCGAGATTTGTCCGGATTCCATTTCGCTAGGATCAATGCCACGTTACGTCTGTAGCGCTCGAAAAAAATTTGAACCCCGAGAGAATGTAATCGCCTTCATCTATGCGGCCAAACTTCCCTTACTTCGATGGTAGACGCGAGTATACGGCAATTGTTTCACTGCTCTGCACGTCGCTGCCTCCGGCCCGCTCTGTCATCCACTGTGCAGACATCCAGGGGTCTTTTGTAGAGGTGGGCTTTGCATAGAGAAAATGGAATAGATGATCGTACGGAAGATTGGACAGATGGTGTCGCACAAGTCTGCATGCGCCCGAGATCGTTGGCACCGGACATGAATAGGTCCCGGATGCAGCAGACAAGATATAATTGCTAGCTTGGGTCAATCCTATCCAGATACACGATATGGGGGACTTACAATGCAGTTGGACGATTCTTCGATGCTGTCCGAATGTCTCCTCATATCCTAGTTTTACGACCCTGGTTGTTGTTAAAATGGACATTCTACAAAGTGAATGCCGATTCCCACCCATTCTGATTCGCCCATTGACCTAGCTTCTTCCACCCCTCGCTATTGACCGGACGATCACGATTGTATCGTGACCCCCATATATTCCTGGTCTTGAGATACAGTTGTTTTTCTCTGCATTGGCGATCCATGTGTTGACTCTGTTAGACACAGCTTCGTCCATAAATCGAGTGAGGTCCGGTGCAATAGAAGTCAGAGTTTCCAGTGGGAGATGCCCTAAATTGTCAGTTTACAGTTCTGTGGCCCTTTGGAGCGATGTATGTGCTGCTTACACTGGAAGAGTCTCTGGAACACTGGATCTGTCACTGCGGAGTTCTTAAGCCCACCTAGCTGCAGGAAGTAGCCTTAATCAGCCGATCATGGAGTAAGCGGGGCCATGTGGGATGAAATAAACGTCATTCTACACTGTTCGATAAAATAATCGCTATTATGGCTCTTCATTTCGGCCTACATATATCTTCCATGTCGCCGATATCCTCGGCCACGTCAATCCATAGGTTCGCCATGCAGCGCCGAAAAACGCCGGAAAACACCGCAATTGATAATCCTTGAACAAGACACTCAGTTAGCTATATTTTAGATAGCTAGCAATTGGGATAAAAAAGCATCTCTAATTCTACGCCACCTATTTGTCTTTGCCCCATTTGCGCCCGCAGAGACTCTCGTCTCAATCCTTCACATTTTTAGCAATATGCAGCCTCCAACCCGGATATGGGAACTCTGAGTCGCTGCGGAGAAAATTCCCATGAATACATACCGCGCTTAAGTAGACCATTCTCTAGAGGTGAGGCTCCACCGACGCGGGTTGGTCAGACTCGTCACCAGAGGGTATTGGCAGCTTCTTGCATGGGTCTGAGTGGTCTGCCTTTCTCTCTTCATGTCTCCCTGACAAGGGGGCATCTTGCGCTACGAAGCAATTCCCTTACTGCATATTGTGTCTCTTCAAATCCGATAATGATAAGAATGAAGACAACTCCGTTTAGAATGGCACATCACCATTCCCATCACGATCCCTAGCTGTTAATGATGTATTCTGTGGGAATTAGACTAGTCAGCTTAGAATGGATAGGGAACAGTATCCGAAACTTACGCCCATGGTCGCCATCACAGAATAAACCCCATTCATCGTCGCACGGCAGTGGACAAAAAAGAGGTCCACAATCTGAACGTATTAGACATGGCTCTGACGATAAAATGAAAACAGAAAATCTCACTGTCATTTGCGTGATAGTGTCGTTAACAGAGCCAGCTCGACCTGCCAATACCTGCAAGGCGATATACTGTGTCTTGGTCTGGAATATTGCCTGTCCCACATTGACCAGGACCACTATCAGTGAAGCACATAAATATACAGGCTTGCGCCCAATGACCACTGCGGCCGGGATAAAGAAGATACAGCTGACTGTAAGCCCAACTAGATCAGCTGCATAGTTATTATTGAAGTACTGGGTGTCGTATCCCAGTTGTTAATGCTGGCCATGTTACAGTGCCGACATCGAGGTTATATCTATGTCAATACTTTGGTCCACTCCCAACAGTGGGATATGATAGGAGGAGTACGTGGCAAATACCATCAACGTGAAGAGGCGCCCGATTGTAATATTGGCTGCATTCTGAAAAGTCGACCAGTTCGGTCGATATAATATGTATTAGATTGTACATTATCCGGTGAAGGGGCTAACTCAATTCACCAGAGGCTCATTTGTATCAGTAGACGGCTGTGGCTGAAGAACTACATGACCGTCTATATCACATTTGACGCCGTCCAAATTCGGGTGTACTGGGATGAAATCTTTCTATACACTACAATGAACGACGATATACCATCTCCAAGGTAGACAGTTCCTGGCGGTGTCTCCGAAATATGTCCCTGATCTCTAGGTTCTCCCAGTGCGTCGGGCAATGGGTTCAGAAATGAAGTATAAAAGGGCACAGGGCACACCAAAGAGCACACAGAAAATCCAGCGACGCGGTTCCTAGTATATAGTGACAACAATTATCAATTAAAAAAAAAAAAATTACAAAACCGCCAAACCTGGCGGTTGTTGACGAATGTTCAAGAGAGACCGTGTACAGACATAGCTAAATATATAGTTATTCCTATCTATAGCGGCGCGCTCATCTAACGCAAATGCCATAGGTACTTGTATCCCGCATCCCGATAGCCATTCAATATGCGGACCGCTGCTAGCGAGGAATCGAATATCTTGTCTCCAGATCTCTTTTTTCTGAAGTCAATCTCCAAGGCTTCTCCAATCTGGACGACTGGGCGCAAAATGACACGATTGGTATAATAACGTCGCCATATGGAGACATCTCGGACAGCCTGGAGTGAGATAACAACCTCGCGTATCAGGAGGAGGGACTATTGCCTCGACTCGGTGCTTCTGTTGGTAAGGTTGAGTAGTGGTATTGGTGAGAATAGTATGCATATATTGGAGACTAGAATACACGCGTGGAACTACTACATACTTCAGAGTGCGGCATGACAGCCCATTCCGGGGTACCTACACCAACAGAAAATATACTAGTTGCATTAGGCTGTAATAAATTTTAAATATGTATTATCTCGGATTCTATACTATTATTTATATGGCTGCGGAATCAACTCTGTACGAGTTGCTAGCCTGCTTATCTGGAGGTGGGTGTAGGTATTTGTAATGGCAGGGGTATAGCTCTACTCCGCTATATACATGATGTGAGTCTGATATCAGTCACTGATTGTACATACTTGAAATGATAATTTATTGGCTTTCAATGACTTTTTAAAGAGGCGTGAATGGCCAGACGAATGCGAGCCCCATCGCAGAATGGTAGCAAGGCGGCAAAGAAGCAGGGCAACAAGGTGAGGGAGAAGGAACACATGGCGACTGACTACAGAGTCAATAGGCCATAGTTATCACTGCCCAAAAAGATATTATTATTGACAGCCTAACATACACAGCCCTTGTCTTTCCATTTCTGCCGGAAAATTCTGCTATTAAAACGGGGCATTAGCAAGAGTCGTGCCTGCGAAATCAGGTGAATGCAGGGCACTAGACCGAAAACGGCAGCATGAGGTTCCCCTGATAACTGGAAGCGGAACATCCAATTTCCCGGCAGGCCTGAGGTTAAGATGTGCAGCAACAAACCGTCATTGTTGACCAAGCGCATCACCTCTCTGGATATTTCTGCCGAATCCACGATGCGCATTTTGGCACCCGAGAGGAGTGCGTTGGCTCGAGTTTTTATCTACCCATTTGATTCATGAATGATTGCCTCCCCGAAGGTCACAGCGATCGTGTCCAGACGCCTACAATTCGCCCCTTGGGACTATCAGGAGTCCCTCTCACTTCAGCATGAATGGTTTACTTACAAATCGACAAGCTGAGGAGCTGTAAGCCGAACCCATCCCAGCTTGAGAATATGCTCTTGGCTGACGTGAAATCTTTGGACAGACATAAATCAATCATCGCGTATCTAACGTCGAACAATCTACCGGACGCCGCTACTGCTCTGAGGAAAGAATTAGACCTTGGAGAAGATGTCTTGGATGCGACTACTGTGAAGAAATATGAGGGATTGTTAGCAAAAAAATGGACTAGTATTGCGCGCTTACAGAAAAAGGCATGCATGCATTTGTTCCCCGCATTTCCCCACTGCCATAACAGCGATGTCTAATCTGCATTTCCTCACAGATAATGGACCTAGAGTCTAAAAATGCGACCTTGCAATCCGAGCTCGACAGCGCGACCCCGTCTTCCCTGTTAAAACGTAACAAAGATCCGTCGTCGTGGCTTCCCACGACCCCTCGGTATTGCCTGGAATCCCATCGAAATACCGTCAACTGCGTGGCCTTCCACCCGATATACTCCTCCGTTGCCTCCGGGTCCGACGATTGCACAATAAAAATCTGGGACTGGGAACTCGGGGAACTGGAGATGACTCTTAAGGGTCACACGAGACCGGTGCTTGACGTGGATTATGGTGGTCCGCGAGGCAGTGTCCTGTTGGCGTCCTGCAGCTCTGACCTGTCCATCAGGCTATGGAACCCGGCCGACGAGTACAAAACCATTCGGACGTTGCTCGGCCACGATCACATGATCAGTGCTGTCCGTTTCACCCCCTCGGGGAATGCGCTCGTTAGTGCGAGTCGAGACCGGGATATGAGAATATGGGACGTCACAACCGGGTACTGTGTGAGAACTGTGAACGGCCATTCGGCCTGGGTGCGGGATGTCAGCTTTTCCTTTGATGGGAAGTTCCTCCTCTCGACGGGGGATGACATGACTGCTCGACTATGGGATCTCTCCGTGATATCCAACCCTGAACATAAGCTGACAATGCTTGGTCATGAGCACTTTAATGAATGCTGTGTTATTGCCCCTCCTGCCTCGTATCAGTATCTCGCTCCCTTGGCTGGTTCCAAGGAATCATCACTGAAAGGAAGCGCCGAATTCATGGCGACGGGCTCGCGGGATAAGACGATCAAGCTCTACGACAGTCGCGGGAACTGCTTCTTGACATTGGTGGGTCACGACAATTGGGTACGCGCGGTCCTGTTCCACCCAGGAGGCAAGTACCTACTCTCGGCGTCGGATGACAAGACGATACGCTGTTGGGACCTGAACCAAGACGGCAAGTGCGTGCGCACGGTCACAGATGCCCATGATAGCTTCATCACTTCGCTACGATGGGCTCCGGGCGTGGTCAAAAATACGTTGGCGGGTGGCACTACCACCGACGGATCAACGAAGAAAAATGAGGGAGACAGCAATGTGGATATCCGCTGTGTCGTTGCCACAGCGGGCTGGGATTGCAAATTGAATATCTTTGCAAACTGAGCTATGAATAACGTACAACGGGAGTCATGCCGGCAATGGAAGAACGGAACAACTAGCATTTATGCAACGCTCCTGCGGAGGATAGACGCCCATATCGCCTCGACCTGCTCGAACTGGCGTTTCAGGCGGGGTAGTGGCGCCCTGCATGGTTATAGATTTCCCGGAAGGTCGGAGCCAGGTGCCAATAGCAGAGCACAGTTGACCAGATCGGTGACCTGTTCGCTGGTTTCATATCACGCGAATTAAGATTTGATATTCTTGAATACTGCCGCTCCGATGCACTGCCAAGAGGAGTGTTTTACGCAGCCTGTAAATTCTGTTTATCATTACAATTGTGGGCATGCTGTCAGAAAGTCACCAAGGCCTGGTAGGACGTAGTATGAATACACCGCTGTCTATTTATGTGCGACAACAGCACTAGGGTTGCAGGGCGCGCACGTGGCTGGTGCCTGAGTCCGCACCTGGCGATACCCGATCGTGCCAAGCGAGACTCCACATACAGGGTGGAGACTTAGTGGCGCTGACGAGATGCTGCTTCACTTCAGACTTGACTCGACCCTGTTCTTTTTACCACCTATTTTGTCGCCCTGTTGATGGCAAGTGCTATGGAATCTGCGTCCATCCTCGTGCTTACGACCTAATTCTCATTGTTTCTACTGGCGACTACCCTAGACCCGACTACTAGCACGTGCTGTTCGGCAGTCTGCGACGCGGGGTCCAGAGTTCAGAAGTGGCCTCGCTAGATGGCGTCACTATGCCGGAGCATAAGCCGGGCAAGGAATATTGTCGACCTCGCCGGCGGCCAATGTATCTGCGGACCAAGACGGGGTGTTTGACATGTGCCTGCACACTCGCCGAGGGCTGATTGAGGCTAGACTGACTGACAGATAGCAGGCCGAAGGAGGAAAGGGTAATGCGATGAAGCCCAAGGGGCCTGTGGAAATTGCGCGCGGCAATGGCTGCCTTGTCTTTGGCCACCAGGAAAGGATGTATGTGCACAGCAAAGTCGACAAGAACATTCCCGGAATAAGCCCCCGAGGCATACAGTCCCCAGCGAGACGGACACCACCTGCGTTGGTAATACCATTTGATGCGGCGGATTGTATCTCTTCAAAGCCTGTATCATCATACACGGCGCGAAGCACAATACTGTCTTCTCCCGAGGTAATGACACCGAGTACTGGCGATGACCGAAACTCTAGTCCTTGTGATCTTACTCTCTGCCTGCCTCAATTGACGCCCGCTGCCTTGGCCTACTCCTTATTGAACCCCGAAACGCGCCATTGTTCGACTTTCTTAGGACCGTATTCCTGCCACAGCTGATTCGGCCCACAGCACAGAAAACCTGAACGAATTCTTTAGTCGCAAGTCTTTAGTCATGGCTATACACTTTCCTTACTTCATGCATGCTCTTCTTGCCTGTGCCGGCGGGGAATTTCCAATGGACGGACACTATCAACGAGTCCATTCCCAGCGACTCGCCGAAGTGCATTATGCCAAGTCTGTGGTGGGGTTGCGGGCCAGCTTGAAGACAGGCCTGATGCAGTCGCAGAGCACGGTGATCATTCATACGGCAATCGTACTATGCATCTATGATGAGAGCCCCTAGAATGCCGTGTATTACGTCTGTTAATCTGGGAACTGTTTTCGGACACAGCGGTCCAAGCCGTACCTCTCGAGGCGTCGATGCTCATCTTCTCGTGATCCCACAACTAATCCAAGTTCGGTTCCAGCGCAGTAGACCCACTAACCGCTCGACCACGGAGATTGTGGTGGACCGCGTTATTCTCGAAGCCTTTACCTTCCATGCTTCGATGAGTATCCCGTTCCAGAAACCGACTACGCGACCCATGGCCATCGAACTGGCATTGTCATTGGCGGAAAGCTGTCTCCAGGATCAATGCCACGACGAGGTCTTCTATCATTCCCGTTCTCCAGTTCTCAGCGTCTCTCTGAAACTCTTCGTCTGCATTCGTGAAATCGCACTCATGTATCAATGTTCTCTGGATGGAGTGGATCTCTCTCGATGCTATGAATTGCAAGAAACCGTCACCCAGTTAGAACAAAAAGTCTCCATGCGCATGTCGGATCGTCCGACCCCTCTATACCACAGCCCCTATATCCCGTTCCCCAACCAGACCTCCTCAGTCTCCGACTCTATCTCGTCGTATCGAGGAGCCTCCTCGAGCAAATGATCTCCCTCGCATGTGGCACAAAAGCGGATGGAATCCCGGCCCTAGTCACGGAGGGCTTTTCTCTCGTCCACCAGCTTCAACCTTCGAGCGATTACTATGCCGAGTATTATGCATGGTCGATCCAGGTCCTGAGGACGTGTATATCTCGAGCAGCGGATCGGGATTGTCTCTTAGCCCAAGCTTTGGAGTTTTGGAAATCGACTCGCAATAGCACCATGAGACGGTTGGCGGGTATGTTGGCTGGTTGGTCGGATGGAGTTAGTCTTGGATTTACGGGATTATGTTTTTTTGTTGCTTATATGGTTAGAGATATATGATTATGATGATTGATATCTTATGGTAATATATGTATGTACATCATTAATGCTAGATTGATATGCCCAACTTTATCCATCTTCCTCGTTCATATTCGGTGTAAGACTGCCCGCTCACCGTACAGACTTGGTCTTCTTCCCTGCCGCACCCACCAAATTCCCGTACTTCAACGTATTCACCGTCGCGGATAACTGCGTCGTCGACGGCGACGCTGTCAAAATCATGGCCGAGTAGCTATCCGTCCCCGCGGGCTGGAAATGCTCGCGCATCACCATCGTCAAGGGCGACGACCGAAACGGTACGCGTGCCTGCTTCAACGCGCGTGCCCGAATCACCTCCTTCAACGCCAGCAGATCGGTATTGATCTGCCGTCCCTCCTGCTGCTCTTGCGGTGTCTGCTTCGGACGGGTCTCCGCCGTCTTGGTCTTGTCGTGGTAATATTCAGACCCGGCGAGATCGACGAAGACGAATTTTCCCCCCAGACACGCATGGGGACATTCCTTGGACACCGTCGTGACGTGGTCCTCCGCTTGCTGGACGTAGGCTTCAAACTCGGCCTTCTTCGCCTCGGCTTCGTCGATCCGCGTCTGATCAATCCGGTAGTCCGGGTTCGGGGCATATTTCCCATCGCTGCTCTGGATATATCCCATGATATTCTCCTCCAGATAGATATCAGTCGCTCGCTTCGCAACGGGAACCAATTCCGACTGTCTCTCCACCACCGCCTCCCTTGCATCCAATAAGGCCTGCGTCACAATCTCCAGCTCCAGCACGGCGTGCGTCCGAGAACTCAAATCATGCACCGTCGACGTCCCCGTCGCGCGACGCGCCAGCCCCGCAAGTAGATACTCTCGTAGCTCGTCGAATGACCAGCACGCTTGCGTCAGAATCGGACGCACCCGCACCTTCCCGTCTTCCAGCATCTCCGTCTCCCCGCGGATATGTGTGCGACCATCGTAGCCTTCGCGTACATGACATTTGCAGTGTTCATTTAGTAGATCGAAGGCGATGTTCTTGCGGAGTTCGTATAGTCGGAGTCCGAGCCCGAGTCGTCCTTCCTGCGTGCCATCCGTGCTGTTTAACCGGTCCAGCTCCTCGAAGAGAACCCGTGCGGATGCCAGACATAGTCCAAATTCGTCTGTATGGTTGAATTCATACCCGATCACGGTATGCGATTTCCCGCTCCCGGAGTGTCCGTAGGCGAAGAAATTGCAGGTTTGTCCCGCCAGAACGCGGGGCAGGACTGGCGAAACAACCCGCTGGAAGACGGTCGCGTTGGTGCTCTCCGGGGAGAAAATCTCCCTGAATGCGGGCTCGCTGTTCCAGGGCCGGTCGCTGGAGATGGAAATGGAATGGGCAGCAGGGTGTTTTTCAGTGATATGGGTGATCGCCCTGGGCTCGCTGACTGATAGAGGTCGCCAGCGCACAAAGACGTCGAATTGCTGCTGCATTTGGAGAGTGGGGGAATACGTACTGCAGATGACTGTGGTAGCTCTGATTGATCAGGTCTCAGATGACAGATGCACAGGTGGAACTGGAGCTCTGGAGATAGTATTCAATCCGATGGACTCCGGGGAGCTGCTCGGGGATGTTCTCTCGTACTATTTATATATACCGCAGGGCGAATACGAGCCCCAGTTACTACCAAACCACAGTATAAATACAGCCTTCCCAGGCAACCCGCTCTCATCCTTCTCCACTATGACAACGGCATTACCATTCAATATGACTCTCACCTACGATCTTCAGACCCTTCTAACCACCGACATCCAGACGCATCTGCCGGCCGATGTCGTAGCACAAATTACATCCCAGCCACCCTTTGCCACAGTATCTGGCCTGTTCAATGTGCGCGATATCTGTGCGGCCATCCGCCCCACTCTTCGCAGAGGTTACATTTACCGCTCGGGCGCATTGAGCGGCATCACCGACGAAGGGAAGTCAACTCTAGTCAATGCACTTGGCATCACCACCATTTTTGATCTACGGAATCCCTCCGAGCGAACCAAGTCGCCTAGTCCGGACATCCCCGGAGTGGATACGGTCTGGACTCCCTACTCTGCGGACCCTGGCCAGGTCGATATGCAGGCATTTGCAACGGACCAGACTCCCGCGCCGTTCGTCCAGATGTATCGTCACATCCTGGACATTTCCGGACCCCAGTTTCGAAAAGTTTTTGAGCATATTCGTGACTGTCCGCAGAAGGCTGTTTTGTTTCACTGTACTGGTGGGTTATCTATTAGCATTTCTTACTCTTATATTTATAGACTCTCCCCCCCCTCCCTCCTCCCTCTCTCTTTCTATTGGTATGTGTGATATGCAATAGGATGGCTGACGATCCCAGCCGGGAGAGACCGGACTGGCGTCCTGGCGGCGTTGATTCTCCGACTTGTGGACGCATCCGACGAGGAGATTACGCTTGACTATATGCTTAGTCGCGTAGGAGTTGAGCCTGTTCGGGCCGTTCTCCTGGGTATTCTCAAGGGCGATGTCGGCGAGTCCGCGGCCGCTGGGATCCTGGGACTCTCCAGTTTTCGTCCTGGTGCTATCACTGCCTTCTTGGAGTCAGTTGAACGCGACTTTGGTAGTGTTCAGGGCTATCTCGCGGATTTGGGGTTTTCCTCGGATGATGTCGAGAAGATCCGTGCGAATATGAGAGCATAGATTGTAGTATTTCATTCCATGGGTATAGATAGATGTATGACTTTATGGCATACGTCTTATGCGATATAATCGAGTAGAGTGTATTCATTGCACAAAGAAGCTCTTTGTTCTTGTTATGGCGTAGAATTCATGATAGTGGCGGAAAATAGACTATTCCTCGTTCTATTCCAGGAGATATCCAAGTCGATGTCCTCTTGATACAGTTGATGTCTCCATACTCGAAGATTTTCATGTTAGTAACTGATTCTCCCGTTCGCGACCACAATAATCCTGCCAATATCCCACGAACATCTCATCCACTCTTCTATTCATCTATTCCCATTCACTATATGCTAAACCGACTGACAGCCAATAAAACAAAGAAAGAAAAGCCAGAAAAAGGAATGAAAAAAACGAAAAAATGGAGAAACATTTTGCTATGCGAACAGCCCGTATTTCCCAGAAGCACCACAAGAAGAAACTGAAATGGTAATAGAACATCCCAGCATACGTCAACAAGGATTGTGTTTAGGATGTCGTTATCGCGATCCCACAGATCCTCGAGCTTTATATGTATAATATCTTAGGGCCAGACTCCCTTAGATCCTCAGATACTTCTTGCCATACATTCCAGATAGACTTTACCTACGAAGATGTGGGCATAATGGCGGTGGATGAGTACATGTTTGAGTAGCTAGGACTATTAATTACCCCAAAACGTGAGGGTGGGAAGGGTAAGTATGCAAAGGATGAGGACATAAAGAATGAGGATACAGAGGATGAGAATAAAAAGAATAGGTTACCCTACAGCAGGGGCCTTTGTTTATCCAGCTTGTGTTTAATGACCTCTGGGGCTCTCGATCTTTTTTTCCTTTTTTTTTCCTTTCTTTTTCCCTTTTCACCTTGATTAATTTTGGTTTTTGTTTAGTTAAGTATTTTTTTAAAACAACCAAAAAATATTATATCAGGGCTAAAGTATAAACAGAGCCAAGTCGTCCTAATAACCCCATTAACATCTCGTCAGTATTCCTTCGGCATCCTGTCCTCTCATATCGTCTGGACCTCGATTAATAGGCATCTCCGAATGCAATGCCACTTCTATCCAAACCTTCGATGTAGGACCTTTCTTCAAAGAACGTGTCCACTTTGCTCCTTCGACTTCAATAATTACCTGCATGAGCTTCTGAGCCTTTGTCATTGCCTCCACGAAGGATGAGGATGAAGATGAAGATCAGAAACAGTTTCTCCTGAAGAATAGGCTTTTGTCTATCGATCGTGTTGAGCTTGGTCCTCGGAATCGTTATTTTCTCATTCTCTCTGGCTTTCTTTTCTTTTCTCGCCCTCTGTTTGATTTTAGTTGTATGGGGCATTCGAGGGGGAAAAATTTTGGTCTATTGAGGTTAGTTAGTCGTAGCAATGAAATCTCTGAAGTTGAAATTATATGCATATTCGGTAGAACGTAGAATGTAGTCGACCTGTTTATTCCTATATACTCAGCTGCGTGGTCTCTTTCTCTCATTCTCTATTGGACACTCTCGTTTCCTAGCACCTATTGGTAAATTCCTCTGAGATTCAACAGAATGTAGACTGTAGAGGCACAACAGGATATATCTAGGATTGTCCTGGAACTATCTCTCCAACTAATAGAACACGTCGTGAGATATTTTCGTTATCACCCTGTTACCGTAGCTCGCCCTGATATCGAATTGGCTTGACCAAGCTATCGTAGTCTTCGTATCCGGAGTAAATTCTTCGGCCATTCGGTGTACAAGTAGTATATTGATCCCCAGTAGCACTTTCGAGAACTCTGGAGAACTCCACTGGACCTATTTCTCAAGAAGGAGCAATATAACTATTCCGTAAACCTTCTTTGGGTGAATAGTAGGCGGATGCTGGAAGCTGGTGGGATGGAGCACTGTGTACCGCGAAGCGCAGCATATCCGTGTGGACTAAGTGTATCATTCTTCATAAACTTGTCTACGCCAGCGCTATGATTCAATGTACATGTACATTATATATACACTTAATGTGTCACTCCGCCGGCGCCTCCGCCGACACCAGGGTCATCTCATCCAGCAACTGCTCGACATCCGTGGCTCCTGCCTTGGTAGCTAGGTCTCGCGCCGTCTGTCCGTTATCATCCTTGACGTCTGCGGCTGCCCCATGGCCGAGCAAAAAATGGACATCGTTTCGTAACCCGGCAGCTGCAGCCATATGCAACACCGTCTGTCCAAACATATCTCGTGCGAAGATATCACTGTTCTTGTTCACCAGGAACCGCATCACATGGCTTTTGGAGCACACGGCCTTGTGCAATGGCGTCTGGCCGTAATCATCCGGCGCATTGACGTCGGCTTCCTTGCGGGTCAAAAAGTCTACTATCTTGCGGTGGCCATGCTCCGCTGCTTTGTGCAGCGGCGTTTCCCCCGAGTGGTTCGTCACGTTGATGTCGGTTGCGCTGTCTAGCAGTAACGCAACCAGATTCCGGTCTCCTGCCGCCGCCGCCAGATGGAGTGGGGTGTCGCCCGACTCGTCCTGCGCCTCCACGTCGGCGCTGTTAGCTAGTAGAAGTTCCACGATCCGGTCGTTTCCCATCTTGACAGCGAGGTGCAACGGTGTTGTCCCATCCTTGGCGGCAGCATCCACCTGGGCTCCCATTTTTAGAAATGCAGTTGCCAGTGCTATATCTCCCTCCTTCACGGCGACATGGAGACTCGTGTGCCCGAAAATGTCCTTCCCATTAACATCAGCTCCTTTTTGCAGTAAGAGCTGCAACATCTTCATGCGGTGTTTGCTTCGATCATACATAACCAGTGCCAGTAACAGCGGCAGCCCCATCTCCCCTGATGGTGCATTAATATCAGCTCCCTTTTTGATGAGATACTTCACCACATCCACATGTCCCTTTCGACCCGCCTGGTATAGGGCCGTGCCATGCGGCTTTTTCATACCGTCCTCTGCGCTGACGGCTGGCTGCGCGTTCATATCCGCCCCATGTCGAACTAACAGGCGCACAATGGCCAAGCTTCCACTGCGTGCGGCCCACCATAGGGGCGTACACCCGGCATCGTCTGCGTCATTGACACCCACTTTCCCCGAGCTAATGAGCAACAGAAGCACCTCTTCTTGGCCCTTCTCGGCAGCCCACACCAGTGGCGTGCGTCCATTGATGTCCTTGACGGTCGGATCGGCATTCGCCTTTAGCAGAAGAAGCACCATCGTTGGATTTCCCTTCCCTACTGCCAAGCACAGCGGCGTCTGTCCAGTTGAATCTGCAATATTGGTATCGACCCCCCCGCATCCAAGCAGCGGCACAACCACATTCTCGTGGTCGTTCTTCACGGCCCATGATAGCGGCGTGTAGCCGAGTTTCGTGTCCCTGGCGTTGGGGTCAACGCCATTGTCGAGAAGAAGCTTCACAACCTTTTCATGGCCCTCCTCCGCAGCCCAGGATAACGCACTTCGGCCGTCTTCGTCTCTGCAGTCAAGGTCTACGCCGGGAGTCGAGAGAAGTAATTGTACAATTGAATCGTAGCCTTTACTTGCCGCTAAGAATAATGCCACATCGAGTTTGCTCTTAGGACCTGGAGCCGCTGGCCCATCGGTAATATCAGTTTCCATAGCCATCGACAAAGGAAACTAGTTAGAGGTGGGATTGGTCCATGGGCGAGATAGTAGCATTAATTGACAATAGGGAACGTCTATTTTCGCTGTCGACTCAGAGAGGAAAACATACCGAAGCCCAATGCGCGGGTCACGAACTGGAGGAGGAGTCTGGCATGATATACTCAGTACCTACCGATGCGACCGTGACGAGAATCGACGAAAACGCGCGACACGTGGGACGCCGTGACTGGCCCCCCATGGCCTGAGGCAGTCCACTGCTGGGATCCCCTCACTGCGGGCGCCCATCCATCGTTATTCACATCCCAGTGCAAAGTAAAGCAAGTCATTGAGTTGTCATGTTTGCTACCCGATTGTATGTGGAACTGGTCTGGTTTCCCCGGACTTTTGAAGATTCTCTGAATGATGCGAGTTGGCCGGACTAATCTCAATGACTGTGAAGCATCAAGGAAAGTCGCTCGAACGTCGCAACGCCGAGAGATTTCTGCTAGACATTAGGAACCTCCTTGGGCATCGACGGTATATGTGTTGGTTTCGTGGGGTTGATGATGGAGCGTAAACGCATATGGCTCTGTCAAACAGGTACAACAGTGGTTCTACCAGACACAGAGTATTTCATATCCAAGAGGGTCGTTTTGAGTAGCCTGTGTTATGCACTGCAACGATATCACAAGACCTGTTGCAGCCAGATGGCTGAATTTGTTTTGCTGGCTTGGATATACATGTCATGGCAATTGCCAACCTGTGAGTCTGATGATCAACAAGAGACGTTTACGGAACATCTGTGCTCTTTTCTAATTACAGATATTCACCCAGGAATTCAGATCCCATTAGGTTATTGACACCTGACTCCTCCAGAACAATTTCTATTCGAGATGTTTATCCAGCTGTTTGAACAACACATGACAACTCCCCGACTGATATCCACGTGCTGCCAATAGTCACACTCAGATCATAATCTCGGGACTCAATACTGCAATGTTGAAATTTGGCCCTGGAATGTCACTATATGTGGGTATTTTGCTGTGTACCAACACCACATGATAAAGAAGCTGTCCTGGTTTAGTTGGCACTCATTCTGTTTCGGGTGGCTAAAATATATATTACTTAACCATGTCTGTGCGACGATGATCTGACGTGCCTATTTATGGTGTTAAATATGGCGAACTTCCAGGGAGCTAATACTGATAGCCCAAGGAGACTCAATATACCAGTCATCCCACTTGTAGTAGGGGTATGTACATTCCCTAGTTTAAAGACACGCTGGGTGACCTCCACATGAACAATCATATAGAGAATATTATGAACCGTTCTTCATGTGAGGAATGCGTCTCAAATGATTTGAATAGCTATAGAAGTGTGTAACTTTCATGCAAAGAGTCTTGGTGTTGTGCTTGGATTTATACAGGCCAGGAGGCGGCCGAAACATATCACGCCTAGCACTGTGGCACCTTGCGAGGTCTTTCCCTTGAGGGCATGCCCCTATTCCTAGAAGATGCGTGTGCGTTTATCAGGTAGTAATCAAGGCAAGATAGATACTATCAAATATGGTCGTTAGTAGGCTACGTGCGTGTAGCTGATATAGTGTTCCTCTGTACCCCTTTCCCTGAATTACAGTGATCGTGCCGAAATCGCTTCATCTTGCAAGTAGCATAGAGTATTACAACAAGCACCAATTTTCACGATGACATTCCGCTTGTCGAAATCTAGTCGACTTCAGATAAGAAGATCGGCCAGCCTGGCAATTTGGCACTCGCAAGTAGGTAGATGATGAGAACGATGTTAAGACGGATGGTTTCTGTTAGCTGATTAGGGATGTCCCACAGACTGGCCTGATGCGGTGGAAGCTATATCTCGTCTGAAGGAGAAGTTCATGGTGTCCCCGTCTCTGTTCCTATTCAGCGATATCCCGTCTGACCGCATAGTGTTGTCCTGGCCAATGGCACTACGACTCCAGCTTGATGTCATACAATCATCCGGTCTACCGTTTCATATTACTATTGTCGTCGCAGCTCTTGGGTTTGACTAAAGTGTCACACCTTCTTACTAGGATCTATGCCTGGAGACTAACCGCTCACTCGCAGCCTGATCCCACAATCTACAGAAAAGCACTTGATCTCCTGCAGGTGTCCCCGGAAATTGCGGTCATGGTCACTGCGCATGCCTATGATCTCCGAGCTGCGCAGCAGATGTAGGCTTCTCTGCGTTTCTGGGTGGAGATCCTCAATTTAACTACGATCGCAGTGGCATGAAGACAGTATATATTCACCGTGACACTGAACACCCCGACGAGGATATGGGCGTGGTTCGCAGCGAAGTGGACGTCTTTATCGAATCATTGTTCGGACAATCTAGAATTTCGAACTAGACAGTTGCGCTCGTTTCATCCACTTGCTGGTCCTTTATCCCACATCATTGTAATAATCAATCTAGAACACATTTGTGTATCGCATCTATATCCTCCGAGCCGGCTCCAGATCGAAAGTGAATATGAATCTCTTCAAAAAACCCCGCCCGCCAGTTCGCCGCAAAATTGAGAAATATCCTCCCCCAAGAGCGAGTTGAGTGGCTTGGAACGAGCTAGTGCTGTACAGATTGACGTCTTCCAGTCGGTGCAACTGCCCATAAGGTCGAAGGTAAGGGCATGAATGGGACTACCGGTTAGGGTCGTAGACATGATAATTTAGAAAGGTTAAAGGAGAGGTGAGCGACACTGTGAAGGCCTGAGCAATAAGGCATTAACTAAGGGCTGTGATCGATAAGATAAGCCGAAAAGCTCCGATACGGTGGCTGACAAACCTGCCAGCGGGGGCCAATCAAAACGTAGAAAAGTGAGTTGAGTCATGGTGAGGGACAAAGGACTGTCTCCTATCAGATACTTGAATCCTGCTGGCCAAAACTCCAGAGATATCCTCATTATCGTCTATTTGCTCTCTTCATTCTTTGCATTACTAGCTTTCTACTACCCAACCAAAATGACGTTCCAACAGCGAGAATTCTCCGACTTCCCCCTGCCCCCACCGGTCGGGACCCCTGCCAACTCCCCCAGTGCTCAGCCGTGGTATTCGATCGCGCCTGGCATCTGGGAGCTCCTTCTCAACGGCGACAAGGATTCAGATCACAAATCGGTTCTCCAATGGTTTGAACCCGGCCAGAAATCTGCGCAGACGGAGCCGATCACCCATTCGTATGTGGAGGAGGTGTGTTTCCTTCAAGGGGGGTTGCGCGATCTTACGCTTAACCGTGAATGGGGAATGGGCGCTTACGCGTATCGAAAGCCGGGTATGAAGCATGGTCCCTACCAGGCATCAACCGTCGGATGTTTGGAATTTGTGAGGATAACTCCGAAATGACTCTTGCGATATATGTATATAGAGATAGAGAGAGAGAGAGAGAGAGAGAGAGAGAGAGAGAGAGAGAGAGAGAGAGAGAGATGCATTATACTCTATTACAGCTCCCCTCTTCCAAAGTCGCCAATGGTTAAAGAGCCAAAATGACCCAGCAGGTCACATTGGCATTTGGTTACCTGTAAATACATCAATTTTCGAAAAGAAGGTTGCTTAGGCGGAAGGTTGCTTAGGCAGAAGGTTGCTTAGGCAGAAGGCTGCTTAACTAGGCAGAAGGCTGTTTAGGCAGACAACTGCTTAAGCTAGGGCAATGCGGAATAGTGGGGAACTACCCGGAAACAGTGATAACCACACCTTCTGTATTATACCTTGCCTTTCTACAGGCGCTTCGCTGGTGGGTATAGCACGAAGAAGCACTCGGCTATAGGGATAAGACGCAATATCACTGGGGCGTGTTGCGGAATTGGTGTCTTGAAAGTGTTGCTTCAAGTTGGGACGAAGTGCGTATCACAGAGAGAGTTTATAAATGAGGCGTCTAGAAATAAAGCATAGCCGTAAAGGACAGTTTCGAAAGTGCCTGGCTCCAGTCTCCCAGGCTGCTTCGTCTAGAAGAGACTAAAGACAAAGTATAGTCATATAGTATACTCTACCGCGCAGGGAAAATATCGCAGTGTTTGAAGGAACCCTTGATCTTCCAGATCTGTCTAGATTACATTAAGCCGAGGCGGTGGTGCCTGTTGCAAGGCACATGCCAAGGAGCATACCAAGGGGCATACGGGGTTTTAGGGGTTAAAAGATGCCCTAGCAGTTGTAGTAGCCACCTAGGTGTTTAACCACACTGCAGTATAAAAAGGGTCTGTAAGGGCGCGCCGGACCCTCCTCGTTGAGGCGTCTCGAAAGAGTGTAGGAAGGAGGATGTTAAAAAGGACGAGGTCTGCAATGTATCTAAAGAGGATCACTCTGCACCGGGCACCCGCGGGGGTGATTGATACGGGGCCCGCGGATCCCGAAGTCTGGAACCAAAAACGAATTTGTTCTCACCAAGCCTTGGCTTTCTCGTATTCTCAGAAATGTCTTTCCAAATGACCACTAGTATATATAGGATAGGCACTCATAGTTTGGCCGCTGTGTAGTCAAGTATATTCAACTCATGCCATCCATCCATCACAAATCACCGCAATGGTGGCTGAAGAGAAATCCTTGCCAAGCACACAAGGTTCTTTGGCATCCATGCCGGAGAGGTCGAAAGAGCTTCACGTGAAGCCCAAGGAGCCAGAGGCCTCTCAGAAGGATGGAGGGCTGAAGAGCTATCTGAGGGTCTTCGCCTATACCGACAGCTTCGGTTGGTTTCTCAACATCATGGCCTTGATTGGCACCATCGGCGCAGGCAGTGCGTTGCCCCTGATGGACCTGGTCCTGGGCAAGATGATCACCATATTCAATGATCACTCGATGGGAGCTGATTCTTCCTCAAAATTTCAGTCCAAGCTAAACAAATTCACGTAGGTGACCCAATAGGACAGATGCACTGCTGGTAGGTTAACACAAAAGTAGTCTTTATTTCGTCTATCTCTTTATAGGCAAGTTTGGCCTGGTATATATCTGGACGGTATGTAATCAACATGAGTACCTTAAGTATTATGTATTAACTCGGGCCGGTCCTTCGCAGCTGTCACTATCGATCTCATCTCTTCGGACTACGAAAGCGTTGCGAATTGCCTTCCTTACTCGCCTTCTTCAACAGGATATTGCTTATTTTGATTCCAACGAGGGTGGTTCCCCCGTCGTGCAGGTCACCACGAACACCAACCTAGTTAATCAAGGGATTTCGGAGAAACTTGGCTTTGCCATCCAAGGGACGGCGACCTTTGTGGCAGCCTTCATCGTGGCCTTCACGGTGCAGTGGAAATTAACCTTGATCACAATCTGCATTGTGCCTGTTATAATGGTGGTCACGTCGGTGTGTGCCGATCTTCTCGTTAAACAGGAGAATAAAATCCTCCGTGTCGATGCTGAAGCTGGGTCGTTAGCCGAGGAGATTTTGGCAAGTATGAAGACAGTCCATGCCTTTTCCGCTTTTGCCAAATTGACTGCCAAGTACGAGAGTATGGCTGCTGAATCGAAGCGTATGGGGTTGTCCCAGTCATTAAACATGGCAATTCTCTACTCGGCTGAATTTTTCTGTGTTTATGCGGGGTATGGACTTGCTTTCTGGCAGGGCGTTCGCATGTATGCGAGAGGAGAGATTACGGAGGCCGGAACTGTCGTTACGTATAGGCCCACCTTGTGTTGAAATCAATGGATATGGTCCGCTGATCCTCGCTTTCTTTCTTAGCGTTATTTTCGCTGTCATTGTGGCTGCCACGGCGATGACCCAGATTGCTCCTCAGATTATACAGGTAACCAAGGCCGCTTCGGCCGCCCAGGAAATCTGGGCCGTTATAGATCGCGAACCCGCCATCGACGGATTGTCGCCCGACGGCATTCGACCAAAGTCATGTGAAGGAAATATCGTGTTCTCGGACGTGTCATTTGCGTATCCCAGTCGCCCGGAGGTAACGGTGCTGGAGAAGTTTACGCTAGAGGTTCCCGCCAACAAGACTACTGCGTTGGTTGGTCCCAGCGGATCGGGCAAAAGCACGGTAACAGGGTTGCTGGAACGATGGTACAACCCCCTGGGCGGATCTATAACCCTCGATGGACGGAAAATCAAGGATCTGAATATCCAGTGGTTGCGGACTAATCTCCGAATCGTGCAGCAGGTATGCTATTGCACTCCATCCCTCTAATGGGCCTGTATCATTAACTGAAACCGTAGGAACCAACGCTCTTCAACGGAACAGTGTTTGAAAATGTGGCTTATGGTCTTGCAGGAACAGAATACTTGAATGCTTCTAGGGAGGAGCAGCTCGAACGGGTCAAGCGCGCATGCAAAGCAGCTTATGCCCATGACTTCATCGAAGGGCTGCCTGAAGTAAGTCCTAGTGACCGTACAAGCGCTTCACCGTTCCTAACGAATCTACTTAGAAATATGATACTCAGGTTGGAGAGCGGGCCACCATGTTGTCTGGGGGTCAGAAACAGCGTATTGCTATTGCCCGCAGCATTGTATCGGACCCCAAGGTTTTAATTCTCGATGAAGCAACTAGTGCCCTAGATCCGAAAGCCGAGAAGATCGTGCAGGAGGCGTTGGACAATGTCTCAGCATCCCGCACGACTATCACTATCGCACACAAGCTGTCCACAATCAAGAAGGCGGACCAAATTATTGTCTTGTCCCAAGGTCGGGTTGTTGAGAAAGGCACCCACGATGAGCTCAGTGCAGCCGGTGGAGCTTATCACCGACTGATCAAAGCGCAAGATCTTGGCAGTGTCAGATCCGGTGACAGTGCTCCCCAGGCAGAGGAGCCTATCGCCACTATCCATTCTGTACAGACGGTTAGTGAAAAGGATGCTGGGGTTGTACAGGACATTGAAGCTCCTTCACCTCGCAGCCAAAGCCTGATACGCTGTTTGTTTATCCTCTTTGTGGAGAGGCGCGATTTATGGCCTCATTTCTTTATTGTACTCGTCGCCTGCGTCATGGGAGGTGTGTACGGCATTCTTCAATTACAGTTCAGCAGCTAACAAATGCTCAGGAGCAACATACCCGGTACTCGCCTTTATCTTTTCCAGAATATTGGATGTATTTCAAGAACAATCCAAAAACGAGATGGTTAAGAAAGGCGATTTCTACGCCCTCATGTTCTTTGTGCTTGCCCTTGTTATTTTCGTCGTTTATGCGACTCTGGGATGGGTCACCAACGTTATAGCAACGTCTATCGTGTATATTTACCGTCTCCAGATGTTCAAGAGCTATCTTCGACAGGACTTGACATTCTACGATCAACCGGAACATACGACTGGGGGTTTAGTGTCTCATTTGTCCACCAAGCCCACCAGCCTTCAGGAGCTCTTGGGCTTTAATGTCAGTATTATTATCATTGCCATTGTTAATATTCTGTCCAGCTCTATTCTTGCTATCTCAGTTGGATGGAAGTTGGGGTTGGTCGTGCTGGCTGGCGCCCTGATTCCTATGGTCTTTTGCGGCTACCTCCGCATCCGCCTCGAGTTCATGTTGGAAGAAGGTGTTTCAAATCGATTTTCTCAGAGTGCTGCATTGGCCGGGGAGGCCGTCTCAGCGATTCGCACTGTGGCATCACTGGCAATCGAGCCAGTGGTCCTTGCCCGGTATACTGAGAAGCTAGCCGGGATCGAGCGCCGGTCCATAAAGACATTTATTTGGACAACATTCTGGTTGTCTCTCACACAATCCCTGTCATTTCTATCCATGGCTCTGAGCTTTTGGTACGGAGGACGCCTGTTATCTACCGGGGAGTACTCCTCGGCGCGACTGTACATTGTCGTTATCGGAGCCATCCTATCCGGAGAGGCAGCGGCATCATTTTTCATGTTCACCACTAGCTTTACCAAGGGCCAGGGAGCTTGTAACTACATTTTCTGGCTTCGGTCCCTGATACCTAATGTGCGCGACGGCGATTCTGACGCCCCGGCCTCTGGTGGCGCAGTGCAGATGGCGCTACAGAATGTGGAATTCCGCTATCCGACACGACCGAATCGGCCAGTGCTGAAGCAGTTGGATGTAGAGATCAAGCCTGGCCAAATGGTGGCTTTCGTTGGTCCTTCAGGCCATGGGAAGTCCAGCCTGATCTCCCTCCTTGAACGATACTACAATCCCACCTCTGGCTGTATCCGCTTCGACGGGTCAGACATTTCACAGATGAACCTCGCTTCGTACCGACGCCATCTGTCCCTGGTACAACAGGAGCCGGTCCTCTATCAGGGCACCATTCGCGACAACATCGCCCTCGGCCTGGAAACGGAAGCCACAGATGATCAGATCTATGAGGCCTGTCGACAAGCGAACGTGTTTGACTTTGTATCTTCCTTGCCTGATGGGTTGTCCACCGCGTGTGGCTCAAAGGGAAGTCTATTCTCTGGCGGACAACGCCAGCGCCTGGCGATTGCGCGTGCTCTTATACGACGGCCACGGTTGCTCCTCCTGGACGAAGCCACCTCGGCATTGGACACGGAAAGTGAGAAGATTGTCCAGGCCGCGTTGGATAAGGCTAAAGAAGGCCGGACGACGATTGCGATTGCTCACCGTCTGTCGACGATCAAGCACTCTGACTGCATCTTCGTACTAGTGGACGGCCGTATCCGGGAGCACGGCACTCATCACCAGCTACTGCAGCTGCGAGGGATCTACTACGAGATGTGTCTGGGACAGGCACTGGACCAGGCAACGTGAGCTAGCTCTTTCATAGTATGTTTGTGTACCGATGTGCTAGGATATCCCCCCTCTTATATAACTGTAAATAGTATTATAAAAAATGTTAGAAGAAACCCTATATTATAGGCTTTTCCAAGAGTATCAGTAGCTCTATCTTTTGGTTGATTGGCTATGAATGTGTGGCTGACTGCATTGGGGCTGCAGGAAGACTGATATGTCTATGCTAACCACCATCTACCAGAGCGACCGTCGCATACGTTGTCAGTAATGAGGCTGTTGTTTGCAGTGACTATGCAAATTGCATCGATACACTCCGTTGTTAAATTGACACTATGTACAGATAATCTGACACGTAACCTACAGTATACCAATTTAGGAAGGCGCAAGAAGGTGCCCGACCACTACCTAGTATACTGACGCATCCCTTTTACAGACCCGCCGCGCTGTGTCAGGCCATACCTAAAATAACTAGGTAGAGCCAAAGCAGTATTAGGCCGCGCATACGTACTTGATTTTCTCAACAGCTCGAGGGCTTTCTCTTTCCGTTTTAGTGCTCACTGAGTAGACCTGAGCACGCCCTGAGCGCTCTGAGCTGATCACTGAGCAGGGGCTGAGCAGGGGCTGAGCAGAAGGGTGAGTGGCCTGAGGGAGGTAACCTCAATAAAATGCACCACGCTAGAGTTTCACCCGCTTCCATTTTTTTCCCTCATGATTTTCACCGTCGTTGCCCTTTACCCTCTCAAGTAGGAGATGGCATCATCAATGTGACGGGGAATTGCGGTCATCTTCCTTCTGCCCCACCAGTGAGGCATAAGTTCAAGTGGAATAGCCTCTTTCTTTTTTTCTACATGCCCATATTTACTTTCTTACTTCATGAGCACCTGCTGGCAGGCCATCTAAACTATAGTATCAAATATTTAGACTGTACAGACCATGATAAGTTGATTTCCTCTATCAAAAGGATGATTCAGCAATCTCTAATCCGTGCACCTTCCAGAGGAGACATTTCTCCATAGTCTGATGCCTTTGGCGTTCATGCATCTGCTTGCACCACCAAGTTTTGGCTAGCTTCAATTCCGTCAGGACTGCTTTGACCCGCATGGATTAGGACAAGACAGTCGAGCAGTGAGCCAAACACAGCCACAGTCACCATTGGACAAATCAGAATGACTTGATACGTTGAACTACACATACTAGATCAAAGTGCCCAAGGGTTACATGTAGATCTACTAGTTTCTTCTTGATGTGCGCTATGGTCGACGTCACTGCTACCAGAGGTAAACGCTGGTGCGTTAGTCGATCTATGGTTATGACGACACTCCCCATAATTTCATGTCGTGGGTTATGTCAACACATTTTCCAGTAACTATCCCTTTTGGGATTAAAAACAGTCCCACTTCCAGTTTGCCGTGGAGTTGGCGAACTAGTTTATTGGATGTAGGCAGTGGTGCCTGGGTTAAGCAGGTGACCAAGGTTGCACTCATCTCTGAGTGGTCCCCGTTCTAGATTCTAACCCCTTCGGGTTATCCGTAGCTATTGATGTAGACGGTCTGTCGCGCTTTTCGCCATGTACAGTAAAAAGACAGGCTCCTCAATATCACGAGGTGGGCGTTCTGATATGACTCTACATGGAGCATACTGGCTTGACATACTCTTGTTCACTGAATAGCCTGCAATCTTGCCCTTTTTGCAATTCTCGACTAACGCATTCTGTAATGGAAATCAAAATGTTACAAAATAAACAATAAACTATAGATACCATTCGCTACGAAGAGAGTGGGGTTAACATAGATCCCATGAAGGTCCAGTCCACTCCAGAGATTATCCTTTATCCGAGGTGCGTGTTTGTAGGTCTTACAAACAGACTAGGCCATCTTAGGAGCAAGGCCAGGACTCTTAGGATTCCAGGCTACCCCAGGAGCAAGTAAATCATAGAAGTAATTGCCACAAAAGACTGCTAAGAACGACAACAGTCAATAATTCTTTACTGGCAATGTATTATAAAAACATCCCTACCCTTCGGCCGGACATGCCATTGTTTCTTTCTCCCAACCTCGTTTCGTCGGTGCTCTCATACTGTTCAAATTTTTATAAGCCAGTTGGAGTCTGTGAGTACTTATTCTTTCTGTTTATCCTGCATTGTCTGCTAACATAACAACTTATGAGTTTACAGGTCTTCCGAAGATGTCGCTGTCAGTTTCAATTCAATGCCCGAGGCCAGCAAAAAAGGTTGTGTTTTCATCGATCCAGCGGCTCCAGGAAATTTTAGTGCATGAGGGATATTACGAAATATTCTGCTCTCTATTGGCTACTCTATCGGCATCCGATGTGGGCGCACTTCTCGCAGCTGTTCGCATCCGACACATGGCATGGTTTTGGCAGCGATTTCTTCACCCATTGAGAGACATAGATCCCACAATGCGGGCCTTCGATCCTTAGATCCGTGACAAGTGCCAGATACTGCTTCTGGGGCCTGATTCCAGATTATTGAGTCAATGGATTCTAGATCCAGATGCATATTATGCAAAAAGGGGCCGTGATTCTGCTCGACTAGAATTATGGGTTATAGCAATATCGCCTCACTCTCGAAAATATGCTCTGCGAGTTTATAGATATCATGGGACAAGAATATATCTTCAGGCAGTATCCCCACGACGAACTGTGGCCGTTGGATGAAAAGGGAATACCCTTTCGCCTCAACCATAGCCGTGGGGAATCTGTGGATGTGAAGGTATTTGACTTGATGGAGTCCAGTAAGTCACGCTGGTCTTCTGACGAATTTGTTATTCGTCTCAACTTCGCAGGCTTGGAGTTCCTCTTGCCATGGGATATAAGGGGTACTGATTTAACAAGATACTGGAAGGCAATAGATTGCATTCCATTTAGTTTTGCTGCTAATCTATTCCATATCAAAAGCGGAACTCCCTGTTACTTGGACCGGCGTACAAAGGGTGGAAAACTTGTTTTCTCTTCATACCGTGATGAAGATAGTGAATCAGCCGTGTCTATTCCAACTAAGCGGGCGCACTTTCATTAAGTGATTTCATTCCCACTATTCATGTACATGTAACATAGTCATGCGATTGTTTGCGAATGAACTCTGAACTGTAGCAGGTAGACAGGGCCATTAGTTTCTATTTTTAATCTCTCCATCATCCTGCAACTAAGCTGATAGGATCACGTTGCCCTGGTATATCCTACCTACGGTCTTCATCGAGGTCATTGATGTTCTCGCCTGACTATGAGCTGTATTGAGGACAGCTTGCGGATAAATACAGCCTTGGATAATTCGATTGTACTCAGACCAATATTAATCTACGCAGTAAGATGTAGGATATGGGTAAGTCCTCCGAGGGCTGCGTAAAGGCGAGAGTTATGTGGAGTGCATAATCGAATAGTAGGAATAGCTTCTAACGACAAAAGACTTCTTTAATCAATATCCTGTCACTGTATCGTCTCATATTCCATTTCAATATGGATGGAAAATCCCATGTAGTTTAGCTAGTTTTGATCAACCAGACACCCCATGAATGCAGAGGTGGAGTATTGGCTTGCATGCGCATCGCATATCCGGACAGGCTAAGCTTCTCTATGTTAATTTAGGCCCGTATTAGGCAGTAAAATGGTATATAACGATGTGTAACTCAATTACATTGATTGATTCAGATAACTATGTAAAGGAGATGCACTAATACAGTCGGTCACATTGTGGCTGTGCACTTTTTGTTACCCCATTCGTATTATTACGTGTATGATTCAGGGAATTATATACCACCAGAAACATTTGGTGCACCGCACTAATTTTGTCCTGTTGCGGAGTGGCGGTAATGGCTTGCCATACCTCCAATCAATTTTCGAACTTCCTGCTGTCCGTACGGAGTACATCGAACGCTTGTCTGGGCAAATACATCCCCGTTCAGGCTTTGGGGTTTTTTCCTGTCTATCTAACTGGGAGACCAACTCATCGTTCTGTCCATAAACCGTGGCTGGAGTTGTGACATACCACACTCCTGCTGGTTTATCTGGGCTCCCCAACACTCAATGCCGTCACGGAGAGCACATCGCAAGTCGTACCATGGCTGTATAGACTGCAAACAAAGGCGGGTAAAGGTATGTTTAACGATAATACAAGCCCGTTGACATCGTTTCATCTTGATAATTAGACGACTTTGCCGTAGAGGATCATACTGATCTCCCATAGTGTGATGAAATACGACCAACATGCTCCAACTGCTTAAGAAGGAGCAGGCAATGCATATACACCCCGGCTATTCCATATCAACGGGCACATGGTGCTCCGTTTCGTCAGCAGTCAACAATAAGCAGTGCGGCGAGCCTCCAAGCGACTGTGCCAGTCTCAACAGAAAGCAGCAACCTATTACTCCCTACGAGATGTACCAGTTTATATGCTACCGCTCCCGTCCCCACATCTTTGAATCTCCTTGATCTGGAGCTCGTAAATTACTGGAAAGATACCACATATCGAATATTCTGCCGAAACCCGCACGCCCAGTCTATCTGGCAGTCCTGCGTCCCTCAGAAAGCCCTTACGGAACCATTCCTGATGCATGGGATATTAGCGCTCGCTGCCATCCATCTCGCGCAGACAAAGCACATGGACTCAAAGCCAACATATATAGGCGCTGCTGTAACCCACCAGAACCAAGCATTGATCACCTTTCGATCATTGATTGATAACATCAGAGAGTCCAACTCCGTGGCGATATTCGCGTATGCCAGTATTCTTATCGTGTATTCTCTTGCTTTCCCGCAAGCACCCGATTCTCCTGAACCCCGCGTCGCCGTGGACGATCTCTACCAGATAATTGTCTTTGCACACGGTCTACACCAAATCTCCACTAGTGCCGCTGGGTATCTGCAAAACAGCATGTTCAAGCAATTATTCCAGTGGGATGGCTCAGAGCAGAGGCTCACGGATGATGCTTGGCTGTCTTTTGAAGAACTACGCGACTCAGTCTCTTTCATTGGTGCGGAGGATGCACGCCCAAGCTACCTCAAGGCCATTGATTGCATACAGGATAGCCTCGCTGAAGTATCAGGCGGGTTCGACGCGGTCGCTGCCGTCACTAGAATTGCGATTAGGCTGCCGTCCTTGTATGTTACTTTGCTGCACGAGTATGACCCGCTAGCACTCGTCATCTTGAGTTACTATTGTGTTGTCTTGCATCGACTGAGGCATCACTGGTGTGTTGGGGACAGGGGCGCTCGAGCTGCTCGTGCCTTGTGGTTCATTCTCGGTGAGGAATGGAAGCATTTGATGCTTTGGGCGATGCAAGATATCTTGGGACCTGACTTCTTGACTCGAGTGCGTGAGCATGTATGAGATGTTTATCTAGGGTGTTTTTCTCTCTCTTTTGCTTACCTGCCAGAAAGCCGTTCTGTCTATGACCAGTAGTGCACAAGGGAATCTCTGACATGCAAAACTTGAGGGTGAAGAGCATGAATGTACAGTAGATCTGCTAGAACCGCACCTCAACATGAGTTTATTAGTAATTCAGGCATCTTGGCTAGCTTTTACCACTAGAATGCGTTACTGGTGAGGTTTTCTATAAAGTATGCTGGAATATCTCACTATAGGTCTCCTGAGAGATCATGCACTGGGGGGTTGTCTGACAAATTCTCAATCTTGTACATGTTATTATTATCGCACTGAGATATAACGTATATTATACGAAGTGCCAAACATTGTACAAGAATACTGTAACTACATCCTCAACATCTGAGGTCGTCCCCCATGGTGGCAAGGGGAAAGAAAGAAAATCTAATATACAATAAGCAATCTCCACTCAGCGACCCATATTCTTGTTCTCATGGCCATGAGAGACGAAGCAGCTATCGAGAAATTCCCCCAAAGTGGCAGTATAATGTCTCACGGGCAGCACAGCCTCTGCCCTCATGTAGTAGGACGCCTGGGTCAGGTGTTCCCAAGAAATGGAGTCTTCAGTTAAGAACACTCCGAAATTGCTTAACCACGTGCCCAAAAGCAGTCTCCTGAACAGTGTCAACCAATCCATAAGAAAGGTGACCGGCAGCAATCTGACAAGAGCACGCAGGGTTAGGCGCGCAAACAAGATCACCCTATATCAAGAAAAAAAAAAGGGACCCGTCAGCTAATGATAATAAGGGTACCTGCCGAGAAGGATATCTGATGCACACCTCGAGACAATAATCAAGCACTTTGCCACTCCTATCCACTTCTGTTGAGAGCTGAGGGATAGTGCTATTACTAGCGAGGGCAGGCTCTGCAAACATGCCCACAGAGACTCTTTTGTCGGGCTGAGCAGCACCATCCACATTGGACATCTTGCCTGGAATGCGGTATGGGTTTCCAACAAGAATGACTGACGTGACCGACCTCAGAGCTGAAGGACTGAGTTCGGCGAGCACATTAAGCATCAATGTTGCGCCTTGAGAATAGCCAAACAGGGCGTATTTCTGGTCCGGGCAGGAGAGTAGCCCCTCAGTTATGTTGTCAATAACAAAATCCTCTCCGCTGGTTGTATTCTGATCTGGTCCAGCTGGGTATTCCACGGGAAGGCTGACACCACCGGTCATATTGGCCAGGATGTTCTGGATCATGGGATAGAACATGGTTGAAACTCCCTGCGGTTCGGCCGTGCCACGAGCGTCAATCAGTTCTATGCAGGCAAGATTTCTTGCGTCAGCAGAATATCCTTCATTTGTTCCTGGGATGAGGAGAATAACTTACTGTAGCGAGCACAGTGCTTGGCTTCCTCAGGCGGCGTGATGTTTGCATGAGGCAAGGTTAGAAACTGCGACATCCCACAACGACACTCGAGTGGTGCATCGGTGAGGCGATGAGTGATAGCGGCGGCCCCGTCGCTTGTGTCCGGCAGCACGTTGTCGGCAGCTTTGTCAGAAGAGCCAACACAAGCCAGAGAAGCGGTAGCTGAGAAAAGGGCAAGAGCCACGATGGGCAGTGAGCGGACCATATTGACGATTATATACTGATGAAAGTAATGGTTCTACTTCCTAGCATGGGAGTATACGGTATTTACAGTCAAGTTTTCCCTTTTTCTACATATACTTCTAGTCGTCCGGAAGTTGATACCTCGTACACTAACCTCGTATACTAACCTCGTACACTAACCCAATTCGTCCATCTTCCGTCGGCGGGCCCATGGGCGGGGTAACGTATTTCACATACGAGCCGCCACCACAAACGAGCCGCCACTTGCGCTCTAATTCCTGCCTATGGGCTAAATACTAGAGTCTTTATCAACCAAATACTTGCATTTCTGATTAAAAACTAATTACTAAGTGGATTAGGACATCTAAGCCTAGTATGTCCCCGAATATGACAATTAGAACACTGCCGGGGGAGGGGGTCTCGTACGCGTGACCCAAATGCAGAAAGCGCAGGCTCTATAGGCAACGCATCTTGGCTTTCATCAACCTGATTCTCGCGCTGGAATCGCTCTGAGCCCTCCTGAAGCGATAAACCTTCTGCAATAGCTAGCTGTCTAGCAGAATTTCTGCGTTTTTGACCTTGCCATTTATTATCAACGCGATATTTGCGGATTTCTTCACGAGAAAGGATAAGCTTATTAAGAGTTAATTTATGACCTTTAATAATCTTGTCCAATCGCGCTTCTAGCAAAGGAAAAGGGCTTTGAGCGCGTTCCCTGAGCAGCTTTTTTGCTGCAGATACTTGCTTCTCCAGCTGCCTAGTCGTATAAGGCGTTTTAGCGCTGAATCGGTTGATCGACTGCCTAGTGTAGGGGTCTTTAGTTAGATATCTAACTTGCTAAGCACCCTATCTGGTTCGAATGGAACTAGGCAAGTTCCTGAAAAACTATTCTGGATGTTTTCTGCTATAAAAGCACTTTGGCGAGCCTGTGGAAAGATCTTTAGAAAATTAAGCCTATCGATATAGCTGATTCCTAGATGTATTTTCTGCTTTACTAAATCGCCGTACGCGCCTTTTAGAGACCGAAAACAGCCTACATCTAAAGGCTGGGGATTGTTGGAAGAATGCGCAGGCATATAGATAGGAATAATATTATTCTCGCTGTATATTTGATCGAATTGAGGCGTAAGATGGCTACCATGGCCGTCTAAAACAAAGAAGGCGATATCTTCCAGTCGTACGGCTAGTAGTAGTAGGAATAAAGAGATTTTTAAGCTAGCGAAGGCCTATCTTATTGGTAGTCCATCTATTAGGACTAACTTCAATCCTGCTATCACGTGGGAGATCGGAATCTTGATACTAGCCCTCTATATGGACCTTCCCTTTGAAGATAATGCATGGAGGAAGCACCTAGCCAGTAGAGTTGATACACTCGATTGAAGTAACCTATTCCTGATTTCCTGGCTGTACAAGACACGCTTTGCCATAGTAGTCAGCTCTAGTAATAACTCGAGCAGAGGCTACTAGGCCCATAGCGAAGCCAGTCTTATCGAAATTAGAGATATCTTTTTACGCGATCCTATGCTGTATTATAGTAATTTGTATTTCCCCTTTCCGTTTTAGTGCTCACCCCTCGCCGCTTTTTGCTCACTGAACAGAACTGAGCACGCCCGGAGCGGCCTGAGCTGATCACTGAGCAGGGGCTGAGCAGAGGGGTGAGTAGCCTGAGTGATGGCACTAGGTACTTCTTGTTTATCACAGATAACTGCACCCAATATACGTAGAGCGCGCGTTTCGAGAAAGAGTCACCAGCTCCTTAAAGTCTTCAAATCACTTGTTAAACTTATCCAAAATACCTACGACATCACTATTCAATGCTGTTGTCTTGACGATGAATTCGAGAATGGACATGTTGGTAGAGGGTGGGAGGCTCATTCCATCGCCCGAGAAGCCATCGAACACCGGTATGCAGTCGCAAGTGCCAATCATCTCTGGGCAGGCCTCAAAGGTTGTTTTCTAAGGAAGGCACCGAGCTCTTGCGTATCTCCAGAATTCCCAAATGTCTTGGGCTGGAACCGGTACAACATGCTCTCTTGTTGAAGAATAGAGCAGTAGAGTGTGCTCTACGCAAGAAGGGCGTGTAAATTCCGTACGAAGTCGTAAGAGGTACCAAGCCCCCCACAAGGGAGCGTATGGAGCAGCGTACATATGTTACGTATCATCAAGACCTTAGAAACAGGGGCAGAGATGACAAAATTACATAGCCCTCGAATGACGGCCATGAAACTTGATTAAATTGGCTGTCTAATCGAAAACTTCAAGCGTGGAGAGGAGGAGGGTGCGGGAACGTAAACATCAGACAAGTTAGATATAAGCAATGCAAACAGACCACGTGGTGCATTCATCACACTCGTGGCCGGTTAGCCAATTTTGTCGGATTTAGAGTGAGGCGATATATCACATTGACTCTCCAGAAAAGCAAAAGGCCTATCGGACTGGTGTTGCCAGAGTCGAGGACGATGAAGGATTAGAGGATCCCCGTGATGCACGATACTTGGAAGACAGAGTTCCTACCCCGAGTATTGATGTTCCAGATCACCTCATCTCGGAAGACGAAAAACGAGACATCTGGTGATCCTGACAGTAACTCTCGTAATTCACAGGACCCAAGGTCCTTGTTAGGGTTTTGTCCTGCGGATAAAAGAGATTTAGAAATCACAAATTCAACATTACAAGATGAGTAAGACGGTGAATTTATCTTATTCTAATTTTTTTTTTTTTTTTTTTAACTCTTGAACGAGTTACGATACGGATTTACGCTCGCCTGACAGACACATCCTAGATACAATATTGAGTGTACAACTCAGGTTCAATTTTTATAGAGCACGTTTCAGATTTCACGATTTCACGTCCACTTAGCTGCTGAGTATCATAAACAGTAGAATAAAGACTGACTCTCGCTACTGAAATATTTGAGAAAACCTCGAGTTTGGGTCACTAATAAGCGAACTAGGAGCCTCAAACTCAACAACCCGACCACTTTCAATAACAATCACTTTCTCACACTCCATGAGGCGGTCTAAGTTATGCGAAACAATAATGACTGTACGACCCATGAGGCACTCATTGATAACACTCTGGATCAAAACATCTGTCTCGCTGTCGAGGCTACATACTGTTAGTTACCAAAGAATTCACACGGCCTACGCGGAAAACTTACTTGCTAGAAATTTCGTCCATAACAACAATTCTTCCTTGTTGAACTAGCACCCGTGCCAGAGACAAGAGCTGCAGCTGTCCAGTTGACAAATGAATGTCGTTCATATCGGTGTCCAGTCCAGCTTTTGTAGAAATGTTCTCCCATAAACATACCTTTCTCAGGATATCTGTCAGCTGACAGTTGGGGAGTTTATCCCACGGATCCATGTTATTTCGTATAGTACCAGGGATAATGAACGGCTCCTGGGGTATATTCAAAATATTGCTTCTGATGTGCTGGTGTGGAACATACTTGATCTCGATACCGTCAATCAAAATCGAGCCGTGGTCAACATCTAGAATACGAGTTAAAGTGGCCAGGAGCGAGCTTTTCCCACTATATGAACAACTTTAGCTTAACGATCCTCTTAAGTGCCTATAAGCTGTATTGATGGCGTTTGTGGTGTGGGTATTGGGGGAATGGGAGGAAGGAGTGGCAAATATATTATACTAACCTGCCCGTCCGACCGCAGACACCAATCTTCTGGCCGCTTGTGATTAGGAGATCAATATCCACGAGGACGGCGCTGGCACTACCTCTTATACTGGTTAGGAGCATATTCATAAAACAAGTCATGATACAAAAGCTTACTTATAAGACGCAGAGACATTTTTGAACTCTATTTGACCACCAGAAGGCCAGTTCTCCGGTAGATGACTTTCCTCTTCAGAGTTGGACTCAGCAGAAGTATTGGCTGTAAAAGACTTGATTCGGGAGAGTGCCTGTATAGCTGTCTCCAGATCTGTCCAGCTTGTAACTAGCTCAGCAAGCTCTAGGGAAAAGCTGATGACGCTGTTGAGAGCAACTCCAAGGAAACCAGCCGTTGGGCTTCCTCTTATTCCAATGGTAATGCCGACAAGGACTATCACCATTGCCGCGACAAACAAACCTAGAACCAGTCCCAGCCAATCCTGAATGCAATATAATAGATAGAAAGGTCTCTGTGAAGCGTCGAGTAGCTTGATCAGGCGAGTCTCGAAACTCTTTCCTAAACCATAGCTTTGTATCGTAGTCTTGCCAGTAATAGTATCCATAAAATGAGAGATTAGAGGAGCTTTAGCCTCAATGTCAAGGTTACGGAGCTGGCGTGAAGTCCTTAAGTAGAACCTTTGAACCAAGTAAAGCATGGCAGCAAAAACTGGAACAGTGGTAGCAAGAAATCGCGAAGAAACACAAACAAATGCTGTTTGGATAACGCAGCTGCACATATTGAATATTGTCAAGAAAGATGCTGTCGGCAGGTCGGTATCGATTATTCCTAAATCTTGGCTAAATCTTATTCGTAGATTCATGCTGATCAGCAAGCGTCCACGACATTTTAAACTTTAAAATCGAACCTGTTCACAATATTTCCAATGTCCTGATTGGCAATAAATGATACCGGCGCTCTGATTAATATGCATTAGCGGCTTTCAAGTAGAACATATGTAAAGTGTTGTTGCCTTACTGCATAGTTGTATGCAATAGTTCACGATGCAGTAGTCGAGCTGACTTCGGCACAATCGTCATCATCATGTTCCTAGATAATTAGGAGAAAGATTCACAGCATGAAACAACAAGACCATTTAACTTACAGCCCACCAAGAAATAAGCACAGTGCTGCGAATACCCCAAATCCAACATAAACGCCTAGATAAACATTTGTTCCAAGGCCTGTGTTCGACTCATTTGCCTTGGTCCACAATGCTATCCAAATTTCTAATAAAGACTCAATAAAGATCGATGTGACTTTTCAGTTGGGTAAAATGGCTTACGAGGAAGATACATCCCAACAACGGCCCCTATACAGTACAGTATGAAGAGAGTAACATTTGTTCTTCCGGCTTTCGAGATGTAATAGCGGTAAATTTGTGCGTCACTTTGGCGGCTGCCGTCATTTTTTGGTTTCTGTTGGATGATATCTTGATGGTTTTCTTCGGAGAACCTTTCGAGGAAGTTGTTTTTGTCAATACTTCCCAAGTGATGGCCTCCAGATTCTTCGGGAGGGCTTGTTCGCGATCTCTCTGTGTTTTGTGAAGGCTGCGTATTGTGGCCAAGGTCGATAATTGTATCAACATCGCAGGAAAAGCCTTTCATTCTTGTTAATGTAAGTGAAGCAAGTGTTACAAAGGAACTGTTAAAACTTACGTCCGGTAACAGTCAGAATAACTGTTTTTTGGGTTCTGCGAAGTAGTCCCCTAGGTCCCAACAGACCTCTTGTAATTCTTTCGGTTGTCTGGGGATCCAAGCCACTGAAGACATCATCTAAGATTAAAATGTCCATCTTTGAGTAGACAGCTCTCGCTAGGGCCTGCTATTTTGTTAGACATACAAGTATCACATAGAGCTGCAGTGAGGGCTTTACTAAGCGTTTTCTTTGACCCCCACTCAGACGTGTCCCTTCACTTCCAATAATTGACTGGTCGCCTATGCACATCCTTTCAATATCCATTTTAAGACAGCATACGTCTATTACTGTCTCGTACCAGCCGGCTTCAAAATCCGATCCTGCTAAAATATTGTCCCGTATTGTTTGATTCAAGAGCCATGGGTTTTGGCTACAATAAGCAGCGTGTTTGAAGGTGGTGAAAAGTGTGCCCGAAAATACTAATGCCTGACCTAGGATTGCACTAACCAGCGTTGATTTCCCTGATCCAACACTACCAGTGATGACAGCGATCTGGGACTTCATGATATTGAAGGTAAGATCTTTGATAACCGGGTCATGGCCGGACCAACCAATATTCACACTATGCGCATATATTAGTGGCATATCACTCAAAGTCCCGCCTCCTGGTTGATTGATTAGGGAACGGTTGTGGCTGTTTTCAAGCAGGATGCCACTATCAAGATTGACAGACGAACTCTCCAGGACTTGTTTGTCTGCATGGTTATCCTGGGAGTCGCCGGCAATATGTTGTTTGAATTTGTCCACGCAATTCGCAGCAGATACTATCTCGACAAGTGCTTGTATTGTCACGCTTGTCGATTGAGCAAGCAATTCGAATATAGCGAGGGAAGTGAAAGCCTTCTTAGAGTCAAAAGTCCTTCCTTCTCTGACGCTAGGTGTTAATACATATATCCCAAAGCCAACTATAGGAGCTGCAATAATGGAAAGGTTGGCTGATTAACCCTTAGCGCATGCCGAGCCTTACAAAGGGTTGAAAATTGGCTCACCTAAGATTACCATCCCTACAACACATTCTCGAAATGTCTTGGATATATCAACTTCAGCATCGCGGAAATTTAAGATCCGAGAAGATAGAATATTGGAATAGCCTGCTAGCTTAATAGACTTAAACTGCGTAAGCATGCTTGTTGTCATGTTGATTCTTCGTTCGCTAGCGTCTACCCAGAGGATCTGTCGCCGGCCAGCAGTGACAGCCACAAAACAACCTGCTCCAATGCATACTGTACAGTATTTAGTCAAGGAACCAGCGCTTGGGTAGTAAGATAGAGAGTCATAACGTACAAATAGCAATAAGTACTGACCCAAGTACTGCTAGGTGAATTTGTTTCTCGAGCAACCAGATTGCCAGGGCAATTTCGATTTGTCCGGCCCACGTCTGATGGATTCGCTGCATGGAGTATACAACCTTTTCCATACCAATACTCACGAGTGTCACAGGTCCTGAAGGGGAAGTAGAAGTTTCCATAGTATCAGTATCAATAATGTGGCGATATAATAGCGTGGTAAGGTCCCCCCGAACCATAGCAATCAATCGGTGAGTTTGGTACTTATACCCTGCTTGACAGACCTATTTCATCAGAAGAGGAACCTTAAAAGAAAATCTGAGAGGCCTACTGCAATTGAAATATATACCGCTGCATAAGCAATAAGCAGCCATGTACCTCGAGCAGACGATTTTTCAGACCCTGCGCTGACATAGTCAAGCAAACTTTCCACTAGGAATGGTTGTGTGAACTTCAACGCAATCAGGAAAAGTCGTAGCAAAGCACCCGCGGTGAACGTATCCCAATGCTGTATCAAGACCATGGTAAATAAGGATTGCATTTTCCATTCCTTTGCTGGAATATAGTCAGTTTCCGTCTTACGGCCAAGTCATTTTCAACTGACCGCAAACCAACTTGTCTACAATTTTCGCTAGAAGAGTTTCCGCCTTCATACTCTCTCTCAAGTCAAATAGATTGTTCAACGATAGTCTTTCCTTATAACCAATCAACAACAACGAATTCAACCAGCTGAGGAAGAGAAGGCTAAAAAGCCCGTTAGTCATTTCAGGCGGTGAATCTCGAAAGGGTTCCTTCAAGGCATGTTGTTTGCTCCATGATTCAAGTATCAGAACCAATAGTCGCAATATAAGTGCTGTCGTGAAAACTATGGCAACAATTTTCGCATTGTAGATAGTCCAAAGTGTTCGTGCACGAATGATATCCAAAAGACAAATAAAGGAGAGGTAGGCGCATAGAAAATAAGAAGGGCATACTGTTCTCGTATGTTCGAGCTCCGACAGGTAGATAAAAACCGAAGTCAATAGAAAATATAGAATGGCAGTCACTAAAGATGCACGGGTCTTGGGTGTTGCGTTTATTGCAATTACGCAAATGTGAATGAGATCAAGAGCTGCAAGTAAGCTCATCGCACCCTACAGCTTAATGAATTTAGCAGGTGCAATAGACTATCATTAGACACTTACAAGTTTAAGTGCAGACAAAAATGTCCTTTCAGTCTTAGACTTTAGGCGAAATAAACTTGTAATTCTGGCTAGTGTGGCCAGAAGCGCACAACTCGCAGGAATGACTGCCATCACGACCTCCTCAAAAAGGAGGGTGAAGCTGAGGTTACCGCAAGCACCGTTGACCACAAATGGACCCCAAGCGTCCATATCCTGCATAGAGCATACAACATCCATAGCAATGAGCCGAGACGTGGTTCGTCAATAGCAAATCTCTCTAAGGTGGGTGTTGTGCAATAGCTTAAAATTTTAGCGTTTCGAAAAGCAAGAGCCAGATTTGGCGGTCAGATGATCATTAAATAATACACAAATATTTACGTGTACTTTATAAAGAGGGGCTCAAATACTAATAGGCTTGTGTGCATGTAATAGGCTCATTCTAGCTAGGATAGTACGACAGGGGTAAAATCACACGTGACCCCAGGGACTCAGCTTTTTATTCTCTGTCCTGCCGGTATCTTAACCATTAGTATATTCTCTTGCTAGCTTCTATTCTCTGTGCTATTCTCTCCGCGTTCTTCAAGTTGTGCCCGTTATTCAAGCATACTCTCACAGCGTGTGCGCGTTAGAGTCTAATATCTTGGATTTATGGATCATGAGTATATACCTTGTTTTGAATTTTCTCAATTGAGATTCTATTAAACAACTGCTATTTTCATATCGAACAAACATAGATCAACATTCAATACTTATATTAATGCGAAAGATGACTAGACCTCTAAAAACTGGCTTACGCCTTGGGAGAACACAAGATACTTAAATGAACTTGTAGTGCTAAAGTTTGCTTATGTTTGCTTATGTTTTATATGTTTGATTGTATCTTTAAAGCCTCGTGGATCGCAGGCGGTAGTATAAGCAATAATAGAGTCCATTCCCGCTCAAAAGCCGCACTCGAAGCTTTCCTTGAGAGTTAAGTATAGCATGTCATCTGCACTAGCCAAGATATTGTGTTTTCAAGCTAGGGATGATGCAATGTAATAATGCATCTATTTGCACATATTTATACAGAAGTGATAGACCCTTCATGATGACCTACCATATGCAAATACGTGGCTTACGTTCTTTTCGAATATTCTTTGAATTCTTTACTTTGGGCGAGAGGTTTTTATTTCACTTTGGATATCCATTTCTGATCCTTTGTTACTACGGATTTCAGGAACAGCCAGCTTTAATTAAGCATCCAAAATGGCATTTCATATCAAATTCCTTCTCGAAAAAAAAAGATCCGAAAATCTGTCTCGGCGATTGTTGATCATTTATCTCTGACGACTCTAACGATTATTTTGCTTCCCCTTCTAAGAAGAATGATACCTCTTAACAGTGAACGCAGAGGTATTTCCACTAATTCTTCAACTCTTTCCCCTCCTTTTCCCTAGATTTTCGCATGGGTGGTCTATCAGGTGTTTCACCATCACTTAGCAAAATATCCAGGGCCATTTAAATACTTCCAAACTTTTTAATGCAAGGGCACCATACCACGCATATCATAAAAGTGTACACGGCGATATATTGCAATGCCAACGAAAACATGGTATTGATCACCTCTCCTAGATTTGGCGATGTTAGTGTTAATCTAAGTGTTCATTAGGTGACGTTATTTGTTATATGTCTGTACAGTGCAAGCTAAGAGAGGTGTGTCATCGCTATGCATTTTTCCTCATCGCAAAACTGCTTTCACGAGCGAGACTCATGTTCCTATCTCTGATCTTGGATTTTGGCCTAGATATATATTCTCTTACAAAATTGTTCTAGAAAATACCGAGATTCATGCCCAACGCATGAGTATACTCAGCCCATTTTTCACGGCGGCGTCGCTTGACAAGTTTGAGTTTCGCATGTTAGAACATATTTCGGGCTCTCTTACAGATCTAAATTTGTCAGATATTGGACACAATAATCTGGCAAGATCACTTCTCCGTAGGAGCACCATAATGTATTTCAGGCTGGTCTACCTACTGTTATATTTGTATTTGATCAAGAGATCAAAAAGGATTCTTTGAAGAGGCACATGAAAACTTTGAAAACTCGAGAGCACGGGGCGCATGCTGCAACGATACTAGTATTTCTTGCTTACGTGGGCTTGGAAGCTATTTGAGAATATACTTACACCAATTACACCGAGAGGTAGATTGAGTACAACATTACTTCACTACCCTACACATACAAGAGTCCAGGGAGAAATAGAGTAGAGATATACATTCAACTCTACTTCAAAAGAACTCGTCCTGAATGGTAAATCGCTCAGTCGGATGGAGATTTGGGCTGAATGTGGTGTGCTTGTTCAAGCTGGTATGAGACTACACTAACATGCAAATGTACTTTATAACCTCGGCTAACTGGCACGTTATGCGCAAAATAGGGTTTGAAACTGTGTCTGGAACCCTGAGTGCCATTTTATTCTATTTAAGCCGAAACTGATTTGCCTATATCCAGCTTGCAGAAGAGATTAAAGAAGCTTTTCATGCATTCGAAGAGATCCGAACAGGCCCATGTCTCATGAACTGCCACTTTTTGACCGCCTACGTTAACGAAACTTTGAGAATCTCCCCACAAGCTCCATAGCGCTTCTGCGAGAAGTAGGTTAGGGAGGAGCTATGGTAGAAGGCCAGTTTATCCCCGCCGGCTATCGCGTTGCGACATCAGACTACGCTATACATCATAACCGGGCTACTTCCACCGGCCACATTGTTTTCTTCCTGAACGTTGGATAAGCATCTCGGATCGTAAACAAACTTTCCTGGCAGAAATTTCTGCGCTTGTTCTATTTTCCATGGGTTCTCCCTCTACTATATGCGCCTTTACGAATAAACTTGATCCTTTCCTTGCTTCAGGAAACCAACTGATCTCGTACGCGGGTGGTTACCTTTTAAATGTCAAATTAGCCCCTGCTGCATGCAATATTTTATACCGATTTAGATTGGGGTGGTCCTTATTATAATTATTGGTCAGTATCAGATTATATAGCTGTATTTAATGCAGCCTGGGAAACTTAGTTGCTGTCGCCTACTTAATAAGATAGAGATCGACTCTGTGCCTTTAAAGCCCATTGCCTCCATGTTGATAATAAACGATCTTATTAGTTCTGCAGTTATCATTAGGTGCTTAAAATATATTAATATTTGATATCACTATACACGCGAGCTTCCTGCGGACAGCCTTAATAAATTGCTTCGGTCGGAAGTATTTACAGTTTTCCTGCGCGGTATAGTTTAGATTAGCTTTCGGCTTTTGCTCTTGATGCGATTCTGTATGTAATAGCACTGGTGAGCAGCTCGGCTAAGAGGGGGTTAGAGACCTACCGTATTCGGTATGGTCACGTGGCATTATTAGTCACCCATCTAGATGAGTTAGTCAGCTCGCCCAAGCCCGTGAGATTCGTGCCTCGCGAACACGACTAGAAGTCCTGACAGGAGATATGCTTTGCATTTACCAGGCCTATATAGGATTTATACTAACTAAAGACAGATCCAATTTGCTACACATTATACTGGTCAACCTAAATTCGTTAAAATACTAATGTTTTTTAAAAAATTAAATAGTGATGTCGCGGCATGAGACTGGATCAACAACTGGATTGCATTGTGACGGAGACATCATTTGAAGAACTAGAAACAGAGCGACACGAGGTTGGAGCTACAGTATAGCATATATCGACAGGCGGTAGGGGAGGCAGAGAACCCAAGTCCTGATACTTAGTAATAAATTGTCGACGGGAAAATACGGGTTCCGCAACATTTTCGGGATACTTAAAATAGATATATAGCTTCTTTATAATATATATTTTATTACTCCAAAAGATCTCTTATAATATTTAATAGATGTGGTCATATAGCTTTATTATTTGGGGGCCGTGGCCTCGAGAAATTGGGCGTTTGGTGGTGATCAAACGGCACAGAACATTTAACCTTGATATCTTACGCAATCTCAGTGGCTCACACCGTATCTGTCTCAGAAGGCATGGAAAGACAACGTCAGAGGCAGAGTTTGCAAGGCAACGGATGGACTATGAATAATTATCATAGGGCATGTGTCAGCCGCCACTAAACGGGACCCAGATAAGAAGTGGAGGGATCCACTCTAACACCATTGCTTGTTCCAGAAGAAATATGCCGATCCACAAATTTTTTCCTTTTTGCTCATCCTCTCACCGTGACTTGATATGGACAGTGGCTAAGCCAGAAGGATGTCGGGTTCCACCTGGATTGACCTGGATGTGCACTGGACCCTCAATTTTTGGAATGGCGGCCTTCAACCATGCAACAGTCTAGATAAGCCCACATCACCCTGTTCTTAATATAACCGGCTTTGGATCGGGCTGCGGTGTATGGCCCCGCCCTAATGATTCAGTGCGAAACTCACTGTCACACTCTGGTACACCCATAGCGTACTTCCCGTCACTCGGATCGGTTCGGGAATGGGGTGGATGGCAAAAAACTTTCATAGTTGCGGCCACTTGGGTGCTGGCTGCTGCGGCTTCATACCATATGAGGTCTCTCAGTCATGGGTATCTGCACCCGATTGATGAGGAACGAACGAGGCTCTTGGGCTACAGCCTCTCGAGGTCGACGAACCGAATCAAGGCCACAGCGGTGGATAAGTAACATACGGTATCTGACCGAGAGGCACTGCTACCCCACCGCGGGTGAAGAAATTCAGTGGATGGTTCCATGTCATCTAGTTGAAGGAGTGAATCTGTAGCTGTCACAGCAGTAGGAGGAGCAGCAGTAGTCCATTTTTCACCCCCAGCCTTCCCGGCCTTATAGCATTTTCCCTGTAACTCTCCTCGGTCAAGAAAGTTTTTCTGTCGTTGTCTTGAGTCGACAAGTCACTCGTTATTTCCTTTATCTTTCTCTCGCCTTTTCCAACGCTAGGCCGTGTAGGATCTATTCCGTTCGCGATTCTCGAGAGCTTGGGTCGCGCGCAGTTATCGGTAGCAGGTCACTGCCGGATGTTCCTCACGGAGATGCAGCGCTCGGCGACCCTTATCCTATCTTTGCTGAGCATCAATGTATTCTGTTGGCCATACACCGAGTCGCTCGTTGACTATAACTTGAACGAAAACAAATCCGCAGAAGCGCCGATTAATTATTGGGGAGAATGGCCAGATCATAAATATCATCCATCGCCGGACAACTGGCGCTTCCCCGTTTACACAATCTTTTTGGACCGCATAGCGAACGGTGATCCGGCGAATGACGACATTAACGGCACCGCCTTCGAACATGTGGTGGGTTCGAATCAGATGCGCCATGGAGGTGATCTTGTCGGATTGATTGATACGCTGGACTACATCAGAGGCATGGGTTTCAGGGTGTGTTAAACCGATTCCGGACCCGTTTTCGTTGCTTATCAAGATAGGGTATCTACTTCGCTGGAACGTTCTTGATGAACCTCCCCTGGGCCTACGATGGCTACTCACCGGTTGATACCACTCTGCTAGACATGCATCACGGGACATTGGATGATTGGCGACGGACTATCACCGAGATCCATAAACGCGATATGTACGTGATTGTGGACAATACTCTGGCAACGTAAGTGCGTACTCTGGATATTTCGGAACGCAATCTTACAATATTATGCAGAATGAGCAATCTGATCGGCTTCAAAGGCCACCTCAACGACTCGGCCGATTTTCGAGCGGATGAATATGAAGTCCAGTGGATCTCAGAGAGACAGTATGCCGATTTCAAATTTGGGAATGAGTATAACGAAACCTGCGACTACCCAAAATTCTGGAACGAGACTGGCTACCCGATCACATCAGGCGAAGTCAGCGAGTTGAAGGGTTGCTATAATAGCGATTTTGATCAGTACGGAGAGCTGGAGGCGTTCGGCAACTTCCCCGACTGGAAGCGTCAACTGACCAAGTTCGCCTCAGTGCAAGATCGTCTACGTGAATGGCACAAGCCTATCCGCGATGTCATCACCAGGCATTCCTGTATCCAAATTGCTAGTCTGGATATCGACGGGTTCCGTTTTGATAAAGCCGTCCAGACAACCCTCGAGCCCCTCAGTGAGATCACCGCTGTTTACCGTGAATGTGCGAAGAAATATGGCAAGCATAACTTCTTCCTTCCCGGAGAAATCACGTCGGGAGATACCTTCGGCAGTCTGTACCTTGGCCGTGGCCGACAGCCGGATCAGCGTCCTGAGTCTGCAGGCGCTGGTGCCAAGCTAACGAATAATTCGGACGCAGTCTTTCTAAGAGATGATGGGTACCAGGCATTGGATGCAGCCGCGTTTCACTATACGATCTATCGTTCTATGACCCGTTTCTTGGGAATGGACGGCAACCTGGTTGCTGGTTTCGACTTGCCTACTGATTTCATCGAGGCCTGGAATGGGATGCTTGTTAACAACGACTTTATCAATGCCATAACGGGCGAGATAGACCCGAGGCATATGTTTGGTGTCTCTAACCAGGACAACTTCCGCTGGCCGGCAGTTAAGAATGGCACAGAGAAATATCTTTTGGGTCTTTTCATAGTCACACTGGAGCTCCCAGGAATTCCTCTGATCCTGTGGGGTGAAGAGCAGGCGATGTACGTTTTCGAATCTACTGCCTCTAATTATCTGTTCGGGCGGCAGCCCATGACTTACCAGACCGCTTGGTGGACACATGGCTGCATGACTCTGAACACATCTAAATTCTACCATTTCCCGAATGAAAAGGGACTGCATGGCTGCGAAGATATCACCGTCACGTATGACCAACGGAACCCTGCCCACCCGCTTCGCAACATCATGAAGCGTATGTTTGAAATCAGAGAGCAGTATGCGGTGGCCAATGATGGCATTTATCTTCAGACGCTCTCTCAGCTTACAAAGGATGTGTACCTTCCTGGTTCGTCGACCACTCCAACAGTGACTGGCCTGTGGTCGGTGCTGCGGAGCTACTTTCCCGGAGTTCAGAAGGAGGCATCTAAGAGCAATCAGACTCTTTGGCTCGTGTATCAAAATGATAACAAAACCGTCACTTACGGTGGCGACTGCAGTAAGAAAGATACTGCCTTGATGGCTCCCTTCAAGTCGGGGACGAAGCTAAAGAACCTCTTCTACCCTTACGATGAGCTCACTTTGGAAGATGGTCCAGGCAAGATCGAGATCCAAGGTAGCATTGAGGAGTATGGATGTATTCGCAGCATGAAATTGCTTCCATGGGAATACCGTGTCTACGTGGAGGCTGCCGACTTCGTTGAGCCCGGTCCTACCGTTACAGAGTTCGTCCCCGGCCACGATGCCCGGTTGCTGTCAACGAAGGACGGCGGGGAGACAGTGGACATCCAGCTTGGGTATTCAAAAGAGATGGAATGTGACAGCATCACTAAGGCGATTACCTTGAAGTCTACGACGGTGAAGGGGGTCACAGCCTCGCTTGATACATCCAGCGTGTCCTGCGCCAAAACTACTGCCAGGACGACTGATAATAACTTTGTCGGAGAGGTCCCCACCGTTTGGAAATGGTCTGCCAAGCTGAAAGACGTTTATCATGGAATCCACCAGCTGACCGTCAACAATGTTTCTACGACGTCTGGCGACCGTACCGATGCTGTTGACCAGTTTTTATTCCGTGTCGGGTCTCACACTAACCCCCTGATATCCCCGCTTTCTAATTACTCTACCAGCCTTGTCCACAAATCTGATAGTGGAGATATCTATATTCAGCATGATGCCGCCGGAGCTGATCAATTCCGCTACTCGACTAATTTCGGTCTAAGCTGGTCCAACTGGATCACATATAACGGTGGCAACACAACAGTCGACTTCCCTGAGTTCACCGGTACAGACGATCAGAAGTGGAAGGGATCTCATATCCGCGTACAATATTTTTCGAGGCTCACAGCTAGTAGCGATTATATTCAAGAAGGCGATTATGGCTGGGACGATGATGTGCCTCGAAGATTCCCGAACCTGTTTTGGAACGGTCCGTACAACCAATACGGTTACGATGGAGGAATGGACAACAAGATGAGATACGATACCAAGAAGAATCGCTGGTTGTACGATTTCGTCTACGAATGGCCGGCTGTCGGGCAGATGAGTGTCTGGGGAATGAATAAGGACGGCATACCAGATACTACAGAGGTTTATGGCGATGTCGATAACTCGTCTGTGGTTCAGAAGCTTCCTCCGTCCTACCTCTCATCCAACGTGATCAATATAACCATTCTGCCGCCATTCCCGCATCTCGGCTGGACTATCTCGCTCAATGATGCCAACTTGAGGTATGAATTGCTCCCCGTCGGATCTGGATGGGCTCAACTAGTGCTCTACATCCTTCTTTGGGTTTTACCGATCCTCATGGGTCTTGCCGGCGTGTTCATTTTCATTAAAACATTTTACCGCGTCAAGCTCAACACGGACGGTGACGTGGTCAAAGATGATAAGTTGCCGCTGCTGTTCTGGCGCAGGGTGAAGGAAAAGTTCGCCGGAGACAGCGACTCGGATATGGCAATATCTGATAAGGCTCTGCCGGCAGACGTGGCTATTATGGGAGCCCCTGAAAAACGGCGTACAGTGCTAATTGCCACTATGGAATACAACATCGAAGACTGGAAAGTCAAGGTTAAGATCGGTGGTCTAGGAGTCATGGCACAGCTTATGTCCCAGCATCTGAAACACCAGAACCTCATCTGGGTGGTTCCTTGCGTTGGTGATATCGAATACCCCCAGGACACGCCAACCGAACCTTTCGTAGTCAATATCCTTGAGAAGCCTTATATTATCAATGTGCAATACCACATCGTCGGCAACATCACTTATGTTCTACTCGATGCCCCAGTCTTCCGACAGCAGACTAAAGCGGAGCCTTATCCTCCCCGTATGGACGATCTCGACAGCGCCATCTACTATTCGGCATGGAATCAGTGTATCGCGGAGGCAATCAAGCGGTTCCCTTCTGTTGATCTCTACCACATCAACGATTTCCACGGATGCTTGGCGCCTCTCTACTTGCTGCCGTCGCGAACCATCCCTGTCTGTCTGTCCTTGCACAATGCCGAATTCCAGGGTCTCTGGCCACTGAGAAACCAGCAAGAGAAGAAGGAAGTTTGTTCGGTCTTCAACCTTCCTGTCGAAACTGCGACCAAATACAGTCAATTTGGAAATGTTTTCAATCTTCTTCACACCGGTGCTACTTATGTGCGATTCTACCAACGCGGCTTTGGCGCAGTAGGTGTGTCTAAGAAGTATGGAAAGCGTTCATGGGCTCGATACCCGATTTTCTGGTGTCTTGAAAAGATTGGCAGTCTTCCTAACCCAGATCCCTCCGATACTGATGCCGAGGGCGAGGCCGAAGTTGCGATTCAGTCCCACGATGAACGAATTCATGACAAGCTACAGGCGCAGAAGTGGGCAGGTTTAAATGAGGATCGCGAAGCTGACCTACTAGTGTTTGTTGGACGTTGGTCAAAGCAGAAGGGGGTGGATTTGATTGCAGATGTCATGCCGGCGATATTGTCGGCGAGACCGAAAGTGCAGTTAATCTGTATTGGCCCTATCATCGATCTTTACGGTAAGCTGGCTGCTATCAAGCTAGAGCGCATCATGGAAATGTTCCCAGGCCGTGTGTTCTCAAAACCAGAGTTCACTGTTCTCCCCCCATACGTGTTTTCTGGTGCCGACTTTGCCCTGATCCCGTCCAGAGACGAGCCATTCGGATTGATTGCTGTCGAGTTCGGTCGTAAAGGTGCTCTGGGAATCGGTTCACGTATTGGAGGTCTAGGCCAGATGCCCGGTTGGTGGTACACTGTCGAATCTGATGCAACCCGCCATCTGCTGCACCAATTGAGGACCGCTATCAAATCCGCCCTGGACTCTTCGCAGGAGACCCGCGAGGAGATGCGTGCAAACTCCATCAAGCAGCATTTCCCTGTCCTTGAATGGATTCAGAAACTTGAAAGCTTGCAACAAACAGCGATCCAGATCCACCACACGAAGAACAAGAAGACCGTGACCGGCCCGATGCCAGAGTCCCAGACCTACTGGGAGACGCAGAGCATACGGTCCTCCGCGGTGGGCCTCCCTGGACCAACTGCGTCGACGGTGGAGGGTTTGGATGCACCACAAGGAAGAATGATGGAGCACGCCCAGTCTCAACTACAAGAGCTGGAGGCAGCTAACGGCAACAGGAGCAGCAGTCTGGGTCGCCAACTCTCTCTCGGTCGGCGATCTGGACCTAGCCAGGGCAGAAAGCGTCTCGCCAAGAAGCCACTGCGCGAAAGCCAGATTGTCGTGGAGGACGACACCACCGACGGGGAGGAAGAAGGCACTGTTACACCGCAAAGAGACTATATTTCTCCCGAAGACGCGATGGCGGCAGTCAACAACGCACTCGGATCTCATGATATTGGCACGTCCCTCGGGAACAACAGTACTCACTCGCTGGGTGGCCCCCGGGGACCTTACTCTTCTGCCCCAGAGTCACCATACCACATGTCACGGGCTTCCTCTCCGGCTCCGGGGACGCCTGGGCTACCTCAATACCCATTTCAACTGGCACTTGGCTCTAGCGAGAACACGCCTTTCGCTCATTCCCGCAATGTTTCCGTTCTTTCTTTCCAATCGGTGGTCGGTGACCACCAAGAGCCCATCTACGAGTTGCAGAAAGTTGACCCGACTTTTACTGACAGCATGGGCCACTTCACTCGGCGCTTCGAAGAGCTCCTCACCAAGCTGAGCAAAAAGAACTCAACTACGGACTACTGTATTGAGACGTACTTGATGAAGAGCGAGCGGAAGTTCTACAATATGTACAACGACGCGCAGTTGAAGAAACAGCCTAAAGATGGTGTAGTGTCTACGCCGAGCTCGCCCCGTTTTGTCCAGGATGCGGAGTATAACCGTGTTTCCGGCGCCGCTGGAGATTCAGACTCGGATGAGTCCGATGCAATCGATCAATGGCTTTCTCGTCTTGGGTACAAGCGTCCGATTGCGATTCAGAGATTTATGAGACGGCGTATTGGGAAATGGCCTGTCTACACTCTGTTCCTGGGTTTGGGACAGATCATTGCGACCAACTCTGCTCAAATGACCCTGCTGGTCGGCCAGGTAGGAGAAACAGCAACTAAATTGTACATTATCGCTGCGATTTACTGCCTTTCTTCTATCGGTTGGTGGGTCCTCTTCTGCTGCTTCCCGGCAGTGATCGTCCTCACTCTCCCCTGGTTCATATATTGCATAGCATTCATCATCATTGGCGCCTCTCCATTCGGTATCACATCTCTTGGTAGAGCATGGGCACAGAACGTCGCCACGGGCGTCTATTCAGCTGCGTCGTCTAGTGGCTCATTGTTCTTTGCTCTCAACTTTGGCGACCAGGGTGCCGTCCCCATAAAGGACTGGATGTTCCGCGCAAGTCTCATCCAGGGCATTCAACAGATCTACACCGTCGCGCTGTGGTATTGGAGCTCGCGGGTCACCGAAGCTGAAGTCGGAGGCGTATCCACTGCTGCATTGAACACATGGAGACTCACAGCCGTGGTGATGCCCATCGCCGCAGTATGCTTTGTCATCGGTGTCCTCCTTGGCCTGGGCCTACCCAAGTACTACCGTCAATCTCCCGGTAAAATCCTCTTCTTCTACACATCTCTCCTCCGTCGCCGTATCGTCCTCTGGTTCTTCTTCATGGTCATCGTCCAGAACTGGTTCCTTGCCGCAGCGTTCGGTCGGAACTGGTCGTTCCTCTGGTCCTCCAAACACGCCAAGACATGGGAGGTCGTCATCCTGGTGATCTTCTTCTTCATTATCCTCTGGGTAATCATTCTCATCATCTTCCGCATTCTGTCCAAGGAACACAGCTGGATCCTACCGGTCTTTGGACTGAGTCTCGGTGCACCTCGTTGGGCGCAAACATGGTGGGGAACGTCTAATATTGGTTACTACCTCCCATGGGCAGGAAGTCTGACATCAGGTGCGCTTGTATCCCGATGTGTCTGGCTATGGCTTGGTATCCTCGATGAAATTCAACAGGTCGGCCTGGGTATGATTCTCCTGCAGACCTTGACAAGGGTTCATGTTTGCTTCGTCCTGTTGACTGCACAAGCTCTTGGGTCTATCGCCACGATGTGCGCGCGTGGATTCGCGCCGAACAAGGTTGGTCCAGCAAGTATTTCTCCGGACGTGGGCACGTCGGTAGACAAAGTTGGAAATGCGTGGTTCTGGATTGCACTTTTCTTCCAGCTTTTCGCAAGGTAAGCCACCGTATTCCCTACCCTTGCAAGATTATACTAATCACGAATATAGCTTTGGCTTCCTACTGTTCTATCGTCGGGAGCAGCTTAATAGGCCCTAAACCATGATTCTCAGAAATATCTGCTATAGGCTATGAAATCGCAACTCTTCACGATCTCTCAACAATCTAGGTAACAATATATCTCTTTCCTATTCACTCTTATTCTTTCTCCACCATCCGACTTTTAGTCAGATATCATATCTTACCTGCCAACTCATCATGGACGGGATTCTACTTCATTCCCGTTTCATATTGCATTGAATGTGTTGATTAGAAACGAAGAGCGTATATGTCATGATATGTGCTTTCTCATACTTGTTCCTTGTTAGCCTTCGTACTTATTTTCATCTAAGAAGTCTTGATGTTTAGTCGTTTAGTTATATACGATCTACATAGTGGTTAAATAATAGTAACGATTCTCTCGAGGGATCTATCTGTTAGAGGGGCCCTGGGGTCTTGTAAATAATAATCTATTACCTGGAAATGGTGTCACTGGATGACCCACTAGACAGGGGTCTGATCCTCATTACTATGTATTGTTGCCACAGAACACGGGCGACGCCGAAAAGTGTTACGCCAGCGACTCTGTCAGCCCATTGTTGGACTTCAGACCGTGCCACTTTGCCTGAAGGAGACATTTTACCTGGGTGCCCTCCTCCAGGGAAACCGGCGTTCAGCTTCCAAGACGTCCACACCATCCACGGACACAGCTATCCCACGGCTCATTTTGGCATTGCATAGCCCTGCAACGCTGCTGTTGATCCCACGTTCACAGGCTGGTCTCGTAAGACGTTCAATCACTTCCATAAAGGATAACTAAATGTAGTGAAGGGCTGGTGAAACTATCGTTTCGTTTGGATGGAGGCATGCCTCTGGTAATAAGTTTGATGATGAAACAGCGGAATATGCGTAGTACAAAAAATTGTAGTAATAATAAGAGGGAAGAACTTGAAGCGAGGATACCACGTAAAGATGAGTGGTAGAAAGAACGGAGACGTGATAAAAGGTATAGATAGGATGGAGGAGGGAAATCTGCAACATTCTCGTTGTATTGAAAGGGCTGGGTGGCCACTAGATAACGTAGTCCACGTCCGTCCCGTCCACACGATCGAGCCGTCCGCTCCATTTTGCATAGGAAATAGCACTTTTCACTAAAATGTAAAGTGAAGGACATCAAGCTGTCTAGAAAATCAAGCATGTATTGAGAGCTCCCTCCCCTATTACATTTTTTTTGTTTACACATTGAAGACCAGACAGTAACCAAACGGAACACCAAGTAAGTCGAACTCTTAGATCAAATATGCGGTCAAAAAAAGTGGCCCGTCGAGTTGCAAAGGAACGAAATGCCAACCTAAGAGACTTCTATTTCCACAATCTGTTGGACTTTGGATCATATCACTTTATATATATAGCTGAATCTGGCTGTGACAGGCGGATGGGCTCTAGGCGTACTGGTTGGTCTCCGCTTTTGCTTGGATGCTGGCTGAGTAAGGGTAAACTCACATTTGGTTTCTAACCAGAAATGTAATCAAGTCATGGAATCTGCTGGTGTTATATTACGGTGGACTAAAAAGCTCCCCTGCAGAATTTTGTATGCCATTGCAGTCCTGGCTTGCAGTCCATCGTGATAATATTGGGGGACCACGATGGAAAACTGTAGTATAAATTCACATTCACACGGCTTCCGATCATTCCAAAATAACAGCAGACTGTGGTATACCAACGGGACTCATGTCCTAGTTACAATGGCCATGCCATTACTTATTTTTGCAGCTACGATATACCGGTTTGTTATGCAACGAAGTCCGGAAAGACGCCTCGCAGCAATTCTCAAAGGACCCAGCCGCAACATCCACTTCCCAGTTGGACAAATCATATACCCCAGTATTAGGACACCTTCTCATTAGCCAAAATGAAAACGATTCAAACGAACTGGTGCAAGAGTTCCAGGAAATAGTTGGAGCTATTGTCCTTCTTGCTACACCGCTCTCAGTAAACTCACTCGCACGCCTCCTCCATATATCAACAGATGCCATCAGTGATCAATTGGATTGCTTCACTCCGTCCTCAGTGTACCAATTGATTTGGATACACCAGTTCGGATTCTGCATTTGTCATTTCCAGATTTTCTTCTTACCTCTAACAGCATATTCCAGGCGGATGAGAAAGAAACACAGAAGAAATAGCCCGTCATTGTTCTACTGTCATGCGCTGTCATCTGAAAACGAATATCTGCAAATTGCCAAGCGACCGAACGCAGCGCATGGAGATTGATACACAAACTATCAATCAGTATCTGCCATCAGAATTGTAATACTCGTGTTGTTATTGGGTCCAGCATCTGGCGAAAAGCCAAGGCACTGCTACTGAAATGGATAGTGCCTTCTTATTTCTTCGAGAGCATTTTCTCCTCTGGGTGGAAGCAATAAGCATTCTGGGTATTGTGTCTGAAGTTGTGGTCGCAATTAATATTGCAATATCGCTCATCACACGGCCGGTGAGGTAGGGGACAGGACGAGGTAGTAGGACACTATGAGCCGTAGGGACAGTCGAATATGGGAAGGCGGCCCTGGGGAGGACTGAGGGAATTCTATCGAGTCTTCTGAAGAAATGTATTGCCTAAGCTATCTGCTTGAAGTGTCTCTCCCTTGTGGTCTGCTACCTTAAGTAGCAGACCGCTATTTAACCTAGTATCTACCAAGGTCTTCCAGTGTACTGCCGTGGGATCATGTCTTCGGGGTGCCTACGTGTTGTGGCCATATTCGTCAGGCACTATACGTCTTAGTCATCCCTGGGATAAAATAACGTAACCGGTAAGCGAGCCGGACACGTAAGCGAGCCGGACACCTCTTCCGTTTCGGCTGCCTTCAAAATAATCAATTAATTCAAACACCTACCATGCCTCCAAAAGCGCGTCAGAATTCAAGAAATTTAGTTGAACAGGAGGGTAGGATCTTATTAGCATTATCAGCTTTAAAAAAGAAAGAAATCTGCAATATTCGCGAAGCTGCTCGGGTATATAATGTTCCACGCTCAACATTGCATGACCGATTCAAAGGCAGCGTGTTTCGCCATGAATCACGCGCAAATAGTCATAAAATGACTTAGAATGAAGAGGAATCGCTCGTACAGTGGATATTATCCTTGGACCGACGTGGAGCTGCTCCCCGACCGTCCCATGTCCAAGAAATGGCTAATATTCTTCTTGCTAAGCGTGGTACCACACCTATTCAAACTGTTGGTGATAAATGGGTATACAACTTTATTAAACGGCGCGATGAGCTTAAATCAAGATATTCTAGGCGCTATAATCACCAGCGTGCCAAGTGTGAGGATCCTAAGATTCTTAAAGAGTGGTTTGAGCGCTACAAATCACTATAATCAACATGGAATTGATAAGAAGATATTTATAATTTTAACGAAACTGGCTTTGCAATGGGCTTGGTAGCTACTGCTAAAGTAGTTACTAGAGCTAGTATGCATGGAAAGCCATTTCTTGTATAACTAGGTAATCGAGAATGGGTTACCTTTATTGAATGTGTTAGCTCTACTGGATGGGCACTTCCACCTTGTATTATCTTTAAGGGGAAAGTCTATAAAGAAAGCTGGTTTAAGGACTTACCAGCTAGCTGGAGGATTGAAGTTAGTGAGAATGGATGGACTACAGATCAGATTAGCTTACGGTGGCTTTAAAAACTATTTATTCCTGCGACAACAAGCCGTACTGTTGGGCAATATCGGCTGCTAATTCTTGATGGCCATAGAAGCCATTTAACTCCTCAATTTAATCAAATCTGCGGTGAAAATAATATTATACCAATTTGCATGCCAGCACACTCATCACATCTCCTTCAACCGCTTGATGTTGTTGTTTTGGGCCGTTGAAGCGCGCGTATGGAAAGCTGGTTGAAGACAAGGCACGGCATGGTTTTAACCATATTAACAAACTTGACTTTCTTAAGGCCTACCCCAAAGCCCGGACGGAGGCCTTAAAGGAGGAGAATATTAAGAGTGGCTTTTTATTAGCTGGTTTAGTGCCTTTTAATCCAGATAAAGTGCTTGAGCATCTTAATATTCAACTCCGCACTCCTACACCTCTAGGGAGTCGATCAACCAATTCTGCACCCAAAACACCATACAATACAAAGCAATTGGATAAAGAGGTATCTATAATAAAACAGCTGCTTGGAGAGCATATTAAAAGTCCTACCTCTGCTACAAGAATACGGTTGGACAAGCTTGCAAAAGGATATGCAAAAACCTACATAAAACAGCTCTTCTTCTTAAAGAGAATCAGGATTTACGGACTGGAAATGAAAAGAGGCGTCGAAAAAAAAAAAAGCTACCTAAGGGACAGATGAATTCTACAGAAGGATTTTTCTACAGAGGAGGCACAGGAGTATATTCAGCATCGAAATGGGGTTCAAGAAGCTCAAGGTACTATACCAGTAGAAAAAGGGCTATCTACGGTTGAGCGACGTGTATGGGCGCCACCACGCTGCAGTGATTGCAATATTCTGGGACATAAAAGGACTCATTGTCCTAATCGAAGTAGTAATTAGCTTTTATATAGAAATGCAGATTTTTGAGTGTTTTGAGTGGCTTCCTTTTGACGGATCGGAAGAGGTGTCCGGCTCGCTTACGTGTCCGGCTCGCTTACCGGTTACGTTATTACACTCGTACGAGTAAGTTTTCGTGAAAAGTCTTGTGTTTATCAAAACTAACTAATATAGGGTGACAAGGATTGTAAAATATCCGAATTCCTGCACGACGTAAAGCGATATATCCTTAAAAATAGAGAGGAAGCTGCTGGCGCGCCCCTCCAAATTTATTGCTCAGGTCTTGTATTTGCACCAACAATGGGAATCATCCAGAAGTGCAGAATTACAGACTCTGGAGGCCCATTCAGGCCAGTTTTGTCCATGGCATTCTCCCCTCGAAAGTCTGCCGCAAGTGTTCGTGGTGATATCCCAGATTTTGACTGTTGTACCAGTGGAGCTGGATGCCAGTAGATAGCCGTCATGGGAGAATGCTACAGACCGCACCCAATTTAAATGGCCCTCGAATGTCTACAGCATAGCGCCTGTGGTGATATCCTAGATCTTGACAGTCTTATCATGAGAGACAGGTGCTTATATTAATTGGTTCCCAAAAGTTCTTGACTATTTTCTTGATTGCACCGATGTCGAACAGGATGCCGATGACTGGTATCTGCCCATCTACGGTGGAAATATCTACTGCTTCGCGGTCATCTTCCTCTCCCAGCTTCCCAACTTAAAATTCCTTCGTCTAGACAATTCGTTGGTCTGGGGGGATGGGTTTCCCGGTATGTTGCTGAACTCACCGCGAATGGGACCCTCTCAACTTTTGGGCACCTGGTGGTCGTGGACTACGGGAGGAATGTCCCAATCTCCGAGTCTGAAGAGATGTTCAGCGATGAATTCCTCGACAGTTATCCCCCCTACAATCCCACCCAGTTTATGGCCTGGTTCTGTTTACCGACACTGCGCTATTTAAATATATGGCTGCCGGATATTGATTGGCTGCGCGAGAGTAATCCGGATCTTGATTTCAACAGTCTTGAGACATTAATTCTTCCGGCACTACTATTGCTGAAGAGGACGTAAGTTTCCTTCTTTCCCGAGCGCCCAGTCTTAAAAACTTGCACGTTGGAATGGCATACATCTATGAAGACGAACTTGCTTTAGGGGATGTGCCGATGCTGATCTCCGTCGGTCCGACTGTGCAGAATCTTTGTCTAGGGGTAGTATTATCATCCCAATTTGAGGGATCGCTCCTGGGCCAGAGCAGATGACCACTTCCAAGAGTCGTCCCATTGGGTTTTACACAGTTTTCCCAACCTCCAGACGGCGGAGATGCCACTATTCGTCCTGCTAGGCTGGTATGTCTATAGTGATAATCTCCTACAATCTCGACCCTCTCCTGCCGAGAATCCTCTGCGAGCTGTGTCTGCGAGATGACCCGCGGAATCCGTATGATTTTTTAATGGGAAGAGAATGAAGAAAGTGACCTGTTACATTGTTTCTTCGTCAACTGGCACATCTACACTCCCGAGCTGAATCAGATCACCAAGCGCAACTGGGACCAGAATCACACCGACTTTCGCAAGGACCAAGAGGAGCGGCTGCGTGTGGCATGTGCGGAGGCCGGTTGACGCTTAGCGTGGTGGTGGATAATCTGGGGACTGGGCTGTGGAATCAGAAGAATGCTCATGATGGAATCGAGCGTACGGGAAGAAGGTTGCATTTCCATGGCGCTTGCGTTGATAGCATAGATTTCCCTAATTATGAACGTGGCAGTCTTGATGGCTTTATATGGCGGTTCTACTTGGTTCAGTGTATTGCATCATGTTGCGAGACATGCATTTGGTAATCAAGCTATTATCTATGATACCCTTGCTTTTGGAATATAACTGGCAGGAAAGATGTAGTCTTTCCATGGCATACTACCAACCACACAACGGTGCCCCGCATGTCCACCCGATATTATCAACTTTCTGGATACAGACACATGATAATCGTATCCCAATCACATCGACTTGCTATCTCGGCATCGTGCCACCGGCCATCTCCTGTTTATACTCTTGTATCTAGCATCGCTTCGCGGAGTGCAAAGAACTCGGGGAAAGAGCTTTGGAGGGCAATGTCTTGGCATAGGAGGCTACATATAGGCGCACTAACTACACGCGAACCAATGGCTAGATTAGAGGAGCAATTAATGACTGACTTCGTTGTTGTTAACGACACTGTTTCTATCTCGCGTAGCTAAGCGCTTCCGGTTCGGGTCGGATTAACGTATATCCACTGACACAAATTCCTTTACACAGAGATTAACTGCCCTTGCTAAACTCCGCGTTAAACTCCGGCCTGCACATCAACAGTGCGGGCAAGATGGTCCATTGCAGTCATAGCACGAGACAAACATATCAACTGGGATGTCCTCTGTTGGCCCAGGCGACTGATTACCTTCTCACTTTCCAGTCCAACCACAATGCCAGCTAACCACAGCGTCAAAAAAGCCCTATCACGCCTCGAGAATGACAGCTCGCTCACCCTAGGTCTCAAGCTCGGGAACTACGATGTCTAGCCAGGCCAATATATCCCCAAAGCAGGTATGTCTCTCTTTTCCAAGATATAGTCCCCCAGACGGAGTCCAAGAACAGGGGCTGACGAAATCCGCACCAGACGCTCAATCCCCGCCTACGATATCCTTCGCCGCCTCCCCAGAGACAACCTACATGGTCGTTGGTCTGGATATCGACGCCCCATTCCCATCGTTTAACATCCTCAGTCCGATTCTCCATTGGATCCAATCGGGTCTGAAACTGATGGAGGTTCGTCTATCCTGGAGCTTACGGCCCCTTTCGTGGCAAATTATATCGGTCCAGCACCACCCCCCGGGAGCTCGCCGCATCGTTATGTGTTTTTCTTGTATGAGCAGCCGGACGGGTTCAATGAACAAAAATATGCGCCGCGTAATGGGCAGAATCTGGGGAATATGCATCGTATGCGATATGATCTGGACGCCTGGGAGGAGGAGGTTAAGCTAGGACCCGTTCTGGCGATGAATTATTTTATGAGTAATTGATGTCGTTTAGATCTTGACTGTTTTCTTGAATGGTCTCTCTTCGGGTCTAAATGTACGGTGTTAGAGTGGTAATCTGCGAGACTAGATATGGATCTAGAGAAAACAGTGGTGGCCTTTATGTGACATTGTAACCCATACTGGTAATCCTAGCTATAAAGCCGTTCTATGGATCTTAAACTCATCGCCCGTCCTGAAGTACCATGACTCGTCTCTTGTCGATAATACGTCCCAATCTCCTCACCACTGGTTCCCGCTGACGAACCTCGAAGGACTCGCAAGAGAGGCCGGAGTGTCATCAGACATCCGGCCGTAATGCCCAGACTGGCCTCTACGTTCGACAAAATGGAGATCTCAGTAGTCTGGTCTAGCGGATTGTCAGTTCATACTGAAGATATGTGTGCGCATGGGCTACCTACATAGAAAGTCGGCATCTCTAGCGTAGTGAAGATACGGAATACGCACGATCACTGCGGTACTTGCCCTATATGTGTATGCAATCAGTAAGTGCGACCCACACGCAACAAGGGAGTAACCACGAACAGGCATCCTATTCCAAGTATCCCTGCGACCATGGTCTTCGTGCGACGGCGCATCTTCAGCTTCCATACGATGAACACCGGGAGAATCCCAATGGTGAAGTCGCATACCGCCGAGACTACACTGTACATGTAGACAATCCCCAGTAGCAGATCCATGTCCAGACATTTCCCCTCCATGGTCATGCGGTCCCAAAGGTAATTCACGGGTTGGCACTGGAAGATCGTGAAGAAGAAGAAAAGGAGCCCCGCGACGATCGAAAGGGCGGTTATCCCGTAGAGAATCCAGATATGTAGCGGCTCAACAAAGAGACGCAGAAGGGTCATGACGATGGAGAGTCTAGCCAGCACCGCAGTGACCACGTAGAAGATCTGTCCGAGGTAGAAACACTGCAGTTGGCACCATAAGTGATCGCATCCTCGTCTGAATAGTATTATGATGGAAACTTACCAGCATAGCGCTATGATACAGGTATGGCCGACCGGCAAAGTAGGCTAAATGCTTTCCCATCCCATAGGTAGAGCCTACCATGCCGCAGATGCCAAATGCCAGGTTACAAATCTGTGCAACGTATCGCATCAGCGCCGACCATGAGGATGGAGGGGTTGCAGTGGCTTACCATTGCGACTACCATAATGTAGTCATCGGCCCCAAAGGCCTTGACGATCCGCAGGCGCACAAAACATCTCAGAATCACAGCCACCAAGGAGATGCCAAGAAACACCGCCGTGGCAGTGAGGATGGCCTCACTTCTGCCATATACCATGATCGGGGACGCGCATAAAGGATGGAGTGACTTGCCACATCGCCGGACACAAGACCTTCAGACCCTTATTAGTCGCTCCTCCGAATAACGTCAGTGCGAGATCCGGGGGAATAAATTAAAATTTTTCCCACATGTACCCCGGAAAGCTCCTGGCTGGACCCTGGGTCACTGTATTTTTGTTGGATGGTCGGATGGAGACTCCGTGTCCGTCCGAATTGGCGCGCGACGTCATGACGTCATCACTTAAAAGACAGTTCCCCTTAGGTCTGATATTAATGTTGGGGTCGTCGGTATCATAGTTCGACTCTGGCTCCATCGGAGGAGTTGGTTCGTAATAAAGCAGATCGTACTATTGTGGTTTGATCGACTGATCTATCGTGCTCAGATGAGTATAATAAAAGTATACTAATAGCGGTATTGATTTAGTACTGCCCAGTGAGGCTCTTTTCCATGCCACCAAGTATCCAGTCAATCCCCTTTGCGGAGAACAGATTGGTCCAGAACAAAGCGTCGATCCCTTCGAGAATCATTCTACCTATCTAGAGCCACGGGACCCTTTTAACTCTGCTATTCGCTTCCACAGGTACCAGTTTGCTGTGATCCGCTCTTCCTCTTCCTAGTAAGATACTCCAAAACTATACAGGTCCCATTACCAAGTCCCTAAACCCGTTGTCGGAATGAAATCATCAAATCCCCAAAGCTGAGCAAGAAGCAGTCTTTCCGGTTACCAAGGAATCCGCTTCCATCTTCGTCAGGTGCAAAATACATATCAAACAAGGTGACCAATCTCGCAATCGTGGTACGGAGTATTATCATAGCAAGGGGTTTTCCGATGCAGCCATAGGGACCTTCAGAGGGAACGGATATTAGTCCAATATCATACACAATGGTTCGACTGTATATCACCAACCAGTTGAGAATGGGGCGAACGCTGTTTTATCCTTGACCATCACGGGATGCAAGTACCAGCGTTCTGGTACGAATTGATCCGGCTTGGTATAGGCTGCTTCGTCTGGAACCAATGTCAGCGCTTCGATCGGAGGAACACGGCACAGCGTGGAAGCCACCTACTTCGTCCCACTACATATTGAGAACACCACACCAGTGTCTCTCCTGGGATGTGGACTCCTTCAACTGTGATGCCCTGCGGTGGTGTCTGGCGCTGCAAGAATGTTGGAACTGGCGGGTGCAGCCGGAGCGTCTCATTGATAACCGCATTAAGATGATCAAGATGCATGATTTGGCTGTTTAGGATCTCTTCATTAGGATCTATGACATACGGTTCAAGCTCTTGCCGCAGTTTATCGACATGTTCGGGATGCTGTAGTAACTCGTAGCAAAGCGCTGCCAGTGTGACTGCTGTCGTGTCACTAGAGTCCGTCAGACTTGCGATTGCCCAGCATATAGATTTAGGGAAATCGAAAGGTCGCAAACCCACCCGCCAGCTGCAACAATTAACTGTGAGTCCCCTCGCAGGACGCGCATCTGACATTCTGCAGGCCACTGCCCCTTTAGAGGCGCGGCCAGGGCGCTTATAATGTCAGGGATGTCGATGTTTGCCTGACACGGTTAGCACAGAGAGGTGAACCATTGAGAAGGGGGGCAAACACCTTCAATCGTTGTTCCATCTGACTTGCAGCAAAATCGATCATCGCAAACCAGCCCTTTGCTAGCCCGGGGATGGAGGCCAGAAATATAAACAACCACTCCGGAAGGCCATAGCCAAGAATTGCCATCCCGTCACCGATCAGCTTGACAGCCCAGTGTTCCTCCCCCGATTCCACCATCCGAAACGACTTCCCAAAGGCAAGGTCGCCCATAAAATCGAACCCGTACGAGGTGAACCACTTGCACACGTTCATTGGTCGGCCATCTAGCGATTTGATATGTTCCAGAAGCTGGCGTCGATACTTGTGAAGTCGCTGCTCATATCCTCGCAGCGCACGATCGCTAAACGCAGCGCTCCAAACGCGACGTCTTTCGCTATGGAGGGATTTATCACGATACGCCTGTAAGGATTCCATTGGTTTGGTTGAATCGTAAAAGGGACCTTTACTGCATGGAGAAGCGTGGCCATGGACAATCTCCACCGCACTGGGGTGCGAAATGGACAGGTGAGCTGGACCGATCCGTACGATTGGGCCATAACGGTCATGCAGCTTTTGCAGTTGGAAGCATCCGTCACGACGGCGGAACCTCCACGATAGCCAGAGACCGGATATTCTAGCTGCAAATGGCCCGGGGAATCTGTTCAATCGATGGAAGAATATCCTATACAGAACTAAGCTCGAATAGAGTCCGAGAAAGTATTCAAGTCCTATTCCAGTCGCTTGGTTCAGGGAGAGCTTGAGGCTTTGCCCATGACTGTATATCCACAGAGTGAGTGCCGAAAAGACCAGGATGAAGACGGAGAGATAGCGCACTGCGTATAGGTGGTGTTCGCCATGAACAAAGTAGGCGGTGTGCGATAATATGCCGGCCAGGAAGGGCGCCAGACTCCCTGCAGCAATACTCATTTTAAACAAGATGACGTACGTGGATTTGGTGGGAATTGAGATATACTGCGTAGTTGACTGCGAAGTCGACGGAGTGCACGCTCCAGATCCGAACGTGGACGAGGAGAGGCACAAGAAAAAGAGTCACTGATGACATGGCACTCCCCGTGCCCCTTGCTAGAAGAGAATGCATTGGCCTGTTCATTCTCTTGCATCAGCGGCTACGTGAGGGGTTCATATGCAAGGGTCTGCTGCATCGTGGGTTCATGGGAATGGGTTTGTCTTGAGATACAATGCTTACTAGTAAGAACTAGTATAGAACTCAACGCCTTTTACACACGAAGCTGTAAGGATATAAAGTATATATATTTCTAAATACATAAAAAAAAGAAGATATACAGAGTATGATTACAATTTTAAAGAACATAAAAGTTTAAAACATCGATAATTTCCTCTTAAACTGCTACGCAACCCGTATACGTATTAGCTTGCTTGGCATCTCGTACAACTAAAAAAGATTAGCGTCTTCTCTACACCAAATGAACGGAAATATGTCACAACCGAGCAGCACTGTGTTGAAAGTGCAGGGATGTTCTTCTTCTTATATTGTACATAAATATCTATGCAGATATAGGAAATTACAATGTACAAACAGCTTACATGAACTCACTCGATTAAAACTGCTACATCAGTGTTTGTCCATGTAAAGTATCTCAGAATATAAAGGCAATGGCATGTGACAGATCAGAACCCGGCGAAGGTTACACCTACTACAAATACAGCAAGGTATCCTGGCATTATGTGTCATGGATGTCTTGTTGTCACTGTCTTACATACCTTGTTATGGTCACGTGAAGCAAGATCTCGGTGCCTCTACAGCCATCAGTGGGCGACCTTCACAGCCAGCTAACTATTCATGCTCCCCTCTCCAGCTGGCCTCGTTCCAAGTGCTCTTTATCAAGCTCTCAGAAAAGGCAAGTCGATGCCCTGTACTGCCCTTGTTGTTACTCTGGGTTGGTCGACCTTAGGAGAGCTAATGAAGGCATCCAGCGACTCTCATCTACACATTTGGGCCCTTGTAAAATCCAATTTTAGAGCCGGTATTGACCTAGACTCTCCCGGTTCTTTTTCCTCCATTTAATAATCAAATAATGGTATAAAAAAATGTTATAATGAAGGTGCGTTACGGGTTCTAGGCCTAGTACGAAGCTAATACCTGATGCCATTCGGTGTATCCTAATGATTCGTCTCCGGTAGAGAAGAAAATACATCACGATTCAGGTGGATCAGACCACGCTCAATCCCACTACGTCTTTGCTTTAGCGGCCTATCAGCGTGCCGTGGGCATCTACGCCATTCCAACATCGATAGAGCCAATAGGGGAAGATTCCTCTATAGGCAAGGAGTTCCTGCCAGGCTTTAGTAATGACAAATCCAACTATCCTTCTTGGCATCTTCCATACCTTTATCAATTTCTAGCATGTGGATACACTGGACCCATAGAAGCGGTTGAGGCACTCACATGAGCTACATTATATCCAGTATCTTTCAGATGAGTTCTCCATGTGCTGCACAGTAGTAGTTCAGGCTCTTGTCGACTCAGTTCCGGAATGTCGATTCATTCTGCGGTGGCTTGGGAGGACAAAGAAAACGTTACAGATGAATCTAATTAAGAACCACAACATGTGCTTTCATTGAACCATCGTTGCTGGAGGGAATATTAAAGCTCCGCCCAGAAAGGATGCCGCCACCTTGTTAAACTAGACGTGAAACGACTGAGTCCCCTGGTGATATGTATTTATTGCTGTATTCGTCTACTTGGTGATGATGGCAGAATCTTGCTAAATCCAGAACCTCTACCCCGTCGCTTGCCGGAACATTGGCGGTCAGTATATTGTCAACGGCAGAGGTTCTATGAAATGAGAGATTCGATTTCTTGCCCACTGCCAGGGGCCGAGCAATGAAGACAGCCGTAGGGCAGACCTCATCATGTTGGTGGCGTTGCCTTCACTCATATGAATCTCCCCGATCCATTTAATCTAATTTCCGCTGCCAAGGAAGGGGCGGGAACAAGCCATCTAATGTGAGATGCGCGACGTTGTCATTTCATTCTAACTGTCGTCCTTAGCACCTCTTGAGGCCCAATCCTTCGTGGTATATCCGGATCTAATATCGCATCATGCTTGACTTTGAGAGCTTGAGTTGGGGGGTATATTAGGCTCCTGGTAGCCATACTTCCCACGTCATCAAGGAGATCCCGGAGTTGGACCGGACAACTACGTTGGCGCGCTTGTAAGGTGGAATGAGAGGACGCTAACGTGCTAACAGGTCGTTGCAAATCCCGGAACGCCTCCTAACGAGGCATACCTCAAGATGGTCGACTTGTCAGTTATTTTCGGGTCCGCATACGACAAGTTCCAATCGTCTTTTCCAGCAATGAGCTCCAGAAGATCAAGAGCACCACTGGTGTGGACCGGGCCTCCATGGTGACCAATGTCCCCGAGAATGTTGACCTGTCATCGGTTCTTTCTCAGCCCAAGGGCATCTCCAACCAAGTTTAAATCTCCCATGTGGACAATTATGCCACGTATGACTCCACTCGGGAGGTGGCCTCGACGCTGGTTTCCAAGTAAATCGCTAAATGTGATGACAGCATATGCTCTAGATCTAGTGCATAGTTCGTGAGGAAATACTAAGTGAATTAACATGACTTTTTCGCGTGTTTGTTTGTTTTGGAATCTGTACCATAGGTATATTGTGGATCGATATCTCTGTGCATAGACTCGTTTTAATCCGATGATCCACGATCCAATGGAGTTTGATGATAGGTTTCAAGCTTCAATATTGGGTCAAGGTCTGTTCCCAATGTCTTGTTTCCCGAATGGCATTATATATATTTCGACGAGTGGACCAAACGTACGAGTACAAAATATAGAGATCCGATTAACTTATTTGATCACGTGAGACAGAACAATAATTGGGATGCATCCATCCAAATCCCTATACTACGTGCTGGGTAGAAAGTAAGGTTGTGTTGTGTTTTGTTTGGCTTTCTTGAAGAGGAAGGAGATACTGTAAGGTCACGGGACCGGATCTTGGCACTATTTCGGGTTCCGCGGCGCAAGCGAGGCACGTGCACGGGAAGATCTGCGGGGGACCGAAGGGAAGCCGTGGTGGAATTACCGTACTTTACACCAGATATTTATTGCCACTGACTTTCCATCCAGTTGACACGCACCTAACAATACAACAATGGGAATGTGTCATAGGCATCCTCGACCGGTGGAACGGTAAACTTTCTGGCAGTACAATGATGCCACTATAACAAAAGATAACAACGGAAACTACTGATTGTATTCGATTCTCCGACAGTGGCATTCCGGCAACGCGGATGATATACATAGCATCTCGGAGTAGGCCATGCCCATTGTGCGTGGAAAAAGTGGCAATAGCAAATTTGACAGTATTACGGGTAGTGACGGGATGGTCCACTGTGGTCCCCAGTGGCACGTAATCAAATTCACAAACATCCCTGTCCTAAAAGCGCAGAAAGTCTCACTTCGCCGTGCTCTCTCTTCTTGTCTCTGCTCCAGCAACCAAGGGAAGCTGCCACGAGACAGCTCCAATTGACAATGAGTGCGAAAGCAACCAAGGGCCCTGAGCTCTCCGGCGATGTCGATTTTATCCAGACTCCGCCAGCCAAGCCCTCAGAGTTTGAAACCGGTGTAGACTGCGGAATCCCCTTGACCAATGTTAGTGTCTATCGTTGCCTTACCACTCGATCAATCCCTTGCTAAATGCTCCCCAAAGTCAGCGGCCATTCATAATGCCCCTTTGCCAGCTGATGGTGCTGGAAATGAGAGCTTCTCCAACCTTCTCTTAGCCAGTGTCCTCGTGGGAGTCCCTACCCTCCTCACCTTCCTCCTTGGCGGTGGACTGAAAACATTCGTCTTCCTGGCTGTGGCTTTGGTTCTCCCTATCTTGGTGGCATTCTGGACCTGGACATCCACTTACAGCCCCCGTACCAACAACAAAGTCCGATTGCCAGGCCGACCGGTTGAGCATTATATCACCTTCAAGCGGGAAGAGGACCGGGCGAGATGGCATGGAAAGAACAAGATTCCCCTTCAGACCTTCGCTGAGATGTATCTCAACGGTGCGGTGGATTTCAACGGCGACACTCTCGATGTCATGGAGTACCGGCACGATTGGGCCAACTTCTCTTTCACCTGGGATCTCTTCAAATTCATCGTCTTTACCTTCTTCGTCGACGTCATATTCCACACGAAAGCCCAGGATGAGGAGCAGATCCGTCCCAACTACGATCGTGGCAACGACCACTATTCCTGGTTCCTGGGCCCTCGTATGATCTACACCGCGGGAGTCATCTCCGACCCGGAACAGGAAGAAACCTTGGAGGAAATGCAGGATAATAAGATGGCCGTGGTCTGCGAGAAGATCGGACTGAAAGAAGGCGAGACTATGCTGGACATTGGCTGCGGCTGGGGAACACTGGCGAGGTTTGCCAGTCTTAACTATGGCGCGAAGGTCACCGGTCTCACCATTGCGGAAAACCAGACTGCATGGGGCAATGACGCTCTCCGAAAGGCCGGGATCTCTGAACAACAAAGCCGGATCCTCTGTATGGATTACCGCGACATTCCCCGTACACAGTATGATAAAATTACGCAACTGGAAATGGGTGAGCACGTTGGTATCCGCAGACTCACCAAGTTTTTCCGCCAGTGTTATGATATGCTAAAGGATGATGGGGCCATGTACGTTCAACTTTCTGGCCTCCGACAGGCTTGGCAATATGAGGATTTCATCTGGGGTCTGTATTTGAACAAGTACATTTTCCGTGGCGCCGACGCTTCGACCCCTCTGTGGTACTATGTGAAGTGCTTGGAACAAGCTGGATTCGAAATCAAGGGGTGAGTTGTGGCTGCAAACATTTTCCCAATTGAACGAACGCTGATGGTAGATAGCATCGATACCGTTGGAGTCCATTATTCGGGAACACTCTGGAGATGGTATCGTAACTGGTGCGGAAATGTCGAGGCTATTAAGGCCAAATATGGCCCTAGATGGTACAGGGTGAGTGTCCTCCATGATTCATTCTTTGTCATGATCTGATATCTGATAGATGTGGGAACTCTTCCTCGCTTGGTCCGTTATCGCTTCCCGCCAAGGCTTTGCGACCTGTTACCAGATGGTTGTCGTCAAGAATTTGAACTCCACGCACCGCATCAACGGCGTTCCAACTCAATTTGCCTTGACCGCTGCCCTCGCTTCCAGCAGGAAGGCTGGCAAGTCCAGATTGCCTTAAATGACGCTGGCATCATGATGATCTATCGAGCTTAGCATCCCTATTTCCTGTTGGGGACTTCAAGCGCAGTGATGGACTTTCATATACCTCCACTTTAGCGACTTGCCTTTGCAAGGGCACCACTTGAATAGGCTTTCCTGGCCTACTTAACGTTGGTTTATGATAATGGTGTTCAGATAGAACGTGAGGTGAAAACCGGTTGACAAATAAGAGATCAGTTTTCTGTATGAATGAAATGGTTGTCATGCGATTGTTCTCTCTAGTGTTAGCAGGTAGTAATACAAACGTCGTTACGCTTCATAAGAATGTCCGGAGTTTCTTTATGTTTCTACATTATCTACTAATATTAGCATTTGGGGCACCCAACACTACTTCTAAGTGTCACCTATCTCTTTTCATGCGTAGAAGAGAATTTTCCATTATATCAAACGCTCCACTTCCCTCTAATATTTATATATTAAATAAAGAAATAACGTACTCCACATCCAAGCTGCGCAGCGCACCTGTATTCTCATACAAAAAAGTTTTTTTAACTTGGAATATATCTACCATTTTTCCTTTATCCTGGTTCATATTAGAAAGATGTATTGTCTATAAGTATATAAATAGGGATTGTAAATATTTTATAAAAGAAATTTATTTTTTATTTTAAAGTACATTTACCAGGCTTGAAATGTAGGGTGAGTGCGGCCTACCTAAGACTGAACAGATGAGCCTCTCTTACGATTTCGATCTACAGGGTGCTACTTCATAGGGCAGCTCAGCCACAGGTGACGAGTAACCGTTCCTTTTTTGTCACGGAATACGACTTCTACCCCTGATAGATGGACGAAGCAATTCAACCGTCGCGCTAAGAATAGAAGCATGTGGAGGGCGTCCACGTTCTCTTGCGCCGATCCTCGCACTATGCTGACATCCCCGGCATCCCGGCGACGAGTCGGATCTTTGCGCTGTCCAGGCGACAGCCATTCTTACAGCACAGAAGATCCGAGTGCACTGCCCGTCAGATGGAAGGATTCGGGCCTGGACAACTGTCCCGGATTCTGCAGATATTCAAACCGATATACGAGAGCAAAGACATGTCTCATTTACCAGCCGTGATCGACACGGTGGAGGCCCACCACTTGGTTTCGTCGAGATTAATGCATTCGTCAATCCATTGATCCATCGACGCGTCAATTTGATATAAAGGCCTCCGTTCTACAGCCATCCATCCAGCCGCCCTCACTTTTCTGCTCTTATACATCCTTTCAATACTCAAACTTTCACTCATCCACAATGAAGTTTTCTTTCGCTGCCATGACTGGCCTTGTTGGCGCCATCAGTGCCTCTGCCGTCCCTTACGCCATTCCCTCCTTATCAGCGACTCCTTCCACGACTCCAACACCGACCCCAACCCCAACCCCAGGTGCTGGTCTTCCTGAAGCATTCACGTTGGTTGCTGATGGTGGTTGGACCGTAATGACTGATGGCCGTAAGTCAATCCCCGGGAACTCCAGTCCATGATCAATAACTGACTAATGTTTCCAGAGTATGCCTATTATGGTGGCAACAGCACCGACAAGGAGATCCTCATCCGTATGTGTCCTATTCCCCATAGTCACCGTCCCGACCGCGATCATTAACTCTCCCTCCAGTTCATTCCGGTCCGAACGGCGCTGTCTCCTTCACCTCCAGGAATGGCGTCCCCACGGCCTTCCAGAGCCTCTACGTCGTTGAGAACAATACCCTGCCTCTGGGCCTCACCATTCCTCACTCGGGGGCCGTCCCCACCGGCGCCAGCACTCTGAAATTTGGCGTCAATGAGCAGGGATACTTCACCCATGACGGCAAGCCCTGGTTCGCCGTCGAAAGCTACGGCACCAACACCCTCAAGACCATCTACTGGTATGGTCGTCACAGCTCCACCTACCGCGCTGCCAACCTGTGGGTGAAGGCCAACCTGTGGGTGAAGGAGTGCAAGGGCTGTTAAGTTCGGCGGTTCGGTCGTGTAATTTCTGAGCCTTAACGCACACTGGACCACGATCTCGATGTCAACTGTGGCAAGACCTTAAATCACTGGTTGTCTGTTGTCTGGTGCACGGGAATTGTATGCTACACATAGAGTCAGATATCCATCATTGTCCATATCTCTGCGTCTGCTCCTGTATGATGCAATATAGGAAACACCTGAGAAGGAACCTTTGCTCATGGAGACAGAATCAGTAGCTGATACACCCACGTGGAGCACCGGTTGAAATGGTGTTGCCTAAGGCACTGCCGCAGCGCACTTCTGTTCTCTCCCGATCTCCCCTATTATTAGTCCATAGTCCAGTCTCAGCAAGAGACGGTGATAGTTGCTTCCTCGTACTGCTTATTATTATTAAAATCTCCTGCAACACTCTTCTCTTTCGCTCTTAGCCATATCTTGTCACGTGAACAGACATAGTGCATGTATCAGCAGGTTCGCATTCCCAAAGATACCCAGCAGATGATGGATAGCATGGAGAAATACAGAAAGTATATTCCAATCACGTAAAAGACCATATATAAAAGATAAATGGCCGTCCCTGTCCTTAACTGAGAAACCCCCTCAGTTTTACGCCTCCACTTGTGGTCTCCAACCAAACATTCACTTCTTGGATGTATCCTCCATCCCACCCAAACTCGGACTGGTCCAGATCGAGTGCAGCATTTGGACTCAAATTAGGGGTCAAGAGTGCCAGGGCTGAAGATTTCCAGATTATTGATTCTTAGTCTTGATGATAGTGGCAATAAAGAAGACTAAACCCAGAACGACAAGGCCGATGCGAAGCACCATCCACAGCCGTCGGACCCGCAAAAAGTGTTCCGTCGTTCGTGTATTCTCAGAAACAGAGGCACTACACACTTGTGATCACACGTGCGTTGTGAGCGTAGAATCTAGAGAATGAAATACCGAACTGGCGACCGTGTAATTGTCATGCACGCCGTAGATAGCCTTGATGGTGTCCGAAGGCTAGTCGGGACGATTACTGATTAAATGAGTGCCATAACAGTTGAGGATGGGGCGTATTGAGTCCGCATAGCTAGCGGCTGAGCCAGTTGACGCGGTAGGTGCAGTCGTCGGTTGGTTTACGTGATGTACCATTCACATAGCATGTCTATGGAGATAGGAAGAGGTCCTCCATATCGGAAGAGGTAGAGGACCTTGATGACCTAGGTATGCGTGGACAATACCGCCGTCCCCGACCGTCGCCTTACATGTATAGACACAGTAGGACATTATGTGGCACTAACCTGCGGGGGAACTCCGTAGCCTGCTGACACTATGGGGGCGAAGTTTAGCATGGTTGGAATGCTGTGTCCACTCGAAGGAGGCTTAAATGCACAGTAGCGCTGATCAAATACATCCCTACATGGCAGCGTCGAAAACTACACGATTAGTAAGCTTGTAGTGTAAGAACTTGCGGCGCTACTGTATGGAGATGACGAAGAAAGGGAAAGCTAGTCCGTAATATTGGCATAGTGACTGCAAAACACTAGCGACTGATCATTGCTGTGGGGCTTTGAAGATGCCCGTGTAGATGGTTCCAATGCTTGAAAGAGGCGCCTGGTTCATGCCTGGCCAGCACCCTCTCCATAACTATGCAACTGTAGATAAATCACTTCCCGTAGCGCTAACATCGGTACTCAGGGGGCATTGGTTACTGTACTACCACTTCTCTGCGGGGAAGCCCGTGTGCCTGTCGCTCCATCCGTGGCCTTCCAGGTAGTTAACGCAGCCACTGAGACAAGCCTAGCGAATCCTCTGCGCTCGCGATTAGCTGACGGGGGCGTCACCAAGTAGTGGGGGAATCTGTACCAGTTCGTGGAGCGGCGCGATTCGGTTTCGGCATCCTGTTTTCTAATAGACCAGACGTACATAATCCTCCATACGCCAACTATAGCTTTTGAAGGGAGGTTAGATGGCTCAGGGAGATGGAGCCGCGGTTGTGCTTTGTATCATACTCTGTTCTTTTACCAATACTCTATCCTTTTAATCTTAAACTGAACTATTAACTTCTGGAGGCGAGAATACGAACGAGAAGCTTAGACAGTGATCTAATGTCGACATCCGTTCTGGAACACTATCAGAGGTATCTTTGTTTACCTGTTTTGGTTTTATAGAATCCATAGAAGGGGCTATTTTTTCACATTAAGATCGGGACGAATCTCGATCAAATGGACCATGCGTGAATCCTCTGCAGCCTCGCGACACAAGCATGCGTCAACCCATCAGACATGTACTAAGCACATTAAGCTCAACCAGTAGGGTAAGTGGAGAGCTCCCTCACCCGCACTAGATAGAGATGGCCGACTGCAGGTGACCGACAAAGCTTGTCATGTAAGTCCCGTCGCACAAGTAGCAGGGAAATTGGTGTAGTGGCGCAGCATCCGCAGCAACCAGTGGGAGAGTTTGGTCTCTTCGGTGGTAGTCCCGTCAATGTCATGGAGATCAGCCAGATCGAGTCGGAGTCTAGATCGCCACCCCCCATGTGATGATCGTCATAGAACTTGCGGGTATTGGCAGCTTGAAGGTGTCGCGCCAGATGCTGTCACCCAGCCATGTCTCCACGAACCCAGCAGACATGAGAGGGTGTCTTGGAGGGACAGTTCATTCATGATATTGGGATCATCAGAGAACACCTAGAGCTACAACGGGTCGATGAGGAGAGTATCGCTATAAGCTGCAGTTGGTGAGACGAGTGGCCATTGGCGTTACTGATCTGCGACGCGCCCTCGGTAATGGGGGCATCTCGATGGTAAGGTGATTGATTCATTGTCTGCTGCCGATGCATATGGAGCCAACCGTGTCCGGAAAGCCGACAGATCCTGGCCTTTGTTAGAAAGATATCGGCCCAGGGAATTCTCCAAAAGCTCGGTGCGTTCGCGTATTTACGTCCCTCCCACAGACGAATTCCCCTATGATAACTGAGTACGCTCATTCAATTCAATGAATTAGTTCGCTCCTTTATAAATGCCTTCCTGCCTATACTATAGAATCATAACAGCCTCGTCTATACCGTGAGTGTGGCAGTGGAAGGGGCCGATAGACTGCTCGTATTCGCCAAAGATATCTTGTTTGGCCGGCTAAACTCAAAGGGGCAATTTTGCCAAGCTCGTATTTGTATCGATCCACGCTGTTGATCTTCTGCTTCATTTCTGCGTCATGGAGGATTCCAGACGTGTGTATATAAACGTAGAATGGACGCAAGACAGACGATGTACAGCATCTATCATAGCGTCCTTCTATTCTGCAACCCACCATGGACGACAAACAATATCCTCTTAGTGTCCTCAGCGTCGTGTCGTCCACCGACACTCTCCTCGGTCGCCCTGAATGTAAAAGGCTGCACATCCACTCGAAAGGGATCGGTCTAATCCGATTCCCGATGCCCATGTCCCAGAATGAGATCCCTATCTACGACGCAGAGGGATCTCTTGCGTACGTTGCCACCAAAAACAAGTCCTGGTCGAGTCACTCGGTGCTCTCCTCGTCCCAGCGAGAGCCTCTAGTGGCCATTGACTATAAACTGGGCGGTCGTCCACAGCTGCGCCCTTTGACGGTCGCCTCAAGGCCCGAGATGGCTTCCATTATGCTGCAGACCAAATGCACCTCGCGGGCCATGACGTTTAGGCCCCAAGAGGGAGGATGCACCTTGGAATGGAAATATACCAGGATCCCGGGACCAGATGGGAAAGCTCACATGAATCTGTGCTTAGAGAAGAAGGAAGAAAAGGAGGGATTACTGTACAATCGACAAGTCGCCCATCTTATTCGCAGCCGGGAGACTCGATCGCCGGGTAGTACTCGTTGGGCAACGGGCCAAGGAGGCGAATTGATTCTCTTCCCCGAGGAAATGACCGGAGTAGTGGATGAGGCACTCGTGGTGGCCACATGCCTGGTCATGCTGCGGGCAGAACGCGACCAACGCCGACTCATTCAGGCCATGGTGATTGCGGGGGCAGGCAGCTGATAGGATTTTATGTAACCCAGCTGCCGATGTTAGCGTCGCACTCGAGGAGTCTGGATCGCGGTCTTCTTTTATGTCTCTTCCTCCAGTTCTTTTTCTTTCCCTTCTTCTTGGAATTCCTCCCTGTGCTATTACTTTGTGGCGTCGCAATGGAAACGGTTTATTTACATCAATATATATATATATTGGTACGTCCAATGGTAGTGCACAACAGTAGTTAGAATATCTACCTATTGGAAGCAGTCGGAAATTACGACCTGGACCCCACATTATATATTAAGTTAAAACGTACAACAGCAAGTAGGTTCTGTTGGCAGAATATTTCAGTTGTGCTACAATGGACCACATGGGTCCCTGGTAAGTTTGCCCCAATTATAGGGTGCTTGTCATTGTAAGGTTGTCTCAGTGCCCCGAAGTGGTTCCAATTCATGTCTGCTCACGGTCCTAATCTCGGTAAGCATTGGGAAAGCAACCATGCCTATCTGATTAGGTGTACACCCGCTTGGCAGTGTAACCTGGCTTCCTAGACTTGGGACATCCCTGCATCATCGTTTGAATCTACGGATCATGGACGCATTGACCGGTCCGTCCCAATGCCATCCACGTGTCGGTGGATGCATGGGTGTCATAGGATCGTATACCAGGCGACGACTGAAGTGTCATTACGACGGGAAGGTTGCACATCCCCCGATCTCGCTGACTCAACAATGCGATGCGGAGGGAATCTGGGGAACGCGTCTTCCGTAACGGCTCCCCCCGAGGGGTTGCTGACCTAAGCACCCGGTCCATTGGACCAATCAGGACGCGCCTCGCTTCGTGATCGAGGAGAAGCAATTGGGCCCACCGCCCGGGACCCGCGATGGGGAAAAAGGCGTGAGACAACAATTCCATGGGAACGGGAGGGTACCACCGTCCCATGTGCCATGCTGAGAGACTAGACACCTCAATATCGCTGCATTAGTAGCTTCTCACAGCCGAACAGAAGTAGTAGTAGTAGTAGTAGTAGTAGTTGATAGCAGTAGTGCCCAGTGCCTCCGCTAGTAATCGGTAGATGGTGTCTCATGCGTGTAGTTGACAGACCCACTCGACCGATCGGAGATACCTCTGTGCAGGTCCCTACTGGAATAGATAGCAACTGGAAAGCTATGACTTTGATTGCGGGAGACCAGCGCCGCTATATGCATGGTCGGAACTAGGTACAGGGTATAGCCGAATCTAGCCATTGGATACCAGACTCAAAATGATGATCAAAAAGTCGCGTGTTCCGTGGTCGAGGGACAAAACAAACAAACACTGATAGCGATCGCTCACTATCTCAGACTAGGTTCGCCACGATGGGAATCCCTGTCACCGTCCCCTCCGGGTTTCATCGCACCGTCACGCTGAATGGCATGGTGATATCAGCTGGTCGTCGCCCAAGCGTGGCTCCCCACAAATCAGAGCTCGCGCTGGATGGAAGCGGACTAGCGGGCAGATAAGCCTCCCTGTTCACTCGTCCAACCGGTTTGGCTAGTTCCCCTAGTAAAGTAAGTAAGTAATTAATTAGCTGAGTCCTTGCTGTGAGGATGCACTACTCCCAGTCTAGTCTCACCTGCTGCGTTCTCGTCGCCTAACAACCTCCGGCCCCAGATTTTCCTCTTAAAGCTGCTCCGTCCTTCCTGGTTCCCTCCCCTCCCTTCCGCTGCTCCCATCCCCATCCATTCCCACACCTTCGCCTTGTCGTCGCCTCAATGGAGCCCACCGATGAGAAAACCGCCGTTACGGCCACCGCGGACAATCCAGTGATAACCAAGGACTATTCCGACGCGACGCCTGCCAACAGCCCGATTCCAAGAGGATGGATGTACAAGTCCTTCCAGATCGGTCGCTGGAACACTAGCTGGTACGCCTCGCCGCGTATTCAGTTGGGCATGGTCGCCTTCGTCTGCTTTTTGTGTCCCGGCATGTTTAATGCGCTCAGTGGATTGGGCGGTGGTGGTAAGACGGACACGACCTTGGCCGACGAGATGGTATGTTTGGATTTTGCCCCCCTCCATGATTCTTGTTTGCTTCCGGGATTCATTGCGACGGTTGCCTATGCTGATATGCACACTGTCGTAGAACATCGCCCTCTACAGTACCTTCGCCGTCGTGGGATTCTTTGCTGGCACCTTCGTCAACCGGATGGGTATTCGCCCGGCGCTGGGCTTTGGCGGCATCGGATACACCCTCTACACCATCAGTCTACTTGTCTCTGAGCACAAGCACGTGCCAGGTTTCAACATCTTCGCTGGAGCCTTCCTGGGTGTGTGCGCCGGTCTCCTGTGGACCGCTCAGGGAACCATCATGATGTCCTATCCACCTGAGGAAAGCAAGGGCCGTTACTTTGCCTGGTTCTGGGGCATTTTCAATATTGGTGGCTGTTTGGGCAGTTTGGTATGCGACTCCCCCTTTCCCCCTTGCCTCCACGCCCCGCGCCACTGACCAGTTAGATCCCATTGGGTGAAAACATCAAGGTGACCAACAACAAAACCGTCAGCGACGGAACCTATATCGGCTTTATCGTGCTCATGTTTGTTGGCGCCTGTCTCGCCCTCTGCCTCTGTGATGCCGACAAGATCGTGCGCAAGGACGGGTCACGCGTCATCCTCAAGAAGTCCCCGAGCTGGACAACCGAAATTGTCGGCCTGTGGACCACCATTCGCTCTGAGCCCTACATCATCCTGTTGTTCCCTATGTTCTGGTCCTCAAACTGGTTTTATACCTACCAGCAGAATGCCATCAATGCGGCGCACTTTGACACCCGCACCAAGGCGCTGAACGGCTTCCTCTATTGGTTCGCTCAGATCGTCGCTGCCGTTCTTATGGGACCCTTGCTGGACTGGGAGCGGTTCCGCCGCAGTGTTCGCGCCAAGGCGGCTCTGATCGCCCTCTTCGTGCTGACTATGGCGATCTATGGTGGTGGATATGCTTGGCAGAAGGGGTACACGCGCGAGACGGTAACTGCGCCGGACTTCGAACCCACTGACTGGACTACCCCCGGCTACGTGGGTCCTATGTTCCTGTATTTCTTCTACGGCATGTATGATGCTGTTTGGCAGGGAATTGTTTACTGGTAGGTTGTCCTAGATTCTCCCCCTCCCCAAAGCCATGGTGTGAAGACTAATTACGTTGTCCTCTCAATAGGTACATGGGCGCTCTGGGAAACTCGGGTCGAAAGCTGGCCAACCTTGCGGGTTTCTACAAGGGCCTGCAGTCCGCGGGCGCGGCCGTCATGTGGAGCTTGGATCGTGACAAACTGTCGTACATGTCCCTGTTCGCCTCTAACTGGGGCCTGCTGTGCGGATCCATTGTGGTCGCGGCACCCGTAGTGTTCCTCAAGATCAAAGACCACGTCCCGGTTGAGGAGGATCTCAAGGGCACGGGCGAGACGCTGGAGGATGTTTTGCCGGCTGATCACCCCGAGAAGCGCGCGATGGAGGGTCATGTGTAACGCGACGACTGACGTGAGACGGATACTGTTGTTCTGTGTCGACGTGGAATGCAGATCTGCGTTGATATCGCATGATACTGGCGTCGATTTTTGCCGAGTAAATAATACCTGGTTACTAATAATGTTGAACGTTTACTACTTATAGTAATGGTAATTTCTGATAATGGCATGGTACATGTGCAACTGTGATAAAGTCTACAATCTCCGAGGCCAACCGGCCGCGATGCGTAACCATCGATGTATTATTCCATCTTTGGCAGGGGCCATTTGGCCTTTGTCACGATCGGCTTGAACAGGGGTAGTATCGTGGCTTGAATATGTCGAGGGCAGCATCGATAAGGTCCTAGTGCGGTGGTCCTCGAATCCCCGATCCCTGAACCGGCTTTCATTCCGATCGTGACGGCCATCAGCCCATAGCATGTAGGTAATATCCGAAACGGATGCCAAGGCGCCAGTGAAACCAGGATACTGATCGCTGTCGTTGATTGAGCGAGAGACGGGATACGAAGATTTATTTTAGATCCCACATCGGCAGCTTTCCCCTGATTTGATAATCCCGACAGCACCAGTGTAATCTGCACTGCATGTCTTATCCGCAGCGTTGGTTAGGTGCCACGAAGACAGAGACTGACTGTCAAGAAGGGGCTTTGCTAATTGTGAGACAATAAATAGACCGATAATCCCAAGGAGAGGGGAATTGGGCTGAGTCGTCTATCTACCAACTGATCCGCTCGTACTCTATCAAAATAAATAAATCAGTCGACCACAAAAAGGACCATCGGAGTTATGTTATCCCTAATTTAGCATTGTCATTGAAGGTCGGGAGGATTTATCTCAACATAGTTTCTTTCCCCGAGCCGTGACGTCTCGCAGGAGGGCTTGTTTGTGCGGTTGAAAAGTTGTGCTTCTCAAAGGGTGGTTTACCAGGAGCTGGTCATCCATAGGATACTAGTAAGTTTACGTTAGACAGCTTCAACCAACGTCTTGTTCTACCAGTTGGACGACGTGCATGATCATTGCAATAATGAGCCTAAGGAATGGAATTAGATGACCGGTACTCTCGCCAAAAGCACTTTAGCATTGTACAATTAAGCCCACTTTTGGAAATTGAAATGGCAGCAGAGAAGGAGATTCTGCATTACCAGGCGAAGTGATAGTGGACTAAAATTCCTGCCTGTACAAAATATTTGAAGGCTGCACCATCTTACAGCATACTATGTCCGTGCCACACGTGACAGCTGATCATGACCATGAAAGTTACAACCGAAGTAAAAAGCTCAAGACCGAAACTGGAAATGTAGACAGTAGAATTATCTCTGAGTGCGCTAAAACAGGCTCTCGCACCAACAAGGAGAGTAGTGCGACGTGGTGGAACTTTTGGGGGCGTTAAAGCAGCTCCAGTCGGCTTTAGGAACACCTGATGTTAAACAACAACACAAAGTATCAATTTCACCTGTCATGCAAAATCATTGTTTGGATGTGTGGTGGCAATTAATGTCGGTATGCTGCGCTTCTGTCTTTGCTGGTTACGAAAGAATATTATTAGCCAGCTTATCGATTCGTTTAATTTTTTTAGGCGCTGTGGTATGGACAAACCAAATCTGCCTGTATATATCGCCTCGCAACCGGCGCGGTTATCTGGATCTACGGAGTAGTAGTCCGGACAAAATCAACAGCCCCGCCCATGATTCGATTTCCATTCACTAGGTGCTTTAGTCGATTCTCTTAGTCAAATCAATACTAGCGAGACAAGGGGAAGGGGGTCTTCCAGTCCTAGCCTGAGCGAAGGGATAGGAGATGGCTATTTAGCGGCGCTTCTGTACTGCCTCTAGGACTTCTGCTGGCAGATTCTCGCAACGGTCAGAGTCGTGAGCGAGGCAAGCAGGCGAATTCTTCGGCGTGTTCATCGCAGCAGAGCTTCAGCATCCCACGTGGGCGGTGGAGAACCTCGTGGAGTGTGGTTCCTCGACCTCCACACTTGTCGCTTGTTTTTCTTGTCTTCATCCTCTTCACCGGACGCACAACAGCAAATCAGACCAACATATTCCCCCGCTCACTACTGATCGCGCCAAAATCGATAGTGGCTTGATCGGTCAAGATCCGGACCGACCGACCGATCGGGATAGCCACATGGGAGAATGTGGGCCGGAACCAAGAGTCAAGTTGCGCAGCCTACAGAGCTGGAGCAGGGCGGGGGGTTCCAAAAAAAAAAAAAAAAAAAAGAGGAACCAGTGCCGTCATCGCTGTCCATCCGGGATTCACCACTGGGTCATTAGGTTTAAATATCGTCATCTCCTCTGACTTGTTCCAGGGGTCCATTGATCAGCAGCGTCTCTTCCTTTCACCATGGGTCTCTGGAATGTTATTGACCGGGCCTTGTGCCTGACCGTCACGGCCATTGCCCTTCTGCAAGGACAGGCTGGAGCGTCCTGCAATGGAGCTCCCACTGCTTTGACGAAACAGGGACTCATCACTGGCTTCTGCCAAGGTGATGTTAACGTGTTCCTGGGAATTCCCTTTGCCCAAACGACAGGGGGAAAGAATCGGTGGAAGCCACCTATGCCCCTCAAGCAGTCGGCGACGGCACGGATTGATGCCACCTCCTATGGCCCGTCCTGCGCTCAGTCGATGTCTAACCAAAACACCATTGTTGCCCAGAGCGAAGATTGCTTGAACCTGAATGTAGGTGGACCATACGAGTGTCCTTTGAGATTACAGCGGTACTGACTTATGCTATAATGATCTGGACCCCGTCGAATGGCAGCAACCTCCCGGTCTTTGTCTACATCTACGGCGGTGCGATGGTTACCGGAGGGAATAGTAACGCGCAGTGGCAGGGGCACAACTTTGCTCGCAAGGATGTGATCTATGTCAATGTCAATTACCGCGAATCGGTCTATGCCTCACCTAATGCACCTGAGCTCGAGGGAAAATCTCAGAACTTCGGCATTCTCGACGTCCAGAGTGCGTTGAAGTGGATACACAAAAATATTGATGGTTAGTGGCCTCCATGATTGCTTTCTCATCGGTCTTTTGACTAATCGAATGTTTTGCTCCTATGTAGCATTTGGTGGCGATAAGAAGCGCATTGTCCTAGGCGGCCACTCATCTGGAGCTGTCCATGTCGACCACTATCTTTGGAATCACCCCGATACCTTTCTGGCAGGCGCCATTGAAATGTCCGCCAATGCCGTGTCGGGCCCAGCCTACGCGCCCAGCGGCGTCGCCCTGGCCCAGGTGGCTCGGGACATGAAGGATGCTGGCGTCACGCTCAACTGTGATGCGAACAGCCCGACACTGAAATGCCTGCGGGAGGTGGACACCTACGCTCTACAAACGAAGTTCTTTAACTCCACTTCAAACACCTGGTTTAGTCCAGTGGTCGACGAGATCACTCTCTTCTCCAACTATGCAGCTCGATTTGGTGCGGGTCAGTATCCTAAATCGCTGCCCCTGATAGTCGGTAATGCCGACCAGGAAGGGAAAATCTTCAGCTACGTCTATTCGAAAGAGAATGGTAACTTCTCCTCCTGGATTAATACCTTCGATGCCGATCTTGCCTGGGTCCCCGATGAAGAGCTGTTGGATGCGTATAATGCCTCCGACTATGACTCGGTCTCCCTCATGAGTGGTGCCTCGTACGGGGACGCCCGCTTCATCTGTGCGACCGACTACATGTTGGATGTGCGCGCCTCAGAGCAGCCCACCTGGGCGTATCGCTGGTTCGGTGCCTATGATAATGTGTTGGGCCTGCCTGGAATTGGACCCTCCCACGGCAGTGAAGTACCGTTCTTCCATGGTGGAAACGAGTGCTTTTCCAAGCTCAAAGATGTCACCAAGGCGCAGCAGGAGCTGGCCGACTACATGAACGACTGGTTCGTCGCCTGGATCAAGAACCCCCATGCTGGCCCCGGTTGGGACAAAGCCAAGCCTGGTAATGGACCCCTGGCGAAGCTCGGCGTTCCCAGCAAAGAGTTGGCGATTGAGATGAGACGACAGGCAAATATAATGCCCGTTGCCAGTCCGTTTTCAAACCCAATTTCCCCAAATACCCGGTCGTGCAGAACCCTGTTGCCCTCTCTTCGTGACGGGATCTTAGTTTTGATCACTTCTTCTCGGCCCCCATCAACATAGATTGGCCATATTAATTTTAAGTTTTCTGTATACAGTAAAACCCCTATATAAGCAGCACCCGATTTAAGCAAAACTCCGGTATAAGCAAATGAACACGGTGTCTAATTTGATTTTCCATATTAATATGCTTAACCCCCCGATACAAGATCTTTGCTTAATTTTTCGCCCTTTCCTATATAAATTTGCCTATATCGAAGTCACAAAATTGCTTATTCAGATATCACACTTTGCTTTAAAGATGGCTAAGAGGACGCGTCGCGCTATTTCAAATAGCCAGAAGGCTGCCCTACGCGCTCAACATCATTTAAAGCCTTATCTTTCTCTGGCATCTCTTTCTAAGTGGTTTGAAGAGACATATAAACAGCCAATTGACCGCTCCTCGATTAGCCGAATCCTCTCCTCTCGATTTGCCTTCCTTGACGACATTCAAGCGCATCAATCTGAAGATAAACGACGCCGTACAGAATCCTGGCCAGAGCTAGAAAAGGCACTCTACAACTGGATACGGAGGGCTGAGGGACAAATAACAATATCTCAGGAGATTATTCGGCAAAAGCAAGGGATTTCTGGCCGGAGGTCTATCCAGAAAGGGAGATGCCGCAGTTTAGCAACGGCTATTTCGACGCTTTCAATCACGCAGAAATATTAAGTGGAGGAGTCAGCATGGTGAAGCTGGAAGTGTATCTGAAGATGCAGCTACTGAAATGGTTATAATCCGTCACGCTCTTAGTATATATGCGCCTCAGGATATCTTTAACTGCGATGAGTCAGGTCTATACTGGAGGATGATCCCGGACCGGAGTTTATCTACCTTGCTTCCTGGCCGCAAGAAAGAAAAGGCTCGAATAACTGCGCATTTCTGTTGTAATTCAGACGCTTCAGAACTCCTTCCTATCTGGTTTATTGGGACAGCTAAACGTCCCAGAGCCTTTACTGCAGCTGGTATTATATTGAGAACCTTAACTGCACTTGGCGCTCAAATAAGAAGGCATGGATGACTGGTGATATCTTTAAAGAATGGCTGCTCTGGTTTGATAGAAGAATGCAAGGCCGAAAAGTTGCTCTTTTAATGGACAATTTTTCTGCACATGAAGCTGCATATAAAGAAGTAAACCCGCAGCTAAAGAATACACTGGTTATATGGCTTCCATCCTGCTCAACGTCACGGTATCAGCCTCTTGATCAAGGGATTATACGCACATGGAAGGCATATTGGAAAAACAGTGGGTTTTATATATGATGGCTGAGTACGACCGTGGTTTTGACCCGCTATCTACTATGACAATCTTACAAGCAATTCGATGGGCAATTTCTGCCTGGGAATTTGATTTGTCTAGAGATACAGTCAGAAACTGTTTTCAAAAGGCCCTTTCAATTGAATATGTCAATGAGCTTAATGATGAGCAACTTATTGACGATATAAAGCAAGGACTTCAACGCCTAAAACTCTCAAATAGTATCCAGGACATTATGGATATTAATCAGTTTTTGAATCCCACAGAGGAGCAGGTTGATGATAGTCTTATAGATATTGACTCCGCAGTTCTGTCTGAAATTGCACCGCCTCCAGCTTCAGATAGTGATGAGGAGGAAGATCTACAGCCTCTACCAATAATTACACCTACAGACGCTTTAGAGGGCTTATATAAACTACGACTCTATCAGGAACAGCAGGTTGATGGAGATAAGGCCCTTATTCGGCTTCTTACACACCAAGAAAGGCTCCTTCTGGAGAGAAGAGCTCAAGCTCAGCGTCAGACAGATATCCGGTCATTCTTTGCCTGACCACCCACCTCCACCTTATTAAGCTGCGGGGCCCCTGGTTGCCAAAAACATGCAGAATATAGGTTATATCTTATAGAATGATTATAATAATTAATATATGCGTTCTTTAATTCAGTATGGTGCAGTAGATTTATATAAAGCTATATAAATATATATATTTATTACCTTGTTCGGTATAAGCAAAAATCCGGTATAAGCAAACTTTTAGCCGGTCCGAATTCTTTGCTTATATAGGGGTTTTACTGTACTGTGTGTTTTTGCTAATTCAAGCGAGGGTATGTATGACCCACTATACCCACCAATCTAGCGCTTCAAGAAAGCCCAGATCATCCAATGAACTCGTCCCAACGGTGGGTCATATTTGATCCACGGTTCGGTATTTGTGACCATGTACTACGGTCCCTTAATGGACCTGACACCAGTCACCGGCTCATCCAATATGAGAAAGCACTAGGGCGGGTTCCTATCGTGCAATGGTGACTGCGTTAGAGATTTACACAGTAAAGATCAAGGTTTAGCTTGCCAGCCTTCATTAGTGTCTTCATCCCCTCGGTTCTGTGGTCAATTGTAGAGATGCCGAAGTGCCTACATCGCATCCCTGCTAGCTCCCCATATTCAGTCGAGGATCATTATCATGGCGCGCCCTGAGGTTGGCCAGGTGGTACGTATTTATCCTATATTTACCTTCTAGTAGCTGTCCTGACGTGGATATCTTGGTTAGGTGGCATGGTATATCTGCACCGTCACAGCCAGCCTCTTCCTTATAACGCGACTGGTGATCCGATGGCGGCTGTTCAAGCGATTCTACGTCGATGACTACTTGTTGGCCATAGCTAACCTGTGCCTGATTTGCGACTTGGTCATTCAGCACTACATGTTCAATCTCGGTAAGTGGGCTCATCATCTGATGGAGCCAGCACAACACTGATTAGAGTACTGTCGCAGGCATGTCCGATCCCGAGGTGAAGAAGGAGGAGATGGTGGAGATACTCAAGGTGAGAAGATCATCGCTCCGTCCACCCGGTTACGATTGCTAACATCGTTGGGATTAGATGGTCATCCCCGGCTCCACTCTCTACGTGACTTCGCTCTGGTTGATCAAGGCGGGCATGGTGATTTTTTACAAGCGTCTCGCCGACCGGACGAAATATCAAATGATATACAACATCACCCTCGGTTTTCTGGCGGCTACCTGGCTTACAATTTTCCTCAACATCATCTTCAAGTGCTTTCCTCCAAATCGCATATGGGATCTTGACCACCCTGAGCGTACGTCATCAGTTTGAGACATCCGGAGTTGCGATGTTGACTCGTCCTAGGAGCTTGCTCGCATAAGCAGTCGCGGATCAATTACTGGATCACCATCTTATGTATGAATACTGCTCCCATCCCCTGCGTGGTATACCGTGCTGACTCCCTTCCTTACCAGTCAATATTTGTAGCGATGTCTTTAGTGAGTGTCATTCGTCGGATCCAATGGAAACCAGAAACTAATGCTGCTACAGTTATTTGCCTTCCAATATCTCAGGTGCTAAAGCTGAAGCTCCCCAAGAAGCAGAAGATTGGCGTTCTCAGCATTTTCATGCTCGGGTTCCTGGTCGTGATCAGTAGCAGTATGTTACCGCTTTGCGCCGCGATTGCTGCCTCCCGTCTGCTGACCTAGATCCTTCCTAGTCATCCGTGCTATTTACGCCTGGAAAAATGAGCAGATGATCACCTGCACCGTGTCGATGGTTGAAACCACCATCGCCATCATCGCATCTTGTCTTCCCGTCATGCGCACACTGTTCTTCGGGTCGAAGTCGCGCACGGGTACCTACAGTGGCGGACGGGGATACGCACTGTCCAGCTCTGGACATATTGGGGCGGGAAAGCAGAAGAGTACCGTTTCGGCGTCGAACATCGGGGTGCGCAGCAAATCCGGGCTGTCGCGGCATGACTCGGAGGATGAGCTGGTTCGGGAGGGCGCGTCCCCAGCGTTGGATGCACCGAATTCGGGGATATCGGTGACTCGGGAGTATTTTGTGCACGAGGGGATGCGGGACACTGAGAGTTTGCGTTGAGGAAGTGAGTGCTCTAGATTTGCATCACTGGACATCCCAGCCAGGAGTTGAGACAAAAATTGTCGCGATTGCTGTAATTACACTGGTAAATTCAAACCAGAAATACTGAAGTAATGTATAACTATAGGTTACAATGGAGATACGAAGGATACATTATACCATCGTGCATACCTAATACTGGAAGAGTGACCTTGAGATGGACTGAAACCTAGTCATCCATCCCATACACTGTCAAGTCGGGATGCATCCCTGGAAGCGCATACACGGCGTTCTGTGCCCCTCCGAATAGCTTCAACTTTCTCTCTCCTCGAAACTCCAGCCCGATTTTCTCCAAAACACGACGACTGCGCATGTCTCTTCTGGAACAAAACCCAAGGACCCCCTCTACACCCAGCTGGCGCCGAGCATAGTCGATCAACCCGATCGTTGCCTCGGTGGCATATCCTTGGCCACTGGTATATCCCACGGCTGGCTGGTGTATGCATTGGGCGGCTCGCCTTTCATCAGTGAGACAATGCTGATCATCTTGCTCTCGGCTAGCGATGCCTCCGGATAGGGCTCCAAGGACACCAGCATCTGGCCAGGTTTGTTCCGGTTGTAGTCAGCTTGGACCTGGGTTGCGATAACTCAGCGGCCTTCTCGGGCGTGTCGATGCCGGTGTTGCCTTCCGTTGGATGAAATCGTCGGTGTTCCAGATGTGGTGAAGGAACGTGCTGTGGGTGGGATTGCCTGTTTGAAGGTAGGAGATGTGCAGCGTTGGGTGGGAATACTGAAGGATGGGGGAGAAATGGGCACCCAGGGTATAGTGGAAGTACATGAATATTGGAGGCCAACAAGGGAATTTTAGGGACTTTATATTATCTTAGGCAATTATGTGAGCCAGAGAAGGTCATTAAACTAATTGTTAGTTCAACAATTACCATCCAATTAGCCACGGACTTCACCATCGATGTGCGGGGTTCAAAAACAAACAAATGCTAAAAATAATACTTACTACCAATATAGGCAGTTACTATGCCTAATTATGAAGCATTCAGGAGAGAAGCCCGTTGATTCGTCTCTTTCAATAAAACTTGATGGATTTGTATATCTATATTCATAACCAGATCTATCTAAAGGAAACTGATGACTATGACGAGTACTTCTAGATCAGGCTGGTGAACTTTTTGACGACCTGGATCTTCCTCTCGCAGGCCGCGTCTCTCCATGTCTGATGCTCACGGCCCGCGAATGTAAGGCTCCCCAGCGCGGAGAAAGCGCAAGACCAGCACCGTCCAGCGATGGAGGGCGCGGTCGCTGGCGAACCAATTCTGCACCTCGAAGTTCTCCTGGAAGAACCCGATCTCGGCAAAGCTGTAGAAGGCGTTCCACGGGAGATCGGGCCCGTTGCGTACTGGTAGATCCAAGGCTTGGGGGTGTGCAGTCGCTGCTTGGGGATGTGGTCGTGCACATGTCGCAACTGCTGCGAGCCCGGGTTCTGCATCGTCTGGGTCGATCGCATGGGCAGGGGATTGATGGGACCATCGCCGCCGAACGCGACGTCCATGGCGTATCGCTCGTCGCCGGGGAGATGGATGATATTGACGATGTGCATCCTAGCAGTCAGCTCCTATACTATCTAGTCGGCGGGGATCAGAGATGTATAGATAAACATATATACATACAACCCTTGGTATTCCCCGTGGGAACCCCGTTCGTGCGCGCGGATTCCAGTCATGTAGACGTGAAAGCCGAGAACGCGCAGGATATGATGGAAGAAGATGCTGAATTCCATGAAGTAGCCACCACGACCCTTACGGCCAGGGGGTTGCCGTCCCATCAGTTTCCGGTAGAGAACAGCCAGGGATGTCGACGCGATGGGATGGAGAGTAATGCACCGAGATATTCTCATAGGGGAAGGTGGTGATCTGGGCGTGGAATAGCATATGCAGGGATTCGGGGCGTTTAGGGATGGTCGTTGGGGTCTCGAGATAGGCGGCATAGGAAGGAGGGGGGGGGGGGACATGGCTGCAGGCAGTTGGCGATCTGGTCCTTGGAACAGGCAGATTATTGATCTATGATTCTATCTACATCTGTCCTGGATAGTGAAGACTTGAGACCAAAGATAGTCTCAATTGAACCCCGGATTGATTGGGCGGCAGTGCGGAGAGACGAGGCTAACGGTTGAATTTGTCAGCGATATTATTTATATATATCTTTATATTAAGAGAGAGAGAATAGTATTATTTTCCATTTAATAAAATGGCAAACCCCGCTCTGCTGGCTTTGCTCTTCCTGGCTCCAGTCTCCCTGGTGGCCACCATCTGTCTTCTGTATAGCATCACAACTCTCTCCTCGAAAACAAATACTAACTAGATAGGGCTCGTATCCATCGTCGTCGCTATCCGACCGAGAATTATGCCCTCCGACTCATACGTCCCCCCGACCCCGAAGTTATCCATCATAAGATCCAAGCCGCAATGACGTGTGAGGAGGTCCAGCGTATATTCCCCATCGTGGAGTACAATATTTGGAAAAGTCAACGCACGCAGGATAATAAGGTAGAGGGTTCAGAGAGAAAGGAAGAATCACCAGGCTCCGAGTCCCAGACATGCGCTATCTGCGTCGACCAGTTCGACGCCAGCGAGAAGATCCGACCCCTGACCTGCGGACACATCTTCCATCCAGCCTGCATCGATCTCTGGCTCACCAAACGACAGGCCTGTTGTCCCCTCTGCAAGACCGTCTTCGTCGGACGCGACATGCCACAGATGCCTGCGACGGCCGTGATTGCAAACGAAAGGCCACCCATCCCTCCGTGAAAAACCTCTGGATAGTAGTAAGCTCACAGCGCGGAGCTGTATTACTTTTCCCGAATCAGCTCGGACTCAAATCCTCCTGGAGTCCGGTCACGCATGATATCATACCATCGCTCGTCCGTGTCAAGTGCAACTCAGGACTTGAAAGAAGTTGGTTCCGTCAATATCTCCATTGTATGCGGTTGTGGCCTGGAGCAAAGCATTACAGAGATGAACCTCGACGTAGATGACCATTCTAGTCTAGAAGTGTCGGTTGGCACTATATCAAATACAATGTATTTAATCACCGCAGCTGTTGGGTACAGATAAATCCAAGATCAATCCGCCAGTGGCAAACTGGACCAAGCATCGCGCCAGTCCTGAGTGTCCGACTGTTCGGGCCATATCCTGCTCATAATCGTGCGATCTGCAAGACGCGCCCCTTGTAACGTGCCCCATTTCTCCAGCATTTCTCTCTCCAGTCGTCTTTGCTCCTTGTCCCTGCGTTCTCTGATTTCTCGTCCGATCTCGGTAATATCCACTTCGTTCCCGTAGCCTTTCCAATCGACCTGCAGTCGGCGAGCCATGTGCGTCACCTTCTCCTCAATGGAGTAGGAGACATCGGCGCAGAACACGTGCGGATGAAGGATCAGACGCTGAAGGATCTCCCGGTGGGATGGACACGATACAATCGTCTCCCAGATGGCCCGAGCCAGTTTGGTATCGATGGCCGCATTGATCAATGCGTCGCGAATGTGAGCCGTGCACCACTCATGAGGTCGGAGGGGAGCGCCGAGGACCGGGGCATTAATTGCGCTCTTGTTCCCGCAGGCGTCGTTGTAAGACAATCGGTCGTACTCGTCCAGCGGTCCGTCGAGATTCTCGACGCTGCGGAGCGGCTCCATCGAGTAGAACAGATGAATGTACACCTCTTTCAAGGCCGGAAACTTCCCCAGAGCCTCGTAGCAGGCGGTCTCTCTTCGGTCCCCCTTGGATCGATTCATGATTAGGTCCAGTTGCTCGACGTGGGGACAGCTCTCTCCGATCCACGAGATCTCGGTAGCAGTGAGGACCATGGATTTCACCACGTTGAAAAACGTATGCATCACCGCACGAGGGTGAATCCGCAGCTCCCGTAATGACGGCCCGTGTCTCTTCAGGATTGTCTGGAGTAAGGGCATGTTAATCAGACCAAACAGACGTAGTGTCTTCAGGGGCGGAAGACTGTTGAAGAACATCTCCGCCGGAAGCCGGTCCTGCGCCGTGCTGCATGGGATGGCCAGATGTATCGCCAGCTTTTTCAGGGACCTGAAGCACCCCAGTTCCGTCGCTTTTGACAGAACGTCTGTCCGGGAAACATAGTTCAGGTTCAACGACTGCAGCGTCGACAAATCCGTCCTCCGATCCCATTCGTCCAGCGTTTGCGAATCCATCCCTACTTTCGTTCCCGACGTCGTGAGACAGGTCAGAGTCGCCTTTTCGCGGACTCCTCCGGCCGGAATGGGAGGGACGAAGCCGTTCCAACGTTTTGCCTTCGGATCAGACCTCCGTGCCTCACTTTCCTCGGTGATTAGGTGTGAGCATTGTTGAAACCGGAGCTGTTTCAAATGCGGCGCGAGTTGAACCGTCTCGATCACGGCCTCTTCGTTATAGTCTTCCTGGATGTCGTCCTCGGAGAGACTTCGTACATACCGCACGGTCAGACCATGTAAACAGGGCGAGCGGATCAGATCGCGCTCGAAAGGATCCGTCTCGGGACGCTGGAGACTGTGGAAGCGAAAGGTGTCGAGGTTCAGCTTGCATGCCGGATGATGCATGTGCAGTGCCTCCAGTAAGCAGGGAGGGAACTGATTCACGCAGGAGTAGTTCAACACGACCAGGTGCTGAAGATGGGTAATGAGCGTCGCAAGCGGTGCCCAGAATGCGCTGGTTGCGCTTTCGTAGGACTCTTGCTCATCACCGTCGTTGGTGAAGATGTCCTTGTACGTTGGTTCCAGTTCTGCTGCCGAGCAGATATCGGTTTCTTGCGTCGCGAGGCCATCCCAGTACTCGATTTCCAGCCTGGATATATTCTCCTCGTCTTCGGGACTGTTCGGCAGGCGGAAGATCTGTCCTCCTAGATTTAATTGTCGCGCGTAAGAGAGACATTGCCGTCGGAGTGGGTGATGAAATATCTCCTCGACTGTACGCTCCAGCTGCTTGCCCGTCGTAAGTCGCAACGACAGTGAGGAATAGATGAATGGGACGGCGGCATGATAGCAGCTGCTGTTCACGAGAGCCAGTACATGGACTATCCGGGGACAGTCCTCCCAGAGCTATCAGTTTATTAGACTTGACCATCCTATTGGTTGCACAACACTCACCAGGCCACAGATGGAGCTCAAGATCGGGGATGGTAGGCGATTCATTTCGATCCGGATGATTGAGTCACGGAAGAGATACTAGGAATCATCTAGCCGAATTTACGATGGCCAGAGTCCTAGTGCCCGCTAGTGCCCTTCCAGAGGGAACACGAGAAGAATACAAATACAGTACAAGTGACCCGATTCCCAGTGTTCATGGAATTCCAGTAAATGCTACACATCCTCTTCCTCCTTCTCATGTGGAACGCCTAGACCAGGAGATAGTCAGCAATATCTGGCTTCTCCCGAGCACACTCCGCCAGCAAATCTCGATCCAAGCTTGTAATGTCCGACCCACTGAATGAGATGCTTTACCGATTCCAGGTTCCCCGCGACGATGCAATCGTCAGCGGGGTTTTCTTCCCCATCATCGACCGCGGTCGCATTGGCTCCATTTCAAGAAGAGCACGAACGGTCTTTGACTCGTCCTCGATTGCGGCCGCGATATGCAGCGTCGTCTGTCCGTTCTCCGTGCGAGCCTCGGTGTCTGCCCCCTGTTGCAGGAGTGTTTCGACAAACAACCATCCGCCGACAATGTGTGCAGCGATATGAAGGGGACCATAGCCACGTAGGAAATATGTCCACCGCTCTCCCACTGTCTCCAGCTCCTCATAGGTGACGCCGTCCCGGAAGGGCCAGGCTTCAGCGGCTTGGAGGCAGGAGCCGATCGAGCAACGATGGGACGCGAATCGTAGAAACGCGCCCACGACTTTTTGCGGCTGACACAGCTCTGAGGTATACACCGGCACCATTCGCGCTGCAAGCGGAAGGAAAGGATGGGTTTGAAATCGCTGCTTCAGACCCACTGATGACAGATATGCGCCAGCCTGGAAATCCTCCTGCGACAAATAGCACATTAAAGCCTGCAGCATTGTCTCGTTGGCATTACCCTGGGGATCCTCTCGTAGATAGTTCTGCAACAGTGGCCGTCGGATTCTTATCTCCGGGGTCTGCGCGTGAAGGGAGATGAAGCCACGGCAAACGGCCTCTACATCCGCAGCCGTGTAGCAGTCGCTGTCTTTAAGTACGCCGAGTGCGGGCAGGATGTCTGCTATTGCGAATGTCGTAGGATGGTGTCCAATCTCTTCTAGCCCGGCAATCAAGCGCAGGACCTGCTGAACGACATGTCCGCGTTCTACCTTTTCATTGCAAATACACTCAGTGCTGTAAGCTTAGTCGAGGCCGGTGCGCTGGTCAGAACCTGGAATAGCTCCAGTGTCTCTGACAACGTGAAACTTTGGAGCAGGCCTGTTCGCGCAGGAAGCGGTGCATATCTTCCTGGTCAGTACGATACTATCAGATCAATGTCACATCAGGTACCTCCGTCCAGCATTCGGACAACATCCAACATGTTCTTGTCGGCGATCTCGGCCATTTCAGGCGCATCCTGCCGATCCGATTGGGGTGCTGTATCATGCAGAATGTAAGCCTTGAGGTCATCGTCCTCGCCCTTGTTGCGATGTGTTGTAGGTTGTAGGACACGAGAGATTTCAGTGCTGTATAGCGGCTTGTTATGAGAATATGTAGGCGTACGTGTTGGACATCGTCGCCGGCCAGGCCAGTCAGCATATCTTTCAATGCCGTTTCCGACGCATCGACGCCAACGAATATAATAAAGGTAGAGCTGAATGGTGCAGTGATCAGATTCCATAGTCCGCCTGAATTTCCCTTTTCAAGGGCCGGGAAACGGGAGTAGTTCTCGACCAGTTTGAGGGTCTCCGAGGGGACCTCGGGCAGCTGAGCCACGAGCTGTCGGGCTACCGAGCGAAACGTAAAGCCGAAATCAGAAACGTTATGCTAGCAATGGTGGCTGTCTAAATAGAACACTGCTGTGGCGGTTGATTAGTTTTTGTGAGCGAATATGGTCCAGAACGAGGGAGCTGATGAGCGTTTTTCCTGTTGCCGCTTGACGAATGTTAGAGAGACAACTCCATGTGCCTGATCATTTACGTACAGGGTCCATGAGTCCAGAGCAGCTGGCCAGAGCCGTTGATCCATTCCTGGGTGTGCGCTCTCTGAGAAACTAGCATCCGATAGTGCCAACTCGTTCACGGCTTAGGCGTTCCTGTGTCTCGGCTGAACTGTCACCGGGACAGAGTCGAAAGAACTCCTTGATGATTCAACGACACGTAGGGCGGGGACATGGATGTAAGTCTTGAGCCAGCCCTTGGCTGTGATTCTTGTGAGCCGATGACTTAGTATAAGCAACAACCTGTGACTTAAGCGTAAATCGTTACTAGTTAGTTACAGTTTTCCTCTTTCGAAAATGTCGATTCCACATTCAGCTTTTTCATTCTGGATAGACTCTTATACGCTATGAGCTGTAAAGCTTACCCTTGGTCGTCTATGTGCTAAGTAAAGACAGCAACCCACACTCCCATCATTCCTTAGTACATATATTGATACCACCAACCGGGTCGAATTGGCATAAAAATGAACCGGGATTCAAAGGCACGAGACAAATAACGTGCTGCATTCAACTCTGGTGGACTATCAGCACCGAGGTTGTTTCTCTGCCTTCGCTAAATACAGAACCAAGAGAGGTCTGACCGTTCTCTCTCCACTCTTCATATCCTTTCGACGTCTAACGCTTCAAATTTCTCTCTATTGGCTCTCTTCTTCCACGGACGCTCCGGTTCTTTCAGACGCCGGCCCAGGAAAGTCTGTGCGAAGAGTTCAATGGGCGTCTCATTTGGATTACTGAATTTATAAAGCTTCGAGTGACGGAAGATGAGCTTCTCACGTCCATGGAGGCGTAATGGACCCTGTCCTGCTGTTCCAACAAATAGGAAATCAGCAGGACGGGGAATCTTCTTTCATTGCGGATAAATTCTTCTCATTCACTTGGATTCAATCTATCTTGGCAAGCTGCGTCTAGCGAGCATTCCCTTCTGTCGACTATCTATGTCATCCGGTCCGTAATCACCGCCGCAGCCCAGCCTACGGCAGCAAAGGTTGCGAACGCTTTTAGCCGTGTGGAGCTTGTCTGTTTTTCCTTCGGCTTTTACGTCCTGGGGACCGTGGAGGAGGCAGTCTCGCAGAACGTATCCACATATTCCAGGGGTAGTGTTCTGTATCAAGTAGGCTCAGCATGATCGTCGGCTCGCCGCGGTCTTGTGACGGATATCACTTCCATTCTGCCCCATCTGTCTTTCAGCTATACTCCGGTGCTGTCGTCCCTCATTGCCACCTGAGTGAGTGGTAGCATCGCGGATGCGGTGCTCCAGGTGACGGATTGGCACTGGAGGCTGGGATGTGGTGTATCATCTATCCAGCCTGTGCGCTGACCCTAGTTCTCAGCCTGTGGGCAATAACCCGCCGGATCAGTAAGCAGGGAGAAAGGCAGGATCACTCTCCTTCCTCGTTCAGAAACTCGGTGTCCGTGGGTCGGTAGTAGAGCTTATCCAGATGCTAGCCATTGTGGGCACTATCCCACTGATTGCCATCTGGTCGCTGATCCCCGTTCTACTGAGCTAGCGGCGGCTTCCAACAGCAATGGCGCAGTTTTCATGTCCTCGTGCCTCTCGCCATGAGCGTAGTCTGCATTCCCATGTTCGTTGTGCGGGAACGGCGGGCCCACCGGCCTTTGCTCTCATGGCTCCGTTGAAGGACCGTTCCGTGTGGGCACCGCTGGGGATTGCCGTCTTCCGGAGCTTTTCTCTTCATGTGTAGGTATCTATACACTGTGCTGGTCGTCGCGTTCAACTTTGTTGTAGATGCGGCCACTTGGGTCCAAGGCCTTTTCTCCATAAATGTTTTGATTGGCTCGATCGTTGCTCTTCGGGTCTACAAATTGCGTCAGTTAAAACGGATATTCTGGTGGGTACAATAATCAACATGGTTGCATTTGGCTTCTTGATCCGACATCGCGGATCGCCGTCTGGTGATTGCCCGGTGGGCCTCATCGTGGGCTAGGTCCTTCTTGGAGTTGGATGTGCGTTCTTCTCGTACTCTGCGCAGGCCTCGCTGCAGGGTGGCCTCCAACACGAGCACCCGTCGGTGATGACCGGCTTCTACCTTGCTCCGATTAATATCGGGTCCGCACTGGGAAGCATGACCTCCGGCTATCCGGACCCATGCCCTACCGCATCCCCTGAGCAAGAACCTTGCGGGACGTTAACTCCACTCTGGCCATCTCGGCTAATGATAACCTATTCGGCGCTACGGCCGAGTGGCGTATAGGTACTCCGGAACGAATGGCCCATCGTTAGCTCCTACCAGCATGTTCAGTAGCTATTAACCACGACGGGAATTTGCCTGTGTTCCAATCCTGCTATTTGGGACGGCGACGCGAAATCCGAGACTGAACGACGAACAAACATTGGCGGGAGGGAGTAGGAGTTCTGTTGATGAGCAAAACAACTGTATCTCACAAATGTATCTCTTCGATCCTTGTTTAGTGAGATTATCAATGAACTGGCTACAAAGGCACCACCGCCCTAGAATAAGTATATTTCTTGATATATTTCACCGATCAAAATAGTCGTCGTTGCTAGGCAACTAGAAATGGCCCCCAAGATGACTCAATCCAAAGCTAGTTGCCTACGCTGCATTTCCCCTCTCTAGTTTCACATAATCCTTTCGTGGCTGCGTTTGTCACTTTGGGAACTAATAGAATTTATAGTACTGAATAGGGGCCCTCAAGATCCTTCTTCTCACGCGAGAGGATTTGCCCGAATGCTTCGCAGCAGCTCAAGACGCATTCGTCCGGTTCAGTCGGCTGCTCTTTCAGCCTTACCCCCTATCGGATGAGTCCACTGAGCTCATGATCAGAAGCCGGATCCAAGCCTTTGAGGACAAGCCCGATGCACGACGGCTCAAGGCTATCGACACGGAAATGAGCGTGATTATGGCGGCGGCAGAGTGGAGTGTCTACCTTGAGGCTGAGATTCTGTACAAGAGCAAGGAGGAGGTGGCTGAAGCTAGGCTGGAACCTCGCGTGCCCGAACTGCGAGAAGATATCTCGCGGGCTTATTATATCACGATGAATCAGGAGAAGCACGACGTCATAGGGAGCGAGGAAGATGGAAGGTGATGAAAATTGAAGTGTCGTGTGCAGTTGCATACCCTATTCACGCATCCAAACGACCAGAGAAAAGGCGCTGCGAAAGCTTTGTTGCAGAAGTGCATCCTAGAAGCAGATAGTCTGGGCTTGATTGTATATCTCGAAGCAACCCCGCATGGATGGCCTCTCCATGAGAAGTTTGGATTCGAACCGGTCAAATCCGCGACATTTGATGCGGCAAGAGTGGGAGGGGATGGGACACATCACTATACGGTATGCCTTGGTAGAACCGTGAAGATGTACAGTTGGCTCACTGCAGTAGTATATGGTGAAGATACCGAAGATCCCGTGGTCGAGCTTTTCGGAATGGTCGTGGTTCACATGGAGGTGACTATTCTCTGTCCCACCGTGTCAGTAATTCTGTCTTGAGTTCTCAATCCTTTCCGATATTAAAATATCTGCTTTCTTGTGGATTTGGAATGCAGTTTCATCGTTATTTCTGGAGATGGATTTGTCCATGGTAGCTTTTCCGAAGCCCTCTCACAGTATGATACCAAGAGCAATAGAGACGAATAACCACGCACTAGCTGGTAATGCAGGCATCTCTCACGAACGATAATGTAGAGTCAGTATTCTGAGTCCCACCGGTGTAAGATATTTCCGCCGCCCCAAGAGATCTGAAATTGGGCGGAACCACCGGCCGGACTTCAGCATTGGAACACCCCGCTTGTTTCACTATCCGTAAATGCAAGCTCAAAGATGGCCTGGTCGGAGAAAATCAAATCCATGCTGGCAGCTTTCGCCCCCTCGAAGAAGGCCACATCCAGACCCGAGGATCAGAGCGCTTCGGAGGCAGGCCCTCAACGTCGGCAGATAAGTTGGTTCCACGACGAGGAATGGACGGATGACGACTCCTACGATGCACTGACGGAGATTGCGGTACCAGAGCCCGTGGAGAGACATCATGCAGAGGACCTGAGGAGTCGTCCGTCCCTGGAACAGCGACTTTCGAGCATCTCCCATTCTAATCCGGATGCGGAGGCAGCCTGCGGGGCTCTGAGCGAGGTTGCAACGCCGGAGCCTGTGGAACGCCTCTCTGAAGAGGAGTTAAGACACCATCCTTCCCTGGAGAAAAGACTGTCCAGTGCCTCACATCACCATCGTCGTCGCCGATCCAGTGGAGGTTCCGCTCCTGAGACCCGCGCTGTGGAGTGAATTACGATGCTATTCTGACATCGTGCAGTTACTGTATCCTACAAGATAGAATGTACCATCCATTCCTAGCGATCTCTGCCGGCATTGAAAAAATTCTACGACGGAAGCCTGACAATACCAATACGTTCTATGTACTAGACCAAGAGAAACCCTCATATAGTAAAGGGACACCTTAACCAGAAAACTCCGTTTCTCTTTCTACATATCCTCCCTCATCTGCCCGTAGTTCATTAGTCATCGTATGTTTGTGCATTTGTTCTGTGTTTGAACCGAGATCCTATGTTCGAGGGCCAGAACCGGTAGGTGGCAAGTGACGCAAACCCCAATCTTACCGGCTCTCACGGGGGAGTGGCAAGAGCTACGTCATCAACATCACCAGATCCTCATAAGTAACTATTGAGTCCGTCCGGCGAAAAGGTTGATTCATCGAGATACACGTCCCACCTCTTACCCAGAGAATATTATGTAAAGTGAACAAGCGATCCTCGACATGGCGATAACTTTACCAACCGGGCAGCGATCTCCCATGAGGTGAGTATTCGCCGACAAGTCAATACAGATGATAGATTTGCACTCACGCATTTTGCCCTCGCAATGACTAGGCCTACAAATCCGACGACGCTCTTTAGCGTCGCCGCTGGAGCCGCTGCGGCATGGGTCCTCTACCGATGGTATTCGCCCCCGAAGCCCGACCAGGAAGGACTTCCATTTCCTTATGAAGATGCGGAGCGCGACGTCCAGAGGAAAGCAGAGACATCGAAATCGCCCTCTGGCGCCGCCAAAAATACTCAGTAATTGTACAGTAGTTTGGGTGAAACTGGGAAAACTGCATAATGCGGTGGATTCAAATGCAATCACAGTGTTTCTGCATGTGCAAATCAACGGATTTAGTAACTAAGGTTACTGAGAATACCATTATTTCTGGTTATAAGTAAAAGGAAGAGAGTAGGAAAATATCATAATGCAAGCTACTAAAGGTCTAGGATAGTGGGGAATGCAGAAATATTATAACATGCACCAGATAGAGTATTATGCAGAAGGGCCCACAAGCTAGGCAATATATGCGTGTTATATGTTGGTAGGCTAGAACTCCAGATCTTATCACTAGACGAATATGGCGGGGCAGACAAAGGGCCTTTTTTTTTGTTTTTGTTTTTGTTTTCTTTTCTTTTTGATAGGGATTATTTGCCATAGTATTAACATTGTTGGTGAAAGTTACTGCCTTGCTTCGAGGGTACAATCCTTGTCCTAGGCGTGCTTGGCTTCTTTGCTACCTTGATTCGTTAACTTATATGAGAGGGCATAAATCCGCCTAGAAAGTATTTACATACTTTATCAACGAAGCCCACCGGCCGTCACAAGGACCGTCATTCTTTATTGGCTAGATTGGCCCCGTCTTTGCGTTCGTTAGGGGTGACGCTGCGGTACATGTAAATGGGATTACACTGATTTTGATTTTAGGCTATTACTGACGGCTCGGTTTCAGATGGTAGAAGGGAGGACAGACGCGACCGTTGGCGTGCCCATGAGTCTAATGTTCACCGTAGTAATCAACGGATCCTTGGGATTCGGCATGTTGATCGCTCTATACTTTTGTCTGGGTGATATTGAAACATCTGAAAACTCCCACAGGGGTAACCGTTTCTAGTTATATCTTACCAGACAACGGGGTCTGTGGCTGGTAAAGCTGCTGCAGGTTCCTTTACCCAAGGCATGGCTTGTTGCACTACAGTCGGCATGCCCGCATCAGCGTCACGACAGTTCAGGTCCTTCTCTCGAGATCGGAGGATCCCCAGATGGCGAATATGGAGTAAGGTATGGAGATATAGTTAACTTAGTCTCTATCTTCATCATGAGGGCTAATTCATCACCAGGTAACCAAACATACGGCAATCCCAACATATACCGTTCTCGTCACTTCTACCGTCGGCTGTCTCCTCAACCTTATTGATGTCGGCTCGGGGGTTCTGCTCTGCCGCCGCTGTACAGGCGGAATCGGTGACTTTACTGGTAGCTGCGGATTGGGATGATCAATACCGCAGGTGCTAAGCTTGACTCGGGTCCTTTTCGCCTTCCGGGAATCTGGGATATCCTGGTCAATATTTTCTCCCTGGTCTACGTGCTCATCGCTACCTTTTCAGTTTTTGGCTTCCGATCAACGATGTGAACGGTGGGACCATTCTTCTGATTATGTTGTGTTATTCTTTTGCGCGACGGTGTACCTGAGTGGGGCCGGTGATCAAGATATTGTCAGTGGCGCTGACTTTAAAGTAAAACTTGCTGGATCTAGGGCTGGTAGCTCGATCTATAGGGTATCCACGCTGACTGATATTAGTAATGTTTTACGGTGCAGCGAACCTGTCATCAATGTATTTTCCCGCAGACCCGCATGCAGGATGCAGGCTAAATCTGTCTGACTTGTCACTCGCTATTTAGTCTCTGATGATTCTTCTTACCCCTCATCTTTGCCATCACCCCGCAGCAGCGTCAACGCCGAAAATTAGTAATTAGGCATTCGATTTGTGTCTGCGTGTTCTCTGGTTAGCTTTCGAACTAGAAACATCTCAAAATGCTCTACGTTGTTTCATACAGCCTAAGAGTTATTCTAGTCCCAGTCCTACTCGTGGCCAGTGTAATTACTGCTGCAGAGCCCGTGCAATACTGCCGTTTCGGCCATAATATCCAGAGCCAAGATGCGGACGTCGACTTTTGCCTGGGCGTTGCAATGCACCAGAATGCCTCGTCGAAGAATTATGACATGTACCTGACGATGACGGTCACCCGGAGCTCATCTCTTGGATGGACTGCAATTGGCACCGGATCATCCATGGCCGGCTCGCTAATGTTTATCCTCTACGGCGACCCGTACGCCAACGAGCCCCCAACTGTGAGCATCAGAACTGTTGAGGGGCATCACCAACCGCAGCTCGTCTCCCAGGCAGATATGGGAGCGGCCGACGTTCGTCTCCTACAAGCTTCCTGGGTGCCCGCTTCCATAGCAGAGAGCGAGCTCTCTACCCGAGGAGCAAGCCCAGTCTCAGTCGCCAAGTTGGCTATCGTCTGCTATTCATGTGAACAGTGGCCCGGGGCATCGATCTCCGCGAGTGCCGTTTCACAGCCCTGGATCTGGGCATGGAACGACGAACAGGAGTTCGCCGTGTACTCCCACGACGCACACCTGGATGCGCACAAGCATGATGCGGGCAATGGGGGCTGGGGTCGGTTTTATATCGATATGGCTCGATCCATCAACAAGGAAGTCTATCCACCGTCTTTGCCGCAGATTAGACCACACGTCCGTATTATAGGTGCATCCGATAGCCCTCGAGGGACCGGGTGGATGGGCTGGCTTGGTCCAATTCACGGGCTTCTCTTGGGTACTGCGTATCTAATTCTATTGCCGATAGGGGTGGTTGCTATGCGGTGTGGCTTGGCCAAGTCATTCAAGTATCACTGGATTATCCAGCTTGTCGGTTCCGTCTTTATCTGGTCTGGTGTGCTCCTCGGAATCCTGCAGAGCCGTCGGCTTGACACTACCCATCAGTGGATCGGAATCACCGTCGCCATTTGCAGTCTGGTTCAGATTTTACTCGGTTGGCGTCATCATGTTGTCTTTATGAAAACTAAACGCCGTCAATGGGCCTCCCACAGCCATATCTGGTTGGGGCGAGGATTTCTCATTTTCGGCTGGGGTAACATTATTACCGGGATAGTGCTGGCTGGACATAGCTTGAAGTGGACCGCTATAGCATCCAGTGTGGTCACGGTGGACGCTCTAGTTTTGATCGGCTGCACTTGGGTACTGAAACGGCGCATGAGAGGCGAGAGTCCGCAGGCACCGCATTTGTCTCGACTCCCTCCATGGAAATCACAAAGGGAAGAATATTTTGTTTTAACGGCTGCCGATGAGGATGAGGACGATGATAGATCAAGTCGCGATATCCAGGAGTCTCCCATGCTCACTCGCAAGGATATCGACTAATGCTACGAGGCTGGCATAGGAGATCCCGGGTTGTCCATCTCCGCAGTGGGCTCATTATCTCAGCGTGCTCTGACGCGTAGCCCCTTCTATGTACGGAGTACGAAGTAGTGTCCTACAATATGACATATGCCAATCTGTTCGTGCCTACTAAAGTACCTGTATCTAAGTCTCTAAGCCTCCAGCTGATCATAGTTGGTAGTAGATGCCTGGGCGGGGAAAAATAAAGCTGAGGAGACGTCGGGGATACGGGGTAGGCTGCCAGTAGGAGTTAGATGATTGTTGACTAGTAGATATATGTGTTGGAAGATCATTCACTCTATCCTCTTTACTAAATCTGTATTATGTAAACTATTTTTTGACTAGTTAAACATGGTTTGCTTAACTGCTCAGGCGGCGTTCCTGTAACAATTCTATTCCTTCATCGATAGGTAGACTTATTGCCAACCCGCTGTATTGAACCTACCACTCTTTACGGATCAAATGATGGTATGTTGAATCTGTGGAATTGCCGATTCCAGTCTACATCAAAAATTGTTTCCCCAAAAGGCCATCGTCGGCCTCTCTTACCTAATTCAAAAATTCGGAAAATACAGGCAAGACGGCTTAGTAGTAGTGCTGGAAGAGCCACTTGCAACTGGTGCTGTTCCAACTGACTGGCTCCTCAGGTTGATAAGAAGACGCTTTCTGGTGTCTTAGTAGTAAACAAATCAGGCCTGGGAGCTGGCGTTCGTAGCGTCCAATGCAGCCGAGATATTGATTTGCTGATTCCATATAGCGTCTACGCCTGGAGGACAAAGGAATAAAGCCATTTTCGATAGGACAAGCATATGTATGCCTAGCAGCTCTGCTCCTTCTTTCCTGTCCCTTGTACGCTCAATCGAAAAGAGTCTCCCCGGCATGAAGGAGAAACACCCGTGTCTCCCGTGCAAGGGGTAAAAACAGAAAAACTTTTCCATGACGACACGGATCCCAACCAGGACATATTTCTGTACGTACACCTGTCTCTACAGGATGGCAAACTACTAACCACCAACTCGGAACACAACAGGTGATGTGGAACGGCCCGGAAGACCCAGAAAACCCGCTCGACTGGACGAGAAGGCAGAAGTGGGGGATTACTATGATCACGTTTTTCGGTGGCTTGGTGACATTGATGAGCGGGGTATACTGGTACCGTCCCTGGAGGAGATATACATAGAGGCGAGCTCGGAAACGACCAACAAATTGCTCTCGATATTTGTCCTGGCCTTTGCGTTTGGGCCTATGGATCTGACGCCGCTCTCGAGGTGTACGGACGCCGAGCTGTGTGGATTATTGCCTCGGCCTGGTATGTGCTCTGGAACACGATCTGTGGTTTTGCGAACAACAAGGGTTTGATGCTGGCGGGACGGATTTTATCGGGTCCTGGGACCAGTGCGTAGTTTGTAGTATGTATTCTCCCTTTTGCTTCAGTTAAGGCAGTACCTGACGTGCCACAGTGATACCAGTCCCCGGGGATTGTTGGTGACCAGAGTAACGCGGATATTCCTTCTCGATTGCAACCTTTGTGCTGCTGTCGGGCCAGCACTGTGGGATCCATTCTCGGCGGCGTAATCAGACATAGCATCGGCTGGAGGTAGCTCTACTAGGTCTTGTCTATTTTTAATGGCCCTGTCGTCATCTATCCGAACTGGTTCTTGTTTTGGTTTGGTGGTTATTTATTTGGTGACAGATTAGGTTACCGAGAACTCAAAGCTAGTATAGACCGGCCGGGATAATACTCGTTCGGCTACGATTTGTATATACGCTACTTATGAACAATATTTAGTGGTATTTATATGGGGTTGCGGACAGACGAATAGTTCGCTCGAACAAGACGGTTTCTAGGGCCATATAATACCCAACAAGTGTATTTCCATAGGCACTGCTATCTTACTGCTCTCTCTTAACAGCATGGTTTCAAAGGCAGCCTGATAGTTACCAGGGGCGCCCATGACTATAACTCAACATGCATCTTATTCTGGCACTGTTAATCAGTGGTGCCGCCAACTATAATCCTCCGCCCAAATCGTCGCACTGCTCCACTCTCGTTCCAAATCTAGCGTTCAGGAAAGTGGAAGCACGGATTGGCACTTGGACCCTACCGTGGCATGGGGATGAACCCACAAGCACCCTCGATTTAGCCCAACAAGGCAGCTTATTGTGAAGAATCCTTAACAACCCCCTATTACGTCGAAAGGCGCTCTCACATGGCAAGTACGCTGGAAACTGGGATGCTAGTGCAGGTTAGACAGGCAGTTAACCAAGATTCTAAGAAAAAAATCCGCTCGAATACTAGGAAGTTGAATGTTACTTACAAAGCATATATGCACCTCTTCTATCTTCCTTCAGCCAACGGTACCCGGATGAAAAATTGTCAGAGGTGACGTAGTGCGCTCTTATGATGCCAGTTACCAACCTCGATCGCCACACGGATATGCCAAGTTCCAAGCCATTGAAGTTCCGAAGGGTACTATATAGGTTCCGTCGCGATATAACACCTTCCCTACAGTGGAGCTGATGAGATAGGCCTTCGGAATGCGTCAATCAAATGGAAGCATCTCTCGATGTGTGCAGCAGTTGGTCGATGGCCGGGGGACATCGCGAGCGTTTCTCGCACGAGGGCCATCAAGTGCTGGTCGGTGAGGGACCGCACTGTCGTGCCACTGAAGTTGAACCAGCGCAGGATGGAGTTGAGATTCGTCTGGACAGAGCTGTTCTTTTCGGGTTGGAGTCCCGTCACATAGCTGAGAGGGTAGTTGTTGCACAACCCGATTATCTCGAGAAACACACAGCCAAGAGAGAAGATATCGGCAGATCGACCGCTGGGCTCATACACGGCTACCTCCGGGACAAAGTATTTCAGAGTCCCTCGTTTGCCATTCTAGGTAACTATCTGGGAGGACTCAGGGAAGTCCGTTGACGTGCCAAAATCCGCAACCCACAGCCCCGTCACAGCAGGACGTTCGGTAGCTTTAGATCTTTGTGTCAGATAGACTGCGATTGCAGGTATGCGATTACACTGGAGATGCAGCCAATGCTCCGCTTTAGCCGAGAGACCACTGCCTGTCGTGCGAACTCCGAACTGTGGGGTCCATCAATCCCCAGCTGATCGAGATGGTGTGCGAAAGAACAATCGTCAGCCTTATTTCCCACACCAGAAGCTGCTGCATCCACTGAAACGAGGCTGTCGAAGTGCTCGAGAAAAGTTTCCAGATCGCACACGGCTACCTGCCATAGTAATAGCCTCCGCAATGGGCCATGGATATACGTCCGATCAGTTTGATTATATGGCGATGATTCAACTTCTTTACAATCTCCATTTCCTCAGATCCTTGGCCTCGATGCGCCTTCGGCAGTACCGACGTTTCCTAGCGAGCACCCATCCCAGGCACGTTGTCTCATACACCCCCCCCTGCCGCTTACCCCATGGCCGAGGAATCGGCCCTGCGCCAGTGGTACAGCATCGTCAGGACTGAATTGCACATGGAGACTCCATAGCGGGCACAGTGTAGGCCTCCATATCCGACCTCAAGGGTTGACATGCTAATTGTAGCCCAAAGAAGAAGGATACATTTATAGGCGGAGGACGTTCATACAGTGACGGTTGACAGCACCTGCACCTCCACGTCAGAGACAGAAATATATACCAGGTGTGAATCCTCTCGCACCCATACCCAATCCGATAAGCTGCATAGACCCCCATAAAAACTTCCCCGCATGGGCATCATTCTCTTCCCATGCTTTTTGTTCGGGGTTTGGTGGTACCTGACGCCTACCTATATTTATGGACACCCACAACATACATGGTCACCAATTATACGGACACTGTGTCTCTAGGTAGCTTCGGAATGGGGGGTAATTTCACTAACTTTTCAGTTATTTTCCTGATATGTAAAAGGTAAGCACGCTCCACAAGGAACCACTTATTTTAGTTCGGCGTCCATTAACAACGAGTGAATACAGTGTACAACTTTCTTTAGGCAAAGGGCATGCCAACCCAACTGCAATATCTCCATGTACGTATAAAAAAGGAGCAACACCGATTACTCACCTGTGCTGAGGTTGCAAATTCGTCAGAGCACGGCCATACAGCGTGTTCATTCTCGCAGTTAAACACAGGATTACTGCAGGAGATCCATGCACAGAAAAATTATATCCTCGCGGGCTTCTGGAAGGCCCAACACTGATATCATCAGAGTTTCATGGCGAATGAGGACTACGTCACGGATTCTCTACAGCCAACTCTGTCCTCAAACACATTCCAAGAGAGGTTCCCACGGTCCAAACGTGCTATTGAATTGAAGGCACGTAGGTTTGTGGAAGTGGCATGCAGTTACCCTAGGGCATTACGCTGGGCTGTCGTTGATAGTGAAAGGTGCGAACTCCTTGTTGTACAGCTCAGCGTGCTTAATGACTGACTTCTTGTACGAACTCCTGGATGCGAACCACAAACGCTCTCTTCACCAAGCGCATGAACAAACCATGATGCAGGTCCTGTATCTCAATACTAAAGTGGCCCACCTACTGCAAATAGTGCAGGCCAGCGGCATACCGACTTCCCTCTATGCCATTCTATCCAGAGGCTCGCGGTGTTTTCCATCGGCGTCCCAGACGTCCTCACATACGCCCCAGGGACGAGATCCCCAACATATGATGGCTATCCTCGCGCGCTTCAAAACATTGAGAATGTCGATCATTTCGGACCAATATAACACTGAAACTCTGTCCATCTTATTGCCGGAGACCAGGTCCCAGAAGTAGATCCAAGGCGTGATCCGGCACAGTGCTCCATACTTCGCTCCTCACCCACTTTCTACACAGAGGAGGTCAAACATTCTCAGTCTCTACAGTGGAGAGCCGGTCTGGATTGAATGGAAATATTACAACTCGTTTTGGGGAAGCGGCACACCTGAAGCCTCCATCCAGCAATGCATAAGGAACCTTTCTGCTCTTCTCTGTGATCCACAAAGCCGAAAGAGTTTCGCTCTCGTCGTTGTCTCAGTTACTTCAATGACCATGACCGTGACAAACGGGAGAACCGATTCGAATCGACATCCCTTTTCGCAATTCTCCTGGAATGCGACAAGTCCTCCCTGTCCAGCCGAGTCTGCCTGGTGCTTGCTCTGGCCAATGCCATCTTACATCTTCATTCTATCAGTTGGGTCCACAAGGTCATCCGCAGCCACACGGTCATCTTCTTCCGCAAGCCAGGGAATGCAGAGCTTTCCGACACATACCTTTGGGGGTTCGGCCTGTCACGCCCTGCGCAGCAGACCGAAATGACCGAGCGCCCAGACAGTAACCCTTTGTATAATCTCTATCGCCATCCTCTTGCCCATGGGGATGCCGCTACTGCGACTATCGGAGGGTTCAAGAAGGGGTTTACATCTACAGCTTTGGGGTCGTTCTTATGGACATGGCGATGTGGCAGCCTATTCACCATCTGCTAGGGATGCAAAGCCTTGAAGACCAAACATTTCGCCCCCGGCCAGGGTTTACAAAGCGCGTCAGTTCGAAGTTGCTCCAGGAGATGCAGTTCCTCGTATGGTACGCGCGTCGGCGGGGGATGCCTTTGCGGAGGTAGTTCGAGCGTGTCTGGAAGGGGCACTGGGCGTGCGGATCAAGGACGAAGAGAGTCAGGGAATGATACTTCAAGACATGTTTAAGGAGCGGGTTGTATTGCGCTTGGTCGTCATTGTAGTGTAGATTTCTAGGTACCGCTCATAGTATTCTTTCCAAGGGACATTATATTATATTCCATCTGCGAATCGAAAAGGGAGTGGTTGGTACTTGCCTAACTGGGTAAAGCGCAAGGCAAGGCCCATTTTGGGAGCCAAGCTTCTGCCAAGAGTTGTCACCTGCACTCTGCATCAAACAAAACGCGAGTTTAATTCACTCATCTATCCCCGTCGTAGCCATCGTGGTTGGTATCAACACCTCTGTTCCAGTGGCAACCCAGGGACGTATTCTTCTCCTAGGAGGGTTAACTAGTTAGTACCACTCTTTGATCACTCCCAGCTGGTGCTTCCAAGAGCAACATGGTTTGGAGGGTGGGCAACTGAGGGATTTATTCGGACCAAACAAATATGGCAAGCTCGATTCCTGTCTCTCATCGGCAAACTTCCTACCTAACTAATATTGCTCTCGCCCAAGGCGCTTAATGGCTTGCACCTGGCATCAAGCTGAGAATACATACGTGATTCCGTGGATGATTGATTCACTTTGCACAATCCGTCTAGCCTCGGCGAACTTCGCTTTGTCCAGGGCGCTCTCTCGCGATCCCTATTCCCTAAACCCACCGTCGCGAATTCCCTTGCACAGTTGCTGGGTCATCATCGGTCATGCCCGAAAGGCAACCAGGTTAAGATAGCGCGGTGACACATACCCAAATTAACCCGAGTTTCCATTTGTCAGTGCGCCCAACTAAATTACTAGTATCCACAAACTCTCCTCCACGCGACAGGACAGCGTTCCGCAGCATATATTCGCCATGTGCTCCTTAGTCGCGTCTGCGGGATTTTCTACATCCTGTTATTCTGAACCTCACGAATCGAAGGATTTTACGTGAATGACAAAGGTCAAGGATGAAAGATCTGATATCCGTTCATGGGAAATTTGAACTATATAAGGAGGGATGGACGGGCTCACATTTCAATTCTCAACGACATAGTATTACCGACCATCCTGCAGGCAAGCCGCCCGGCCTGTTTCCTTTGAGTTCTCTGCACCATCTGGGAACCCCGTCTCTCCGGAGCTCTCTACCCTGCTTACGCCCACTATTTTCTGTTCTCTCACTCTTAATCCGTGCCGTTTGACTGCCCGCGAGTAGCCCGAAGCGCCTGTCACCTGAACTATCCTTTGAATTCGGTTTTGTTTCCAAGGAATGCATACAGGGGATCACGGCAAACCATATGTCATTCGCCCTGATGAAGACGATCCAATTGGCCTCTCCCATCTTGAGGCCAACCATGGCGTCGAGCTGGGCCCGCGCACCATCACCTTTGGCCCGGAGGAGCGTGATGGTGCTGCGGAGAAGCGATCCCGACGCGGTCGTCGTTCGTCACACGGTCGACGGTCAATGTCGCGTTCTCGATCCCGCAGTCATGCTCGGTCCGCTTCCAATATACCTATCGAGTTCCACCGGATGAGTTTCCAGATCTCCCAATCCGAGATGCACGAGAAATACGCAGAAGATCTGAAGAGTGCAAAGGTACTTGCCGAAGATAAGGCAGATGATACTCGTTATTTCGAGGATCTTGACTACCACTCACTGCCTGTCGATACTATCTATCGAGATCTAGGAGTCACCGCCGAAGGACTGTCTCCCACAGAGGTCGCTGCTCGTCTTGCCCGCAATGGGATGAATAGCCTCCCTCACCGGCCTCCGAATTACGTGATGAAGCTTCTTAAGTACGTCTTTGGCGGGTTCTGCTCCGTTCTCTGGGTGGGGGTGGTTATTTTTTTTATATGTTGGCGCCCCCTTGGTGACCCGCATCCAGCTCCCTATAATCTGGGGCTCGCAATCCTGGTTTTGATTGTCATATTCCTGCAAGCCTGCTTCTCCGCTTTCCAGGACTGGTCCACAGCTCGGACCATGAGTGCCATTCTGGATCTAGTCCCTTCTGATGCCCTAGTGATCCGATCTGGTGAAACCGTGAGAGTTCCATCGACTCATCTCGTCGTAGGGGACATCGTCAAGATCAGCATCGGAAACAAAGTCCCTGCGGACTTACGCCTTGTGAACACATCCGGCGATGTTCGCTTCGATCGGTCCATCTTGACAGGTGAGTCGGAGGAGATTGACGGCTCTACTTATATGACTGAGACCAATTTCTTGGAAACACGCAACGTCGCATTGATGGGAACATTGGTCACGAATGGCAGTGCGACAGGTGTAGTCGTGCTAACGGGAAAAGACACCGTGATGGGGCATATCGCCTTATCCTCCTCATCAGTCAAGGAGCAGCCGACCCTCATCCAGCAGGAGATTACCCGCTTCGTGAAGATCATTGTATGCTTAACGGTGACTCTCGCGGCCCTTATCCTTTTCACTTGGGTGGGCTGGCTCAGAGTGGATCACCCTGGATACATGAGCGTTGTAGCCATGCTCAACAACGTGATGGGTTGTGTCGTTGCCTTTATCCCCGAGGGTATGCCAGTGGGAGTTGCCCTGACTCTGATGATGGTCGCCCGGCGCATGAAAAACAACAATATCCTACCCAAGGGCTTGTCCACCGTGGAGACGCTGGGCTGTGTCAATGTCATCTGCTCCGACAAAACGGGCACCCTGACTGAGAACCAGATGACCGTCGTCACCGCCACGTTTGTAGATGGGAGCTTGTCCGCCGAAAAGGCAATCCCCGCAGTTGCAGAAGGCCAGCTGACGCCGCTGGTGGAGTTGCACAAGGCCGCCACGCTTTGCAATGATGCGACATTTGATCCCGTTACCATGAAGGACCCTATCCCGGATCGCAAGGTCCTGGGGAATGCCACTGACAGTGCCGTGCTCAAGTTCGTGGAGCTCGCCCAGAAGGACTCGGTCAACAAATTGAACAACGCCTACCCAAGGGTCTTCACAATTCCATTCAACTCCAAGAACAAATGGATGCTCACTCTTCACGAGACGGAGCAGAGTGGGTCTAGTAGCAAGGGGGCCTACCTTCTACTTATGAAGGGCGCGTCCGACATTCTGTTGCCGCATTGTACCTCGTACTATTCCTGTGAGGGGAACAAAGTGAAGCCACTCGATGCGGCAGCTAAACAACGACTGGTTGCGGCACAAGAAATGATGTCCCGGAGCGCTCAGCGGATAATTTTGCTATGCCAACGCCCCTACACCCCCGTGGAGCCACTTGGGACCAATTGCTTCGGCGACGAGATCCAGAGCCGTGGTATCAACGACCTCACCCTCATCGGCATGTTTGGTATCATCGATCCCCCTCGGAAGGAGGCTGCAGCAACGGTGGCTGCCTGCCGACGCGCGGGAGCACGCTTTTTCATGGTTACGGGGGATCTGGGTCTTACAGGAGCTTCCATTGCCCGTGACATTGGCATTTTCAGTGGAGGCGAACCGGATACGTTCGACACCATCGTCCAGCGGCGAGACTCCAGTCACCATGGGGCTAAGCCGTCGGACGGCAACCATTGCGAATGGTCCCAGACCAGTCTGCTTCTGGAGGGCCCGTCTATTTCGCAGCTGACCGACGAGGACTGGGATGTAGTCTGCCAGTACGAGGAGATTGTATTTGGTCGCACCATGCCGGAGCAGAAGTTGCGCATCGTGAATGAGTTTCGAGCGCGCGATAATGTGGTGGCTGTCACTGGCGATGGCGTCAATGATGCACCGGCGATGCGTGCGGCGGACATCGGGGTTGCCGTGGTCACCGGGAGTGATGTGGCACTAGAAGCCGCCGATCTGATTCTGATCGATAAATTCGACTCCATCATTGAAGCTATCCGCCTCGGCCGTCTCGTATTCCAGAACCTTCAGAAAGTCATCAGCTATCTTCTTCCGGCTGGGTCATGGTCCGAAATTTGGCCTGTCCTTCTAAATGTTTTCTTTGGCGTCCCGCTTCCCCTGTCGTCCTTTCTCATGATCATCATTTGCGTGTTTACGGATCTGTTCTGCAGTCTCTCCCTGATTATGGAGCAGGAAGAATTTGACCTGCTGAGCCTACCTCCTCGAAACCACAAGAAGGATCACCTGATCAACGTCAAAGTTTATGTCCAAAGCTACCTGTTCATGGGTGTTATGGAAACCGTCTGTGCCCACGCCATGTATTTCTTATACTATTGGAAATACACCGGAATACCCATACGCTCGCTCTTCTTTGCCTACGAAAAGTACACCGACGGCTTTTATGGCTATACCCAGGACCAGCTCACCCAATTCAACACCCGGGGCCAAAGTGTCTACTTTATCTGTCTGCTCATCTTGCAATGGGGAAATATCCTCAGTGTGCGCAATAAGCGACTGTCGATCCTACAGGCGGACCCTATCCGCAAAAAGCGTCGCAATGTATGGCTCCTGGGTAGCCTGGTCATCAGTCTTTCCATCGCTGTCTTTGTCACGGAGGAGCCGGGGCTTCAGAGTATTTTTGGCACTGCCTCGGCGCCGCTGGAATTTTGGTTCATTCCCATTCCCCTTGCCTTGGGGATCCTGTGCATGGATGAGATTCGAAAATTGGTGGTGCGAGTTTGGCCGAAGGGCCCTATCGCAAGGATTGCATGGTAGACATCGTGGTAGGGGATGGTGAGGGAAATCGTGGGTTTGAGGTTGTAGACATTTTGGAGAATGGCAAATTGGGCTATTATGGGCAACTATTGTTATTGCTTTATGTGTATATACAAGGAGGTAGTGTTTTGCAGGGAAATATAGGGTCCCCATTAATATTACAGAGCTTGGTGATTCATCAATCCCCAATACACCACTGTATATATATATTAGTATTAGCACTTATCCACACGGTATAATAAAGGATGAACAGTAGTGTCCAAGCAGAAATGACTTTTTAACCCAAACAAGGTATAGGTATTCATTGTGCGAATAAAAGTAGTACCCTAGCCCTACGTTAAGGCCAAATTTCTTCTGATGCTTCTGAATGAACGGCTTCATTTCACATTCAGTTCCGCCAGTCGATTTTCTGCCTCTGGGCTAAGGCTCCCAGACCTTACCACTTCGAGGTGGTCCTATGTAGGGTCATGTCCATATTGCTAGAATTATATGCACAATTCTATGAAGAAGATAGAGCAAGTACCAAAATGTCAAGCTATAATAGCTAATTCCACATTATCGGAAAATGCAATGACTAGACTCAAGTAGCTTGCCCTCTGCATTGCCGCTGCACCTGCAGCATGTTGTCCGATTTAGGTGAAATTTTATGAGAGCTTGAACATTCTCTATTCCTTGTGATGTGTGTTGTGATTACCCCTCTTCTTTTGGAGGCAAGGCTTATATAGCCACGTCACTATATTACTTTCATATGATGGACCAATATGGACTAGCTTTCTTCTGACTTATGTCGAATACCGTCGGATGATGGATACCTCTATGGTAGGAGCACTCACCGTCCGAGAAGGCGCGGATGGCCGCGGTTGAGCTCCTCGAGTTTGATCTTATAATGAACGCGAGAGTAAGGAATCCGGAACAGAAACGGAAACGCGACGAAAAATGCCGCCGCTGCCAACCTGGGGCCAAAGGCAAAAGAGACCGCGATGCATCCGATGATGTTGAAGATTGAAACCTGTGGAACGTTTGCGTTTATACCAAACAATTCCTTGAGCTGTTTGTGAACCGTGGAAAGACTTCATATCAAGCAGCCCGAGGCACTCTAATTGTGCTTCAAAATATTGCCTCTACATATCAAACGGCGTACTCCATCAATATGCAGACCAAGCATGTCGCGTAGTTTGTCGGGGAGGAAAGTTTCCATATGAATCCATAACGCGCGTTTCGGTATATTTGGTTGGTATGACTTTCACCCATTACTTGAGCCAAATCTAGGCCTATTTTGCTGCCGTTGAGGGGGCTTAATCTTGCGCGTATTTCATATGTCGCTAAATTACTTCGGGAAAACCGTCACTTTTCTGAGTGACGCAGCTATTTTACATCCAGGGATCTGTCATCCTCTTTTGGGCTATGCTGGCCATCCAAGGCACCAGGCACATGATCGAGTGGATCCTCTTTTCAAAACTCGCGATTGACACTGCCTTGAAGTCCTATATGGGCATTACGTCTAATGTTTCTGTGTGTTGAAAGTACCATATATGCCTTAGACCAGATCAGAGTCGTGGTGGCGGAAGCTAGAGCAATGGAGTGGATATTGCATATGGAGTTACTATACAATACTTTCTCTAACTACTATAATCACATTTACTATCGATAGTTACCTTTCGGTCCAACCCAACAAAATCCAAATAAAATATTAAAAGAATAAGAAATAAAAACATACAACAGCATGTACATGTCGGTGCTCACCCACCCCAGCGTCTGTTCCCTCGCCGCTTTGCTGCCCACGTTCCGGCGGCCTTCAGGTGAACATTCAGGTACCTGAATATTTTGCACTCGACTACCAAGAAGCTGCATTTTGACAAAAGCGCACAATAGCGCCCATGTGAGAGAGAGAACTTTGTCTTAAACCACAATGCGTCCGTCTTACTCCTACACCTTCATCCGTAACTCGAAACTGATCGGACACTATGCCAAATAAGCCCCTTGCAAATTTTACGTGCGTGATCAACCTTGACGAACATGATGATAAAGAGATCAAACGAGCCGTTCTTCCACGGACGGCCGAACAGTATGAGCGGAGTCTGAAGATTTTTGACAAGTAAGTCTCTCGAATCTACAGAGGCTTGCCTCGCACCCTCTCAGATTCCTTAAGCTGCACCCCGCTGCCTGCTCTCCCCCGGATATCAAAACCTACAAAGGGTTTTTGGAATTCTACGCAAGAAACACAACGGGTCGAGTCGAGGAAAGGCCTACAATGGAGACCGTGGAGAGTTTCCGCCGGGACTTCGAAACAGCTCTTGCTCGGCTGAGGGGCTTCTGTGTCCCAAAGAACATGTCTAATACCTTGAAGGAGGTATGGATTTTCGAACCTAATATAGTCTGTATACTAATAAATCTCAAAGTACATCATATCGGATTTGAAGACCAAACTTAGTCTTCCAGATGTTGAGATGTCCAGAGATGGACTCTCTCCAAATGATTTGACCATCCTTCTGACACAGCTCTGGTGTCGGGATTTTAAGGAATACCGCGGCCAGTTTCCTGACCGGAGTAGAGTACAGCTTACCGCATCAATACTACTCTATTGCTTTTCGTCCGCCCGAACTGGAGAGGTGCATGAGTCAACAGCTCGCCGATCTCTTGCCCGGCAGAAGGACGCCGGCGACGACAATGACGCGAATCTCCGAGCCAGTGCCATGGCTGCATGCTACAAGGTCCGTATCCAGCTATATGTATTTGGCAGAAGGCTTTTGAGGCTGACCATGCACGGCATTTTATCCTCACCATAGAACTGGTCGATGGCATTCCAATGTTGGTGTTGAACTATGCTCGGGAGTTTGTAAAGGGGTACTGGAGAAAGAAAAAATAGGAACCTCCAGTGCACGCGTTCTACGAGGTGCACAAAGAGAAAGTCCCACTCTTTTTCAACTTGATTTTCTTCATGCTTCCGTTGTTTTCTGCTGACCATGCTTTCCGCCATTACAAATCGTATACCGAGATCCTTGAGAAGTGGACTCCATCAAGGTCAGCGACTTAGAGTCGCAGTCCAACCACGTTATCTCCAGGATCCATTTTCGAAAAGATCTCTTGGATACTCTGGTATTTAGGCCGTTCAGCGAGCTGGATTGTGAAACCTCCACGGGTAGGGCAAGAGGTGCCGATGCATTTGGGAAAGAGTTTGCTGTACTTGGGTGTCGGAGCGGGTATGAACTGAATGTTACTGCCCGTGCGTGTCGTCGATGGGCACTGATGGAAACCGGTAGGAAAATATGCTAATCCAGTGTTGCCGTATGAGCCACTCACGTTTTATAGATAAGAAATACTCTCAGACGGCTCAAATGAAGCATGCTTCTCACACTGAAGCACGCACTTTTGGCCGATCGTACGCTCATCCTGTGTGCGAAGTGGATTCCTACTGGAATATTGCTTCCCGCTATGAGCATATTCAAAATCGACGCAGCATGGGCGTACACCGTAACCCAAGTCTGTGGCAATCTCTACCCGCAAAGGCGGAATTTGAATTCCAGGAACGAGAAGACGTCATGGCACTTGACACAGAATTCGCACTCCTCAGCTCCCAACTTGCGAAGGCCGACAGCCAGGAAATGGCGCACGAGATTCACCTGCAACGGCGTCGAGTCCAGAGTCAAAAGGATAAGCTGTATTGAGGAACTTAAACGACAACGGGAGGTCCAACAGGGTACCCAAACAGGAAGTGTCTATAAACAAACTCTCTTCCACTACCGCCGGCGAGCTATGCCAGAGTGGGACCTCCTCGCTCAGATTTTGCCGACTAGGTCAACTATACGAAGCTCAGCAGGGCTGGAGGCTATGAAGGCACTGGAAACAATCTGCAGCCAGTACCATCCGGTTACCTATCGGTCAGGCTTACGACCCGGCAACGACGGCAAGAGCATGTGTGGTGAATCAGTCGATAGGTAAGTGTTTTCTGCTAATATACACCATTGTACTGATCTGGTAGGTTTCACTCTCATCGTCAATGGCTACATCTCTATCGGTGCTATCACAAAAGACTCAGTTAAATGAGTGTAGATAATTTTGCGGAGTTTTGCTTTAAATGCGATGTGTGGTTTAACAATTACAACAAATAGTGTCAGCACTGTCAAGATCACCTCTGCAAGCCTACTGAATTGCTTCGCTGCGATCCGATAATATTCCGGAATTGCCCAGTGAAGCCTGGTTACTGCCCTTTCTGTCTCGGTAACACGAGCTTAGGGCCCACCAGACAGATGGAGCAATATCTAGATATGAGCAAATGGTACAGTCATGTTCAATCTCACCTCAGCCACCAGGGCCTATCTGGCGAGTTTCACTGCCGGCACCCTGCATGTACACACGGATACGGGTCGTTGACCGAATTGGCATGTCACCTTGAAGATGTCCATTGCTACAAACCTCCTCGTGGAAAGAAGCGATCATTGGAAGCATAAATGGAGAAAGGACCGATATTATGCTTAAGGGTTCGTTCAATGTATTCCTCATCTGTGTGTGTATAGATCTGAGCACAAAGGATTGGCCTCACTGAACACCCAAACGCCAACTGACGAGGACGATGACAATGATGACTCTTACTATGAGGACGGCAACTACAGAATGAGAGACTTATTACAGGTTGAAAACCGAATTACACAAGGAAAAGCTTGAAAGGAGAATGGAGAACACAGCGGCAACAACTGCAAAATCAAACCCATCTATGGAGATGACGCACCCGTGTTTTGCAGCTCTTAAGAAGCCTTGTAAATGCAGGTACCCAACAGCAGGAGATGGCAAAAGCAAGAGAACTCCACCAAACGTTATGATGACCTCCGAGACCCTGTCAAGCTTGAAGAACAGTTCGATATTATCCTCTCTAGTCTTGTGCCTGCTGGCAAGATCCGCGATAAATTTCCAAACAACTCAAAAGATGGAAGACAGAAGCAGTCAACACTGCAATGTCTCAAAGTCGGCAAATTAGAAGATAGCAATAGTACGGTCATCACCACCACCACCCTAACTATGTCACCGCTTGAATCAATGACACTTGACCCCCTTCACACCCTCCTGCATGGCCTTCAAATGCTCCAAGTTCAGGGTGTCCTCACCCAGACTCCAGGCCATCACCCCACCAAGATTTTCCCCATTTACAATATCCTTGGACTTGCGCTTAATCATGGCAGGCGTGTCCCAAGTCCAGAAGAGGTTGGCCTGGTCGTCCCAGAAGTACTGTCCACCAGCCTGCTCATCCGTCTTGCCATTCTTGCAAGCGCGACGCCATGAGTCAGTGACCGAAATACCTTTGCATTCACCATAATCAGACAGACAGCCAGCTTGGCAGAAGTTCTTGTCACTACCACTGTTTGATTTTGTTAGCTTTATGAAAGGAATAAGAAAGAGCACATACCAATAGCCATACTGGCTACAGCATAAACCTGCTGGACATTTAGTCCCCTTATTAAACCCACAGGCTCCGTCTGTGGAAGTTTCAGGTTATCTGGTGCCGGCGCCATGGTGCTCTTCTCAAAGGTTAATACCCCAGATGTACCTGCATCTGTACCATCTGAATTCTCGAGAGCCACTACTGCGCATCCAAGTGGGCGATTATGACAGTCTGAATTAGGATCTGTCATAAACCACTTAGCATAGTAAGCGAAACCTAGGTTAATCTTAGTAGGGTCCAGGCTAATCTCTTCATAAGCCTTAACAGTGTTAAGTGAGTCCATAACACTTGTGTGGTGGTTTGTGGCTTTATCACGGCGGTTCATGAGATCATAAGACATAATATTCACCATGTCCACAGAGGGCCAAATCTTAGGACCTTGCTCCTTAGTAAAAGCAACCATACCAGTGCATTTACCAGGGACAGCAATTGAGAGGATCTTTTTTGGACCAATGGCTTGACGAATAGCTTGCAGAAACAGAGGATAGGTCTCAATTTCACCGGTCTTCTGGCTGTCGGGTATTTTCTTGTAATCATTTCCGTTACCACCAGGGTACTCCCAATCAATATCTACACCTCATCGTCAGCACTATGTAACACTCTTAACTTGATACGCACCGACGCCATCAAAGCCCAAGGTGTTGATCATATCTGCAACATTGCGTGCATAACGTTTGCGGGATTCTTCATCTTTCGCTCCCTCAGAGAACCCAGAGGTGTCACCCCAGCCCCCAATTGCAATCATGACCTTAGTCCCAGTTCCAAAGCGCTTGCGCATGATTTCAACCGGTTCAAATGGCTTAAACTGGGCAGGAGCATCAGAGTTAAACATAGTAGAATTCGCAAAGGCCATGATCGAGTGGGTTATATCCTGGGTCTGGTCCAAGCCTGGCAGATCAATGGTGTGGTATCTTAAACATTAGCAAATATTGCTCGTTTAGTTGCACGAACACTCTTACTCGTCAATATACATGGCAAATCTTAATCCCGCCACATACTAGATGGCAAGAAGGCCGAGGATGAGAAATCCAGGCACTGTGTGACGCATCATGTTAAGTGGAAAAGTGAAGACCTAAGCAAAGAATTCAACGGGTATAGTTGCGTGGTAGAAGTATATATACCATCACTTAGGCAAGGGGCGTTCCAAGCAAAGATACCTTCAGCAAAGTGTCAGGCCCAAATGATTGTTCAATACTTTGGCTCGTCTCTCCTTGGGAGATACCCTCGCCATTATTGAGGTTCCTTCCTTTAATTGTCATGTGGTGGGGAGCCAGGCGCAGAAGGTTTATTATACCACCCACCATAGCCAGGCAGAAGGTATAAATAATAAACGAGAAAGCTGTATCCCGGATATAATCAATCGTTTTCGACGAGTGCTACAAGGTTGCATTACGTACCTCGATCTGTCCTTCCCCAGTTGCTGTCGGCAAACGTCGTGCGGTTTTACTGGAGCACTACAGAAACAAAACATCTACAGCACCTCAAAAAAGAAAATTCATTTCTCAAAAGTCGACTTGAGATTGAAGATTGGATCCGCTCAAGAATGGTGCAGTCAGGTTCAGACTTCTGCCATAGTTGCCAGTCTACCACTCCCCAGTCCCATCTGTCGCAGACAGCGTGCTTCCACTCTCTGTGTCAAGCATGTATAGACGCACATAGGGCTGTAGATGAACATCACGGTGATCCGCCAAACGCGAACCTCGCAAAGTGCCCAATCTGCTGGAAATCGGCTGAGACGAACTCTTTGAGTGTCTAAGAGGTCAGTTATGAGGTATTATTAAGGGTTGAATCCATCTTGAGCATTGCATGTTTACATTACCGTAGGAACATGGTCACCTAGTGGGCTGTTCTGGACGTTACGCCATTGCCCCAAGTCCTAAACCATTTCTAATAGAATTTGTATGACAAGAAATTCACTATGGGTTATTATCCAAATTCTTGACCACTCCGCTGCTAAAATATGAAAGAATACATCTGGTGTAAAATCCATGGAATGACCATTCTATCACCGAGGTTCTAATCTTTGAAAAAATTCCATTATCTTCTCGATTGATTGATGCTAGACGATGTTTCTCCAAGGAGGACTTACCTTGCTACAAATTCTGCGTCTTCTTTGGTGAACATAACCAAATCAGTGACAGCCTCATGACTTTCTAAGAAGGTATCGATCCATTCATCTACTGCATTCACATCCCATCACCTATCTGGGAATCGGAGAGAAGGATAGCCACTGACAATGTGTTCGATTTTGTGCATGACAGCTGATAATGAACGTCTATATCCGCGATGGGACAGCAGACGAGACACTCTCAGAGGCTCAATGTATCTTGATGAAAAATAAAGGGCTATGATACTTTCTTCCTTTGACCAGCGGCCACATCTTCGGTGCCCGGGACTAGATGTGAGCACTGTCGTTGGAATCAGAGTCATGGTGTTTGAGATAAAGCATCCATGCTTATTTACCATTTCTTCTGTGTAGCTAGAGATCATGATTCGCCTGTTGTGTGTTCTCTTCGAGGTCAAGACCCTCGTCGGCGTGTGTTAAACCACCATGCCAAAGCGTGGTTTCAACGGTATTGTGCCGTCTCCTAGTAATATATTTCTCATTGTTAGTAAATCCTAGTACAATGAACGATACTGTACTGCGGTGTTGGATGCGCTCGGAATGTACGATTCTCATTTTCCCCAGTTGTGACACCTTGGGCAACTAGACAGTAAGTCATGGGTGATTGGAAATGGTTTAGCTGCTTTTGCATAGCTCCCGATTGGTTTCCGCATAACCCAGTCCAGTCCGCACTGGATAGAGTACGTACAGTAAATGAAATCATAAACGGCCGCCAGTGTGAATCAAGTCACGCAGTAACAACAATAGTTTAACCAGCTGATTCTCCATCAATAATCTCCACGATTTGCAAAAATAAGGACTTCTAACGCTTCTTCCACGTGGGGAATGTGTAAGATTACACCATGAGAGAAGTCCCGCTGCGTAGCAATCGTATCCCCGTCTTGTCTGGTAAAGTTTTGTGGTTGTAGAGTCCCAATGCGCCCCTCGCTGAAGAAACAATATTGCGCGTGAAGGCGTTTGTGCTCAAGAACGAAAAGCTGCTTAATGCGCCTCGTTTTAATTTCAAGCCATGCGGGCCCCCGCAAAGGTTGAGTGACATCAACTGTGATATGGCTTCCGATTTTGATCTCGCCCACATACCGGCCCTTCTGATGCGCATAACCTTGCTTCAAGCATGCAAAAAAGAGTTGTCTTAGTGTTTTACTCGGCGCCTAGTCTCTCATGAAGTTTGAGAGAAGCACCATATGGAATTTTCCAGTTTCTCCAGGGGAGGAAACGCTGCTAAGGCGAGAACCAATTAAGGCAGGCTTGCCACCCAATTCCATGACTTTATGAAGCCAGTCCATTTTTGAAAAGATGGCAGACCATGGTACTTGAATCCGTTCTTGGCGGCCGTGTAGAGGAAGCACTTCTCCAGTATTATCAAAAGAACCAGTCGAGAAGTAGCGAGTGATGGGAGCAATAATATGACAAAAAATATCGAATAGACGCATTTTCCTAGGATGTAGGAAGGAAATACGGCACGATTCTCTATGGGCAGTTGGCTTCGTGATGTACACATATAAGTGTATGCCGAGACAGGTTTAAGCGCTTCTTGAAAGAAAAAATAGAGAGTTGAATGTGCTTGGTGAAGGTCGCTTCGAAAAATAGGATCAACTTTGTGTGTCAATCCTGCTCACTAGTATTACTGCCCAGGTGCATCATCTTATCAGCTACAGTATCATTGCAGAAGGTCAACACCAACCGCAATACGTAGCACTATTAATGAAAAATGGGAGAAAAACAGTGTCTCAGTTCTGGTCTATTATCTAACTAGTTTTGATGTGACAAGGCAAGCGATCCTCTCTCAGTAGTGTAGTTTCAGAATTTGTAGGTAATCAGAATGTATGCCCATTCCCAATACAGAGAGTACTGCGCAAGTTTTGTCTATTTAACCTCGGATCCGCGCATTTAGCTGAATAATCCAAGAACTGCATACTAGCCAGATAGTCTGCCCAAAGATAGGACCAATACTCAGGATCCGTTGCCTTTAATCCCTGTTATAGCCGGGACGCTCCACTAATGGGTTCCGGCAGAGAAGCAACAACTCAATGGTCCCATGGTCTGCTCCATGGTTGTTGCACACCATTAAGTATAAGTATGTGGCCCAGAGACATGTCGTGTTCACTATTGACCCGAGATGCAGCTATATGTGCCGGCTGCCTCCCATGCTGCCTTTTTGGCCGAACGCTTTCCCGGCTCGACAATCCCGAAAAGGAAGACGGCGGGTGCTATTATGGGTGTAATGAAAATGTAGGACCCCAGTTTGCGATGTCGATAAATTGAAGAAGCTAAAATGAATATCATATCAGTGCTGTCGGTTCTTGTGCCTTGGCTTCTGTGGCTTGCATTGGATCTTGATGGCAAGGAAGAGGACCAAAATACGAGATCGCCTGAATATTACGTGCTCAACGCATGGTGATTGTCTCAAGTCTCTCTGCTGTCCTTGCTGCGTTCTGGTCCAGCAGGATAAGGAAATCCGAGAATATCAAGAACGGTTGATGAATGGATATCAGCGAAACGAGGAAATGCTGCACATATGAGTCCTTTCTTCTATAGGCTTGACATCACGAATCTTAATGTGGCAATAGAAGTACACTCCATTGGCTATTATACCGGTCGTGACGGGCTTCCATGAATTTTCTGGTTCATATATTTGTGTAATGAAACCATTACCTTGACATGGTAAATATAAAAGCAACGAGGCATCCCAAGCTCCACAGACGTAGTTCCAAACCTGTTACGTTGATCCCAGGAGATTTTCACTAAATTTGTCTATCCATTCCGCGAGCATGTGGACTCTTCAATTAACATACTAGCTCTTATATCTTACTACAATGATAGACGTCTTCACTTCTGCCATTATGGAAGCCAGAGGACCGTGGATGGTGATTAATTCGGATTTTCCAGACCCTGGTTTCGTACAGAGCACAGATGGGACATGGTATGCTTTTGGCACAAATGGCAACGGCAAGCGCATCCAGGTGGTTAGATCGACAGATTTTAAGACATGGACTCTTCTTAATAAAGAGGCCTTGCCAATTCTTGCAGGGTGGGAGACTGAAAGAGATCACTGGGCACCAGATGTAATTAGACGGGTATGTGCTCCAAGTTTCTCTACTTATCAGCCGCTAATCCACTTCTAAGAGTGATGGTCGATATGTTATGTACTATTCCGGCGAGGCTAAAGAGATGGTGAGGCATCATTGCGTGGGTGTTGCTGTCTCCGAAAATACGGATCCTACAGGACCATATGTGCCAAATGAGACACCACTATCATGCAGGCTGAACCAGGGAGGCTCAATTGACCCAGCGGGATTCGTTGACAAAGACGGTACACGCTATGTGATTTTCAAGATAGACGGGAATAGCATTGGCCATGGTGGTGACTGTAACAACGGTATCACTCCTGTGGTACCCACCCCAATTCTTCTACAGAGAGTAGAAGATGATGGCTTTACGCTAATTGGGGACGCTGTCCCAATCCTTGGCCGTGATGATAGTGACGGACCTCTGGTTGAAGCCCCTAACCTTATCCTGCATGGTGACACATACTTCCTTTTCTACTCAACCCATTGCTTCACGGACATTGAGTATGATGTGCGTTGGGCAACCTCGAAATCAATCACAGGCCCATACATCAAGTCTGGCCGGAAGTTATTCAAGTCTGGCGACTATGCACTAAGCTCACCTGGCGGAGGCACTGTCTATGCACGTGGTGATAAGATGCTCTTCCATGGATTCTGTGAGCCCAATAAGCGATGTACATATGCTGTGAACATTGCCATTGATGGTAATCAGGTTACACTTCTTTGATCGGGAATGCTATAACCTTTTCAGATCAAAAAGAGCAGTTTGCCGTCTGCAAAGTAGCTGATCCGTCGTCATTTCCTCCTCTCCTGACCTGTTAAGAAAGAAATATCGCATCTAGCTAGTTCATAACAGGGTAGATCAGACAAATTAAAGGAGTAAATCCACATGGTCAGACTGAATCAAATGTTGTTGGGCATAGGAACATCATGTCCGAGAATACCCATCTTGCTTAGTTAGTTGCAATGTTTCTTGCCCACCTCCATGAATTGCCGACTTTCCTTTCCTTATTGGGCAAGGATCTCTTCTAAGCTCTCAAAACCCAAAACAGCATTCCTTGATGGAGAATGTGTCGGTCACTTCTTCTAGTGAGGGTACAGTAGTATATACAAGAACAAAAAGGGCATGAACTCAATTGGGTCGATGACCTCAGTTGACCTGAGATGAGGGAGCTCAATATGAATCCTGACAATCCACAGGCGACTCTATGATTGCACTTAAAGCTATAGTAAACTAAGTCCTGGTCCATCTCTAAAGAAGGACTATTGCGCAAGATATCTTCATACCTACAGCGTTTCAACTTAGGCATACGGCTGAGTATATCAACATATTTGGCTGGACGAAGCAGTGATGACAATATATTGTATTTGTTGTATTTGGGGCAGCCCACTCTCCAATTATTTGTAGTATACGAGCTGCTGGTAGTGCCTTGCCTTTCAAGATCTCTGGGAAAGTATGCCAGACGATTTCCGTTCGGCGAAAGAGGCTTCTATCGGCATGGGCTCGTAGCTCATTCGATGCGTTGAATAGTGTCCACAAATCTCGTTCGGGTACACTTGATTGCAAAAATGGCGCCCGAGTCTTATACTCCTAAACTGCTTTCTGTACCACAAAGTAAACAAAACTAACCTGTATTAGGTAAAGGTCCAGGAATAATAATATCCCGTAAACATATCTAAAACCTGTATTACGATGTAAATTACATGGCGGTGTATCAACCTTTTGTTCAACGCCTGTATAACAATTATAAGTGACTGGGAGTCCGAAGGCTTCTCTGCAAACCATTCAAACTAACACCAAGCTGCCTGGCAAAATCTGGCAACCCGAACTTCTCATCATCAGCGAGTACTTCACAAGCGGCGTAGTGGATGACCAAATCTTGAACTAGAGATTTTCCACCAGACTCACCTCGCCCAGTGTGCACGTAGGTAAAGTCCAGCAAGTCAAGAGAGAGCTCAAGCACGCAGGGTATAATCTTTACCTTTTTAATCAGTATCTCTCTCTTTGCATACAATGATGAAAATTTATTAATAGCAATTAATTCTGTCTCCTATGGACGTTCACATCGAATACGGCTTTTCCCGAGCGTACATTCCCAAGCTTTGTTGAACAGCATGCACACCATTATCACTACGCCATCTATTCAGCCCTGTAGGACCTCAACAACTACCCTCCGCATATTCCAGGTGAAGCTAGTCTAGGATGTCGCGGACCAGCTTCCCTGACCCATAACATGGTAGCCCCGATCAAGCGGTGGCATAAGCTTTCCACCAAGTATCGGACCATCGTCCAGTTTAACATCCTCTATGGCCGCTCCAACCACACCATCCACGTTGTGGACGCCACTCAAAGGACCGCTGTAGGTAACTGTGGCTATTGGCACACTGAATGCTGGAACAGCGGACGAAAATCTGCCGTTTATGGTCCTTTGCGTACGGTCGGGCATGTTATAGGTTCCGGAAAAATTTCCATTCCCATCGGAAGAGAAGGTCCCATACGCGGTGTCGCTCATCTATAAGGGTGATTAGGCACAGTTTAATGAAGAGGGAAGAAGATAATTGAAAAGAAACTTACTGTAAGTCGCAGAAATATATTCAGATAAGAGGTCTGATGACTTTGGTTGAGATTTTAATTTAATGCTGAATTGCAGACCTAAAACTTCAGGAGGACAAAGAAAGGGCTGCAATTTATGCAAGTACAATACTGCGCGTAAAAATAGATTACGTCATTTAAGGTTGAGCCAGCCAAGTATTGCAAGACGCAGTTAATATGTAATTCACTGCATGCGGCAAGTAATCTATATGCCTACGTAACACATCTGCTTGCGGCAGTGAACCAGTATAAGCCTCTTTTCCAAGATTCAGCTATTTGTCATTGCAAAAGTTAAAAGGTCGGTGAGATTTGTACACATAGCAGTGCTGTGGGTAAGTGAAAGAACAGTGATGACGCTGCTCTCTTTTATCTATAGGATGGAACATGTAACTACTGTCCTTCCAATTAAGACAAAGAGGACGTCACAGTTTAAGAGGAGTTATAGAGGTCTCAGTGGATAGATTTCAGGCATTGTTTGCGCAAGGGTTCGGTAAGGTATTTTATTGCGAAAACATATCAATCTACATGGAAGAGGATATCGGAATCCAGCAAGGACAATGCTGGCTCACTGCGAAATTTCAGAAATCTCGACTCTTTCCAGAGCCGCTTATATGGATAAATAACAGTAATGTGGGCTGGAGGAGGTCCATTACTGACTTCTGAATCCCATATATTCTTCTTTTTCTTCTCGTCCCGCTAACTCTGGATTTCGCTTGTCTTCCGCTTTGCGGTCTTCTTCAACCAGCTTTCATGTTTAAGACCACGACTAATGCTGGAGTTTGTCACCTGTACGTGGAACTCGGCCCATGTAAAAGGTGCCGTCTCGTCAAGGTACAGATATGGCTTTTCAAGTAGATAATCACAAAGAGCCTGAATTATAACTGGTGTGAGATTTCATGGCCGCCCCCTTCTATTAGGAGGAGCCTTCACATTGCCAAATAGGTGCACATTGGAGCGAAGTCGTCTAATTATACACTCATTGCAGCCAGCAGCCTCAGCTATCTGGGGACTGTAAGTTCATTGCTGACGATCATATCATGGATAAATGCTAAGGTCGATGCAGCAAGATTAAGCGCGATCTCCGTCTGTTGCCCAAGGTTGATCGACCGGCTTCCGCGGGACGATCATCCACAAGGAGGTTTGGGGGAAATATTAACTAAGGCTTGAGTTGAGGTAAAGAGGGGTATTTATATATCCGTGCCTTCCGGTGCCCCCACCGCCTTTCGGCAGTGGGTGCACCACACCGATAGACCAATTCACACCGATAGACCAATTTTGAAGTTATTCCCACTATCTATGGCCTTTCCCCTTTACTATCTACAAAAAAAATTTGATTTTCCTGCTGCGCTGCCATCGCTGATTCCGGCAATATGGTTTTTATCCCCGTAGGTATTGTGGGTGGTGGTTGGCTATATACCTTTTTCCACGCCTCTCTAATCTTTTTTTCTCCTGTAGAGCCTTATTTTCCTTCCTGGCCTTGATTAATCGATTGGCATCTTTTGTACTAAGTATTCCAGAGTCACCGAGCTTTGGAATCTCTCTCTTAGTAATTTGGCGCCTCCGGGGCTCTTAAATCTGCCTTATTCGCTTAACTGTATCAGTCATCATTGCAAGGTTCTTATTCTGTATTTTCTAATACCGTAGCGCTCGCTGGAGCCCTCTCTGTAGCTTTGGAGTAAGCTCCTCTATTGTAAAGATTTTAGAGAGCTTTTTCTAGTTCTTTTCAAGCTCTTGTGCACACTTCGGAGGGGTATTTTTAATGCTGGAAGAGGAAAGATTAAAAGGCGGAGTTGTCTCTCCATACGCATGAAGATTTGGTGCTTGGAGCTCTGGTATTGGAGGTAATATATCTTAAAGTTTTTGAATAATTTAAAAGCCATTTGCAGGGTAGATTCCATGCTCTTTAAAAGCATTGCGGATTATATATTAGTTAAAAGTGGCCTTTCGCATTTTGACAATATCCTAGAGGAAATCCGCTTTCCCTGCAGGAAGCCCATCCCACTAAGTAATAAGGTTATTTTGCTTGCGGAATTGCTGCTTATATAAAAGAAAAGGCTTGCTGTTAAGAGGCTGGCATATATAAGTTGTATAAGCCTTGAATAAAAGGGAATAATATTATAAGTATTGCAGAGTTGGAGGAATTTAAGGGTTTTATAGGACTTGTGGCTATTAAATAGTAACACCTGTTTTTCCCCCTTCCGTTGATTCACACGACTAATTGTGGCCTCATGGAATTTTTGAAGCCATTAAACAGCGAGCTTACTATTTGTTACGGAAACACTATAATCCGCCCGACTTGGCGGTGCGGAGTATCTGACGATCGATTCAACCCCTGAATCCTTTAGATAGTTGAGCACCCAAGATCTAGAGTTAAGCACCTAGATAGGAATATAAGAGACTTAGTTAGTTAAGATACTATAATTCCTGGTATTTCCACTAAATAATATCTACTTCCTAATTAGGCTAGTTAGCCTGTAGTTAATAAAATAGCTCCCTATACCCTATTTCCCCCTGAGTTCCACAACATTAGTTATAAGCCCGGGTTTGCAGTGTTTGCTTAACAACCAGGCCTTTGCACCCCGGGAGCTTATATAGGCTTACAAACCCTATCTAAGCACGCAGGTGAAGCTATTTATCAACATGTATATCCTTAATATCCAGGATAGTAGCTAGGACTAATTAACCTACCTACCAATCGGAGTTGGGTAATATTACCACGCCTCCTTAGCGCCGAACGGAACGATCGACAAAAGGACAATCAAAGATTAATAAATATCAGAGAGGGCTCGGGATCCCCGGACAGGACAATTTATATTAAGCCGGGAGAATACTAAGGGACCAAGTACCGAACCGAGCGCCGTATTAAGTAAGGATCCTGTGGCGGTCTTACTACCAGGTGAATTCTTAGAAGAAGAGGAACCTAAAGAGTCTAAGTAAGAGTCTAGAATAAAAGCCAGCAGGGAAGCTAAGCGAGGGAATTCTAGTAAGCAGGAATAGACTAAGCAAGAGTCTAGAATAGAAGTTAGCAAGGTAGCTAAGTAAGGGAATTCTAATAAGCAGGAATAAACTAAGCAAGGATTTTAGATTAAAGCCAGCAGGGAAACTAAGCAAGGGAATCCTGGTGGATTTAAAAAATATAGGATTAAAGTCAGCATGGTAGCTAAATAAGGGAATCCTAGTAAATAACTGCAAGTGGAACTAGCAGTTAAAATAGCCGGACCAAGTGGAAATAGCCAGGGAGGCTAAGAAGGTTAGCAAAAAGTAATTTTAAAGCTTAAAACCACTAAAAAGGTAAAACTAGTAGCGTGTGGAATTAAAAAACTTAATTAAAATAATTATTAAAGCTAGAAGTTAGAGATAATAAACTTCCTAAAAATATAGAATTACTAGAAGATAGTAAATCTAACTAATAAATAAAGAGATAATTCTAAAGCTATTAAGAAACTGCTAGAAAATACTAATTAAAGTATTATAAATACAAAAGTATAGTATTATATTAAAATAGTACTAGAAAAAAAAAATAAACTTATAGTCTAAAATTTTAAAGATATTAGAAAGGTATAAAAATACCTAGTTAAATTTTATAATTAATAAAATAAAGTAAATAGGCTGGGAGCTTTATAAAAGGTTTTAAAATAAAAAAAAAACCTTTTTATAAACCTGGAGAAATTACTTTAACAGTTGGAAGCATGGAATATAGACCTAAAGGATATTAGTAATAATTTAATAGAATTTAATAAGTTAGTTTTATTAAATATTTTTTTAAATAATTTACTTTAGGAGTATAAGTCTATAGTGGATTCTATTATTACTAGTAAAAAAATAAATTAAGGAATAATACTATCAAGACTCTAATAAAGGGAAAGCTAGGAAAAGACTGTAAATACTAGTAAGGTAGTTAAGGAATTTACTAACTAGATTAAGTAAATAGAATATTTTAATTGCGGAAAAAAAGGCTATTTTATAAAAGATTACAAAGCTCTAAAAAAGGACCGAGAGCAAAGTAATTCCTGGGAAAAAAAAAAATCCTAAAAGGGCTGTAGTAAGGCTAAAAACCGTAGGAGCTATTAAGGATGCCCAAAGCAAAAAGGAAAGGCAAGAACTATGAATAAGAAATTAGATACTAATAGTAATTTAAGTAGGAATAAAAGTAATTCTATAAAAAATAGTGCCTGCTGAATATATGGAAGTATACACAAAGTATAATTAAATAAATAAATTAGTAATTAGTTTAAATATATGTTTAAAAAAGTATACTAAGTAAAAAAAAGCAAAAACCCTATTATTAATAGTAAAGCAACAAGAACCTGTAGTGGAAAAATTAATTTATTTAAGTTATTAGATTAGAGATATACAGGTAGCTTAGGGACAGCTAGGAAATCTATAAAGATTACTGGTAGAGGCATAATAAAAATTCCACTAAGTAGTAAAAAAATAACAAGGATTTTAAACATATTATACATGCCTGGGATAAAAAAAACCCTGCTTTTAATACAAGCTTTATATATAAACTGTATTTAAAACAAGTATACTAAAAAAAAATACTAATTTTTCTGCAAGCAAGGCACAGAGAATATTCTTGTAACTAGATATAATATTAGCCGAACAAGCTACCTAGGATAGGTAGAAAGCAAGAATATATTAGCCACAGATATAAAAGAACTTAGAGAGGGAGAATCTGCAAGATTAGTAAAGCAGGTAGATTAGGAACTATTTTACTAATAATTTAGCCACCCAGGAAAGACAAGATTTAAAAAAATAGTAAAAAAAATAGGCCTTACTACTAAAAAAAAAGCTATAAAATACTTAAAAACATGTAAAATATATATACAGGTAAAAAATATAAAAAAGTAGAACTATAAAAAGGTTTTAAAAGCTTCTAAACTGCTAAAACAAGTTTATATAGACTTTTGGGGGCTATATAGTAAAACTAAATATAATAAAAAATAAAAATACTATTTTTTACTTACTAATAACTACACACGGTATTCATAGGTATATTTAACTAAGGATTAAAAGGCAGAGACTATCCAGGAGACTTTAAAAGCATGGTTAGCTTAGGCAGAGTAGGAGAAAAAAATTAAGCTCCTAGTAATATATATAAATAATGCAAAAAATTTTATATATTAAAACTATAAGTAAGAAAGCTAGGGATTTAATTAAAGTTTATTAAGCCAGATACACCTTTACAAAATAAAGTTGCAAAGAGGTTAAATAAACTACTATTAAAAATAGTGCGGGCAATACTAATTAAAATAAATATTTTAAAAAAATATTAGCTATATATAATTTAAATAGCAAACCATCTATAAAATAGGACTATAATAGTTAGAGACACTAAAAAAAGCCTATTTAAACTTTGGAATGGCCACCTACTAGATATTTTAAAGTTTTAAACCTTATTCTATAAAGTTTAGTTTTACTAGAAGCTAAAAAATAGTAATAAGCTTAAACCAAAAGTAATAAAAAAAGTTTTTATTAGCTATAAATCAAGCAGGAGTTATTACCAGGTAATAACTAGAAAAAATTAAATAATTTATTAAGTAATAAACCCTATTTTCCTGGAAGACAAGAAAGGTTTTATCAGCAAAAAACTAGGAAGCAGAGATATTAGGGAAAAGTTAATATACTAAAAGGTAGTTAGAAAAGGGCAACTACTACTTTAACCTAGCTTAGGAAATATATAAATATCTTATATATCTGCAGGACATGCAGACAAGAATCAAGAAAAGAAGGAATCTGCAGAAAACAGTTAACAGGTTAATAACCAGGTTAATAACCAGGTTAATAATGCAGAGGTTAAAAAGGTAAAAAAGGTTAAAGATTAACAAGCAGATAAAAAAAACCACAACCTGTTATTTAACTAACCAAATAGAAAGGTTATATACAGAGAGATATTTAGTAATCCCTTTAACTACTATAACTATAACTATAACTATTACAACCAACCCCTAAAAACACTTCTGATTTGTGCAGACCAAGCAGAATTTAAAAGCCTTTGCAAGCAGTAATTAAATCTAACTAAATAAAGGTAATATATGGGCAAAAACCACGTGCCTAAAAATATAAAAAAAAAAGGAAAATAGTAAAAAAACCTTTTTTATATATATTTACTATAAAACTGTAGTAAATTTATAAAGTTTTAAATCTAGCTGTAGTATTAAAGCTTTATCTTGGTAATAATAATAAGTTTGCTTTTAAAACCAAGGCTAATAGTAAGTTTAATAAACAGATTTTAATTTTAAAAACCTACTAAAAAGTAATATCTGATCCTGTCCATAGACCCCAATAAAAAGAAGTAATCTGGACTAAATTAAATAACCTAATTTGCTTTAAAACATGGAGATATGTTAAGAAACTAGTTAATTAAAAAATTATTTTTATTAAATAGGTATTTAATATTAAATACTTTATAAATAAATATATAGATTAATTTAAGGCATGCCTTGTTACTTAAGGCTTTTTTTAATAAAAAGGATTAGATTTTAAAAAGATTTTTACACTAATAGTATAATTAAAAAACTTGTAGATTTTATTTACACTAGCTGTAATATATAATCTAAAAGCTTACTTACTAGATACTATAAATACCTTTATTAAATTAAAGATCGACAAGGAACTCTATATAAAGATCCTAGAAGGAATTAATCCAAAATCCTATAATCTAAATAATATTTACAAGCTTTTATAATTTTTATACAGGCTAAAGCAATCTGCATACCTTTAGAACCAAAAGGTTAAAGAATTTGTTATATTTATTAGATTTAAGCAAAGCACAGCAGACCCAGGAGTCTTTATTAATAACCGTGGGGTTATTATAGCCTTATATATGGATAATATCTTAGTCTTTAGTAAAAATTTAAATAATCTAGATATTACTAAAAAAAAATTAAAGGAGTTTTATTTTATAAAAGACTTTAGTTTAGTATAAAAAATATTAGGGATTTAGATAACCTAGGAAAAAAACTTTATCTAGCTTAACTAGGAGTTCTATGCATACTTTATTTTAAAGGAATTTAGAATACTAGATTTAAGAGATCAAGATTTTTTATTAAGTCCCAGTATTAATTTAAATAATAAAAATTCCTGTAAACTAACCTGGGATCTATATAAAAAATATAGGAAAATTATTAGATACTTAATATACTTAGCTGGTGGAACCAGAGCTGATATTTAATTCCATGTTAACTAATTAAGCCAATATCTTACAGAACCTAGAGATATTTATTTTCGAGTATTAAAATATATTCTCTAATATGTAAAGAAGACTATAAGCTATAATATTAAATATAATTTAAAGGGGAGTAAAGGAATAATAGAATTAATTAAATACTCTAATTTATTATATAAAAATATAATAAAATATTGCTTAACCAGTATATATATATTTTATATAGCCGGAGGACTAATTAGCTGGTATAGTAAAAAGCAGCTAATAACTACTATTTTTACTACTAAAGCTAAATATATTACTACTGCAGAAGCTGCTAAGCATATAATCTAGATTAGATATTTTTTTATAGCTATTTGCAAGCCATGCGGAGCAGTTAGATTAGGTATTAATAACCAGGGAGCTTTGGCACTTATAAATAACCTAGTTAATTACCTGCGGAGCAAGCATATTCGCATCTAATACCATGCAATCAGGGATTTTATTAAACATAGTAATATTAAGGCAATTTATATTCCTATATCTAAAATACTTGCGGATGGACTTACAAAGGCTGTACAGGTTAAAAAATTAAAGCAAATAGTTAAAAAGTTGCAACTAAATAGGTTAGAGAACTAAGATCCTATAAATGCAACATCTAGGACCTTTAAATTAATTATTAGAGGCGTTCAACACCCCTCTGTAATTGTTTTGTTTATTTCCTATTTTAGAAGTCTGTATGGCTTCATTTCATTTATTTATAAAAAGGCTACGGGGTATTAAACAAAGGGGAGTGTTACGGAAATACTATAATCCGCCCGACTTGGCGGTGTGGAGTATCTGACAATCGATTTAACCCCTGAATCCTTTAGATAGTTAAGCACCCAAGATCTAGAGTTGAGCACCTAGATAGGAATACAAGAGACTCAGTTGGTTAAGATACTGCGATTCCTGGTGTTTCCACTGAATGACATCTACTTCCTAATTAGGCTAGTTGGCCTGTAGTTGATAGAATAGCTCCCTACGCCCCATTTCCCCCTGAGTTCCACAACACTATTAATATATCCTTTTGGGGATATTGCTGTCCAAAACTAAGGCAGATTAGAACAGTTGTACCAGCTTTCTCCTAATACTCATTAAGGGCCTTATTCTGGGGTGTGTGGGTGTTGCGAGCCTGTTTTCCCTGGCAGACACAACCACGCAGTGTGTTGTATAACACGCCATATTCCCGGGCAATCTTTGCAAAATTTGGTTTTTTTTCCTTACTGGCGGCTTTACAGGCCTGCAATACGCGTTTTTCAAGTTCTCCGGTTGATCTAGGCATATTGTGTGGATAAGAATAGCCTCAAGAAGATGGGAGGATGGAAAATTGGTCTATCGGTGTGAATTGGTCTATCGGTGTGGTGCACCCACTGCCGAAAGGCGGTGGGGGCACTGGAAGGAACGGATACATGATTAAAATACAATACGGCCCTGTGGAACAGGCATCTTCGGAAAAATTACAAAAGTGGCTTAACAGTTTTTGGCATTGGGGTACAGGAAATATTTGAGGAGTATAAGGACCCGGGCGCCGTTTTTGCAATCAACTGTAACTGAATGGTCCAATGTCAAAATAATATAGTCCACAACTTAGTCTGAAGTTACCTTCGCAAAAATGTTTTGCAATATTTCCGGAGAACTTTCCGACATATAGGTAACGTTGTTCACCTCTCACTGTCATATGAGAAGGAGGAACCTGAAGTAATGATAAGGGATCTAAGGAATCCTCTGCTTGCTTCTCAGGTATTTGTAGCTGATCCTCCTGCTGCCTGAAGGGGAAAAAAAGGTGCAGATTAATGACCTAATTATCGGTATCCATGCCTCATGTTCTGTAGTCATTAGACTAAAAATGTTATTTAAGTCTAGTGTCCAGGACACAAAAGAGAATGTGATGCTATCTTCTTACAGTACAGCACAGTGATCACAACATTTATATATCATCTCCTAAAGAAGAATTTCTTTTACAGATACTTACGCGGCTACTCCGTGGAACGGTTTAGGAATAGTCAAAATGAAATTTTTCTTATGCAGAAGCAGGAACTCCGACAATCTCGCTACTATTCACGCCGAATTTCAACGCATGAAAGACATTCCCGAGATCAAGCTAGCTGACGATATCACGGCTTTCCTGGAAGGTGTGCATTCTTCATTTGATTTAAAGACCACATCAAACCCACGAGGACCCTTAAAAAGATCTCTTATCCACTACGCAGCAATGGGAGATTGCTCTGAGCTTCTTCGTTTCCTCCTAGAAAATGGTGCAGCAAAAGATGATCGTGATCAGAATAATCGTACCCCTCTCTCCTGAGCTGCGGAATATGGATCCTTAGCCTCCGTGAAGCTTCTTTTGAAACATGGAGCAGAAATCAATTCTATAGATAACATGAATTCGACACCTTTGTCTTGGCTGATTCATGCTGGTGCTTCTACGGCCCAAACGGAAGCCACAGAAGCCTTTCTGAGGAAGAAGGGTGCGAAGGAAAGGTGCTAAGCGTCGTCGGAGCTTCTGGAAGATTGGTATTAAACGGCCCCATTGCCCACTGGAAGTTTTATTGGCGAGAATCCATTACACTTTACTTGTCTTACTTTTGTCAGTTGAATACTGTACTACTGTACTCTGAACGAGCTAGCCTCAGAATTAAGACTCTCTCCGACTTGAGCGATGTCCTTATAAGCTTCACAATTGTGGATATACAGTCAACGAGGATAGATTTATACCCTGACCACTCGGCTAGGAGATATGCAGGATCCCAGAGCGATCTTGTAAAAAGGCGACTGACTGGACCCAATCAGAATAGCCCTCCAAAGTATGCTTGCAGGCGCCAGTGTTAGGATCCCAGAGCTTAATAGTTCCGTTATAAGAACCAGATGCTAGAAGCTCGCCATCTTGCGAGAAGGCGACTGACCGAACCTAATCAGAATGGCCCTCTAGAGTATACTTGAGGGCGCCAGAGGTAGGATCCCAGAACTTGATAGTTTTGTCATCAAAGCCAGATGCTAGAAGCTGGCCATCTTGCAAGGAGGTGATAGGCCGAACCCGATGAAAATAGCACTCCAAGATTCGCAATTCTAGACTCCGGTCCTCTTCCACTTTTAGGTCTGTAGATAACCAATCAGGAAGCTCTCTCACAAAATTTCCCTTAATCAGTGTTTTTTGTAGTGCGAAAATCAGGCCGGAGCTGTAAAGCTGGAGCAGTGCCATATTAACAATGTTTACAATATTTAAAATAAGTCTGCAAGCATCCGAAAGAAATCAAGCAATTGCATTATTAAATGTGTCCTATGCAAGATTAGTAGTTAGCTGCCAACAAACCAAAGGTCTTAAGAGCTTCCCTGGATCGGCTGGTCAAGTCTCACAATACCCAAGTGCCCGGTGCCTTTAGTTCATATTAATGGTTGATATGTAGCCGGATATAAATAAAAAGTTGCACAGGTTCTTCAACCTTGACCACTCATATTAGTATTCACTCTTATTTGTCTCTACACCTTATACAAGGCGATGTCAAAGTCCGAGGATGGCTAAGGCTTCGTTAAGCTTTTAGCAAGCGACGCAGGATTAGAGAGCGCTCGCACTAATATAGCCTCTCTGTGCAGTACACTACTAGGTCTCCTTGCCCTCGCTATAGCTTCAATATTGTGTGTGTTGCTCGGCGGAGGTTATTTCGCTGGGCTGGCTTGTCCTTGGTTGTTACCGCAGCGGCTAGGTAAATGTTCCTAACTTGCCATTTTAAAACCCCGGCTAATAAATTGACAGAGCAGGACGCTTGGTACGGGTTCTACTGTTGGAAATGCTTTATGGTTGTGTCAAGTGATAGATAGGGCTGTTGCATTTCGTAACCAGCCATGAAGCCCTATGGATCGCTGAAGAATGTATTTTATACTATAGGTATTAACATTAGTATAGCGATACTGCCTCCTCACTATTGAAGACCGTATATACCTGCTGTACCATGTTTAATACCCCTCGAATATGCCCTTCATTTCCAAGAAGAACCTGGTGTAGCCACTCCGCTCTCCTTGTTTGCATTCGCAGGGCTCTCTCTAGCTGCCTTTTTTCTTCCTCTAGTTTGATCTGATAATTCGTAGCCTCCTCCAATTCCTTCCTAAGCTTTTGTAAATCTGCACGTAGCTCTTCCGCGTTCTGATCAGGGCGCATTCGGGAGATCTCAAGATCAGGGTTATCCTATATTCGATCGTTGGTCCCATCATTTGGAACGGCCCAGATCTCTCCTTTGCTTAATGCCATTCTTATCTCGATATACAAGTTTGTCGACAGGTCACTCAGGTGTCTCGCAAATAGGTATCGCCTATTTTGGTGGCATTGCCATCTATACTTATCACCTTGTAACGGGTGTAGTCGCACTTCAGACGGAGCGACTGATAGTGACAGCTCTGTGTCTGTATTCTGTTAGAGGAAGGGCTTCACAGTCCTTGGCGCTCTGCTTACGTAGATACTTGGAAAGTGCTTCCCGGCATTTAACACGCTCAAAGCGGCGTTTCCTATTAGCAGGATTGGACATAGTTTGTCTGCAGAGCAATCAGCCAATCTTCTCTAGGTCGCCGATGACATTTAGTTATCCGTCTTCGGAATAAACAAGCATATGAAGATATCTGGAACTTACATAGACGCTCCGGCCTTGGTTGTAAAATATATTTACCCGTTAATCAAGGCTACTAATGCTGCGGCCTACTCTTTATAATTAAGCCTGGAAGCATTGATATTCTGGAACTTCTGGCGAGAGTATCAGATTTATTAGTAAGTGGAACCGCAGACCCGTTGCCCTTCCCCCTTTCTTTAAGTTGCGTTCATCTCAGCGTCAAAAGCTCTCTCAAGACGACTAAATAATTAATTATTGTAGACAAGGAACAGAGCACTGGAAATAAAAGCAAATGTCCCGGTCACAGCAGCTGTCACAGTGGCTGTTACAGACCATGATCTTCCTCGCGCTGTATACACATTAATCAATGTATTAAAAAGCCCAGTCGCTGAATTTATAAAAACAGGTCTATGCATCTGCACGTTAGTTCTATCACCTTTGTAGATTATAGCCAGAAACTTACAAGAACACTTTGCGAGCGAGCCATACATAGTTGCTCTGATTTCAGTAACACAGCCAAGCAGCACCCACCAAGCCAAGGAAGCAAAACACTGCAGCTATGGCGAGAAGTGATATGTTCTGTACAACTTGATATGCGGACCTGCCAGCCTGACTATTACTGGCTGTTTCCTTGAACAACGCAGACTTGCGGAGGGACATGAACGTCCCAGGGAAAACCAGGTATCCTGCCAAAAGGATCCAGGAAAATCCAGCAGCCAAGATATGATTAATTATAGGGATCTTCTCCATATCAAGCAGCATCCTGACATACTTGGTTGGTGAATCAGACCGGCTGCGATAATTATATTCAGAAGTGTTCCAGCTCTGAGGCACCTAAGACTTTAAGCTTCTACTCTGGGAGGAGGTCCACCTCATTTGGATCGTATGACTCAACTGATCTTATTAGTGGCTGTTGAACTTCGGAAGGCACATCTTATTTATAATTTTCAGGAGATCAGTTGCACTCCCCAGTTTGAGTTCCAGGCCGCAGATGCTGGTTAGGTGACAGTGGGCACCACTGCTCTTGGAGCGAGAGGCTTAGCGTGGAGTGGCCTAGGGCTTCACCAGCTATAGGAGCTAGAATGTTGAATGATGATTTCAAGGGTAAACATGAACCCTCCCATATACTGTACTTCCGCTTCTTTGGGCGGCTGATTGAAAATTGTTATTGACAACAAAGTAACAGGACAGTTTGTTTCGACTTTTATTTCTGGGTATAGACATGCCTCAAAGGTAAATCATCTCCCTCAGGTTATTATCCTATTCTGTGCCCTGCTCATCTAGGTTTTTTCATACGGTATGGGATCATTAATTGGACCAAACCCAGCTGTCAGGGGATTGCAGCCTTCGAACATGGTTTGAAGAACAGCCCTCTCCCGACTAAGAACATGAACATTACTAACACTCAATACACAACAAGGTGCGTAGTACCTACTTGTTCACCATGGAAACCCGTCTCCGTCTCCGTAGTATGGCGCAAATTTGCTAGTGCGAGCCAGCTCCTCCTGTCTTATGTCCTTAGTAATTTGCGCCCACCAGCCTCGACGCTAAAACAAATCAACGTCCAAGTATGACCCTCCTGTCTTTTTATGCCTAAATTCATATTCATAGCCACGTTTGGTCTGAATCCCAAGAATTAACACTTCCCATCCCGGCCTCAGGGTCCAGTCTGGATAGAAAATTCTCTGGTCTATATCTGACTGCAGGGTTCCAGGGGGAAGATCTATTCGGAAATTCTGAGAGCACTTTTGTGTAACCCCAGCAGCAGGGATTTTTTTGGAGGATCTTTCTGGGTAATTCGCTTCTCACGGCTTTTGGATTTAGCCCCATAGTGCCAGGCTATGCTTATTAGTGCAACTCCTGTATAGACATAGAAGGGCTACTCACGCATTAATACTTTTGAGAATCTCCTCATAATGGTATTTGCAGTGAGAATCCAAAGTATATTAGGTTACGAAACCCTGTTCCTCTCTTATATTAAAACTGCCAATGTGATTTGATATATTGCAGATAACTTTGCGGCAGGAAAAGGTGAGGACTGCTCCCTAGTGCAGCAGAGCCATAAACAGGAGACAAGGATGAAGGAAATAAATGTTAGACCTGCTATTTCAAGAGTAAATATGGCATGTAAGTTGAGATTTTCTCTTTATACCACCATAAGGATAACTAAAAGATTACAATACAGTACACCTCAGAGTCTCCGACTTTAGGGTTTCCTATTCCTGATAGAAAGTATATAACCTCCACTGCTAGAGATCTCTTAACTTGTGCTGTGTCTGTTACCTATCAGTATGTATGATGCTGAAACCATTGTCTGTGGCTCTAGTCCTCCTTATGCTAAGGTATGTCACTGTATCCTTACTAGTTGTCTTATATCTTATAATGGAGAAGACCAGTGAAGGGGGCAGTTCAAGCACAGTCTACATGCCTTATGTCTCCCGCATATGCATATCCTACCGCGAGCTCTAACCCAGCACTGTCGGCCTATTGTCCAACAGCTGTTCCTTTCTTAACACCATCCAGAATGGCGTCTGAGGCTGCGGTCTCTACAGCAACAAGCTGCACAGGGTCTAAAATAACTCAGATTACGTTTAACCAAACAATGCCAAGTTCAACCCCCTCTACTCCGGGCCTTGTATCGACGGGACAGGCTTTACAAGTGCTACAGAAACAGACCATGACAATACTCCTTTTCTGTTTCATTATGTCCATGTTCTTGGAATGAGTAATATAGCTGGATGGTAGCTGCTTGTTAGGAAGCATAGAGAAGCTAGTAACTGTTAGAAAACTTATAACATGCACGGACGCATTAACTTAAGTAACCTAGCATTGCTCGCCCTACCTACTCTATTCAAGTATTGATTTCCCCAGCCTTTTGTTGGCACGTAAATAATTCAATACGCCTGTTTGGAGGCTCAATCAGGGAGATTAATTCGGACAAGATACTAAGCTGGAACGGAATGTAGCGTTTGTTGTGTTTAACACCAGACGTGGCTTGGAAGATATCTTTATGCATAAAAAGACGATGCCGTTCGTAGCTTAGTATAGAAGTTTGGTGAAAGCTTGCTTAGTTGCTTTGTAAATAGGTGACGTATGGTGTCTTTAAAGGCAATCCCATCTGTACTTGGTCGTGTTGGATGTAATCGCACCTCGAATGGGGCAAAAAGAATGGGTAGCTCCGTCTCTTTATTCTATAAGAATCAAGGACTTGCAAACAATATATGCTCCACTTTTATTGGAAAGGGCTTCGCGGCTGGTCCGCCATCACCACGCGTTATAGATGTTTATATTCTCCTTTCCAGGGTGCTATCATGCTTTTCGAAAGTTTGGAAAAGCATTGGCAGATTTTCGAAGAAATAATTGATTTAGATACCGTAACCACAACTGCGACAGTCGCTCCAGCGGCATTCCTAAGTTACTTAAGAACAATAAAACACAACAACAAATAAATTAAAGTCTTAGCAACAAATAGGATTCCATGCATCTCTTCTGTTCAACCTTAAAAGCTTCTCAAGGACCGCATCCTTTCTTCCCTCTGTCGAAAGGAACTTGTCTTGGACTCCGGCAACTGCTTTTCAGGCAGCCATAGCTGTAGTCGATAACAGACCCCAGCACTGGTTTTCCGAATCTCCATGTTCATGACACTTATGTGGGCTACCCGGTGGAGCTCATCTTGCCACAGCCAAATGCAAATACAGTAATGGGTTTGTCCGTCTCTGGTCCGTACATCATCGATAAACCACTGTCTCCTAGAAGGCAGGCTTATGTTTGTGGAGCGGGGGGCATAGTCGGCCCTAGGCGGCCTTCTATACATCGGCCGATCTGTGGTTTGCAGTATAACTCTTGGGCGGTTTTCTGGGGCCCGACTATTCCAAATTCGCCACTGAGAAGGCATCTCGAAAGCCTTCCCTGCTCTGTTGCAGAGGTTTCTTAAACCGATCAGTTACCAGAAATGAGACGGGGGTCAACAGGGCGCCGGTTTGTGGAGGTTAAGTGTAGTAAGATGTTGATTTCTTATACCTTCCCAGTGGGCCAAATAAATAAAGGCATACCAGACTTAAGAATTTAGCGCGCCTTCGTATCAAACAAGGTATCGAATTGTTGCCATGTGCAGTGCAACTGTGGGCACTATATATAATCTCTGCTGGTCCGGAGCTCTCTTTGCTGATGCTAAGTCTACGCCCTAGCCATCTTATAATGGTCCCAAGGCTTTCCACCATCGTCTTGGTTGGCATCATGTTCAGGTACTTTTAACATTGCCTTATTTGTTGGATGTAACTCGGGCAAAAGGGCGAAGAAGAGACCGCTGTGCAACACAGAGGAGGCAATACCACTTAAACGATCCCGGATTTTATCTACGGAATAGATCTAGGAATAAGTCAATAGCCTTCCACTCCATTTTGTCCAATACAGAGGCAAAGATGCCTGAATGACTCCGTGTTTTATACAGAGAATAGATTCAGTAATGATTGTTCTATACAGAGAATAGATCAGTAATGAGTCAAAGAATCGCCCAGACCGACTTCTTCAGGTTTCGAGGGCATGCCAAGACGACCAGCCCGAATTGTTTTATACCTTTGCGTTGGATCAGTGGAAGGGCTGCTATAGTTACTTGTCTATTGCGACTGAGAATAAGATGAGCTCAATCAGGATATATATCCCGGATCCTGTCAAGAATCGCTCGAGGATCTTCGTTCCGGAAGAGCAACCGGCCTCTCTCCTTCTGCGCCCACGTCACATTCCTATACCACTCCCACTTTGAAACCAAGTCTGACTGACTCTCGCCCGCCACTGTTTCTTCAGTCTGGACTAATCGACGCAGTTTATTTTCCACACCCTTTCCCCATATTGACACCGGAAACACGGCCTCCTCAAAGCAAACCTGGTCACCATGTTCCACAACCCCATCTCGGGTGTCAAAAAACCCCAATCGACGTAGGTATGTAGGGCGGTCGACTTTCCATGTATAATTCAACGACCAGGTTGAGAGAATTAAAAGCTCAAGTATATAAGGTGGTTGTAAGAACTCTAAGACGGACTGAATAAAATATTGCCAGTCTTCTGTCTCGTCTCCAAGGCGGTAATCCCGGATGACTTCTTCTCTTTGGCCCTGCAGCCAAATAGAAAAAAAAGGGAGATCAAAATTTTTGCGCGCTAGAAAGCCCTACACGAAGTCAACAACCTTAACAATATCTATCTTCTCCTGCAATGATCGCGTTATGTTGGTGAACAGATCCCATATTCGTGCGTGAGCCTCATCCCGAAGGTCCGGTGAATAATAGGCAGCTACTCTTGCAACCCACAGTATTTCCACCATGGCCCAATGAGCGGTCAGAGCCTTGTAGAACCGTTGATAGGAGCGCTGTCTCTCTGTTGCATTCAGCTCTTGGAAAACGTCACACGTACATCTAACGGGTGGTGGAAGAGGGTCCTCTCCCTCCCATCTTTCCTCGCTTGCTTGCCAGCGTGCAAGGGAGTACGATGTCTGTATGGATGTGTCGCAGTAGAAATCGAAAAGAAGGCGCATTGCATGCCACCGACATACAACCTCCCAGATCGCTGCAGCAGACAGATTTCGGACAGCGAGGTGCTGTTGGAAGAACTCCTTACGATAGGAGAGCCCACGTGGAACTGGTGATTCGTCATACAGCGCTAATCGTTCATTAAGTCCAACCAGGAGAAATAAATCCGGTTCAAGTGCATGATGGTCCGCATTCCTCTAGTCCATTTGTTAGAATTGAGTGCCTAATGGTGATGAAGACGTACGATAATAGACCGGAAGATTCTCAATCGGGTGTTTGACGGGTTAAAAGTCCTGTAGACCCTCCTGCAGCAGCGTGCAAGGCGCAAAGCGTCATCCAGGTCATCTAGCAGTTCGAAAATATAGACGAGAATTTCAGGAGGGAGGCGGAGTAGATGACACATTATCGCTCTGACAGGGCGCTACAGAAGGTGCAGCGGCGTCGAGCGTCGGTTATGAAAGGATGGAAACTGAGCTGCGCAACATCAAAAGCAGCGGGTGCTTTTGCGGCCCGCATCTCCACCTTCGGTCAAAATTGTGTTCCGAAAACTGATAGTCTGGTCTACGATGTAGGCCGATGTTCGTGTGTGTTTAGCCCTATTCACAATAATCGTAGCTCTGTTGGAAGTCTTAGCGATCGGTAACAATGCATAATGGGACCGGACTGCTAAGCTACATGCGAATATCATACCAGTATAGTGCCGTTGAAAGAGGATACGTCAGCAGGACAAGGGTTGAGCGGGGTCACTGGGTGTGCAGTATTGAGGTTCAGGCGGTTCAGCTGAGCTTCAGGTTAACAAGGCTGAAGAGGGCGAAGAGAAAGTGGCGAGGGCGCTAAACCCAACAAATCAAAAAAAAAAGGTGAACTCCGACATACAACAGCCGGGATTCGCTGGTGGTCACCCACCCAACTACTAACCGGCCGGCGTGTGGTTTAAGTACGGCTGAGCGGACGGGAAGCCCTGTTTTCCACACCCTATGGTCGTATGTGTTATGACAAACCATAAAATTGGAATAAGACTGAAATAGACCAATGTTCTTTGGGCTGAACATTGGTCACGGTGTTGTCGAGTGTGTATAGGGAAAAAAACAAGAGCAGTGCAACGACCACCAGCGCCCACTGTGCATGCACAGTTAGCCAAATATTAATAAAAATAGGTCGTGGGATGTCTTATAGTAACACCATGCAAATCTCTCAGAGACTGCAGTTCTGTAGTGGGGACCTCTAAAAGGGTTTTAGGTAACAAGGAGCGCAGAGAATTACAGGAAGTTTCCACAGTTATTGTGGCAAGTATTAAAGAAATATTAGTTTATAATATGCGAAGCAGAAGATATAGGGTTTTATACTATTAGATTACTTTCTAATCTTGTACAGTTGATTGCGCTCGTGTTAAGTGTGATTATAAATCCTATTCCCAGAGGTAGTAGTTACTTGTTATACCCCTATTAATTTGTCTTTTAACGATATCTATTATTAAAGGCTCAAAGTTTCGTTTAGGAAACGGAATTGCTTAATTATAGTAGTCGTGTTGGCAGGTAAACAAATTTAGCCCGAATACTAGCTTTCCTTCTTAATAGTTGCTGCATTGTACTTTCAAAGCACGTTCTCTAATCCCGGAATCAAAGTCAATCTCGTAACTGTTTATAGTGCGGGCGAAGATGCCTAGATAGCCTAAGTATAGAATAGGCCTATTAATACCTAATCTTTAAGTATTTCTTTGGCTGTGATCGCGGCTTCTTTCTTAACGCGGTTGCGGAGGCACTAATCCTCCAGCACCGCCCCCTCAGTCGCTGTCGATCCATGAAAAGCTTGGTTAAGCTCAAGTCCCCGGAACAGAGGCTATCGGTGTGCATCGGTATAGCCGAAGGCACAGGCCACTGGCTCATTAATATCCCATTCGTACGTCGCGTCGAGGAGGGATGCGGTGTGCAAGACGACTAGTTGCCAATCCTTCGAGTGCAAGCTGCGCTCGAAGGACCAGGTACAAGTCAGGGGCTTCATCAAAGTCGGAAAAAAGGTGGGGGAATTGGGAATCAGCTATATGATGGCACTTGGCTTATTAGTAGCACTTAGCCTAGCGTTCTCCCACCACTCCATAAACATAGTGCGTTGTCACAAATTATAGTAATTAGGTAAATTTTCGTCGTCTCTAGGAGTCTCTTATAACCTTCTAGATACTTATGTCAAAATTTTACTATCTTGCGTCAATTATATTGTGCCCTAGTTGAGAGAACAAGCGAGCTTACCTGATGTGATATACTTACACGAATTATGTGTCAAATCAATCCTGGATAGACGTAGAATTATGGCTACGTTGCTCGCAATTGGCATTCAGAAGACTTGAGTGCTGTAGAAAGCCGTCAAAAGACTCCACGAAATCCCTGGATGCTGACACCAAATCCATCCGTACGCATGACGCACAGTATCTGTCATTGACAGCTATTACTTGGTCTTGCTGTTGGAAATCTTGCTGAGTTAGTAAAGGCGGGCTGGAAATACTAATGCCACCTGCGAACAAAGTTTCTTGCTGCATGGGGGATAGGAGGCTTTCTCCTGTCGACGTATGTATCATGTCCGCGATGTCAACATTCATACTCTGCACTGTGCCGTCTGCCTCCATTCTCAGCTGTGATACGATCAAAACAAAGCTTTGGCATACCTGTGATGTCGCATCCCAGTTGAAGTAGGTCGAGCTGCTCGTGGAACTCAGCCGCAAGATGTTCTCGTACCTGTCGGACATGCCCAAGGGCTGTAGTGCTGTCTCGCCCCAGTATCAGATTGCGTTCCTGGATAACTTTCGGGTCCCTCCATTGCCTTCGACCTAGAGTTGCTTCACCCACAGCACTGAGACTCCCTATCCTGCAGTGGTCTTCCAGTCCATGCCGGAAAGTACCGGAGTCCTGCCAGCCTTCGTTGGCTCCCAGGTACTGGTCGCTTAACTTATGGTAATTGCCCGCTATAGCCAGTCGTGTCCATGTCCCATCGCAGCCACCGTCAAGGGTTTCAAAATTGTCATCCAAGCCACTTTGGGATATATTAAGAAGATTGTTAGCCGAAAATGTTTTGGACCATCGTAGAATTTGCGGCAGAGTTAGGATCAAGTCACCATGATGTAGAATAATATCACGATGACAGCCAAATCTGTATTCGCTCGATTCATCATACGTTAGGTTCGTGGAGTACTGTTGTCTATAGGAGTCGTTCGTTGGCTGTTCTATTCTCTCCGCCAGCCATTCGAGCAGGTGGCGATGAAAACCAGGAACGAGCCGAACGGTTTGATGGCAGCTATTTGCAGGCAATGAAATCGTGCTTCGAAGATCACTGACGCCCTTCCCTTTGGTTAGAAGCCCAACTTTATCAGAAGGAGCACTGATAGTGACATCATCATCATTCGGGATGCAGCATGGTCGACTTCGTCTGGGGCGATGAAGAAATTTCCAATTCTTATCGGGACGGCATGCAACGAGAACTGCGTAGTAAGCCGGGTCTTGTTGCACCATTTGTGTTATTAGATCATGGCAGATCTGGACTGCAGAACTACTATCGTCCGTCGCCTTGCCTTCATATGGTGTAAGTATCCTTCGAATACGCCCAAAGATACCCAGGTCTTCCATATAGCTAAAGAACCCAGGGATATGTAGTATCCCATCCCGTGTCCAGTCCGACCAAGCATCGGCTGACCCAGTATACCGACATAGTAGATCTACAGGATCCGTTGTGTCGACAGGTGTTGCTGTGTCGCCAACTGTGACTGTGAGCATGGAAGCCTGATGTTATAGGACAATGATATAAGCTTACTGTTTTGAATCATCTGGCTATGCTCACATGTATACTGGCACACACTCTCAAGCGTTCCAATCAGATCAATTCTGTCCTTGTTGATGATATCAATTCCTGTGGCAAGGACTGCAAGGCGCTGGAGATGACTGCTACAAAAACTTCCCCATGATACAGATCGCGCCCAGTGTACTAGTGCTGTAGTGAGCTGCTGTGAAATGGCGTTTTTCACACTCGATAGAAATGCAACAAGAGGTAGACAGATTGGGGCACAGTCACAATGTAGTACCTCTGTGGCCTTCCAGGAAACGACCGGTGGTGAGGCTTCCAGCAATTCGGTGTCGATACTCGCAGACTCTGAAGGTGATAATTCGGGTGTTAAAGGCGCAATCGGATACGATGAACTCAGCTGCATATCGGATATATGGGAAGATTCTGCGATACAAGACATGCTGTCTCCATCGTTCACGTTGCTTTGGTGGCTCTGGTTGTTATCGCAGGAGTAGCTGGGAGGAGTGAGAACCTCTCTTGCCCCATTTCGCTGGGAATTGATGCCTTGATAACATTAGCGCTATAGTCGCATATGACACATCCCCAGGGGTCTAAAACAGTGCATACCAGTATATTTTCCACTTCGACCTATCTCCAGCTGATCTAGAACCCGTTGCACATCGCTCGCAATGATCTGGCTTCGGCTTCTTCCTCGCTGGGGCCTATGTCTCACGCTTTCTTGAAGCAATGCCCTGGATTCATCAAGGCTCTTTTTCTTACTTAGTTTAGCCAGCAACGTAAGCAAATGTTTGCTCCAGAACGTGGGTCGCAAATCGCGAGGTGTGACCGAGGTAGGAGAGGTCTTCCAATTCCGCAATATGGTCTGTAAGCTCAGGTGCTTAGCACGGTCTGACCTCCTATGCTTTTGTATGATGGGTCGCACGATATCAACGTAATTTATGGCTTTGCGGTAGTCGTTCAGGTTATCATACTTAAACGACCAAAGAGAGTTGCGGCAGGTATAGTCCCAAGCAGCAGTAATAAACGCCCCGACGCGCTCATCGACCTCTGAGCCGACTGTTAGGATGTCGGTAAGGATATCTAGGTGCTGAGACTCTGCAGTAGACTCCAATATAGAGTCAAGAACGCTTGCAGGGCTGAGGTCCCCTTCATTGAGCAGATTCACGCACATAAGATCCATGTCAAGTAGTATTTCCTGGGCCAGGGAGGGACGTTTTGAGCGTTTAGCAGCCGGCTGGCAACCTTTTTTTGATGGCTAAAACGTACTGTATGGTATGTAATCTGCATATGCGATAAATAATCGACTGTACCCATGAGGTTCTATTAATATCTTGGTCTGTTCTCTATAGCTATTATAGTTATGCAAGATCTTCAGTTTAACTTTACACACTACATCATTAATTACGGTGTAAAAGCTGGCTTAGAAGTACTATAGCCAAGTCTCATGAAGATTTGCAATTCCTGTAGAGCCGGGGCAAGCCAAGAACCGGCAGACTCCACGCCATAAATTCTAAACAGTCCTACTAACTATAGCATACAAAAATATCAGGATTTGTCGCATCAAGTATAACCTCTACACCTGTTCTTATATATACGCGTATATATATCTTTGCCCTGTTTTTCCTGGTAACTTTGGCCCTCCTCCATGGCTTTTGGTACTCTTTTTTCGTCCAGTTTTTGCCCTCCATATATGTACAAGCATGCTGCTATAACAAAGGCCCTGGGGTGGAGGGCTTACAGTTTACAAAGCTCGCAGGTTAAAGGTCCGGAGGTACACAAGCTACCAAGGTAGGCGGGATTAGGCAAGTATTTCAGCGAGGATATCCCTTCCTCTTCCTATGGGCATTGAGCTGTCTGTTATTTAAATGATGGAAACCTTGTTTTGAACGTAAGGTTCGACTTCCCTATGTCCGTATATGGGCAAATACTATTATGTATGCTCTCTAATATGACTCCCTTTTTTTTTTTTTTTTGTCTAGAAATGCTGCTGCCTCAGTTTCGGAGCTTTGGGTCATGGTACGGCACCGTTGTTTCTCAGTCGAAAACTTGTGCCTTCCAAGTTCTTGGGGAAGTGAGATACAGCCATCAACATGCCATAGTTCTGGTTTTCAGTATGGCTCTTTCCATAAATGGAGAGTGATACTCAAGTAAGGAATAGCCTATTTATTCGTCATTATAACATTTAACTACGGAAGTTCATGCTTCCTGGAGAATGTTGAAGGCTCAGTTGGACACACTAGGTCGCAGTTTATTGTGTAAATGGTAATATTTTTCGTCCTGCGAACTCTGACTTTATGCAAAGGCCTACAAGAGTCCTCTGAGGAGATATTACTTTGGTGGCCAAAGCTCCTCCTAGAATAGCTGGATTTTAAAATACCCTAACCCCCAATATCAAAACATCTGAGTGTGTTTATCATAGCAGCAAAAGCAAGGTCACTTCATGTAATATAGAATCGCTAAGGAACCAATACTTTATCGAATTTGCTCTTCGTTGGCATTTATGTCAGCCTAACAAAGGCTGGCTGGAAACAATCACACACAGCTCCTTGCTCTGCACAGTGCAGAAAACTGGTAAGAGATAAGGGCCAGAGACAACTGTCGACGGCATTACCTCTAGCTTATCGGGGTCCTGCAAGACTGTAAAATGTAATGGTACTACGGATGGATTATGTCGGATTGTCTGTTCAGTGCTAGAGAGGACGTCGGACGCACAGCTCAAGATTATTATTTCCGGAGGGGGAATTGCTGGTCTTTCAGCACCAGTTGCATTGACACAGCTTCCGTATATCAATGTTGAGTTGTTCGAACAAGCGACGGAGCTGCGAGAGGTTGGTGTTTGATATTACACCATGTCCCTCGTTGTAATGTTATAACTTAATGTATGTGTGCATGTTGGCGGATCGCTTGCCATATACAAGGGGCTTCGCGCGCTCGAACGGCTCGGTGTACTCAATGTTCTTGACGAGGATGTTGCTTCCGCAGTCCGTCCGCTGTTCTCATGACCTAGAGGTATCAACTGAGACAATTCTTTGTCCCTCTCATCGCAGATAATAACCTTGACTCTACGACGTGTAAAATCAAAAAATATCATTCGTCAACATCATTTCGTCGACGTCCCATTGCGTCAACACCAGACCGCTAGGTTCCATCGAGGCCACCAGTATGCGGCACGATTGGAGCACGTTCTAGAGAAGTATTTATTAAACAAGATGACAATTTCTGGGGAAGCCTCCAACGGCCAGGTAATCATTCACTTTGCAGATAGGACGTCAGCGAAAGGCGACGTTCTAATCGGTAGGATGGAATCCACTCGGTACGTTGTTCCAACTCCCAAAAGGGCGAATAGCTAAACTAGTAGTAGAAAGTGAAGAAGTTATTTGTTCCAAGTCATCGATTATTTGCTACCGCGGGCATCTTCCTCCGCTCTACGCTAGTCTTGCCACAGATATACTAGGTTTGCCGCTGGACACCACGCATTGGTATAATCCTACTGAGTTTCCAAGACTCGTGTCTGATAGCATGATTGTAGTGGGGACCAAAGGAGAACTTCTTTGCCTCTCGACTAGGTACTATATAACCCTAGAAGTATACGTAGCTGACAGCGAAGTAGGGAAAAACCAATATACAACTGTCGCCAATTTTGATATTCCCGTGGATGGATGGAGAGGGAAAGCCGAAGACATCCAGTGGGATCAAGAGGGGAATGTCAATTACCTCCGGCAGTGACACATGGTAAGTATTCATTTCGCACAGAATCCACCCATATCTTCTTAACCAAACTTAGGACTGGAATCAGGTTGCCCAGCCCAGATCGACAAAACCCCCTCACAAACGGGCATACCTCAATTTCGTGAGCGAGCCTTTTTCGACCTTCGTCCTTATCTCACGAGTGGCATTGCTCGGTGATGTCGCACATTCTCAAGGAGGTAACTTCCCCTTTGCTGCTGGAGGGCCATTAGCCATCGAGGACGGTTACTCCCTACTTCTTGCGTTTCGGCAGGGTTTTAGGGTCGTCGATGACAGAGAAGCCAATGGCGAAAGATATTCAGGATGCTCTTATAGTGTATGACAAGAAGAGACGCCCACGTACGGAGAAGTTATTGAAGGTTGTTGTTGAAGGCATTGGCTCACAACCGACGAACACAGAGTCAGATGCGGCTTTGGTAGAAGAGTGAGGAATGTACCAAATACAACATGGCTATCGGAGCATGATGTGAAGAGGGCATTTTACGATTTCGTTCCACGGCCAGGCTTTAACCGAGGAAAGGGACACAGCATCCGCTGCAAGTAAACCTTGGCAAAATCTGTCCGCGGGTTGCAAGGTGCTGCCCCAAAACCAAAACCCGTGAACCCGCTGGTTTGGGACGGGCAGGCATAACCGCGGTCCTCCAAGAACCCATTTTGCATAAATTTCCTAAAACGGATGGATAAAATTCTGACTCAGTAAAATTAATACGGGTATATGTTATAGATATTACGGGAATTGATAAAGCCATTCAACCGCAATCCTAATGAAATTTAGAAAACCTTTCTTGTATCTTAACTAAGATACGAAAATGTCTGTTTATTCAGAATAGTAAGGCTCGAATACGTTTGGTATTTGGTTATCAAGTGTCAGGGGTTGAACCCGTAGGATCTATAGGATAGGTTATATATATAAAGGCGACTTTTATATTACATATACACTAGTTTATATCTTTATCTGTTTACATGGTTAGGCTAATTCTCTCATCTGAGCTGTGAAAGTGGAAATTTGTCACAGATACGATCTTGAACGTATATAGTACGTTGAGCTGGATGAGCAGATAGTCATCGATTTGCGCCTTTTTGTCTGTCGGGTAGTGGTAAAGCTCAGCATCTTCACGCAGCCGGACCTAGGTCCTCACAAAATTCCTATAGAAATAAGGGGATGCCTAACATCCCGTGGAAACAGACAGCCCGCGGTCTGTTATCAAAATAAGCCACTAGTAATAGAGAAACGAGAGATTGTGGGTTGCTTTTTGATGTTTCAAATCTGCTTGTTCATTATTCCGGGTAGCGAAGCATTCCATATTTATTGCCTAAGTTTCTCGGTCGCGAGAGGTAAGTCTCTTACTCTGCTCCTCTAAAGGTGTATTATCACCTTTACTTCAATCATGTCTCAATAATCCGATCTATATTTGTCATCGATATATGAGGGCGATGCCCCAGATAACCTACCCTACCTTTAATCTGACGACCTAACACTATTCACCCTAGAGCTATCCAGCAGCCAACAGACCTTTACATCAGCTCTAGATCTTGAATTTATTCAACCACCTGCTATCTCATCGTCACTCCAGTGCGTTGGCCCAGACCAGAGAAAGCCCCGTATCCTTTACCCCGATATGACACTGTAGCGGTGGTATATCTGACCCGATTCCAAATTATAACACGCCAGTGCCAATTTTCATAAGACAACTTGGGGAACGATCAAGTGGCTTGGGTTTAGGAACGAAACGAGGCAGTGAGTAGCCTGGGTAAGCAGAAGGAGCGCATCACACCAAATTGGGCTTTGCCGGTTAACTGCCGAGTTGAAAGACCGTGTTTCGGCGAGAACAGCGGCAACAGTCCAAAATTTTGGGGTCCAGATGACTCTAGAGTATTTGTTGGACCCGTGCTAGTTCCACGCCAAAGCGGATGCACTCTCCTAAGGCTTCCTTGTGACAATCGTGGTAGTTAACTTTATTCTTGACGGTATCGTAGTCCTCTGACTGGGCCATCTGAATTATTATTATATTCAAGTTCAGCGTCCTTATCAAGTATCTACTATGTGGAACTCACACCATATGTACTGTACTTTGCTACGCACTGAATTTCTTGGCCAATGCTTTGGCCAGCCAATCTGTTCTGTGCCGTGAGAGCTTCAGTAGCTCGTGTCCTTGTCTCGCCAGACTGGCCGGGTCCGGGTCCCAGTGTCGTAGTCTATGGAGTGCGGACTGCAAGTCGAGGAGAACAATGACAGTCCTCGTCCTCGAATCCGCTTGGCCAACTCTGGAGCTCCGCAAGGTCCTATCAGTTCCGCGTCAAAACCTCCTTTCCCTTGCCGAGAGAAATCCCCCGTATCTGCCGCTCGCCTCGTGGGTTCTGACATGCAATACCCTCTCCGCTGTGCCCATTCTCGAGCCGAGTGCCGTCGGACCAGTGCATGAATCTAGGTCTCGTGGTCTTCGCCGCATGGAGAGCCTCTTCGACCGGGAGGATAGTGATTTCGCCTGGAAAGCGCGTCCAATGTCGTCACACTTTCTTCGAATCCACCAGAAGGATCCGTCGGCAGGATCTGGCCAAGTTGTCGAGCTAGATTATATTCCTGTATATATGCTATATTAACCTACTGCTGGTGGTAAAATTTTATAATTAGATAGGCAGTGTGCTTGGGGTAAATGTGGTGTTAGAGGTAATAGAGATAATGTAGTATAGGCGTATAGGCATAGTAGCATCAAATATAGGGGTTCCAGTCAATGGTGGATGAGATATATAGTTTAGGGCAACACAGGTGTTGTAGTATTCTAAATATAATATAAATCAGAGCTGTCAGTACGAGAAGACATTTCTCTGTCAAACATTCCTAATTATTTCTTAGAACAGATTTCGTTCAATAGATATTATATGTTATGTAAATTTAGTATCTGTATCTATGAGGTGCATAGAGGGACTAAAGAATCGCCAGATATATAGGTAAGTTTTAGTATGGTTGAAATTAAATATACACGTTTGGAATATGTTGTCCCTGTTGATTTCTGATTTTGTGATCCTTCGAGTACATTTAATATTGAACTGCTTATGAAAAATAGCCAATTAAAAACAAAAGGTAATAAAAGAGAAATATTGTTTGTTAAAGAGAGAAGTATATATTCTGTGGAAAGCCTTCTGGGTTCGCCCGCAATGCAGGCCCTCATATTGGAGTGTATGATCTGGGAAGTACTTCTATATTGAACATGTTATTCAGCTGATGCAGTTACTTTGAGATATTTTCATAGCATCTCCCATTCAATTTCCATATATATGATGGTAAAAAAGTAATGATCTGCGTATAGTGTCTCAGACATCGCCCCGCTGGACAAGCTCCTAGCCCTAACACAAGTCAAGTCGGACGGTATATATTCCCGACGTCCGACTCACCTTAAACCCCTTCCAGCAGATACCTACCAGCCATTCACTATGGACATTACACGGCAAGTGAGACAGATCCATCCTAGGGGACCTGTCTCGGTCCTCTAACACAGCACAATCGTCATCATGGAGGAGAGAGCCTTTCCATTGGAGAATGACGAACCATTGAAGTCAGGATTAATACTTATAGTCCAACGTACACGTCCTGCGCATTCATCTGACATACAATACCTCATCCTATCCAGACCATGAAGTGTTTATCCTTAATCACGCTGACCTTGGGTCTGGTGCCTCTGGTTGCCTCCTATCCCGCGTATAACTTCTCCGTGCCCGTGGACCATTTCCACAACGAGTCGCGATACGAGCCACACACCAACGACTTCTTTAACCTCCGCTACTGGTTCGACGCCAGCCATTATAAAGAGGGTGGTCCTATCTTTCTTCTTGCTGGGGGGGAGGATGATGCCTCACTGCTGCTCCCTATACTTTCCCACGGAATTTTCTCTAAGCTGGTAAAGACGTACAATGGTATTGGAGTGATCCTCGAGCATCGATACTATGGCACCAGCTTCCCTGTGAATGAGATTACCCCAGAGAGTCTCCGCTTCCTGACCACAGAGCAGGCCATGGCCGACTATGCATATTTCGCGTCGCACATCACCCTCCCGGGACTGGAACAGGTCAACCTGACAGCTCAGAGCGGAACTCCCTGGATCGCATATGGCGTCTCCTATGCAGGGGGCTTTGTGTCCTTTCTTCGCAAACTGTATCCGGACATCTATTATGGGGCTATCTCATCTTCTGGCACCACCGCTGCTGTCGTGGACTACTGGAAATATTACGAGCCAATCCGCCATTACGGCCCCCCTAACTGCATTAAAGCCACGCAGGATTTCGTCGATATTATCGACCACATCCTCATTAATCACGAAGACAACCAGACCCTTAGCCAACAACTCAAGACATCCATCGGCGCCTCTCCCGACCTACCCAGTCGCACTTTTGCCCTCCAGGTATCCGGAGTCGTTGGCTCATTCCAGAACCGTAACTGGGACCCGGCCATTGGGGCACCCATTTTCCGTGAATATTGTGATAATATCACCAGTTCCGATCTACTTTATCCTGAAACAAGTCTGGCTGAGGCCTCTATAAAGGAAATCATCACCATAGCGGGGTATAACGCATCCGACGACCGCTTTGTGACCGGCATGTTGAACCAAGCTGGCTATTACAACCATACTATATTCAAGTTTGATTCTTCTTCTTCATCTACCACACCATCTCCAAGCTCTGGTACCACACACAATAAAGGAGATCTCCATCTATCTAAAGGGTACAGCTGGTTCTACCAACTCTGCACGGAATGGGGCAATTACTACACAGGAGCAGGAACCCCCAGTCACATACGGCCACTAGTCTCACGCCTCATCGACGTAGCCACGCAGGCAAGCACCTGCCCGTTACTCGGCATCAAGTCCCCTCCCGACGTAGAGCGCATCAACAGATACGGTGGCTTGCACTTCTCGTACCCTCGTGTGGCTATGATCGGCGGGTTGGCGGATCCCTGGCGCGACGTGACACCTCTCGCGGAGGGGTTGCCCCTTCGACCCTCGACAGATGATGAGCCGGTTATCTTGATTGATCTGTCTGCAGATGAGGTATGGGATGGTATCCGCGGTGCTGTTCACCACTGGGAGCTGAATGGGGCAACGACAGATAATTATCCGCCTGGTCTTCCGCCAAAGGGTATTGTCGAGGCATGGGATGAGATCGTCAGGTTTGTTGGGGTTTGGTTACATGGAGAGGGTCATTGATCGAGTATAGCCAGTGTTGTGAAAACCTTGACAGGGTTCACGGTGCACAGGGGAAATAGGGAATAGGGTAGGAGAAGCTATACCAGCTACACGCACGTAGCCTACTAAGGAGCGTATATATTCAACTAGATATATGTTCAACGTCTCATCTAGATGCCACACTTTCTATTCTTCTCTGGTATAGAGGATTCGGGGGGTTGACACCATTGTGCGTAGCCAAGGCGCTAGGGAGGAATCGGTCCGAATACCACTTCTTCAACAGCCAGGATATAGTGTAGCCTTTACGGTGGAAGTGTTAGCCTATATTGGGGGGGGTCTGAAGTGATTGTATTCAGAGGGATTGTCGGCCCAACCCCTCTATGAGGAGTGTAGACAATCAGTTACCGGTATGTGCTAATATTAAGTACTAAATGAAATCCCTCCTCTGGTCTCTAGTTTACTCCTCAAGCATGATCTGTCTAGCCCTCCATGCAGCTTACTCATTCTCCGCCATGCTCACCTTCCCCTTCCGTCAACAGAGGGATCACACTACCCTTTAGTCGAAACATGGACGCATCTTTCTGGGGCCGGACCAAACAAGCCACACTTTGTGTGGCACCCGCGCCTATGCTCCCGGCGCTGTCATCACGTGATGCAACGGGCCTGTTCGCGAGGCACAATTCTCTTCAATTCAGGAGATCGGGTGAGCTGACTAACTTATTTAGATGGGTGACTAAGTGAGGCCACGTGACCATACCGAATATGGTAGGTCCCTAACAGGGCCTCTTCGCGACGCATGATTCGGACCTACCGTATTCGGTATGATCACGTGGTCTCACTTAGTCACCCATCTGGATAACTGTTCGTTTTCTGCGGGGTCTGAAGTGATTGTATTCAGAAGGATTGTCTGCCCAACCCCTCTATGAGAGATATTGGGTATATATTTCACATGATGTCCCAATATGGACTAGTTTATTCTGACAATAACTAGTCTGCTCCCTGAACCTGGAGCCCCCTGAATTGAAAAGAGTTGTCCTCGCGGACAAGCTCTAAGTACCACGTGATGTCCGCTAACCTATTCGGGAATTGGGTTTTGGAACGGAGTCAAGTACATATCATCACAGGAAGATTAAGTTGTTATTAGCTTATTACTCTTGTCTGTAGATCTGAATATACAAGATGATATACAAGATGAATATCAGATTGATTGGAAACAATCTGATTCTATACGGAATTTATTTCGTAATATGAAGCTCTATAGTTACCTGATTTGAGCCTCGATACTGAAATGTAAGATAACAATGTACTGTATGGCACCTGTGTATCATTCGGCGCTATACGCGGCGTGGGATGATGAAGTGCTGTTTTTAAGAGGCCAATCAACGATTCATCTGTCCACTGCCACACGGTTTCACATCACATGTTCTGCGAATATTACGATCTGATTGGCCAGTGAATAAGTAATCTGCTCAAACGTGCTCTGGATGCTGAACTTCAAATCTGCAATCTTCCCTGCCGCAACATATATGTCCAAGATGAGTCCTGAGTGCCTGTGGCAAAACTATTAAGGTCCTTGAAAAGAAAGCTTCTGGATAGGAAATCAAATTTGGTGAACTGTCAGGTAGTATAGACTTATTTACCGATACTCATTCGTGCTTAAACCTGATACGCAGCTCGTTGAGTCACTGCGAAATAGCTCTCTCGAAAATGAAGTCTACACCGAGTTCGGAAACCTGTGTCAATACATTCCTAATTTCAAATCTTCACTGCCAGTCTTGCATATCGACTATCGAGAGGACATTTTCCATACTCTCCCCGAGACCATCCCTGGTTTCTCATTCTATTACATCCGGATCAATCACAGTTCGTCATGACCTGGCGTTGCTAACTTCTACTATATCCAAAGCACTCGATGATGCTGGACTAGTTGTTGATCACATTTCTCAGAGTGGAGCGCGTGATAGTCAAGCTCTCAGATATCTCGGTGAAGAGGACGTAGATAAGGACGAGGATTTCCTTGAGCGGGTTTTTAGAAGGTGGAAACACAGCGCGCCAGCTGAGAGCTCGGAAAAGCGGACAGCCACACATATCAAGCACTGTGACCTCTGTCGTTCAGAAGAAAAAAAGCTATCAGATAAAAATGGGCCAGCCTTTCCTGCTTTTTCTCTAGGTAAGAGATCTGTCAGGCCAGAGATGATGGACAGAGTGGCTGACGTGAGAACTATTGTGATCAGATCCTATAAGCGAGCCATTTGTGGTTGTCGACAATACAGAGTCACTGTTTCCTGTCAAAGTAACTATATCCATTATTGGAATGACCTGCGGCACCTGCGTTGGAAGGATATCTGAAGCTCTGGAAGCCCAACCATGGTCGCGATCCGTTGATATTAGTCTTCTCAGCAATAGCGCTGCTATAACTTTATCTGGCAGAGAACACGTGGAGGATATTGTTGGTACAATCAACAGTATAGGCTATGAAGCAACAGTAGAAAAGGTGGAGGAGTTAAAAGACTCCCGGAAGACATCAAAGAAAGCAGCGAGTGACGTGTACCAGGCATCTTATTCCATAAGTGGAATGACATGCAGCACATGCATTGGAACTATCAACAACGCACTTCGACAGCATAGTTGGATAAAGAATGTTCATATTAACCTTATCTCGAACAGTGCTCTTATCGTTTACCAAGGGAAAGATAACCAGAGTCAGATCACGGATTCTATCGCAAACGTCGGGTACGATGCCGTGATAAATAATGTGGTGGAATTAGGTAGTTCACAATATCAAGATCAGCGGAGAGAGACACTAATTCGCGTGTCTGGGATGTTCTGTGAGAATTGCCCCCGACGCGTCTATGATGCTCTCTCAGAATTCGGGCAGAGTGTCATCATTGAGGAACCATTAACCCTGGCAAATCCGACCCTGAAGGTCCGATATACACCAAATGCTCCAGAATTCACTATTAGAGATATTCTTGCTTCGATCTCAGCCAGATGCCCCAGCTTCGAATTGAGCATTTACCATCCTCCGACACTGGAAGAACGTGCACAGGCTATCCATATCCGCGAGCAACGGCGTCTGCTGCTCCGAGTTGCTCTGTCAGTTACAATTGCCATTCCGAGTTTTATTATTGCTATCGCGCTGGGAAGTCTCACCCCGTCAGATAGCAGAGTAAGGCAATTCTTTGCGCAACCGATTTGGTCTGGTCAAGTCACACGAGCGGATTGGGCACTTTTCATCATGGCTACCCCAGTATATTTTCTCGCCGCAGATATTTTCCATCGACGGGCACTGAAGGAAATTTGGGCCATGTGGAGGCGTGGAAGCCCTACTCCTCTACTTCAAAGGTTTTATCGCTTCGGAAGTATGAATACACTCATGTCTCTGGGGACGTCTATTGCCTATCTTTCGTCTATTGCACAACTGGTTCTCGCTGCCACCAATCCTTCACGATCCACGTCTCACGCGGCCAGCTCCACTTACTTTGACTCTGTCGTATTTCTTACTATGTTCCTACTTGTTGGAAAGTTGATTGAGTCCTACAGCAGGTCGAAGACCGATGATGCTGTGAAAATGTTGGGAAGCCTTAGACCAACGGAGGCTCTTCTAGTTGTCCCTCATACTAATGGAGGCCAGCTTCTACAATCTGGCGATTATTCGAGACACACCAAAAGGGTCAACATCGATTTACTTGAGCTGGGCGATATAACCAGAATCCCTCACGGCGGCTCCCCCCCCTGGGATGGATCTGTAGTTGAAGGCGATTCGGAGTTTGACGAGTCTAGTTTGACAGGGGAGTCCAAGCTAGTGCCGAAAAAAGTAGGCGACAAAGTCTTCTCCGGTAGTATTAATAGGGGAAATCCAGTGTCTATCCAGATCACAGGCGTTGCTGGGGACTCAATGTTAGATCAAATTATTCGGATCGTTCGTGAAGGCCAAGCGCGACGGGCCCCAGTGGAACGTCTTGCCGACACCTTAACAGCCTATTTTGTCCCATCGATCACGCTACTTGCTGTCTCTACGTGGATAATATGGCTGGGATTGGGCCTTTCCGATAGTCTGCCCCAAGATTATCTCGATACCCCTCGGGGCGGCTGGCCACTTTGGTCGTTACAGTTTGCTATTGCTGTATTTGTGATTGCATGTCCTTGCGGGATTGCGCTCGCAGCTCCAACGGCGCTCTTTGTGGGAGGTGGTATTGCTGCCCAAAATGGGATCCTTGTTAAAGGCGGGGGACAGGCGTTTCAGGAGGCGAGCCAACTTGACTGCGTCGTCTTTGACAAGACTGGTACCTTGACGCAGGGGAGTGAGCCTGTGGTTACCGACTATGCCGCGTTACCACGGGATGACGCAGCACTAATGTCTTCCATGATTCGGCGGCTCGAAGAAACAAGTAGCCATCCAATTGCAAAAGCAGTTGTCGCATACCTCAAAGACGAGCATCTGCAAGACTTACAGGTCAAATCAATTGATGACATCCCTGGCAAAGGGATGAAAGGTACATTCACGAGCGAGGGACGAGATGTGGATGTCATCGTAGGCAGCGAGGCACTGATGGCCGACTATGGGGTGGATCTGCAGAATGGGATATGCCAAAACGTTTACTCTTGGAGGACTATGGGAAAATCAACTGCGACAGTCGCGTCGAATACTGGCTCTGTATGGCAGTTTGAGATGTGTTTTGCTATCTCAGATCCACCTAGACGGGAGGCTCGCGCTACAGTGGATGCCCTTCGGCGCAGAAACATTGATGTCTGGATGCTATCAGGTGACAACATCACAACTGCTGCTGCTGTTGGTGACATGGTTGGGATCCATAAGGACAATATAATAGCTGAAGTCTTACCTGGCCAAAAAGCGGAGAAGATCCAGCATCTACAGAGGACGGTCCTGGAGCTAAAGAATCAGAACATTTCCCGAAAATCTCGTGCGCGTTCAAAGCAGAGAGCAACAGTCGCAATGGTAGGAGACGGTATTAATGACTCTCCCGCCCTCACTGTTGCTGATGTGGGCATTGCTATTGGCTCCGGATCTGACATTGCCATATCCTCTGCCGATTTTATCCTTGTTTCGTCACAATTGGATTCCATACTGACCCTGATCGACCTAAGTCGCACAGTCATGACAAGGATCAAGTTCAACTTCGGGTGGGCGTTAATCTATAACCTTATTGCCTTACCCATTGCAGCAGGAGTGCTATACGTGGTTAAGAGTGATGGAGATCATGTTCGGCTCGACCCTGTCTGGGCAAGCCTGGCAATGGCTCTTAGTAGTGTGAGTGTGGTCTGCAGTAGTCTCCTGCTGAAGAGCCGGCTTCCCGTGGTAGGCTTTCGGGACACAACCAAACATAAATAACAATCTATTGGAGCACATGTTATGCGACTCATAAATGCTGTTAGACGTAAGATAAGAGAAGGATTTTTGTTCATATTAAAATATTTTTACTGAAGCTTTCTTTTAATTTGGAAGTCAACCTGGAAGTTTTAGTGACCCTAATACAGAAGTCGAAAGAAGACATCTACATCATGTAATTGGTTGTGTTATAGAGGCTAAAATCTTCTTGCCCTTCAAGGTTGATCAGCTAAGGCTTCAGTGCCATTGCACAATCTTCCTCAATGTCCGAAGTGTGCACCTCCATGATTTGGGATTATGGAGGGACTCCCTGTCTCTCTTCAATGGCGTATTCCTAGCCCCTCCCACCGCAACATCATACTATTCAGCCGTTACAGGCTTCACCATACTCTCGCTATCCACACAGATAGCTCCACAACGTACACGGGACTAAGTAAAGTTTTCCTTCATGGTCCATCTAATGTACCTCTGAAGAGATAGCTTATCCTAGGGGCGGCAAGAGACATCCAGATTGTGCCACGTTGGCTGCTCTTCGGGGAAAATGTGTTAGCAGATGCACTTTCACGTAGTAGCCTTCAAGAGATTGCTAATACTTGTCCCACCTCTCGGTATTGAACCGCCCATGAGGTTCCCTTCACGACCTCATCAGCTCAATGTAGATTCCCTAAAGCTGCTCTGGAATGGACTCGGCGCCAATGCGCGCTCTGTGTACCACTCCTTTAGTGTAACTACGAGAGAAACTGCACGCTACAACACTTACCAGAATGGCCAGCCTCAAAACAGTCGCTGATCTCGTGGCTAGCCTTACAGATCATTGGCATTGCCAGCCAGATATCAGTCAAACTGGATACCGCACTAGCAGAGTTAGCCGCTCTTCAAGCCTACCATGTTGACAACTTCTTTGATGATAAACTCTTTGATCTCAAACACCTCCAGCGTCCTGTCGACAGCCCGAGAAAACTTAGCCCAACGACCAAAGTACGAACCAGAGAGCCTATTTCGCGCTAGGCTATTACAAATCTATTATCATGCCTACCCACACTCTCGTTACGGTTCTCAGAGCTGACTACAGACCTTAAAGACAACTTACACTTCGCAACCACCTACAGGGTTGCATTTGCTGGGTTTCTTCGCACCGGACAGTTCACCTGCAAGAGAGGAGGCCTCGGCACAACTTTATCTTCTCAGCAACAAAGCTAACGCGCTCAATCCTTATTAGACCATGCATGTGAGTAAGACGGATTGCCGCCAGAAAGGAGTACCGAGTATTCTTGCGAAAAGAGGAGACGGAGCAAGGCCAGTAGATGCCCTTTAAAAGCTGCTATTTCTTGGTCTCAAAGGACTCGATCCCCCGTCGCTCTCCTTCCACGGAAGTCCGTTAATCGCAACAATTTTCTCTACCTTATCTGCTAAGCCGAGGGAACATGGATTCCTGACGGACGGTTGCTCAGGCCACAGTTTTCGGAAGGGTGCGGCGCAGCATGCCCACGATAGTGGGATCCTCGCCACCAGATTCAGGCACTTGGAAGAAGGACCTCGGAGGGATTCTCAGGGTATATTTCACGACGAGCGCGTCGGACTTATACAGGCTCAGCCATCGGTTCCAGACTGGCTCGCCGGCTCCGCTGTCTCTGCTGATTCCACCACCAAAAAGAACCCAGTCTCTCGATCAGGGTGGTGGGCTTCCAGCAACTGATGACCTCCGAGCAAGCTGGAGGTGCCGAATACAAGAGCACATTGGACGCTTCTTCTTCGACTTTGAATGGTGCTGCAAGCATAAATGATCCTGGAAACATTCTGAAAGTAGGTATACGGTGTAGCTTTCTTATATATTTACGGATAACCAATGTTGGACTGAGAAGTCACCCAAGGAGCGAAGAAACGGCGCCAGAGAGGTCCAGCTTGTGCAGGATGCCATCAACGAAGAGTTAAGGTGAGATAACACGAGACTGGCCCAGATGAAGCGGGTAAATTTTTGATCTGTATTAGTTTTCCTAATGACTCTGGTCAACAGTGCTCGGGTAATAAGCCTTGTGAAGCATGCAAGGTAAGGGGAGACACCAGTGTTGCCCGTAGTGCAGCTTCAAGAGCCAGAGGAAGCGGCATTCTCAGTATCTAGACAATTATCGGTCAGAGAACAAACAAAATCAAGGAAGCCTGGCTGGTGATTACAACCCAAAATCCCCCACAGTGTCTCCACAGGGCCGCAAGGACTACATCTTGGAAACTGTGGAGCTGCTATCTGAGAAGAATACCAACATTGCTTTTGATCCTATCAGAACTAGCCTCCGCCATTATATGGCTGGGGGACCTGCTTCCGAAATCTCTAACAGACTGTCAGACTGTCTGTTCAACCACGCTGGAAAAAGTGGTCGCAGCTGGGGTGTGTGTGGAGTCAACTACAGCACATCCAATTATTTTTACGACGTTCCCTACGAACACGAACGCGGAGACCAGTGTGACAGAAGGCCATCCGTCTCGTAGGCGAATATTAAATAAGTATTGGTGTCGACTTACTTAGGACGGAACCGAAGTATTCCTGCCAGTTAGAGATACTAATTGTTGGCCTACCTTGGAACAAGACATGCTAGCAGCAAGTATGCTGGCGTCTGTAACCACCGCACCAAACCCGATAGAAACAATTTTAGTCCCTGGTTGAATGTCTGGGTTTCCTTCAGGAGAGTACCCGAGCCAAGTTGATACTCCAACATCCTTTCCCCTTGCGTCTGATCTAACTGGGCCATTTCGAGTCCCTTTCGAAGGATCGGATCATCAGGATCGAGACGGTAACTTATTCGGTCAGCGCGAACTAACACCCAGGGCTTGCGCAGTATCCTTTTGTCAGCCATTATCCTCCCAGCACCACAACGATGAGCCAGGGTACCTGGATGTCTCGGAAGAGCCATTTTCCATAACAGAACCTAATCAATTGATGGGTTACAATTGGACCTGAAGTCAGACTGGGCCAAACTAGTCGCCCTACATTTCTGGTGGGTATTCGCACCTTAGGGAGCTGGTACCGAATATTGTCTTCGGAAATGTGTACAGCTTTGCTAAGTTATCCTTGCAAGTAGAGGAATTCAACTTATCGTGCTCTACATATTTGAATATTCAATGTCGCGGCTGAGATGGGTTTCACTAGATGCTCATTGACTCCTAAATCTGCAATGATGAACATAGCTGCTAGGGGAAAAAGTCAGTCGGACCACTCTCCACCTGAAGTTTTGCCTCACTGATTTATCCATATGCTAGAAATAAATAAAGCCATAAATATGGGAACATGTGCATATGGCCCAGACTAGCGTGTCCTACCATCCTATGCGGATTGATATCAAGCATACAGACTAGTAAATATCGTATCTATATGCAGACGATAGACACCCATAGCACAAAAACATACACCTATTCCAAATCTGAACTATCAATATATCATCTATCCACAGGAACCACTGACAAAAGAGCCGTCGCATCTTTTGTCGAAGCTGCAATCACATCCTCCGATGCCGATGCTGTGCGCCACATGCCAAGTCCCACGAAACGCCCATTTACGGAAAAGTAGGTCCCAACCATGCGACTTTTGCGAACCTTGCGCTGCTCGTCCCAGAACCAGTCAAAGGTCCGTAGGGGCACCAAATGCTGGATCATATACAGTGGTACGCTAGTTTTAGCGGCGTGACTACCAAGGGACGCAAGTATCGTTTCCCATTCATGGACGGATATGTTCTTTCCAAGTAGAATACCATTCCCACATCCGTCACGAATGGGTTTGAGGATATATCCGTTTTTTGTCCGGGGATCCTTCTGAGAGTCTTCGAGAAGGGTTTTGAAATCTGATGACCCCGGGATAATCGTAGGTATAATTCTTTCTCTGAGGTTCTGAGCTTGCGCAGGCGAAAGGACCTGGTGTTTATTCAGCAATGTATTCAGCTCCTGTAGAACTATGCCTAAGATTCGTTTGTCATGGGTGATAAATACACTGCGAGGATCGTTGACGCAGCATAGTCCGATATGGCGCACCATCTCCAACGGAAGAGAAAATAACTCATAGTCGAAGACTTGAAGTCCAACTTGGTGCACTTCTTCTAGGGTTTCCCCGTCCACAGTATAAGTCGAGGAACCTCTGAAGTTCTGCTGACGTCCTGGTCTGCGCCCCAGATACAGCATAAAACAAACCCAGTCCGACTGGCTTTGTTGGGCACAAGACGCAAGTCTCCCGATTTGACCTGTCTTGGTTTCATACCCGTTCGCTTTTCGATCAGGCCGAATAAAGGGCTTGTCCGCGGAAAGTCTTTGCCCTCTGATACAAAGTGTATAGGCAGATTGGGATTGAAGAACGCTAATATACCGTCTTGTACTTTCTCATACCTCGTGGCAGGCTCAACTACCGGGCTGTCTCTTAAGCAGCCTGCCAGAGCCTCGTAGACACATGCGACATAGCTAAATTAATAGGGAACGAACCATTAATTTCGCATACCCCCCCCCCCCCAAATGTCTGGCCCTCACCGCTCTCGCTGGTGAGGGCCCTCCACAGTCTAATTGAAAACCAGTCTAATTAAAATATTTCTTCCACTCCCCAACTTCTTCCTATTATTACTCACCACCGCAATGTCAGAAAATCCTCCTAACACCGAGGATCGATTAGCTAATGCCTTAAAAGCCTACTATAATCGCGGCAAGCCCCCAATTACACAGTTAGCTCGGGAATTCCGCGTTTCCTATGGCTAGTTATATAGACGCGTTTAGGGTCGCACCTCTTGTTCAGCGCGCCCTGGCCCAAATAAAGTGCTTAATAAATCCCAGGAGCAGGCATTAATAAGCTGGGTAACCCTTCTTGATAGTGCAAAAGCTTTATTAACTGCCCAAGATATTAAGGTAACTGCAAACAATATTTTACGCCGGGGTGGTTCTGATCTACGCGACAGTAAAAACTGGGCCTATTACTTTTTTAAACACCTCCCCCAAGAATTCGAGCATATTATCCAGAAGCCAATAGAGGTAGAGAGAATGGATGCCGAGCGGTTACCTATTATAATTAAGTGGTTTAATAAACTTGAGGAGGTACTTAAGGAGTACAAAGTTGGACCAAAGAATATCTATAACTTCGATGAGACCTGCTTCCAACTTGGCCAAGGAAAAACTCAGAGAGTTGTGACAAAGAACAAGCATAAAGCAAAGAATATTGGAACCGGAGGAATAGGGGGAATAGTAACAGCTGGCGAATATATTGCAGTAGATAGTTGGGTTATACCACTAATAATTCTATTCGCGGGTGCCGTACATCTGGAGAATTAGTACCGTGATCAGCCAGATTTACTAGATAATTATATTATTAGTACTTCGCCGACGGGGTGGAATAATAAGGTAAGAGATTATTATTTCCCTTAAGGTTTAAAAGTAAAAGTAATTATTTATTGAATAGGTACGCGCATACTAATGGCTGATGCATCTTAAGTATATAAAACCCCAGCTTCCCCGTCGTACAGATTATCGACTTCTATTTCTTGATAGCCACGAGTCTTATAAAAAGTTCGACTTTATAAATTATTGCTTGTATAATAGAATTCTTCTTTATTACTTTTCTCCAAAGCTTACCCATCAACTTCAACCGCTTGATTTAAAGCTATTCCAGGCCTACAAGCACTATTACAGGGTTCAAAATAATCAGACTAAACGATTAGGCGGTTTAGTTACAAAGAAAGTAGATTTTCTCCACTCTATCTATAATATTTAAATACAGACCTTTAAAGAATCAACTACCCGGCATGCATTTAAGCATTGTGGGCTTTCGCCCTTTAATCCGGAGGTTATTTGCAAACCACTCCGTCCAGACGACGACGGGCCAGATCTAGTGGTCTATAACGGAGGAAAGGAATACGAGCTACCAGAATTTAGTAATTGGCCAGATCAGGAAGGGGAAATAGAAGAAGAAACGGGTAATTTATTAGATATATCCCACCCAGAAACTCCACCGGTGTCAAGTTCTACAGTCAATTCACCACCAAAGACGTTGACAAAACTACGGGAAAAAATTACAAAAGCAAGGGAGAGACTCCCAGTCAATGCAACTCCAGAAATAATAAAGCTAAAGCACTGTCTAGAGTTAATTTTAAGGGTAGTGTTACCCAAGTGGAATTAGCAGCACAGGCATCTACCGAGCTTAGCTGTATATTAAGTAACCAGGAGCAGGCTAATGCCCCTAAAACTCGGCGCCAGGTTTCTAAAGGGGGTATTCTTGCTGTTAGGGATTCAAATACCATGATCCGGTCTAGGGATATTGCAGACACTGAGAAACAAAGACGGAAGTGGGCACGGGAGGCTAAACAAAAGCGGGATAAATGGGCTCGCCAGGACCAAACTAAGGAGCAGGAAAACCGGAGAAGAGCAAGAGAGCTTAAGTGGGTGACTGGAGATGATGGCCAGCCACTTTATTGTATAGATAAACAAGGGGAGGTGCTGTAAATAGCTTCGATTCTACCGGGGGGAGGGGGATATTTTAATTAGATGGTTTTCAAAAGTGTACCTAGCTGTGGTATGAATTATACTTGAAATTATAAAAGAATACTTGACAGAGGTGTTAGGAGTGCTCAGAAGCGCGATAGCCAGATCCTTAACTAGCTACGATGCTTAGTCAGGTACAAAGGGTTTAAAGTAGTTGGACACCGAGCGGCGCAAGACACCGAGCGGCGCGCCGCTCACCGCTCCGGCTCTCCCTTACCTCCATCTTACTTTAGATAATATTCATACCATTTATCTCCATACAAATGAAATATATTATAAAAAAAATACGCAGTAGAACTATCTGGTAGGACATTTTAATCGATTATGGCCCTGAATATTGCAATTACTGCATGTGGGAGGCCTTCGCTGCCTAGGTGCCTGGGCCTCGGCCTGAATCTTTGCCTCCTTCTCGCTGATTATTTAATGTGCCGTATCAGCAGTTAGACTGCCTCCATCTTGAATAAACTGTCTAGGCTCTTTCTTTTTTTTGCTCTTGGTACTTATCACCTGCCTGACATCGATAAAGTTTATCCTTTAACAAAGATATTTGCTGCATAGCAATCTTATTGCCTTTCATAGCTTTCTCAAGCAAAGTATCAGCAATCGATGGAAAAAAGCCTTGGTTTTGAATCTCAAGAAGTTGCTCTTTTTGTCGATTTAATTGGTAGAGATTATAAGGTGTTTTTCCCAAGTAAAATAACTGGTTACTGCCTGAAGAAGATAGTGGACTTGGTGTTTTTAACTTGATTTTTAACTTTGATATCACTGTCGAAGAATCAAGAGGAATAAGGCCAGTAGCCTTAAATCCACTTAATATATTTGCCGATAACATTGCTTTTGAGTGAACCGATGAATAGATAGATAAAAAATCTACCTTATTAATAGTTTTATACCACTATTCATCATTTCTTGCACTTTTTGACCATAAAAGTGCTTTAAAGGTGCAAAACAGCTAATATCAAGTGGTTGAAGAAGGTGAGATAAAATAAGGAGGCATATAAAGTAGAATAATTAAATTTTCCATGTAGTATTAATCAAATTCAGCAGTTGCATGGCTCCCGTGGCCATCTAAAATAAGTAATCGATAATTGACCAATAGTGCGGGATCTTGTATGCTTGTTAAAAAACTTCTTGTAGCTATTTAAGTCCCAGATTATTATTAGTCCAGCCATTCTCACTAAGACTTAGTCGATAATCTTTAGGTAGAACAGAATACCACTGAGATTGATGTTTTTTCCAGCAAAGATAATCTAGGGGGTAAAACCCAACTACTTGCTCTAACAGTTACAATTAATATAACCCATTCTCTATTACCTGGTTGGATTGATTTAGCATCAGATCTGCGTGTTTCTGCGCTGCAGACAACTTTGGCTGTTGATGTTACACCCATTTGGAAGCCAGTTTCGTCCATGTTGTAGATATCTTGTTCTAAAATGCCATATTTTTTTGTATAGTATTTTAAACCAATTAAAACCAGCCTTGAATAACCTGTGGATCTTCACACTTCGCCCGCTGGTAGTCATATCGACGATTATATCTTGACTTAATATCATTATGGCGGGAAATAAATCGAGTAACCCATTTACTACTAACTAGATCAGGGATAGAGGCCGGGGATAACAACGAAGTCTTTTGACGTGCAGATATTAAAAGACCAGCAAGATATTAAATTTGGGAGATCCGTTGAGGCAGACCACGGTTAGCCATATCAATAATCCATCTTTTTAATGTATCCTCTTCAAGATTGGACAATTTCCGGCTATTAGTAATAATATTATTGCGGTTGCTTCTTCCTTTAAGTTGATAAAGAAGAGTTCTTGAAGAGACATCAAATACCTTGGCACAGGCAGTTTTGGATAAAAATTGGTTATTATTCCATGCATCAACAGCCATTTTTATTCTCTTATCCATTGGTATGGCACTCATTTTGGTATATTAATAAAATACTGATGAAAATCAAGATAAAAAGGCTTTGAATACTGAGATGTTTGAATATTTCCAGGAAGAGCGGTGAGCGGCGCGCCGCTCGGTGTCTTGCGCCGCTCGGTGTCCAACTACTTTAGTTAACTATATTCGCACCCTCGGGCCTGAACTCTTGAAGGCCAGCGATTAGTTCTGCAATATACGTGATTCCATCTTCCCTCTCATATAGATATTCCCATTCGCACCATAGCGCACCATTCAGCTCGTTATGGGCCCCATACATAACACAGGTAGACTTCATATACTCGTTGAACTTGGCCCTGTTGTCCGTCATATCGACCCGCACCACTCCCCAACCCCACTGTGATCCACCCGCAGGGATGTAAAAGGGCCCGTCCATTTGAGTGGCATTTTAGCCAATTTAGCAATAAATCCGGTAATGATCAGCGAGGACTTTGTCAGATAATACGGCTCTATTGAGGGCGGCTCCACCTGCATAGTCAACATGTCCGGCTGCAGAGCCTCGTTCGCGGTGCACTACAAGAGGATGAATGTAGCCAACATTGTCATGATATTTGCATCTATTAGCATTTGTCATATCCAATGAAAGTGTGCGGGTGCACAAAAGGATCCTTTAAGTATGATATAAGAACAATGATTGCGTCTGTGATGGCAGCTGGAGGTAAAGACTTACACGGTATATTACCATAGAACCATGCCGTGGCGATAATATGCATAGACATATTTGCGCCAGACTTTCTACCTCCACCCTGCTTTAATACTCCGTCGATCGTAGAGATTACAGAGCCGGCCGTGGCCGATACGAGAGCTCCACTGGCGACGTTCCCCAAGAATGTAGCAGAACGCGCGTATTCTGAAACTTCGCACTAGCCTCGGTTCCTATATTGTCTCCCCCCAGGTGTAATCGCCGAACATCTACCAAGGGTATAGTACTGTAATTGAATGGTATGGCGCATCCCTTTTCTATAATACAGTGTATTTATAGCTATTTTAATACTGCTGCATAAGTTAACCTAGTACAGCGCCGAGTGTGATAAGGCCGGTAAATTCTGCGCAGTGATCACCTAGTATATTGTCCAGTTCTCTAATTGTCACTCGTAACTCACATATTATTTTGCAAGCCACTTAGGATTCTTTTAAGCAACCTTTTAGAACAGCCACGCGCATCATTGCAAGGGCATTCTCTGCATGAGGGGAATGGTGATGGATTCCTCCATAAAATTCTTCCGTAGCGTCGTTTCCGGGTAGATTAAACCGGTCAGCTAGGTAAGATAGTAGAAGGGAATATTACTATATCTTTATCAAGATATATTAAAACTAATCCTTGATCTCTTCTTCAAACAGATGATAATATATAGAAAGCACATAGATAAGATAATAATGTAGTTATGAGATCATGACAATATATCAACGCGTTATTAAGATACTACCATAGCTTTGCGCCACCGTATACGCAGCTTATCGATGGGGATTCGGGACACGGGCTTGGCTGATTCCGGCCTATCCTTGGACAAATATAATAGTAGAAAATAACTTATACTCTACTACTTAGGACGGCATATTTTTTAAGAATATTAAAGAATGATTTGTCAAGGGCTGAACTTCTATGGACCTAATAACTAGGTCGTCGAAGAGGAAAGTGAAGTGAAGAGAAAATAGTGATGAGACGATTGCGAAATAGAAAGGGGAAGAAGTCACAGAGTCCACTGATCAATGTACCAATCATGTGACAGGCGAAGAGAAAAGAAACATGAGGGTTACGCCCGAGTAGACCTCAGGGCTCTAGCCCCTTACAAGTCTCCTTTGTCTCGCTAGGGCGGGGGGTTACTGTAGGGAACAAAAAGTACGTATGTTGTGATGGTGGAGGATGCTTCATGTTACCCAACGAATTAGATGCTCCTACATGTGTGACGGACATGTCTGGAAGTGTCTGGCCAGCACCCACTGCAGCACTCCTACAAAGGTCGACTCGGCACAGATCATTCTCGACTTCATTATATTCTCCCCGGTGTTTGGCCCTCGATGAACGAAAGAAATGGTGGAGAGCTGACAGAACTACGAGCGAGATACTGCAGCTCGGAATTCACTCATTATTGGCCATTGCCCACCACCGATTCAAGAGAAAGCTCACATATGTGGCCTTTTGTCCCCTCATCCGGCAATAATGGGCTACGGGGTAGAGAAAGGTGACAGGGGGTAAAACATTCTGTGGGGCCAGATGTTGCTGATCGCGAGAAAAGGGGATTTAAAGAAAAAGAGAAAAGGGCGGGTATGGAATGAGACAGTGGTATTGAAATCATGAGGATACAGTACGGTGTAAGGTATGTAAGCCCTGTAATTTTCAGAACATCTCAGGCAAACCTCACACCAGTGAATCCTTATAATTTTTTCTTTTCTTCTCCCTTCTTCAGTTTGGAAGAGTGATACGAGGCTTGCAAAAGTATCCGTCTTCAGCTGTAGCCCACTTCCTGCGCGCGAAAAAGCTCGGACTCAGATAGATGGAGGCTTCGGCGCCCTCCGTTCGTGGCGCAAGACCAATCCTAGGATCGCAGTTAGCCTTTGATCATCGTTCGGATTTGCTATGTACACTCACTCGGAGATAAAATTGGTCGGTTTAGTTCCGGCGGCAAAAGCACTGGAATTGGTGGTTAGTTGGGAGGAACCAAATGAGGGGTTAGAAGTTGAAACACTCATGCACTCACCGTAAAATGGTTGATTCGGCAGCTAGGTTGCAATGCCGGAGTAAGTGCGTGGCAATGAAAGAATCGGGATGTGGTATCTCCTGGCACATCACATAGAGCTTGCTGGAGATTTTCTGGCGTAACTCGCTCGTTCCATTCACAGTGGGTGTGGAAGATGACGCGGTCAGTTCGTAGAGGATCAGGCAGTATTTGGGTCCTACACCGGGTCGTGTGCTTGCCCATTCATCGGGAGCCGTCACTAAAGACGTCCAGAGATCGCGACATGTCGAGAGGAAACCATCAGGACATGTTATCGACTCGTTGAATCGGAGGTGCTGCTTCCAGGAGTCAAAGCCCCTGTCTCCATGAAACAGACAGCGCGTGTAAAATTTGATCCGAGGGGCTGGGAAGGCTGTAGCATCGATTGACAACATGCGCGGCCTCAGAGTCTCGGGGTTAGTGAAAACATGTTGGCGGATTTGACTCCATGATCTCTGAAACACGGGGGATGCAAAGAATTCGTGGACAGGGGCACATGCTGCGAAGACGCTGTCCATCAAGTTCAAGACTTCAGGGATATCGAGACAGGATGGAAGCAACCAGTAGAATTTGCTGCTGACCACCGATCGCTTCAGGCCAAAGCCGATGAATCCAGAGGATGGGCCGCATAGCGGGCAGTCACCCTGCGGATGGATACTGGGCTCTGAATCTTGTAAGCATCGTGAAACTGCCTTCCAAATGTCTGGCAATACATGAAGTGTCAGGCCGAACGACAGGTCCTGAGTAACCTTCTCTAGGGCGCCGATAAGGCGCAGTGACTCTTGGAGCGATGCTGCTCGGGTCCTTTCACCGTCCGGCGGAATCATATCATTGATGAACCGTACAATAGGTTTGCCTTCTTGTTTACGCTCTTTCCAACAAAGGCTTAATTGGAATGGAGTCAGGTCATTGGTCATGGAAGAAGGATACTGTGGTTGATAATATGGAGACTCTCCAGAGCCGGACACTAAGGGACCAGGACCGATATGAGGGGCGATGATGTTGACGAAAAATCTGACGTGCTTCGCGATCTCGTGAGCAGTATAAGAGCTTGCATGTATCAGAGAATTCTCTAGATACGGGGCCAGCAGCTCACTCCATTGCGGATTTTCGGGTGCACTCGAAGAATCCGGATTGTTGAGCTGATTTTCGACCAGGTTAGAGCAAATACACGAACAGGGCGAAGGAAACAAGAGAGAACCCACCAGATAAATCAGTTTGTCGTGATCGTCCATTTTGATTCTGAAGCAGAGGGGAAAGAGGATGCAATGTTGTGAGCCAAACGGATGAAATGTTGCTTGTTGGATTAGAGGGCCAGCCTCGATTTAAATAATCCAACCTAGCCTGCATATGTATGATTATAAAATAGGCCGTTAGTGATGCAATAGGGTGCTCCTTCATCCCCAGCTGAACAATAGCAAAAGATAATAAAACAGAACCCCCACATAGCGCGCTTGGGAGAATTTGTAGGTGATGTGACTCAGGGGGAAGAAGGAAGTAAGCTCATCGAACAGCACGTAACCAGTTGCCTAATATAGGGAACGATATATTGATATCCCAGACCACAGTAACTACCATATTAACTTGGTTGACTCACACCCCCTCAAGAATACAGGAAAAGGGGTGAAGTACTCGGGTGTGTCAACAATGCACATTAGCCAAATCTAAGATGCAGATCATTACTTTATAGGTAGGTTAGCATAAATCATAGTATACGTGTATAATCACAATAGACTAGTTGCTGATTGGCAGAATTCAATTCTTTCAAGATCTAACTACATTCATCTTGTGCTTGCAGTGCCTTCTTCAACTCATTTTGAACCAATTCCAGCTCGCTATCTAAAACATTTTTGTTTCTCAGCCAGTCGGTGCGCATATAGAACTCTTTGGCTAAACTGGCTGGTGGTTGTTCTCGCTTCTTGGGCAATAAAAAGCCGTACATCAAACCACATTCCAGTGACCATTGAGCAATCCGTTGTGACGCCGGGCGTCGGACTCTATCATAGACACTGAGCGCAGTGGTCAGAGTCGAGCGATCGATGGAAGGTTTAGTCAAAATGTGCGAAAGAACAAACGCATCATGAATGCCCTGTCCACCTCCCAGTCCAATATGTGGTGTCATTGCGTGCGCTGCATCGCCCACAAGAGCCACATTGCCAGAGACAAATTGTGGTAGCGGACCTACGGTGTGGATTGCCCACTGTGAAGCTTCTCTAGATGCCTGAAGCAGACTGAGCAGTGTAGGGTCCCAACCGGTATAAAGTTGGGAGACTGTGTCGACTGATACCTGCTTGACCCAGTCGTCCCAGAATTTCCCATTCGATGGGACCGGGACATGATCGTACGCGGTCATCTGGACAAACTCCCCAACCATATTCGATGTGACAAATCTGCCATCGCCACACCACTGTTGCTTGACATTAGTAGAGACTGAGATACTTGAAATGGAGTTTACCTACAATCAAGAAGCGAGAATGGGCTGGGTGTTCTGCTGGTAGATCCTCCGCCCGGCATTTTAATCGAGTCGCCAGCTGCCCACTGAAAACCGGCTGGGCCAAGGTAGGAACATCTCGAAACATAGTCTCGCGGACTTGGGAATGGACTCCGTCTGCGCCGATAAGCAGATCCGCCACTGCAGAGCCTCCATCGGCAAAGGAAAGCGTTACCGTCGCATCTTCGTTAGATGAGTAACCGATCAATCGTTTGTCTGTGTGGATAGAGCATGATCCCCCGGTGGTCTCTTCCAGCAGACTCTCTAGAAGCATCGTTCGAGGAACCACCATGGGTGAGATATCCATTTGAAAGAACTCGTACACATTTGCGGGATTGTCTGCTCTGCGCAGTGTTGGTCCTTCCACTGCCATCCAAGTTTAGAATTGCTCCTTCTCACGATATGCCATGCTACTCTCACTTTTTTCCCACTTGGGAGCTGGAATTCCCTTTGCGCTGCATTTCGCTTCCAGTCCGACAGTATCCTTCAGCAGGTCCCAGTAGCATTGCCAGATCGCAATTCCCGCGCCGATCGTCCGTACTTCCGATTTGACCTCAAATACGTCCACTGCGATATCCTCTGCCTTGGAGAGGAACGCAGCCAAGGCCAAACCCGAGATACCACCACCACTTAGAAGACATATCAGCTAGCGAATTACCTCACATATTTGGAACTGGAATCGCATACCATACTGCGACTCGGAATTTCGCCTTGTTCCCAGAACTTTCAGGCATGGTTGGGTTGTGGAGAAGCGGAGTTGATGTTTGGTAACCCGGACAACGAAGACAGACTTGACGAGAAGATAATTAGCTGTTTGTTTTGTCATAGAAAGGGCTGTATTTTCATACTGCCAGTTCAATACTCTATATGACAAATTGGTTGCATTGAGATTATTTTTATCGCATACAGCGCTTCCGGAAGTAAAAAGGTCCATAGAGCTCAGAGCTGAGTTATTTGTTATTCCTACAATACTGTCATTTCGTGTATTCGTCGTACCATTTAAAATATTACGAAACTTTCTTCCTCCCATTACCGCAGGTCCGGGTATTGATACTGTATCAGTCCATCTATTATTTCTCACATGTTTTTGAACTCAGTTCCAGTTTTTAAGGTCTAGAAGGTATTCACCAGATATAATATTAAAGAGAGCCATGCCAGCTAATAATATCTATAGAATCCTCTTCTGACGTACAGTCGACGCCTCACTCAAAGTTTCATATTCGTGGACTTCAAAAGAAGCGTCTCTGCACATCTTGACTGCACCAGCTCCACGTCGTCTGGCGCTATCTTCAAAAGTAGCAATTGTGCTCTTTTGGACTGCAGCAATATCCTCGGCAATGTCAGGGACTGCTGGGTCGTATATCTTTTCAATCGCTGTGGTAAGGTAGTAATCATCCAGGAGGGCGTGATTGAACCCCTCACCCCGGTCTGTTGAATGTTAGTTGTATCCCTTTCGCATTACAGCGGGAAGGACTCACACATTGCCATGGTATGGGCAGCATCTCCTGTCACGGTTACCCGGCCACCCAAGTTATGCGGGGAGGGCACGGCAGGCAGATGCCAGTCCTGTAAGTTGATGCTAAGAATGGGTTGGTGGTTGTCGGGGAGAGCGTCTGTAAAGATTACCCGAAGCAGGGGGTGGAAGCATTCGGCTCGCTCTCTCATTTTTAGGACTCTTTCCGCGTCAGTCGCAGGAATATCAGTGTTAGACTCAGTGGGCCACGAGAGACATAGCTGAATCCTCCAGAGCTGTTGTTCCAGTGGCAATTCTGCAGTACCATTTATCTGGGGACTGTCCATAACCGAGAACCACATCCAAGTTTTGGTCACAGGATGGCATCCTTGGAATAGTATTGGATCCAGCTGCAATAATGGGTGGATATACTGACCCGTGACATCAAGGCTAGTTCCAAGGAAGCTGATAGGAATCGGGGATAGAGGCTGTGATTTCATATCATATAACAGAGAGCGGATCTTAGAACGACCGCCATCTGCCCCGACAAGAAGAAGTCCGGTATACGAAGAACCATCACTAAATCTAGCCGTGACCGTAACTTCATCCGAAGCGTCGAAGGATACAAAATGCTTTCCCCATATCATTTGATTCTTGAGATTCTCAAGCAGCATCAAACGAAACCGATCACGCGAGACTCTCTTTCTTGTACCAGCACTGGGCGGCAGACGCCATTTCACATCACAATTGGCAAGGTTGATGAATATCGAATGGCTCTGGTCATATCTCAACGTCGGATTCACCTGGACTTGGTCTAACCTGTCATGTAACTCGTCTGGGAGCATTTGTAGAAGCTGGGGTAGTGCGAAATGGATGGTGAGGGCCCAGCCTTGAAGTCGACTGTTGGGAGCCTCATCGCGCTCAAAGACGAGAAATGGAATTCCTCGCTATCAGATGTCAGTTGGTTGTCTAACTGTGGGAATTAGAGTCGCTCACACCTTTTTTAATGCTTGGGCAAGTACAAGACCTGCAATGCCACCCCCGATAATAAGGACTGGCAGTTGTCGCAAGGTCTGATTAGGCGTTGCTTGGTCTGCAAGCATGATTAATTGTGAGTTTTAAAACAGCAACGATGGTCAATAGGGGGCTGAAAAGTGTTTTGTGCGCTCTGGGGCTATCGAGGATGATCTTATGATTGACTGACGTATTTCAGAGGTTATACAAATATAGACAATACGTGATACGAGAACATTGCATTGTACAATACGTATTGTGTGTATCATGCGTTATTGGAGTATCATACATAATCATCAAAACAGCTGTGTACCTGCGGCTACTCTGTAGTGCTGCATAAGTTGTTTCAACCAACTGCGCCTAGCGCTTGGTTGGTTACTGATCACTGATTGATCGCATTGAATACGTTGCCTTGTCTTTTATACCACACAGTTTCAGCTCCCTAACTAAATACTACCATACACAGAACTAGCCGTTGGAGGATCCTGTAAATCTCGATGTAGATATTAGTCGATACAAGATGCATGTCCACTTAAAGTCATCAGCCATCCCACGTACGTTACTTAGACTCTAAATTCGAGGCCAATGGTATGAAATCGTTCCGTCTTGGATACTCAAATTTGTGATCAATATGCCGCAACTGCACTGGGTCCTTTCCTGCAAACCCGGATGGAGTGGGTGAAGCCTTGTACCTATCAGATGTGACAAAAAAAGATCTACGAAGCTAACAATCCCCACAGGTCACTTTCGCACCCTATGTGTTCTTGCTGTGCGCATAGTGTTCTTTCGACCAATTACTGTGACAATCATCATCTCCAATCAACCTCGCCTTGTAAACCAAGTCACTTCAGAGCTGCGACGATGCTTAGTCGAGAGGACTAATCAGGAAGTTTCCTACATTGACAGGATCAGGTATGCTAGGATCCACCTGTCTGTGGCAAAGAGAATGAATAGAAGGAGAAGAAGAATAGTATGGCTCATCTCACTCCAAATCAAGGATCCTCCAGATCGAAAAATCCGACCCAGATAGGGCCTTTAGTTCCGCTTGGCAAGATCTGTGGAATCAATTGCCGATCGCTTGCTCCCTGGATGATAATTTACCCCTGGCCGCCTCACGACCGTCCCTTGTCATTCTCGATGTAAGTTGGCCTGTGGGCTTCGTCACAATCACTCCAAGAATGTCACTGAACCTGATGCTGCAAGGGATTCCAACTGTCATGGATGCATATTGTTCGGTCACACACCAGCGGAAGCACGGTGCCTGTTATCCAATGGATGATGGGCTTCTCTGCTGGGTTTCTACGCATGTGTGGCCCAGTTGATATGGGGGGGAAAGGTGATACTTTGCGATCACTCGAAATGCACGAAAGTCTCGCGACCACCAAACCATGCGGTCAGTTAGTCCACATCCCTGGGCTGCCTCCCATGTACGACTGGGAATTTTACCCCCAGGATGTTGGGATTAAGACCGATGTCATCCTTGCCGCGGAGGTCCGTATGTCCAAGTAAGGCTTTCGGTTCCTAGATTCCCTTTTCGGCGATCAGCTGAAGCGTTCATACTGCAGGTTCATAAACGAGGCAGACGGACTGCTTACGAATTCCTCCATTGCTTATGATGGCCATGAGTGTCTGCATAGCATTTCACAGTGGATTGCGCGACGTGGTGACCGCAAGACTTTCCACTTGGGTCCAATGATGCCTTTCGAGCCAGGAGCACATCGCTTTTCGCAGTCGGCGATAGAAGCTGAATTAGCTTCTATGCCTAGCAGTGAAGGCATGCAGACCGTTCAGTTTCTTGACCAAGCCTTGGAGGCCCATGGACCACGCAGTGTAGTCTACATTAGTTTTGGGACAGAGCATTGGCCAAAGTCAATGGATCAGGTCCAGGTGCTTCTGACGACACTGACACAAAGGCGCATTCCCTTCGTAGGTTGCAGATCAAGCATGAGTCCTACGAAAATAGAAGTTGACCGAATTCTAGCTATTCACGTACGCCTTTCCTGGTGCTACGTTACCGGACGTGATGCTGGCAGAATTTAGTCATCTCGGATTATTTGTCCGATATGGACCCCAACAGACCATCCTCGGCCATCCTGCGTGTGGCTGGTTCCTTACTCATGGCGGAATGAATGGGAGCATAGAGGCTCTCAGCCAGGGTATCCCATTGTACGTTGTTATAGCCATCCCTGGGCGAAGTATGTTCAATTGCTGACTCCGTTAGGATCGGATGGCCATTTGCAGTAGACCAACCAGTGAACATAGCTCGTCTCACTCGAGTGCTTGACATTGGTTTTGAACTTGTAGAGGTGCGTAGTGGAGATTATGGTCTACAGCCATTGCACTATAGAGACCAAGCGCCTACTGGTACATTTTCAGCTTTAGAAAAAGAGTTGGCAGAGGTGTTTGATACTATGCTGGGAGAGGAGGGCAAAAAGAAACGAGCTAATGCTGAGAAGCTCAGAGATGAAATGGCACGATCTTGGTTAGAGGGCGGAGCAGCATGGAAAGAGTTCGAAAGTTTTCTGGACTTCTGGATAAGAGGGTAGTCATGGGATACATCGATCTTTTACCTCAACAATATACAGGCTATGCATCTGGTTATGTCTTGGTTTCACTTTCCATTGGTGTATCCATCGGAGTACCCCTTGGAATGTCCATTAGTGTGTCCATTTGAATGCCCATTGACCTTTCCATTTGCCTTTTCATTGCCGTTTCAAAAACAGGGTTGCCTATAGCTTGTTTCATTATCTTTAACTCTGCCTGGTGACCCTTCTGAACACTGACAATGTCCGCACTGGTCATAAGCATACCGAAACTTCGAATCCACGTATCCTTCTCTGCGTTTACCTTAAAGGACACGGTCATCAAAGGCTTTCTGTATTTTCGAGACACTTCAACCAAGCGATCGACTGCAACAAGGAATTTGGGGTCGTCTTGCTCGCTGAATTTCTTTGGCGCCAGGCCAAGAGATAGTCGGAGATCTCCAGGTCCCAACATCAACGCATTAACCCCGGGAGTAGCAGCAATCGCTTCCACATTATCCAGGCCAGTCTATTTCAAAACATTCGATGTCAGAGCCTTCCCTTTATTTTTTCTTTCTTATTTTTTTTTAAGAAATGTGGGATCTCGCACCTGGCTCTCAATCTGACAGATCACAGCAATGTGAGCATCAGCAACCTGTGTATGCGTCATACCCAGAGGGGCGATATCAGTGATGCCCTGAAGTAGAGCAGATGGAGATAAAGACCGTTCGCCACCGGAAGACGCATATCGACTTTTCTTAACAGCTTCGGCGGCTTGTTCGGCGGTATCGATGTGAGGGAATACAATTCCCCCGGCGCCTGCGTCAGAAAGGAAGATATGAGTATTGTGGGTATATGCTAGTTCTCTAGTGATAGCATATCACTAACCCGCATCCAACGCGTGCGTTATCAAGTCTGAGTGTTCCGATGGGACTCGTACAACTGCAACTGTATCTCCTTCACTGGATAGGTTGATTGTCTGAACAAGTTGGATGAGGTTCTCGGTATCAACGGCACTATAACATGCAATTGTCAGTGAGGACAACTCCAAATTCCAACTACCAGGAGATAGACGTATATGTACGTGTGGAGAGCATCCAACATGATAAAATCGAAACCTAGAACGGATGTTGTTCGCGCCACGACAGTATGAGGGAGAGCCATGATCGAGCCATACAAGTGGCTGACGGTGTTGCCCTCCTCATCCATCGTATCGGCGACTGCTTTGGCCAAGTTGGAAGGCTGGAATAGAGAAAGTGCCCGAAGATGTTTGAGGCCCATGGTGATCGTACGGACTGTATCTGGTAGAAGAAACTATGAAGAAGTTGATATTCACAAATCCGTCTGCTGATACGATAGACCCTTAGCATGTACATATATACATATATACCGAGGTACCAAGATATCGTGGTTCTTCGTAACATTTCCGTTATAATGTCCAGCAAGCTATTACCTCGAGAACACGAATTACATGAATTTCAATAATACTTATGTAATACATGTAATACTAAAAATTGACATACAAATTTCGAACATGTCAAAGTTTCATTCGTGGACATGCAAGATGACGGTGGCTGCAGATTATAGCTTGTTTTCGCGGCGATATATCGAAGCAACCAATGGCAGAGACCAAATAATGATGATGATAATAAGAATCAACCTTGTCATGCGTGAAATCAACGTAGACCACTGTAACCAATTAAGACTAGGAGCAAAGCTGGTGGAAATGCGCCGATCCGTACATATTTTTGCTTGGACTTTTCAGCTTCATTTCCATACAAATATTGTCGGCGAGAGATATTGTCGGCGAGAGCCATGCTTCAGCTCAGCAGACTCCACAGTTCAGCTTCCAGGACAGAATTACAAATCCCCCACCTTACATTTTATTTTATTTTATTTTTTTTGAATTTCCCTCACCTTAATGTGTCCAGAATGTCGCAAATTTGTGACTGCAGGGTGATATGTTTCTTACTTTACGGCGGTGCTCTCATGATGCAGTGATTGGTTAAATGATTCAAAGAACATAATAGCGCTGAGTCAAACTTGTGGATCAGGGCAATCGTCTCGTTGCTCTATCACACAAGCTGAAGCTGTTGACAAAGTAACGAATTTCATCTTCAAGTGCCCGAGATCGATAATCCACGATGCCCACACAGACCCATAGATGTATCTGTATCTGCAGTGTCCTCTGTTTGTGCTGGTTTATGTAAGGTTTTGGTATGAAGATGTTTTGGTTGCTTTTCTGCTTGAGCATTTTACCAAGAACTATTCTACTCCATATATTGCAGGGAATATTTAGGACTCATTAACAGCACTGCCCCGTGATCCTACGAGAACCAAAAAATACTATACTTTTGGCGTTCAACTAATCCTCCATTTCCCTTCTATTTTTTTTTTTTTTTTTTTGGTCAAAATGAAACCCGCACATTTTTCGCTGGAAAAGGCGATTCGCCCCAATGTTTTTGCGTTGCCAAAGTATGTCACAAGCACATCAGATGAGTTCCAAGCGCGGTGCCAGATCCTTCTAGATGCCAATGAAAACTCTCTTGGTACTTGCATCGCTCCGCCATCAAAGCCTAACAATACTTGGGATTCGTCGTACACAAATGAACTTTTGGCCTACGCTTTTGCGGGGACAACCGCGCTGAATCGGTATCCTTCAGCATTGCAGGCCCAGCTCAAGAATGGTATTGCTGATACGAAAAGGGAGTTTGGTATGTGTTTTTTTTTTTTTTCCCTTGGATCTTCCCATGTTGGCGCTGTAGAATCCTGGTTTGCTAAATGATATGCTAGGAATCACAAGCCAAAATATCTGTCTAGGGACAGGGGCTGCTGATATCATTGACCTGATCATACGAACCACCTGTCGACCAGGGCAGGACGCAATTCTGGTTCCACCCCCAACGTTTGGACTGTACCAGGTTCGAGCTGCGCTGAATGATATCGATGTGGTTTCCTCGCCTTTGGATGCTTCGTTTAACCTGCAGGTGACCGATGTATGTGCTCTATCTCCATATGTTAGATACTCTCTATATTGACCAAAGAAATAGGTTCACGGCAAGCTGGAGGAGAATCCCAATATCAAGCTGATCTTCCTCGCGTCTCCTGGAAACCCAACTGGGACTCTGATTTCGTTGCAGGATATCCAAGCAGTGTTGGACTTTCCAGGTAACGACAATCATCTCTGAATGGTGGAGGCTACCTTCATGCTAAACATCGAACAGGTTTTCACGGATATGTGGTTGTTGATGAAGCATACATCGACTACAGCAACTCTCCAGATAAATCAACGGCCCTGAATCTTTTAGCAGAGTATCAGAACATTATTGTTGTTCAAACCTTCAGTAAGGGCCCTGGACTCGCTGGTCTCCGGTAAGATGCACTGCCATCCCCGGCTGTTTCAAGAGACCACAAGATTGACGGACAGAATAGCGTCGGCATCGCCTTTTCCCACCCAGAAACAGCGAACATGTTGGACAAAGTACAAATGCCGTACACCATTTCAACTCCCACATCCATCCTGGCACAGGCGGCTATTTCTTCCAATGGCAAACAGTTGCAGAAACGCCTTGTGCGAGACGTGATCGCCAATCGGGAGTCCTTGTCTCAAGCACTGGCAGATCCAAACATCACCGAGTTAGGGGTGGGAAAGCCTTTGGGTAGTGGAGAGGCCAACTTCATTGTTCTCCCGATTCTCAATCGAGAGTCCCAGACTCACGATCAGGCGCGGGCAGAGTTAGCATCTCAAAAGCTTCAGGAAGACCATGGAATCTCGGTTCGGCTTATTGGCATGATGACGCATTGCGACGGTTGCTTGCGTATTACAATTGGGACGAAACACGATAATGACAAATTTGTAGAGGGAATTCGAAAGGTGTTGGAGGTGATTTGAGCGACTTGGTACCATATTTCATTTTAAGCATCGGAATTATGTCTTAGTCGGCAAGGTATGAATCTACTGTTTGGTCAAATAAGTCCTCGCTCGGCCTCTGCTCCAATGCTTTTAAGCTCTGCGGTGTTACGCAGGTGAACAGCTTATCAGCCATATAGGTGCCTGTGTGAATTGCTTCCCATCTTGCCTCAATCTGCAATGCCGCGCCAGAGAAACCCTCCCACAAGACTAAATATACATTCAGTTGAATCAAAAAATTTATCAAATGGGGTGGTACATGATACATGAAATATTCCATGTTTAAGTACAGCATATGATAACCGAATATATCATTGATTTCATATTCATTACTGGAAAGGTAATGGTTCAACGACAAGATTGGGAGTCCTCTACCTCCTCCTTTCCAGATGTCCATGCAGGCGTGTTTACAACGATACGTACTAAACTTTAACCACCATGGGCTCATATGCCCTGTAAATAGCCATGACAGCGACTGAAAGGATGGAGGCCCAGATGTAGTAGCCCTTGCGACAGGACTTGTTTACGTTGGCCAACATCTCCTTTTTGTCGTTCCTAGCCTTTTGGTCAGTCCTCTCATCACCTGGCCCGAACACCACATTCAAATGGACTCACACGTTTGGAAAGGGCTCATTCGGAATTGGGACATTCAGGAACTTGCAGAGCGGATCCCATCCCTGCTTCACATTGTAAACGAGTAGTCTATCGGGAGGGACTTGCTGCTGAATCCGGACGTTGTGTATGCTATGAATGTCCGATGTAAAACAACCGTAGCGGCGTTTCCAACCCGCAATATATTCGGCGACAACTTCTTTTGTCGGGGACATGCTCCAGACCGGCCAGATGAGAAGTCTTAGCAGGAGTCCCTGCAAATTATCACCGAAGTAGACCCCAAAAGTCTCATAGAAAGATGTCCACCACTGCTCATCCGAGTCCCGGACAGAAAGAATCACGACGCTGTCGGGGTAGAGCTCGAGTAATTCCGCGGTGAAGTCCATGGCTGGGGAGTCTGTGGTGGCATTGTACGGCGCAACCAGATTGGCAAGTGAAACTCCAGTAATCCTCTGGAGTTCGTGGATATCCTTGTCGGGGTGTGACTTTTTGGCGCGCAATAGCTTCAGATACGCATATCCATCTCCTGGAAAACCAAGCCGCATTAGTCATTCCTAATAGGGGGATTTGGTATGGCTCATTTTGGGCTCTTGATCCCTACCAGCGTGACCGTGCAGCACGGGGCCACATCCTAGCGCTTGCAGAGCAGCTGTCAGTGAGGAGGTCCCGGTTCTTGGGAGGCCTGCGCCAATGACTCTTGGTGGCATGATGGAATGTCGACGACCAATTCGAAACGATAATAGGTGCTGTAGGACACAGAACGCATGTTTGATGGGCTGATTCGTCGGGTTTTATAGATTCGTATGGCGTCCATGAACTTGTCGCTAGAGATGCAAAAAAAAAAAAAAAAAAAAAAAAAAAAAAAAAAAAAAAGATCCAACGAACTGCGGATCGATGAGCCATTGTTTGTACTGTATGTGCCAATTAAAGGTTAAGCTCATTTTCAGTTATCTTTCCACCGTAATGTGCTTGACAAGCGGTGTCATTAAATCTGATAAACCGGGTGGCTTGATTGACATGGAGGGGGAGAGATAGCATAGTTAGGAGTGGATCTCAAAAAAAACTTCTCCGTAAAGCTGACTTGGTCTGCAGCTTATCTCTCCTCATTTACCTAGTATTACGCAGAAACAATAGTGCCTTTCCCTTGCGTAGATTCACACTACAGTCTGTACTCTGAGGGTTGGATTTGGAACTACGAGGGATCGATGGTAAAGCGTGTACGACAGGGATTCGCATCCTAAGCCTACTACTTTTGTACCGTTCATAAATCCAACTATTGCACAGGTTTGTCTGTCGACCCCAAGAGAAGACGTGGATCGCTGGCGATCTGGGTGGGAGACTATCGGTGATTTCAGCTGAAGGTCAGGAAAGGTTTAGATCCATAAAAAAAAAAAAACCATGAGTATTGATTGATGGAGCTGGAAGATGAACAAGGCAACTTAGCCGGTTCCTCCTTGCTTTGTAATTCACAACCTGTCTGCTTTCCAAGCCAATAGTTTGGTTATTTGTATTCCTTGTGCGCCCTTTTCTCGTTGATCTTCCCAAAGCGGAACAATACATGAATACATGGCTTGGTACGGAGTAACAAAAAGAACAAAACGTATAATTCAAACCATCAAATCTCGCCACCGTTTGAAAGACTTTCACGACAGAGAAAAAGCAAAATGACCACTGTCCTTCAATTGTCTTCATCCTCGGTTCAGCTTCTAGTCGACATTTGAGATTGGTGGCCCAGGATTTAACGCTTTTCGACGCCAGCCGTGCAACCAGATCGACTGTAGCTTAGGGATGATGCGGATTGTCGGTCTCTCAGGGTCTGGCGAGGATGGCTTTGCACTTACTGTCCACGCTGTCTGTTCATGTCTGGTAGCGTTGATGACAGGAATGAGCTGTGGCAGTATTACGCGACAGCTTTTATTGACTTGTTCAACCGCATCGAGATTGCCCAACTCGAAAATATACAAGGATGAAGATGGTGTGGCAACCGACGAGTCGATGCGACGTATGTCAGATAGATGGCTACAAATTTGCTATGCTGTCTTCACCATGATCGGTATGATCGCATGCCTCGTGCGACAATATGCAAGGCCAGAAAGGACACATCAGGTTCATTGGGTAGAGGAGTGGCTTCAGCTGTCCAGCTGTGTAAGAATGCATCGATTACAGCATCACCTTCGATTCTACATTACGATTCACACTTCAGGCTATGGGGATGGGGCTAACATTGTGTTGTACTTTTCTAGGTCATGCTGCTCCTCCAGGCCGTAGCTTTGGTAGCAGAAGATCGAGTTATTCGACGCTTCACGCTGGGATGGAGCGGAAGTATGTGTCAGGTCTTGGTGATGATCATGCTATCCAGTGAATATCTTTCTCTTTCCACGTCTACGACATCCATTTCCCAATTGTACAGCGCTCTCGTCATTACGCAATATGCATCTGGATTGATTGCGTTTGTTTCCGGGCTGCTCTTACCTCGAAGACCAGATGTGATTCGAGATGGACTCGAAGTCGATCGACAATACACCAGTTCGATTATCAGCAGGATATCATTTGGATGGGCGAGGAAAGTGATCAACTTGACACGGAGGAGCAGGCGTATCGAGTTTATAGATCTTCCACAACTGCGCTCCGCGATTGATGCCTCCTCTCTTCTCAGCGCCTTTCGCGCAACCCAGCCATTGTCTTTGGACTCTTCTCCACTATGGAAAAGACTCATCATGGCACATCGAGCCACCCTTTTTCTCCAGCTGTTTCTCACCGTTTGCGGGTCATTGTTGAGCTTCGGCCCGCAGCTGGCTTTGTTGGGCTTGCTCAACACGTTGGAGAGTCAGGGTTCCCACGCTTCTCTCGGGCTTTGGGCACTGTGCCTCGGTACTACAACTATGATAGCTTCCATATCCGACTCATTAACCTATTGGTTATCCTTCAATGTCATTCCTACTCGTGTATATGGTCAACTGTGGGCGGTCATCTTCGATAAAACCTTACGCAAAAAGCATACACGGGGCTATAAGCCAGTCAATGATAATGATTCTAACGAAACAGAATCACCCAGTGAAAATATCATTAGCATCGCCTCCATTGATGTTCAACGGGTGGTGGACTGTACCACTCTTCTGTATGCCCTATACGAAGCTCCCATCAAATTTTCTATCTCCGGTATTCTCATCGCTCGACTGCTCGGTTGGCAAAGCTTACTGCTCGGTTTAATCAGTCTCGTCGTGGTTATGCCCGTAAATTGCTTCTTCGGACAAAGATACCGGAGGAATCAGGCCAGCCTACTACAGTCTCGAGATATGAGAATGGAGGTCTTGTCCGAAGCGTTGGAAGGAATCCGACAGATTAAAATGTCTGCATCAGAGCATCACTGGGAGGGTCGAATCAACGGGCTCCGTGACAGTGAGATGGTTACTCTCGAGGCATCATGGTTCTGGCAGATCCTGATCTTCTCATACTTTAATATTTGCCCCATCGTAGTGTCTAGTGTCGCGCTGGCTACTTATATGCTTCGAGCCGAGAATCCATCTGGTTCGGTCATCTTCACTTCTCTATCTACATTTGCAGCCATCGAGGCAACCTTGACTATGTTCCCTCAGACCCTTATCAACTGTCTCAACACCCGTCTCAGTCTGGATCGCATAGTCCAGTACCTTGAATCTCCCGAGAGACATGATATCTCCCTGCCGTCTGACCGCGTCTCCTTTGAGCAAGCGACTATTTCATGGACAAGCCCATCATCTTCTTCAATGGCTAATCTGTTCGCTCTCAGAAATACCAGTCTCTCTTTCCCCCCGGGGCAACTCAGTATCATATCTGGAAGCACTGGCTCTGGAAAAAGCCTACTCCTTGCTGCCATTCTGGGCGAATGTGAGATTTTGTCTGGCATAGTTCGCGCTCCTAAACCGAAGATTGATATCTCCCCTGCAAATATGAAACCCGGAGACCCCTGGATTCTTGACTCGGCTATTGCTTTTGTTCCCCAATCTCCATGGATTGAGAATGGTACAGTTCGCAGCAACATCCTTCTTGGTTTGCCCTATAATGAAACGAGATACTGGCAGGTTCTAGATTCATGTGCTCTCACCAAAGACCTGCAAACACTGGTAGATGGTGATCATACTGAAATTGGCCCCAAAGGAGTCAATCTAAGTGGTGGTCAGAAATGGCGGATCGCATTGGCACGGGCGTTGTATTCCCGTGCAGACATCCTGGTCATCGATGATATCTTTAGTGCTGTTGATGCCTACACAGCACGGCATCTCTGCGACCACGCTCTCACAGGGCCGATAGTCAGCTCTCGAACACGCATCCTGGCAACACATCATCTGCATCTATGTATATCGCATGCTGCCTACATGGTCCACATTGAAAACGGCAAGGTACGCCACGCTGGATCTGTAAATGATCTAGGTAAAGATGGTATCAGGGACTTAATTTTATACAAGATGACAGGTGTAGATGGTAGCTATGTAATGAAGGACAAAATCGAGCAGGAGGCACATGGTCAGGGTGCCCAGGATGATGAGATGGAAGGATTCAACCCCGTGTCGCTCGAAGAAACTGCTACACCGCAGCATACTCGTGCATTCGTGACACAAGAAGAACGAGAACAAGGGAGCATTAAATGGAGCACATACAAGGCATACGTAGACAACACTGGGGGTATTCGCTATCTCTTTTCTGTTTTACTTGCCTATATGGCCTATGGCTTTTTCACTCTGGAACGGGCAAGTGTTGCTCTTTGCATTTGAACGACACTCGTTTTGCTAACACACCTCTCTATAGTTTTGGTGGATTGGCCAACAACCTCATACAAGTAGGGATAATGCCAGCGCACAGCAGCAAGTAAGAACTAAATCAGTTGACACACAAGTCCTACAGTTCTTGCTTGTCTACGTCGCATTGTCTTTAATGGCTTGTGTGGTCAGCTTGTGTATCAATTTCATGGTCTTTTCTTCCGCTCTCCGGGCTTCTAAGGCACTTTTTCGACAGTTCCTTCATGCTGCCTTGCGCAGTCCTTTGCGATGGCTAGATACGATGCCATTGGGCCGTATCATGAACCGATTCTCGGCCGATATCAATACCCTTGACTCGCGACTGGGTCTCATCATACGCAATATTGTTTCGAATATAGTTGATGCCATCACTATTCTAGCTGCTGGGATGGCAGTCAATTTACAAATCCTGGGGCTTGCCATGGTTTTGCTGCCGTTTTGTATCCATTTCGCTCATCAATATCTTACCGCCACTCGCGAGCTCAAGCGTTTGCAAAGCGTCGCCCTCAGTCCTATCATCGAACAGTTCAACTCCGTAATGAGCGGTCTTCCTATCATTCGGGCGTTCAATGTTTCCCATCTATATTTGGACCAAATGCTCGTAAGGATCGACTGCTATACTCGGGCGAACTGGCACGTCTGGCTTCTTGTGAGATGGCTCAGCTTCCGGATGAGCACCATCAGCGCCATATTCACTTCTCTTTCAGCGGTCATTATTGTATACAGTCCTGGCATGACGGCAGCTAAGGCTGGGTTTGCCATGTCATTTGCTATGAGAGTGGCCAGGGTCATTCTTCAGATTACCCAGGGGTATGGGAATACGCAAATGTCCATGAACAGCATTGAGCGATTAACGGCGTATGCGAACATGGAAGGTGAAGTCTATGAAGGTCTTACGCCTCCACCCTCCTGGCCAACACACGGCCATCTGAACATATCCGACCTTGTCGTCAGCTATGCGCCGGATCTGCCGCCTGTTCTGAAGGGGATAACCTTCGAGGTACGCTCTCGCCAGCGTGTGGGAATCGTGGGCAGAACCGGATCAGGAAAATCATCTCTCGTGCTGTCCCTGTTCCGTGTTCTGGAGGCCGACCAAGGTAGTATTTCCTTGGATGGAAGGGACATCTCGACGATTGCTTTACAACAACTCCGCAGTCGCATCAGTATCATTCCGCAGGACCCAGTTTTGTTCTCCGGAACGCTGCGCTACAACTTGGATCCCTTCGACAAGCATAGTGATTCCGACCTAGTCGACACTCTGGTGCGTGTGCATTGGATGAGCAGACCAATTACTGAACTCTCGAAATCCAAACCACCCCATGAGCCAGTTGCTTCCAACAGTCTTCCATCCGAGGCATCGAGTCGACCAATGAGTCCAGAAAGCGAGGATACTCATACCGTCATCTCCGACCAACAATCTATCTGTTCTCTACTGGAAACATTTATTGCCCCGGGGGGAACCAACCTCTCTCAAGGCCAGCGACAGAAGATCTGCCTCGCTCGCGCCATTCTCTCACGACCCAAACTGCTTATCCTGGACGAAGCAACATCTGCCATCGACAAAGCAACCGATGCGTTGATTCAGGATTCGATCCGAACATATCTGACCGAGAACTCCACCACATTCTTGGTCATCGCCCATCGCATCAGTACCATTGCTGACTTTGATAAGATTATCGTCTTGGATCAGGGAGAGGTGATTGAGAGCGGTACCCCGGAGGAACTGGCCTGCAGGGCTGGGGGGTACTTTCGTAAACTGCTTGAAGAGAGTACGGAAAGAACTCTACTCCATGACTTGATCCAAGCATAATTGAATGTACTCTTCTTTACGCTGTATATGAGTGATACTATGCAGTTACTATCAATCAACCGTACATTGCCCTATCTCCATTTTTTTAGAAGGAACATTCAGCCATTACAGGAGGGCGCTGCAGTCAAACTATAATCTATCTTTACCCGATGTTTTTATGCAGTTCTTGGGATGTAACTGAGGACAAGTCAAAAGGGCTTTTCAGCTTGAGAGTAGTATTGCAATAGAGAAAAGACTTATGGGGTATATATTGTGTGCTTCATCTGAATGCTCAATGCAAAATGAGCACTATAATTGCCCCATATCAACATCCTCTGTTATAGCCCGTATCCTTGGATCAACGCGAGAGTCATCTATATCCAGCCACTTGAAGAATGATTGATTCCCTGGTAGGAAGTAATTAGGCCATGAATTGGATATTTCTGTGTTGCCCAGGGAACAATGAAGAACATTAGTGCTGGGATAAATGGGCAAACTGTATATCCCATCACGGTCTAAGACTTCATCGAATTCACCCTAACATGCACAGTCGCTGATCAGATCACAGAACATCTCAGTCATACCTCTCCAGATTGGAGGTGTATCAAACGATCGTGGTGGGTTTGAACCATCCTTTATCGAACCTTTGAATCAGATCATGCTGCCTTTTGGAAATCTCCCAAATATGCCAAACAGGAGCCGTCTATTTCAACCCAGCCGGGTCTACAGCCATCATGGACTATATTGGAGGGACGATATCTCCGTATTCTCCGGTTCTAATAAAGAACTGACGGTTCGTTTTGCCAGCATATAAATATATATTATTTTCTGTCTCATACCCATGACGTATAATCTTTATCCATTGACTATCTTACTACCTTTTCTCATCCACCTAGTTACAAATCTTCATATATCACGCTGAATTTGCATGATTTTGCCTGATGTTAGTGGTGTTCAATAGTGCTCCGGAGCATACATCCAGATCAGTTAATGACGAAGTATCGATTGTGGAAGATTTCGGTCGTGTGTAATATGTCATACTAACAGCAAGTTGGTAATTTTAATACCTGGGTAATATGTATCTTTGCAATTTCAAATTTACATCAACACCAAGTAACAGATGCATGTACAAGGGTAACTAAAACTTTGTGAGGAACACAGATTGAGCGAGCTGAACTGAGCTGAACTGGGCTGAAAACTGACCCCGGTTGAAGCTCTGGAGATCAGCATCATCGGAATGGCAGCCATAAATTATCATTGTCGTACTTCAGGTGACCAAACAGTGTTTCTGCATGCAGAGTTTCCTACCAATCCCAGTTAATTCAGGAAGAATACGTGGACGAGTACAATTTGATACATGTCACTATCTGGTAAGCTACCCCTTACTTGAGGGACTTGTTGTACATGCATAAGCGCTATCCAACATTGAAATCACGCGAATAACATAGGATGGAATGGAATAGACCAAGCCCACGCATGTGCTAGGGGTGGGGATACTGTGAAGGATAGTACGCATTATTGAAGCTGCAGGATTCATCACCTGTAGAGGAGTAACAATGCATCACATTCTCAGAGATATTCCCAGCCTCGACATGGTGTCCTTCATAGGAATAAGGAGACTTGATTTTGCCCGCCTGAGGGTTCTATAACAATACTTGGGAATCGTGCTTCCCTCAGGCAATTCAGAACAACCACAAGCAAATTTCTACATAGCGCACAAATCATCAAAATGACTCAAACCATTCCCGGCATTGCGTTGATTGGCGCGGGCATCTACGCTCGTGAGGGTAAGTCTTGTCTGTTATCTCCCCTCAGACGTAACGGTGATGGTGAATATTCACTCACATCGGGCTCGTTCTTCCCACAGAGCACCTCCCCAAACTCATTGCACACAATGCCAACCTGCTGGCCGTCTACTCGCGGTCTCAAAAGTCAGCCGAATCGATCGTCGAGGCAGCCAAGCCCCTGACCAAGAAGGCTGCCAGCATCAAGGCCTACTCCGATGAGAGTCAGGACAACCTCGATGCCCTGCTGGGTCGGGCCGATGTGACCGCTGTTGTCATTGCGGTGCCCATCCTGGCGCTGCCAGACCTGATTCGGAAATGTTTGGCTGCTCGCAAGCATGTCCTCAGCGAGAAGCCCGTGGCCAAGGATTTCAAGACGGCCGCTGCGTTGATCTCGGAGTACGAGATGGTATACAAGCCGAAGGGCCAATTGTGGTCCGTCGGTGAACAGTTCCGCTACGACCTCGGCCTCCGTAAGGCCCGTGAGCTGATCCAGTCCGGCGCCATCGGCGACCTGACGATTGTCAACGCCCGCGTGTGGGCCGCCATCAAGCCAGGCAACAAGTACTACGAGACCATGTGGCGGCAGGTCCCCGAATACCAGGGAGGATTCATCCTGGATGGCGGTATCCATTTCGTTTCCGTGCTTTCGTTTGTCGCCTGTCAAGAGATCACGGAGACGAGGGGCTTCTCCAAGCAGATTGCTCCGCATCTCCCCCCATTGGACACCGTAAATGCGGCCCTGCAGTATAACAAAGGTGCCCAGGGATGCGTGAGCATCAGCTTGGCGTCGACCAAGACGGCATTCGACTTTGTCTTCATCGGCACCGAGGGCACCCTCACCCTTCAGTTCATGGGCAAATTTGCCGTAAAGCTGGACGGCAAACAGCAGTTTGAAGAGACAATCGATGGAGAGGCAATGTCGACGGAAATCAAGACTTATCTGGATGCGCTCTCGTCCGGCTCATCTGAAGGTCTGCTGAGCGCAAGGGAGGCATTGCATGACTTGGCTGTTGTCGAGAGCCTCTGCTCTGGGGGAGGTGTCGTTCAAACCCTGTAAATATACAAATATAGTATAAGACAGTCCCATAACCACAATTCAAGATCATCCAAGATAATCGAAATCGTCCATGTTAACAACACCTGCGCAGCCGGCAACTATAGGAAAAAATTCATAGCTACGTATCGGTACCACAACATGTTCTTGCTTACCGGTAAAATTTCTCCAGCAGCGATCGCCATCACATTTTTACTCGTCGACTGGGAAATGTATCCTCTGGCCTCGAACATAAATAGGGCCATATCGCTCGAGTTTCCAGCAGATCTTCCAGTCCCACAGCGTCAAGGAAGCGACCCTTAATCCTGCGATCATGGCCATACAACACAAGTCAAACGGAGTGCTCGCACTCGAGGTATCTGATGAAGAGAGAAGTTCCCAAAGCCCCAGTGCAGAGACTGTCGGGGCAGCTGTGACCATTCTCCAGCGTGACGGCATAGTCATCATCCGAAATGCAGTGGATATCGATGCCCTGAAATGTCTCAACAAAGTCCTCTTGGAGAAATCCGAGGCCCTCGCCGCGCAGCCAGGCATTCACTTCAACAACGACCGCTCGGCGCGTAACATCTCTCAGCCACCTCCCTACACGGTTGATCTCATGTTCGAATCAGTCTGGGCGAACCCATTCACGGCCGCCATCAGCGCCGCCATCCTTGGCCCCAACCCTCGCGTGCACTTTGCCAATGGAAATACGGCCCTGGGACGCGCATCCGGACGGCAGACGGTCCACGCCGACCTCGGATCCAGGCACCTCTGCTTTCCATTTGGAATCGTGGCCAACTACTACCTGATCGACACGGATGAGACCAATGGATCAACCGAGGTCTGGGTGGGCACGCACCGTGATACGACCATCGAGGACCATGATCACTCCCCAGGTGCAGTCGGTGGCGTCTCGTCCATCAAACCGGAATTGGTCGAGGCGCGTCGAGCTGTGCTGCCCCCTGTTCAGCCAGCCATCAAGCAGGGGGACCTTGTCCTTCGTGATCTCCGATTGTGGCATGCGGGGATGCCTAACAAGAGCGAGACGGCCAGGATCATGCTTGCCTTCGGCATGTTCCCATGGTGGTATCAGAGTCCATTGAAATTGACTTTGCCGCTTAAAAGCAAGGCTTTGTTGGAGAGTTGGAAACGCAAGCACGGCTTGGATTTTGCAGCAGAGTTTGTCAATGAGGAATGGCCAGACCCGAAGTTCCGCGCCACGATCGACTCGATGAACCCCGCTATTGTCTATTGACGGCTTGACAATGTATGTAGCTAGTAACGTAATCCACAAGCGATCAAGCGAGCGGATCAACTCTGTATCTTTTTATAATCTGTCAGATATTCGGCTAGTCCCGAAGAGGAAATAGAGTACAATTGGTAAAAAGATCGTATTTGAACGAGTTGAGAGCTCTTCTTGATTGTATTCTTCTTGGTTATTCTTGATAATTATTTTGTTGTGTGCTCTGCGGGGGTGCTACTCCGTGTTAGGGACCTACCGTATCTTGCCCGCCGACAACGAAGTTAACGTTGCCGTTGACCTTGGCCGTTCTTCTTGCCATTCTGGACCCACGTGCGGACAGAGCCCTTGACTAGATCGTCCTTAGTGATGCCTCCAAAGTTTCCGTTAATGAGGGAGTCCAGGCCTGGAGGCTCCGAGAACTTGTTGTCTCTGCATACTTGCTGGCAGGGGCCCCCATCTGTCACGACCTGGCAGTGGCATTCCTTGGCATCACCGTCCGGATACACAAGGTAATACTGTTATCCGTCAATGCAGACCCCCGTGGCATCCATGGTGTGGTCGTCGAGGTAGTCGCTGAGCTTCTTACCTTCAGCACACCCGTAGCCCGAGTCAATGATAAAGGCGTATGTTTTAGATACTCGCCAGAGGGCGGGAATGGAGTAGCCAAAAAATGACTTGGCAATGTTGGCTCGCAGTTCGTTCTGAGCATTACCGGACTTTGGGGGGTTTCCTTCACGTTTACCCTCAATGAACTTCCCGTCGGAGATAGCGCTCCCAAAAATCTTAACCGACTTGTCGGTTCCGTTAAACAATTTTCCAAGCGCTAGAGAAGTAACATTGCCCCTGCCATCGATAGTCTGGCCCATAGTGTTTGAGAAGGCATCCTGTTTCTCCGGCGTCCATGGAAAGTCTTTACTGGGTAACACATCCTTGGTGATAGCTGTACTTTGTCCGATCAGAGTCATGGTAGTATCCTTGATTGTTGTCAAGTTTGCTACCTTTCTCGTGGAACCATGGGTGCTTCTTGAGGGCCAAGTTGAAGAAGGCCCGGCAGTCGAGAGGCCTCCAAGGGTAATAAGATCAATAAGCAGCAAGATCCAAGTTATTTTCCTCCTCCGGAGGAATCGGTGCAAATTTGTTCTCCAGATCTTTAAGCGCGGTGTTGACAACCGCGGCGATCTGGTAAAGAGTGTTGTAATAGTCCTTGTATAATTTATGGATCTCCACCAGCGAGTTCCAGGTAAGCTGCGCCGCGGGTCCCGACTCTGGACAGTCCGCACCTTTGGGGCAGTCTTGCGAGATGCAGCTGTCAGAGATCAATTGCCCGCAGTGGGCCTGAGCCCCCATATGGAGGGTGCTTGAGACCGACTCCATAAACTTAATATCGGAACTTTTAGAGTCAGTGTCTAACCAGATCCTAACAACGTCCCTCCATGCAGCATCTGCGTTCAACCCTTCCACCGTTTAGAGGGCGTGTAGTCCAAATAGTCCATAATAAGTGGGTGGGTGCGTGCAATCGAACTCGGTCCAGTTACTATTCCGCGTGTGGTCTGTCTTGGGGTCCTCTCTGGAACTGGTGAGTTCTATAAACATGGCCCAGCTCTTTGCTAGTGGGGGAACATCATGGTATTTTTGTAAATCACTGGCCCAGTCGGAGGCGCCTCCCAAACCCCAGGCTGCGTAGAGGGCTGAGCGTGCCTTCCTAGTTGCGCTGCTTATGTAGCCGACCCATTCCGTGTCATCATAGACAAGGATGTCACTGTGGCTGCTTGAGTCGACAAAGCTCTTAACAACTCGGCCGGGATCCTTCAAGATCTCTTCAATTTCAGCATTAGCAATGTACCCAGTGGTGTTAGTGCACTTTCCCTTCTTCGCGTCTAAATTTAAGCGGTCACCAGTGAACAAGCAGTCAGGGCCCCAGCAACCTGCCTCCGCCATCTTAAAGGATCGCCTATAACTAGTCATACCAACAATAACCTTTTTTCCAGGGACACCTGCTTTGGTTATCATAGCCAATAACTGCTTGGTCTCTGTCAGGTTAACCTGACTGCGCAGGCAGTTACCCATTTCACATCCCTTTTGGGAGTTACTGTTATGGGTATCCCACTGACCATGGAGATCATAGGTCATGTAAACAATGTAATCCACGATCGTGCTAATTTCCTTGATAGGGAACTGCTTTAAGTACCGTAGGAGAAAGGGTGGCGATGGAGACAGATTTGCCGGGCAAGAGGTTCTTAAGAATAACAAGAAAGGCCAGGTAGTTGGGACCCTCTTCGGGGCTACCGGGATTAAAGATGGGAAGATCAGGTGCACCGGGATATTCCCAGTCAATGTCGACACCATCAAGGTTATGCTTCTTAATGAGGTCAGCAATCTTTGTAGCCATTATAAGACGGTTTTTAGGTGTGACACTGTTAGGGAAAATCTGATACGTAGCAGGCATGGTCGAGAAGTCCCAACCACTGAATAACAAGATCCGGCGCCAGAACTGCGCTTGAATTCACCAAATTCGCATAAGGATAGCGCATCACCAACCTCAATATTATAGGAAGGGGTCAACATCCCAAAGCCAAAGTGGATGTGGGTATACTGCGAGGTGTCAATCTGGGAGGCATCTTGGAAGAGGTACTTTCGGCTCAAGCAGTAGCCTTTATAGTAGGCAATCTTGATGGCGCCAGTCCCGTCAACCTTGATAATATCAAGGCCGCAGTAAGAAATACAGCCGTAGGTGCCAGGCTCAGCAGTTCCCGGGGTGCCGGTGTTGGTGTCAATGCAGAAGTCCTTGGTGATACCACACTGGCCCCAGATATTGCAGCAGGCGTCCAACGGGTAGGGGTTAAGAGCAGCAATATCCAAGCTGCCAGTTGGCGGTTTGGACCCTGCCTTCTGTGGACCGCACACTGCGTTGGCAATCGGGGCAGGAAAAGGTGGAGTATCTTTGCTCAAGCTCATGACAGTGTCCTTAAACAGAGGCTTACAGTCACTCCAACCCTAGGTGTTCTTGAAGTCTAGAAGATCGTCCTTCGTGAGGCTGTACTCGGCAGCAAGATTGTCGCAGTTGTCATTTTCCTTGACCTAATATGTATAGTATAAGCTATCCTTGTTAGGACTTGGGCTGAAATCCGGGATCTCCGCTGGAGCAGCAAACTTGCTGCTTGGGCTTCAATGTAGAACAGAAGCCAGATCCAGGATTGTACTTGGTAAAGTCGGCGGCCGAAATACCCCACTTTGTAGCCAGCTCCGCACAGCCGTTGCCAGAGTCCACCTATACTGTCCTACACTCACCATGAGCACGAGCGTTGAGCTCCTCCCTAGCCAGGACAGTTGCGTTGGTGGTGCGAATAGTGTGTAGAAGCGGCGTGGTGAACATAGCCTGGCCAGGAAACTTCATGGACCCCGAGAACGACAGGCATGTCGCATTGATCCAAGATTTGATAGCGCGCTGGATGGGGGCAAACGTCCCGTTGCTGGTGGCCATGACCCCAAATATGTGGGTGCTGTCGTAATGTGACCCGCAGAGCTGCATGGCTAAGCTTGGCGTCGAGACGTTGAGGCTTGCAAGGTTGTCTTGGAGCATCTTTAGGGCAGACTCGCTAAGGCTTTGGTTCAGCAGGTCTCCGCCAATGTAGAGACCAATGGTAGCTTGACCAGACTGGCCATAGATGATGAGGGGCCTGTCCGCAGCTCCATGTCCATGGTCCACATAACTGGCGCATCTGCTTGATGAGGGACCGGAGGCCGGAAGTTGCCAGGCCAAAGCCCTCGTCCCACCACCCAATCTCGAATTCAACATCGACAGACTCAGCGGAAGCGATCTGCAGGCTTGAAGGGGCAATCTGAGAGAAATCGGGACCGAATGATGAGCAAGCTTGGATGCGGTGGTTATCGGCCAGGTCGTCAACTTGGCCGTAGAGAGAAAAGTCGTAAAACACGGTCTGTTTGCATTTATTTATCTGCTTGAAGTTGGGATAGACCGACCAGATTCCTGTGTTCGGCCCGGAAACACTGCATCGCTCTGGGCAGACTTCAGCATTGCGATAGGTTGGACTGGAAGAAAGTCTGTATCCTGGAGTGGCCACGGCTCCATCGGGAGAGAGCAAGAGGCCAACAGCCTAAATTCCGTCGTGAGCCATGACGAAGTCACCATTCTTGCACGATAGGCCCGACAGAGACACTCAATTGTAAGAATGTAAAGATAAAAGATGGATGCCCAGAATATCCCGGTGTGATGCTAATTCGCGCCTAGGTCGGCCCCTTGCCCCAAGATTCAGCTGTATCAACACTGCCGCGGCCATAGCCTAGCGCCTGCCCAGAGCGCTCAGATCCTGCGCTTTCTCCTTCTAGGTTGGAGAGTTGAGGCCATTGTAGCTGAATACCATGTTGGCCGTACAAGAGTGTTTAATATACAGCCAAATCTCCTCCGCTACGGCTCGATTAGGAAGCCGTATTTCTGTCAAATTGGCTGTGCTAGGAAGCTATCTGAAGCCGATGAAAATGCACTGTTTGAACACCTCCTTTCACAGGGATAGCGCGAGCGAGCTGAGTTGGTCTGGTGGCTGTTTTATAAGCGTGGTATGCTGGTCAGTCAATCTATAATATCGCGGGTGTTAAAGCGGAGGAAATGGACCCGAAAAGAGTTACGGCGCATATCTCTTAACCACAGCGAAGCGCTCCGAGAAGCATATATTGAAGATATTCGGCGCTTCACGGCGGAGGACTTGATCATTATAGACGAGTCTATATTCAACGAGAAGACTGGCTGGCGCTATTATGGTTACCTCTGATTAGTGATAAAGCTCGATACACCGTCCTCCATTTGCTGAAGTCCAGAATAGGCCGATCACTGCGCGAGACAATGTCCCTAGTACGTGGTGGCCGCCGCCCTTGTATTTTCCCTTGCCTTTGCATTGTTCCAAAGCACCGTATCACCCCCGGCTGTTGCCTTCTTCCTCATCTGATCTATCTGAGCAGTTGTAGAACGAGGAATGTAATTAACTGCAGGCCTGGATAATGAGGATCCTGCTTTATCAGGCGCTGAAATCTGTTGTTCCCTGGAGATCGTACAGCACCACGCGCTCCGTCGGGGTTGCGCGCGTGGCCAGAGACTTCGCCCGCTTGGGAGGCATTCTTGGTATAATATAACGATTCTTACCGTTGAATAGCTTCAATTTGGCCGTTTTGGGCAGTAAATTGGTTGTCTCCAGGTCTGAATAGGGTGCTTTTTGACGGATATCGGGTAAAATCGATGCCTTTGACGATGTGCTTTTTTCGTGTTGCAGCGCGCCAGGAAGTCCCGAACGTTTTGCATAGTTACGCTAAATGGGTGACTAAAAGATGCCATGTGACCATATCGAATACGGTACGTCTCTAACATCCACCAACGGCCATATTATTTGACACAACTTGGCCTTTACCACACGAGGATCGACGTTAGGCGTTGCATTCCCTGCAAGAACACCCATTCTATCTACTTCATTTCTCCCTCTCAGTTCATATATTCAATAGGCTCCTGGTCGACTCCCACAACTGCTAATGCCACAAACACATGCTAAATTATCTCCCAAGCGGCGTAGAGCCGGCGGGAAAAGATCCAAGTTAGGTTGTCGTACCTGTCGGTAAGTTGGATCGTAGGTGCCATACCCGGTTACCCGCTAATCAAATGCCCACAGTATTCGTCATATCAAATGTGACGAAACTCCAGTCTCATGTCGAAACTGCACAGATACCGGCAGATGCTGCGAAGGGTACTACCAGTGTCAGCTGCCTCGCAAACGGGGACGCCCCCAACAGAGGGCTGCCACCCCCACTACTCTGCCGCTCATTTCATTGGAATTTGCCAATGGTCGTCGCGGGCTGATGACTGCAGATGAGCGGCGATGTTTTGCGTATTTCCAGAATCGCACTATCCCCGCCATCTTGGGATTCTTTGACTCGGTGCTGTGGCAGAAGTTAGTACTACAAGTAAGTCAGGCGGAACCGGCCGTCTACCATGCTGTGATTGCTCTGAGCGCGGTCCATACGGACGCCGAGATGAAAGGAATGACTCTGGCAGATGAGGCTCTGGAGAATAACCAGTGGAAACGGTTTGCACTTGAGCAATCAGGACGCTCTTTCAACCTTTTAACTCAACGTCGCAATTCCCAGGACCCCCAATTAACAGTGGTCATTCTCCTCTGCTGTCTGCTCTTTGTTGTACAGGAATTGCTGCAGGGACAGTATAAAAATGCATTCAAACATCTTCGTAGTGGCCTACGCATCCTGAAAGAATCACAGATCTACAAGCAGCAAAGCATTGACGCTTTCAACGTGGATAATTGTCTGGTGGCTTCCTTTGTGCATCTGGATATTCAATCCGTGCAGTTCGCATTGGGGGCCCCCTCCTGTGTATCGATAAAGGAATCGAGGATCAGGCGGCCATGTTTGTAATCAGTAGTGTCCAAGAGGGACGGCAGGCCTTTGACATCATTGCCAGTGCTGTCTTTCGCTTTCTGGAGAAGTGCTGGTCAATGTCGGATGCAGAGATCGCCAATGGGTATAGCTCCTTGGATCTGACGCGAACCCATCTTCTTTCCCAGGCAAGTCATGTGGAATGGCTATTTCATCATTTCTGCGAAGATTCTTATGCCAGACTCAATTTAAAGGATCAAAGGGGAGCGGATATACTTAATCTACTGATGGACGGATTGTCTCTCGCTTTGGAAACTTGTCTTTTACAAAGTGATGATGCAAGCCATCAATATTACACCCCGCGATACAAGAACCAACTGTCCATGGCAGAATCAATCATTGGCAAGCTTCCTGAACGTCCAAGCATCACTCTCGATGTCGGGGTCATCCCAGCGCTGTACCTGGTGGCTGTGGGGTGCGATGATTATGGCGTTCGATGGCAAGCAATTCAGGCTCTTCAGGCTTGGCCGCACCGCGAAGGGTCATTCGACTCGACCTTGTTAGCTCGCATCGCAGCAGAGCGTATGAAGAACGAACCATGTTCCAACGACCACAGTCAACACACTGGGCCTGAACTGTCCCCACGCAAGGTCTTAGTGGCAGGAACTCAGGAAGAGCTTCAAGCCCGGATTAACATGGTGAGATGGAAAGGTGAGATGGAAAGGAATCAAACCGTTGCTCGGCTCCAAGGACCATACTCTCTGAATGCTGACAGATGGTACGCCCGGTGTGATATACTTTAAATGCGTTTTAAATCAATTTTTAACACATCTACTGAATGTAGACAATATACATCAGATAGCAGCATTATCCAACGCGGAATCAACTTCAATGACAAGCTTCCCAAATTGCTTTCCATGTTTCATATCCTCGAACAATCCATCAATGGCCTCAAGATTACCCAGCCCCTTGACCGTGCGACTAATAACCGGCCTAATCTTCTTCTCCGTCACGAACTGCAACACTGCCTTCAGCTCCGTTCTCGACCCCGTCGTGCACCCCTTTAGGTCAATATGCTTCAAAACCGCCTGCATGGACCAGTCTGTTTTCGGAGCCACCGTCATTCCGTAACTGCATATAACTCCGCCAGGCTTCAGGATTCGAATCGTCCTGGCGACAATGTCGCCGCCGGCTCCGTCAATCACAGTGTCCAGGTACGGCCGATGGGGCGGGAGCATCTGCTCCAACTGCTTCTCCCATCCCTCCGTTAAATAGTTGACACCGCCCTTCGCGCCCAACCGCCCTGCCCGGTTGATCTTGTCCTGGTCACCCGAGGTGACGTACATATTGCAGCCCATTGCCACGCCCAACTGCAGAACCTGCAATGCAACGCCGCCACCGATGCCCGTCACAAGGATATTGCGTCCCGCCTGGGCATTGCCGCTCTTGGTGACGAGGGCGCGCCATCCCGTCAATCCGACGAGCGGCAGCGCAGCGCCCTCAACAGGCGAGAGATGATCAGGACACCGTTCGACTTCGGACTCACGTACCACGATGTAATCCTGGGCGGCACCGTGCATGTACCGATTGGATGCACCGATAATCGCATACTTGGCCATGTCTTCGGGGCCATTGGGGTCTGCGTCCCAGCCTAAACAAGGGATCAGGATCACCCGCTTGTTTAGTAGAGAAGTAGCGGTTGGACTACACTCCGGACCCGTCTCGACGACAGTGCCGCAGCCATCGCAGAGCAGCGGACTCGTGAACGAGATGCCGGGGTAGAGATGTTGCCGAACAAAGAAATCCCGATGATTCAACGCGGCGGCCTGGATGCGCACTAGGAGTTCGCCGGGACCGGGCACCGGCTTAGATACTTCATTTAGTTTCAGGGGGTAGTATACCTGGCCAGGTTTACCTTCGATTTGTTTGAGAGTGATAGATCGAGGCATTATACGTATCGGAGTGATAAAATGGCCGACTTTTCTACAGATATATGGGTTAATGGGATGTATTCTTATAGTGCTTGATCCTAGAGTGAAATAACCTCGGCCAACAGGATCGATTTGTTTTATTGGTCGGAGGGTCCTATCTTCCTTTCAACCGACATGCATAAGTCGGCAGGGTGTACAGTGGTTCAACCTGGTATGATCCTGTCAAATAATATGGCCGTTGGTGGACCAGAATCATGTGACTGGATCGGGGTAAAACCCCCGTGGAGCACACAACAAAATAATCAATCAAGAATAACCAAGAAGAATAATCAAGAAGACCCGAACCAGCTCAATTCATTCAAATAAGACTTTTTACCAATCGTACTCTATTTCCTCTTCGGGATTAGCCGTATATCTGACAGATCCTTACCTAGCCCGCTCCACCCAGCAGGGGTTAGATCACATAATCATGGGGAGATCGCTTACAACACGGCTTTCTAAGTTAGCATATTTACAAGGCCTTTCAGATTCCTTACACATATATATAGATTGTCAGATATATACAGGAGTGGCAGTATTTTAGCGTGCGACCTAACGATCGTACCAGGTTGAACCAGTTCGACAGTACTATTCATAGGATATACTTTTGTCACCAGTATTTTCTATCCGACAAATTCTACAGTACAGAGTAAAGCTGGCGTCTATATATAGAACCTGTATAACTTGAAGTTACTCCAATGCAGAATTTCTCCCATTAAATGGGATAATACGATAAAGAACAATTCTTGATACGATAAATATGAAGACTGCCGATTGTTGTATGGGTAAAGGATCACGTGGCCAATCAACATTGTTCGCGAGGCACAATTCTCTTCAATTCAGGAGCTCGGGCGAGCTGACTATCTAGGTGGGTGACTAAGTGAGGCCACGTGACCATACCGAATATGGTAGGTCCCTAACACCCCCTTGGCCGAAGCGTGCTCACCCAGCGCCATTATGTACAGAATCGCGTGTAAAGCAAAAAGCCAAAAAATAAGCCAAAAACTAAGCTAAGCTAAGCCTATATTGCAGAGAAAAGCCGTAAATCCTTTAGATCAAAGCAGTTTAGTGAGGCCATCCGCAGCGTTGTCCTTATTAGGGCATAGCCGAATATTAATAATGCGGTCCGCCGCGAGCTCGCGCGTATAATAATACCGAATATTAATATACTTAGAGCGCTTGGTGGTGACTGTTAAACTAATAAGATCTGTGCAACCTTTATTATCAACGTGGAATGCAATGGGGTCTAAAGGTGCAGAGTAGATCTCTATCTTGTTAAGTAGGCAATATAGCTATTAAGTTTCCCGAGCTATATCCAACGCCGCCATATATTCTGCCTCATTGGATGATAAGGCAATGGATATCTGTTTGGCAGATTGCTATAATATCGGGGCACCGGCTAAAAGTATGATATAGCCTAATACTAACCAACGATTATAATAAGAACCTCCCCAGTCTAAATTAGTATAAACCAGTAGTTGCAGTAGGGGTCTATTTAACATGCGAAAGGTGATACCCCGCGTACAAGATCCTTTTAAATATTAAATTAAGTGTTTGGCCGCTCCGAATGCCTTTCTAGTAGGGGCCTTGTTAAACTGCGCTAGCAAGCTCGCGATATGCGTAATATCTGGACGGGTTTTAAGGCAAGCTATTAAAACTACCCGTGAGTTAATTATATTCCTCGTTTACAGTGGGATCGGGGTTGTTATTAATAACTAAACCCGGGTTTGCAGGTAAAGAGACTGGATGGGCATCTGCAAGCCCTGCCGAAGCAATAAGATTATTAATATAAAAGGTCTGCATAAGCTTAATCTAACTATCAGATTAAGTAATCTCCATGCCGAGGAAATGCTTGAGGTAAGCTATTTTTTTAATTGCGAATTTTTGTTGTATTGTGCTTAGAAGCTATTCTGTGTTTACTTTAAGCATGGTAATAATAGTAAAATTATTTATATAAGCAGTTATATAGAGATTCTTGCGAGATTAGTGAATCCATAGGCCTGGGTTATAGTTACTTGTTTTAAAGTCTAAAGCTTTAAAATTATTATAAAGACAGTTGTACTATATACATGCGGAAGGCGCGAGACTATATAGGGTATTATTTAGCTTACAAACCATAGTGTTAGGATCACCCTTTTAAAAGCCGGTTGGTTGGCATATATATATTGGTATATTAACTTTACTATTAAAAATGCCTGCACTGCGTCCGCCTAAGTAATATACTATTTATAATAAGCTGCAACTGCAAATAGAATATTAATTATTTAGGGATAAACCACTGGCGAATATGTCTCCCCAAAATAAGGATCTTGTTTAACCAAGTTACCATATATAACCTAACATGCCTTGTATTTAAAAGTGCTGTTATTAAGGTCTTTAACACTAAAAACCCAACAGCCAGGGATAGGCTTTAAGCCCTTAGGCATAGATTATTTATTAATCAAGTCCCATGCCTTAATTTTATTAAGACAGGAAGCTTCAAGCTCGCAAGCTGCTAACTATTTATCTTTATTAGGTGATTTTATTGCTTCCTGCCAAGTATTCGGAATCGGGGCCGATTTGCCTCAGCAGAAGCAGGCGAAGTAGGGGTAAATCCTGTGAATAGAGCAAAGCCTTTAGCAGGTCGAACCCAGTTAGATTATCTATTATCCTCCGCGGGAGAATCCCCATGAGATGCAGCGCTTCTTGCGCGAGATATTTAGGATCCGGAGGTACAGTAGAATTAATCGGTTTTTCCATAGGTTGTTTCCTCTAAGTCTGTTTGTTAAATAAAACATGGCTAGTCCGAATAACCTTGTTTGTCTCTTTAATATAGACTTTATAATTAGTTAAAGAATTGCTGCTGATGTAGACGCCTGGGGCGCTATAGCTAATAATCTTGTTAAAATCTTGATATCCTGGGTTGTTATAATACCAAACACAACAACCAAAGGGACGAATGTAAGCAATCTGCGGATACTTGTTAAAAAATATAAAATACAGTATAGCATGCTGCGAGGGCTAAATATCTAGATTAGTAAATACCCCCTAGAACTAAGTAATCTACGTACAGCGTAGTAAACATAGGGATGTTATTTGTAATATAAACTATATGTTGCATAGTGTCCTGCCAGAGCTAATATAGTAATCCAGAATTATACAAAATCACGCGTGTATGCTTGATAATAATCTAGTTAGTATATTTACCTAGTCTATTCTGCTATAGGGAATAGGGATTAGTTGGTTCTATCTTCGCACTATTTTTATTTACCTATTTTATTATTTCCTTAGTCACAAATTCGTTATCGCAATGCACGAACGCAGGCGGTTAAAAGCCTTGGTTTTTATATGGCTAAGCCATTGCTCGAGATGTTGGTGGACAAGCTTTTAATCCTTTAAAAATAAGATCCACTAATAGCAAGTTATATTGTCTGTTATTAGTATATAATAGCAAGAACCCGTACGAGAAGCAGGGTCGTTCAGCTGCTTATAGTGTTTAAACAGAGTATTGCCTCCACCTGCAATATTAATAAAAATGCGCTGAAGAGGTCTCGTGGTATATTTTACTAAGGTATAAAATAGGCTGCGTTTCTAATTCGCTGCATGGCAGATATCGCAAAAAAGGGCTGAGATTAGGGATTAGAAACCTTAATCTAACTGCCAGGCGTACGAGATAATCGCAAAATATTAGGGTAATTTAGGTGCGCTAATTGTCGATGCCATTAGATTATAGTAGCCACCTAAGGATTGGGTGCTTTAGAGGCTATAGCTGTAAGAGCTAATTCCTTTGGAGATGTCTTGTATACTATACTATAAATCCTATAATAGTTTATTATTAAAGGGACTGCAGTAATAGTTAAGCTATTTTTATTAGTAAAAACAATATTAGTGTACACGTCCTCTGGGATTAATAGTTTAAAACCTGCTTTTAGGAGCTGCGCGTAACTTAATAAATTTGCTAACAAACCAGGTACATGCCGTACCTCTGGTATATTAAGGGTAATATTATTTAATATTATTCGGGCCGTTCCCTTAGCAAGGGGAGGCTTTTATCTACCTAAGGATCCGCCAATATTAGGCATACCAGTTGGTAGAATCTTGTATATTAAAAAACATTTTGTCTAGGGGTTATATAGTACGATGCGCATGTATTTACATACTATTTAAATAGTAGCTATATACTTGATTCTGCAATATAATTTATAAAGGCCAAGGGCTTCGGTGGTAATGTATATGCAGGATCACCTTTTGTAGCCCTATACTTATTAATTTGTTTAAGAAACACTGGCGTTGCTTTATTAAAGGGAATTATCTTGGGATTCTAATACCAGCATATCCTCGTGAGAGAATATTGTCTGTAATAACTGCAAGACAATTTTATATTTTTAAAAGAGGTAAAGTCCGACTTGTTATCTGGCTTCTTTTTAATACTATTAGATTATTAGTTTAATCCAGAAGTCTTTAAATAGCGCATATTAGATTGTTGCAATTTTAACTATTGTCCAATCTTAACTAGATTAGTATTCTTAATCGGTTGATTTCCTGCCCCTGAGGCAAGGAATGGATTAAGCTTATTTGTTATAAAATTTAATTGCCAATTGCGTAGGCAAATATAGTGGATATTATAAAATATATTATCCACAGTTATATGGAGGCGTTTTGCGCGTGCTTAGAGTATTAAAAGCTTGCTCTTGTACACTAAATAATCGCTATTATATAATTTAATATTAATAATTTCTCGCACTAGGTTATAGCGCTCCTGGGCCTTCGTCTAACCTATTACCTTATAGATTCGTATATATAATGCAGCTGCCTTCGAGATATCTATCTTACCTAGGTGATCCTGCACTTCTCGTGACATTAACTAGTAGATTTGGATAGCCAAAGCTTTATTCTTTATCTGCCAAATTGCTAAATTAGCTCCTCACTGTTATATAGTGGATAAGCTCCTTGTTAATTAAAATTAACTCCGCGTTTATAATACGGCGTCTTTAATAGATCCTCTTTCCAATCGCAAAATTGGAATCTTAGAGATTTATTTATATTAAAGCTTTGACCAAATCCTTCCATGGCCTACTGCTGTATTATACTCGCCGGCCGGGTTATCCTCGCTGGTAACGGTAGATCTGTTAACATAGGCTTCGGATTTGGAGTAGGCATACTTAAAGGGGCGATTAACTGCGTTAATTAGCTCTATTATTTGCTGCAATTAGTTTGCATTTGATTCTGCAATTAAGTCTGCAGTTGTGTTTGGAAATCCCTGAACTGGTCCCTTGATACATATTCCATGCGATCCTCCTCCTCTGACTCAGTATCTTGTGGTGGTGGTCGTATTATCGCAGGAGAGGACGGGCCAGGTGTACAGTATGGAGATTCATCCCTAGCAGGCGCTTTTCCCTTCTTCGGGCCCATTTTAATTGAAAGTATTATCAATTCCTCGAGAGGCAATTGAATAGACAAAACAGGTGGTTTAAAACCACGTAATATCAGCTCTAAAAGGAAGATATAGAGGGTCTCATAACCTGTTCGCGAGGCACAATTCTCTTCAATTCAGGAGCTCGGGCGAGCTGACTATCTAGGTGGGTGACTAAGTGAGGCCACGTGACCATACCGAATATGGTAGGTCCCTAACAAACATAGCGACATATTGACGGGCCATCCAATCAGCATCCAGTATGACTCCATACCACAGGACGATTCTACGAAGAGTATCCATATTGCTGTCATGGTTGCCCCACTTATAACTTATAAAGCTGTCATCGTGTCGAACACGAAGAAAGTGAAATCCTAACTATTGCATATTTATATTCTATTTTTATTGAATGTCCATCCAAGCTACGATGGAGGGTAAATCTGAAGATACCCCCCTATGGCATCATTGGTGTCCTCTTTCTTATTCTATTTCAAATCACCAGACGAGTATTGCAGGATTACTCCCTTCGAGATATCCCCGGTCCGCTTGGAGCACGATTTACTCGGTTGTGGTATCTTGGGGAGATTGCTCGGGGTGGTTTTGAGAAGGTGAATATAGATCTGCATCGACGATATGGTATGTACTCTTTATCTTATTATCAGTGCCTATGTGGGGTCTATTTAACCATTCTTTTTTACTTTTGATGATGTAGGACCCGTCGTACGAATCGCTCCTGGTCAATATAGTTTTGATGATCCGCAAGCTGCTAAGGATATATATTCGTACACTTCGGGGTTAGAGAAAGTAAGTTTGGCTTATTTTTTTTATTTTTTTATTTTGGCATTAATATACGCATATACATTAATATAATATAATAGGCACCATGGTACAACGCATGGCAAAGTCCCATGTCCGAAAATGGCGACTTATTCTCAGTAATTGACTCCAAACAACATGGGCTGCTGCGACGGAAAGTAGCCTCATCATACAGCATGACCTGTCTGGTGCAGATGGAGCCCAGCATTGGGCACTGCGTATCCCTACTGGTAGAGCGGTTCCGTGAGCTGGCGAAAACCGGTCAGACGTTTGATATGCGTCATTGGATGCAGTGTTATGCTTTTGATGTGATCGGGTTGATTACAGTATATATAATGCCATATCCACCAGACAATAGAGTTCAATCAGGCTAATTGAACTTCAGCTCGATAAACGGTTCGGATTCCTGGATGCCGGCCAAGATCAGGGAGGCCTTCTTCCGGCAGTGGACGCCTACTTTATGTATGCGACTCATGTGGGGGTGTATCATGAAATGCATCCTATACTAATCCGACTGCTCTCATTCCTGCCTACGTCAGGAATGATTCATCTGCAGAATTTTGCCGTCGAGCAAGTCAACCATGGAAAGGCGTTGTTGGATGCTGGATACAGAATGGATGACGCGTTCCTAGTGAGACTGTTACGTATGCATGCACAGAACCCGGAAAAAATGAGTCTTAACGATGTTATAACCTACTGTGGCGAGAATGTTGGTGCAGGTTCCCATACCACTTCGATCTCCATTGCGGCTATTATGTACCATCTGCTGAACGCACCCATCGTGTATGTCACGCTCCGCGAAGAGATCGATCTTGCTACTAGCCAGGGGAGAATCTCGTCTAGTATCAGCTATCAGGAGGCACAGAAACTCCCGTATCTTCAAGCTTGTACTAAAGAAGCTATTCGTGTCCATCCGGTGACGGGATTGCCTATGATGAGAGTTGTTCCTAAGGGGGGGATGACTCTATGTGGACGATACTTTCCCAAGGGAGTAGGTATCTTCTCTTCTTTTCTTTTCTTCTCTTTATTATATTTTAAATAAGATAGACTAATATATGTAGACCACAGTCTGAGTTAACGCATGGACCATCCATCGCAACCCGACCATATTCGGCGACGACGCGGACATCTTCCGTCCAGAGCGATGGTTCGACAGCGACGAGCGAGTATCGCTGATGGAACGGAACTTGTTTAGTGTAAGTATAACTTTATATATACATGTATAAAACTACGACAGCTAATTGATATATAGTTTGGAGCCGGAACTCGCACCTGCATTGGCAAGAACATTAGTCTAATTGAGATATCCAAGTTGGTGCCGGAGCTCATCCGCCGGTTTGATTTCAAACTGGCAAATCCGGAGATCGAGTTGAAGACGGTGAATCGGTGGTTTGTTCAGCAGAAAAATGTACTGTGTCGAGTTCACTTAAGATAACTACGTTGTCTAAGGCTTACTTTACTTGAGATACGTAAGGAAGGAAACTCTTTGGCCATAAGACCTTTTTTTTGTATTGATAAACACAGAGGCTTGTCAGCGGAATGGAAAGGTGAAGGATGCAGGTTGAATGAAAAGGTGTATATAACTCTAGATTAGTTATAGTACATACTTGCTAGAGAGCTACATGCGGCCTTCGGCCGCGAAAAGCCTGAGGAATGAATAAATTAATTAATGGGTCGAATTGTGGGTACCTGCTAAGAACCGATGGGCAGGCTCTTGAAAGTGAAAACTCGATCCAACCCGCGTTTGGGCGAGGTCTACAGTAATAACTATGACACTGGCTTCTTACCTGCGCCTAATGAAGGCTCAAGGTCCAGGAAAATTACACCAATCCACGACAAACTATCAAGTCTCCATCGTTTGTTTCTATAATAACTATTATATATACAACGAGGATGCCGTGAATATCATACATGGCACTAGACATAAAACGTGTAGGAAAACGATGATGGTACGCTCTAAGTTCTTGATATAAAACAGAACAGCCTGCATGCGACAACCCAACCGTCGATCATTGGCCATGCTGAGAGGGAGAAATTCGTCATTGGAGTCACGCTATCGCTCGGTAAAGCAGACAGCTGTTAAACATATTTATATTACCTTGATACCAGGCAACAAAAAGATTAACCCATTTACCACTAACTTGATTAATAATGGAAGACTTGGGGGCTTGGGACGGTCTTAAGCACGCGGAAAGGCCTGCAAGATATCGAACTTAAGAGATTCTCTGAGGTAGGCCACGCTTGGCCATATCAATAATCCATTTTCTCGGGGCTTCTTCCAGATTAGGTAAATTCGGGCCATTTGCAGTTATTTCTTCACTCAGTCATTCCTAGCGGGCAAGGTTGAAACATTCAAACAGGCACATCAAATGCAGTGGCGTAGGTAGCTTTTGATTTAAATTGGCAATTATTCCACGCTTCTATGGCCATTTTCATCCTTTTATTCTTTGAAATATGACACATTTTGATGACATCTTGGAAAAAGGGTTCAAATATTGAAGATATTAAATTTTTAATGCGGACGGTGAGCGGTGCCACATTCGGTGTCCGATTACGTTACCTAGCTAGGACCTAGGAGCAGCATCACTGCTCGCTTGACACTAATAAAAGCAATGCACGGACCCCTGTCTCAAACTCGCTGCTTATAGGCAATGATGGGAGGATTCTGCAGTGGACCGAAGACTACCAGGATTTAAGATTATGTTTTATAACTATAACTTAGTAGCGGCCACCCGGGCACCTATTCAATAGAACAAGCAATCGCTTCCAACATCGAGGGCCAACAGGGCCAAAAGGGACAATAGGGATAATAGGGACAGTAGGGACAATAGGGACAACAGGAACAATAGGGACAATAAGGACAACAGGGATATTAGGGACGTTGACCCGAGAGGTCAAACGGGCTCCAGCCCTTTACAAGTAATATATTTTGGGACTTCGTTGATAAACAGTCAATCCGATGTATATATATAAAAACTCGGTTTTCAGATCAGGAAGTAATTCAATTTTCTGCATTATAATATCATGATTCGTAATAGAGGTCTCTAGTTGAGAAGCGCATGTACACAAGCTGGACAATAAGCATACCTCTAAACCTGTGGCTGCCGAGTCCTCATGCCATACAGCCACGCACATCCAGCATACTCGTTGCTAATTAAACCCTCTCGTACCAGCTAAGTTCGCTCGGCTAACTTTTAAAGCAGCAAGTACATATGCATCCTGAACATATGAAATCCCGTGTAAGACTTTTCCTGTCCAGATTCGGTCAGGGTTGTCGCCCAGCTGCCAATTCTCCAGCAAAAACTGCTTTCCCCGTGCAATAGCCAATTCAACACGGCTAAAGTCACTAACAATGGCGGCATGTGATCCTAGATTTGCAAGGCCTATAACTGCATATGCAGTCTCTTCTCTTGAACGTATTTGTCCCCAAGAGCCATCAGGATTTTGCCGGGTTAGGATCCGTTCTAATACCCCTTGTAGACACGTCGTCACCATGCTTCCAGCGATGTCTTCTGGCAAAGATGGCAAACCGCCTTTGTCCCAAAGAACCATCATTGGAACTAGCGACTGTGCCGTGTGCATAAGGCCATAGTACTCGGATATGTTCTAAAATACACAGTCAGTAGAGCTGCACTCTCTGAATCTAAGCCACGTTATGGTAACCCACCCAATGATCGACGAAATGCCCCTCTGGATCCCACCTTCCACAAATGAACCTCACAATTTTCGTTATTTGAGAGGTGAACATGCTGGGGTGCGGGCTTCGCAGAATTGAGTTGAGCACGTTGCAATTTACACTAATAGATGTTACCCTGGTTGGAAGTCGTTCATCAAACGTTTGAACACTATCGTCGACTTCAAACTTTTTCAGCATTTTAGCCGGGCTGGCCTGGTAACCATGCATGTTCAGTATCGTAAGTGCCCTCGATGTGTCAAAAGCGTCCGGGAAAAAGGCATGGGCTCGGTAAACGTTAGCTTCTAAAACTATTTATATGTCTGGATTGGTTGAAACATACTGGCACCGGTGACACCGTCTTGCATGCTGCTGTAGACACCTTCAAGTATGCTATTTACTTGTTCCCTGCCTATGTTATCTATTGTGAACCCATTCTCGAGCAAAGCCGACAGAACCTTCGCTCGCCGTGGTCAGCGACTTAACTCGGCCTTTAAAGTTATTAGGAAGAACCATACCGAGCATGGCTCAAATACCTCCAAAGGAAAAACTCCACAGACGGCGCCACAGCTTTGGCCTTGGCCATGTAGAATTATATGTCTCAAATAAGCCTCACACTTGTCACTCCATACAGGGCAATGGATCAAATACGCGGCGGCAGAAGCTGGTGACCCTGTTACACCCGCAGTGGTGACCAAACACTCGAGTTGGCTAAAGTCGAGATTTTCCAAAAATCCCTCCAGGGAGAAAAGTGGAACTTGGCAAGGACCGTTATAAAGCCAACTGATATCCACATTAGATGACTTGCAATAAAGATTTAGCAAGATATCTTTCGCAGGAAACTCGAAATTAACTCCTTCTTTCTGTAGAAGATTTAAAAGAACAGGAACGTTCAGTTCACATGAAAAGTGTATACCCTCGTCAGGCTGCCATCGTTGGAGCATGGAGTCTAGAAACGCCTTTGCACGGAACAACCGGGACAGAGCATCGTCAGGAATCTCACTGGCCACACAGTGCAAATTTCTTCGGAAATGTCGACATAAGGCAAGAAATGCTGCCAAAGAATGAATAATGCAGTCCTGAACCCATATGTTGTCCGGGTATTTGGCTGCCCGGGTAGATTGTTCGAGGGGGTCCCAACCGCCGTCCTGGTTTTGATGATGAAGAAGGTACTCAAAGCATTCTGGGAAAAGCCATTGGGGCCCATTTTCTGTATTCTTCTCGATCATAGCAACCCATGCGGTATCATATATTGACACCGCCATGGAACTCATTCCATATTCTGGCTTCAGCTCTGAGGCCAGTTTATGGACGAGGCTCCGAGCAAGCTGGACTAGAATTGGAGAAGACATTCTGCCGGAATCTGGAGTAAGAAAAATTGAAATGAAAGAATATTAACAGAAGCGAATTCTCCATCGACCTGAAGTTATTTTGGCTAGAGGGTGGATTTACCATCTATTCGTTCCTCATAAAATCAGGAGACATAGGATGTATTGGGTTTTCAATGATTCCTCTTCTAGCCCGTGCATGCGTTCTCAGTAAGGGTTCTAGTAAGGTTGCTATGATAAGAAGTTGGTAGCCGGTGTTCTGCGGGTAAGCCTTTAGCTGTCTGCAAGGACTGTAAGAATGAATGATATAGAACTTTATTTCTTCTGCGGTCAACTAGAATTCACGTTGGGTTCGCACGATCAAGTGCATGCATACTAATACTTGTACGTGCCATATTTTTGATAGCTCTATAGGTAAGATGCAACAACATCACCAGATAACAATGTGATCATAAGTTGGACAACCACTTCCGGGCTTTCCGTTCTGCATATGTGAGGAGACGTTTATTCTTTGAAAAAATAAAGTTTTTTTAGCAGCCAGGGATGCATATTCATCACCACCAGGCACGCCACACAAATTGTTACGGAAACACTATAATCCGCCCGACTTGGCGGTGCGGAGTATCTGACGATCGATTCAACCCCTGAATCCTTTACATAGTTGAGCACCTAGATAGGAATGTGAGAGACTCAGTTGGTTGAGATACTGCGATTCCTGGTGTTTCCATTGAATGACATCTACTTCCTAATTAGGCTAGTTGGCCTGTAGCTGATAGAATAGCTCCCTACGCCCCATTTCCCCTGAGTTCCACAACACAAATAAACATAAGTGGGTTCGACGATCCCTGTCCGACCCTTGACCGACCCTTGACCGACCCTTGAATGCTTTGATGACACTCTCAGCGAATCTCCTATTGCCCTCCCAAATCACTAGTTCACGTATAGGATATTGGCCAGTTGCATGCTAGCCTCCATATATCAAGGGGTGATATTCTGCTTTGCAAGCGTCAAACTCTATTTTTACCAATTGTATCAGTGGGGGTCTGTACGCAACGTTTCCGATTTGCAGCCTTACTTGGCCAGCAAGGCAATATTATCTCTGGAAAAGCTTTATCAAAATTTTATAAGTACTAAGTGTGCGAATGTGTAGAGTGGGCTTAAAAACCCCAACCACAAAAAAAGATTTTTCACAGCTCTAAGAACGTCATCCTATTGTTTGCTATTATGGGATTTCAATCTAACTACAAATTTCGAGAGTCGCTGAGCGGCCAACTACTTGTTCTTCCAAATCTGTACTCGTTGTTTCCAGACTGGATTGCTGAAATACATCCAGAATATCAGAGGGCTCGACAAGAAGTCATTGATCCGTGGATTGAACGGTTAGTTAATCTTGTTTAAGTCTGTAACTTGCGCTAGCCCTTACAACCTCGAAGCTGGGTAAAGGAACCTTCCATTTGTCGAAAACTGCAAAGAGCGGAGTTCGGCATCTTCGGGGCAATTATGTGTGCTCACTTTTCCTTCGAAAAGTTATGTACCGTGTCAAAGGCCTTTGCATGGGTATGTAACAGCTGGTCGTATATTTAAACAGAGTATATTTAAACAGGGTGGGCTGATAAGTCTGCAGTATTTCATTTGGGATGATTGTATGGATTTTTTCCTTGTTACAGCCCATGGAATATGCGCTGATATAGGAGAATCCGTGTATAGTATTCGACTGCGGTTCCTTAACACACGATCCCGGAATGATCACGAAATATAAAGAAGTAACCTGTGAATACTTTCGACATATTCTCTGTGGAGAAACTGGGTATCCAAACCTTGATGGGTTTTCTGATAATCTCCAGAATGCCTTACGTTGCTGGGATGAAGTCGCACATCACATTTGCCAGGTTTGCTCTAAGTGTACGCTTGCCCGCTCTCAAAATAACTGAGCTTATATTAACAGAAAACAGCAACGCGTAAAGTTCTTTTGGAGCACATGATCGCCTATGTGAAAAGTGTGGATACTATTAACACGATCTGTGTTAGCGATAGTGTGCCTTCTATACTTCAGTACTGGACACGACGAGAGCATACAGCAGGCGTCTACCCAGTTATGGCAACTATTCCGTATGCCACATACACGTGTATACAAGATTCAAACTAATTATTTAGTAGGTTTATTTACAGCTTTGATGTTTCCAAGAAGGACTTCGCTACTGAACATATGAGGCTGCTGTGGAGGCATACATCTTACCTTGTCCATATGTCGGTGTTCCCGGGTGGGCAGATAAAGGGCTGCGCTTAACAGCTATGTGTTATACTAATGTCTGTCTCATAGACAAAACGACATGTTTTCACTTAGAAAAGAGATAGTAAGTCTGCAAGATATAAGCATGCATTCGGTAAACTCACTTTTTTTTTAGCATGACGGGCAAATTGAAAACCTTATACCTATAATCATGCTAAACGAAAACATTGACTGCAACCAAGCAATGCAGATAGGATTCTACCTAGCACAAGAAACAGCACGCAGTTTCTATGAGGTCGTTGACAATTTGCAGCAGACTGCAAAAGGCAGGGCTCAAAACGTCTCGAACATCTTTATTGAAGCCTGCAGGAATGTTGCCATGGGACTTACTTATTGGAGGTACTAAAGTCATTTTGATAATAAGAAGTGATTGCGGCTAACAAGTATTCCAGTTATTCTGGAGAGCGGTACTTCAAAAATTCTGAGGTCAATAAAGAAAACATGGTTAGATTTAGGCTTTAGGAACGTTTATTTTTGTTCTTATAAGAAATGATTTTCCTATATTGTTTATGCAGTTATATTTACAACCCATTTTTCCAATTCGAATTCTTGTTTTAATTTACTACCTATATTGTACATTACAAGGCTGCACCTCTACGTAACTCTGCTATGGCTATTTGGCGTAGCACTGCAACGAGAATATTTGCGTGCGCCGTGGAATACTGCCGCAAGATTCCTGATACTTTATGTATTCCTCCATGTACCCGTTTAAGAACCATGGATCAAGACATGTCAGCATCTGGAAGTGCTGACATGTTTAAAATGCTTTCTATCAAAGAAAAGTAAATTATTATATCCTTACAGCTTAAAAAGTTAGCATTGAAATTCTGCTGTGCATGTTTGGATATAGCTATGATAAATTTATTCTACAGGCAGGAATTACGCGTTGGCCATCCCACACAGCCAGGTGGGAAACCGAGTGAGTGTATGATAACATTAATAATATACTAATACTACTGCAAACTGGTAGCACTCTATTTTATAATTGGGCACCACTGTCAGCCATACCAAAGCAGATAATTCGAGTTTGCCAGCTGGACAACATATTCTTTGTAGTATGAAAAGCAGAGTTTATTTGTAACAAGATGTGGAATTGAATTTTTTTTGTCTGCACCAACCCTGTAGAATGGGGATTAGCCTATATTGCTCAAAGCACCCGCCTCGATATTTAGTGACATACATGGGAAACGGTGCAAGAAGTTCCTTTCGCCCTTGTATCCAATAAGAATCTTGTACCCTGGGCTTCCCATATCAAAACTTATCAGCTGCCATAGTAAGATAGATTCTACAACAAGACACACTATTATATCGTTGCCTAGTACTTTAAATAACAAACATAATGCTATTCGCGTACCAAAGGCACAGGATAACGCGGTAGCTCTCCATATACATGATGTAGTATGTGATGTTCTGTCAGCGGCCTGACTATTAGATTTATGTCAGAAACATAAAATATAGCAATATGCCGAGAACAGTTTATAGTACTGGCAAGAGGAACACACCTTAATACAGCGTAACATAGTTAACATACCTCACTACACATTAATTATAAATTATTACTCGTTGCCTGTGGACAGTATACTTTTGGCTAGGAGCAACGCCACCGTGTTCATAGTAGAGAGAGGGAAACTTTTAAAGGGCCCCCTGACATGACACGTTGCTTATAAAGATAGGTCTAGCCCCCTGAACTAGGCCGAGAACTATTTGAACTGTATGTGGGCACTATGGCTTTCAGTATTGGCTCTGTGCCACTGTGTGTGGACTCAGGGAGGGCAAACGATTAATCGAATCGCCGCCGATCAATAATCGATTATTGACAGCCGATCATTGATCATCGCAGACAATTTCTTGGCGCTGTCATACAAAAATACAGCAAGTATTTAACTGTTACGGCCTACGAAACGGAGATAGAAAAAGCCAAATTAACATAGTATATCTTTTTTCTAAAACACCACTTGTTTGCCAGTGTTTAGGCATTCTATCCTCTCAATATTCTAAGCTAATAGCTGCGCCTTTCCCATGAGATTGTATAACATGCTCCTAAAAAAACACGCTTAGGTTTATTACTTATTACTCGAATTGATAGGATATTAATTGTGACGGCCAAGCAATTTGATGAAATTGGTGCTATCTCAACGAAAATTTCATGCGTAGGGACTAGGGAGAGGAAGAAAAGTGGTGAGGGGGCGGTGCGGAGAAGTAAATAAAACTAGATACAAACAATGCAAACAGACCATGTGCACTGTCAACACGATCATGGGTAAGCGACTTCACATGTGAGACAGTGAAGACCATCTATCCTTCAAAAACAAAAACAAAAACAAAAAAAAGAAAAGGTCTCTCTGTTGCCCTCAGGACTTAACTGTGCATAATGTTATATGAAAGTGTTTGGATATTTTACAACCAGGTTTCATGGAATCTTTATATTTCTGTGCTTTCTCTAGCGATTTGGGATAATTAAGGTATGCCAACTGATGTAGCTAAAATCAGACAAAATATCGTCGCGTTTAGGCAGTTCAATTTTCCTATCACCACATCCCAATATTTAAGCAGCAGCAGGATCAGTATCTGGTAATATCAGAATAGGATTTCCTTCGTACTACAAAATTTATTGCATGACTCTAGTAGGCTTTCCAGCTGCCATATCAACACAGGTACCGTCGTATGACGGGCTGTGGCAGAGGTTGGCAATTGAAGGGCTTGTATGAGCGAGAGAGAGATGCGTAAAGAGGGGAATATATTTCTATTGCCATTTATTTATTCCTTGATAGTTAAGACATGCTATATAGGTCTTTGTAGATAACACTGTTTGGACACCCAGAAAATATCAGAGACACGCCTGCCACAGCCCCGGGAGGGGGTTCCAATTCCACCAGAGAGAAAAGAAGGAAAGCGCGCAAAGCCTGTAGTATTAAATCCTACTACATTTCCGACTCCCACCTTATGAACCAATTCCATCCATTGTTTTTAGCTATCCTCTTCCCAAAAAGCCTGCACAGGGAGCCAGTTGTCAGAATATACCCTGCATCTTCCGTCCAAATTGCTCAAAACATGGTGCTCCTCGGGCGTCAATGCCCATCCTGCCAGATCAAAATTGGCTGCGATCCGTTCCGGTGTCACGCTCTTTGGAATTACGCTGGTACCTCGTTGGAGGCCCCACATGATGCTAAGCATATTGTTAGATCTGGAAAATATGACGGTACAGGGTTCTAAGGTAAGGGCACTCAGGATTTGCTGCGGTGTCTTCGACTTCCGCTTACAGAGCTCGGCCAGCGCTGCGTTCTCATGCAATTGAGGCAAGCCAAAAGCAAGCAGGGAATAGGCCGTACAATGAATACCATGTTGTTTGCAGAACTCGACAAGACCACCGGATGACAGCAGGGCTGAAGCTATATCCGGTCAGCCAGGGGAAGAATGAGGACACCCCATAGCTATGTAGAATACCTCGATCTGGTTCACAGCGGGAACAATATAACACTTTGGGTGAGACAGGAGCGTTTTTAGGTTGCGGATTCCAAAGTTGGAAACTCCAATATTGCGTACTCGACCGGATTCGACGACCCTCTGCATATCCTGCCTGCGACAAAATTTTTTGAGTCTTCTATCCCGTGTATTCGATCGACTCAACCTACCATGTCTGCGTGAAGTCCCAATCTGGCATGGCTTTCTTGGGATCCTCTGGCGAGACTGGTGAGGGCCAGTGCTATTCAGAGATTAGCGAAGCTCAGTCACAGATTTAATACCGAAGGACACTGACCATGAGAAGAAGATCAACGTATTCTAATCCCAGTGCGGCCAGAGACAGATCCACGGACTCCGCTACACGGTGATGTTACGTGTTGTCGACCTTTGTTGTGATCCAAATCGCTTCACGGGGGATACCTGAATCCCTCACTGCCTCGCCCACTTGGTCTTCATTATTATACCGGAACGCAGTGTCAATATGTCGATACCCCACTTCTAGGGCTGTCTTTACCGCCTCATATGTTTGTCGGGGCTTTTTCGGCTTTCGGGTTCCAAAGCCCATCCCGGGGATCTTGTTGCCAGTGTTGAGCAAGAATCGTTGCTGCGCCAGGTTGAAGTCAGCATCGTGGTAGACTTGATGGCCGTTTGTCTGCGTAGCCGCTGGCCTGTCGACCCTCACAAGAGGAAAGGGTCGCACGGGTTCCAGTTTGTTTGAGAAGAATGAAGCGCCAACTGCCTCAGAAGCCGCCAGAGTATCGGCCATCTGGGTAGATGTGGAGAATGATTCAGAGACATCGGAAATATAGTTCCCAAATTCCTGGCACATGGTCTGAACGGGATCCTCCTTGCGTGATTGGACCACCATATGGAAGGTCTGTCTCCCCTGGGCATCGAGATGGGTTATTTCGTTGCCATCTAGGTGCAGTGATCCGGAAGCCCCTCGGACGAGAAGGCTTTCCTCTTTGCAAAGGGCAACTTCTGAAATGTAAAGATGGCCGACTAGGCAGGAATTATCCCACCTCATGGCAACATGAGACTCTCGGTCTCGAGTGTGTGCGGGTCCATCGTTTACTCGGTGGCCCAGCAGACTGGATGGCCGCCCAAAGAGCCAAATAATCACATCTAGCATATGTATTCCAAGGTCTTGCTATACGTATGGTTACACTGTATGGTTCTGCCGATGTGCACGTCACCATGGTGGGAAAAAAAAAAACTTACAAACGTGCCAGCATTGTCCATCACTCGCCAGCCATCCTGCGGAGAGGTATACTTTCCGACCAATGTTGCGCGGATAGAGAGAACTTTGCCGATCATAGGCAGGAAGTTTTTAAAATGAACAAAGCGCGGCTGCCAAAAGCTTCGAAAATTGAGATAATGGAGTTTGGGGGGGAGGCAGTGAAAAGGTTTGCAACTCGGTGTCCTTTGCAATTCGGTGTCCGATTACGTTAATGAAAGGGTTAGATAGGCTGGTAATTAAAACATGTATGGTATGAGCCGGTAGGCTCGCTAACCCCATCACATGACTAGTTTCGGTCCACCTTGGCATTCGAACGGGCCATGTGACCTGTAACCTGCATCCGTGGTTGTAAGTAGTAATTAAGCAATAATTAGACATATTTTATACAAACGAAGACTAGGTAGGGTCGACTAAATACCTTATTCTCATCTCAGCTACCCACCGCATATTGCTATTACCCTTACATATATTTCCACTCACGCATGCCGGATTAAACAATAAACCACAGAAGTCATTACCTTCCCGCAATACAGTCTCATTACAAAACTTCCATATGACGCGGTCCACAGTCACGGAATTACGCTCGTGCAATTATCATACATGCCTCTACTAGTCCAGAGCGTGCCCACCACCCGGCCACCCAGCCAGCCAGCGAAAAGTCCATATAATCCCATTTACTTCCCCCCATTTCCTGCCACCTTTGTCCTTGCTGATTAATAAACTGGTTGTAAGGAGCGTAGACGTGCTCAGTGTATGGAACAAAGGAGATTTTCTCGGCCTCGTAACCGCACTCCACGAGTAAGCCAATGTACTGCTGGCGGGAGAGTACATGGCGGAGCGGTGTATCAAGTAGACGGAATGAAACCCATAACTTCATCCGATCCAACATGGATATATTTTCCACGACAAGATGGTCGGTGATCGCGACGGATGCATGTATCTCGTTTCTAGCGTATTGTAGAATCGCCTTTCTCGATGGCCGAAAATCCACCAAAGTATCCACGGCAACCAGCCAAGGATTCTTCAGCGATTTCACACTCCGGTGGATGTCTTCGCTCCAGGTTTCAGGCCTGGCAGCGTCAGCATGGAAGATACGGTACTCGGAGTCGCAGTTGAGAGCAGCAGCTTTCTGGGCCTTTTGCAGTCTGGAGTCTGCCATGCGAACCTGCATTGGGCTGATTGTCAGACCGATCCATGTGCGACACAGGTCCGTATAATCCTTTAGTAGCACCTGGGCAGTCTCAGCACAACCACAGCCGACTTCGACGATCGAAACCTCTTTCTGTCTCGTGATCCCAGACTCATCCAACAGTTTGCGAAAGAGCGCTTCGCACGCACGTGACGAATGAGTGGCTTTCTACGGACATATATCAGTACAACTATCACCATTCGAGCTGAGAGGTGCCACTTATCGCATACCTCCCAATAGCCTAGGTTAACCCATAGCGTCTGGTGCTCCAGATCCGCGTTAAACCACAGGTTCTCCATGCCATAGGCGAGATCGGCGCTTTTTCCCTCAATCTGATATTTTTTGTTCATGGCTTTGCGGCGACTGACCATATGGCTAAGGAGGGGATTTGAGGGGCAGTGGTAGAGAGGGAACACATATGTACAGAACATTGCCATAAAAAAGCCGATAGCATAGCTGCGGAGAAAGAAATAGAAGGGCACGCTGTTATCGCTGCTCACATCCGCAGACAAATAGATGGGAGCCAGCGCACAGGGAACTGAGATGAACCCGACGATATAACGATACATTGTGAAGCATGAGGAAATTAGCGTCGGTCGGAGCAGGTCCACTATCCATACGAACCATCTCATCCGAGATATTTATAATGTCAAATTCGATGTGGGCTGCTTCGCCAAGAGTGGTTGCAATGCGCAGTCCACCGGTCATGCTACCACACATGCGTTGGATTTCTTTGGGTTTCAGGCCAACTATCACTTCACTATCGATGGGCGAAGGTTTCTATGCGGATATTAAGTGGCGGTCGAAGGCTCCATCTCTCCATTCCATGATCAATTTGTTTTCTTACTTACGTTCGTAGAATCCTACCCGTGCAATTATCCATTATGCAACTTATACATAGTCTCCACAGTTAACCAATAGTCATACAACTGTATAGGGTTTGGTGCCTTGACATCTTGAGACATAAGGCAATTTCCGGTGTAAAAGAACGAGACGTGGGTGCGACCTTGCCTAAGAATCCGGCGGATGCGACCTTACGCATCCGGCGGTTGCATATGGAAATGTTCGGGATTCATTTTTTAAATCCTCGCCTTGTAGGATTCCACAACAGAATCGAACCATTCCAGCCCTTTACATACCTTAGGTTCAATTCAGTGGCGAACAATTCCAACCCCGTGGCTCGCAGACGCCATCCATGGCCTTCGCACAATGATAGAACGCATAGGATCTAGAGATTCAGATATATGCGACTATGTCAGGGGTAAGGACACATGCTTTAAGAGTACCACAAGAGCTTAGGTATCTTTTTGCATGTAAAATATCACATGGGTGTGTATGCACATTTTCACATTGGCTAATCATCTTTATCTTGCAGAAGACTGCTTTCCCAGAGACTATGTTGCGACTCGTGGCATAGAAAATATGATTGAAAGGGCAAGAAAAAGACCCTACCAGTCAATGGACCCGACAGTGGCTGCTCTCAAAGACACATTGGAGAGTGACAAGGGCTTAAGCGCCCTCTGTCAATCCATGTTCGCCGAGGGAAAGGAATTGGTTCTCGCGAATAGGGCACATCCAGGCTACCTTGAGATAGATAACATTCCGATCCTGATGCGACTCTTGGACTACATCCTAACGACCTCTCCAGAATGGGAAGATCTGGATGTGCCAGACACTCTGGGTGGTCTTCCGTTTAATCTTGTCTTGATGGTCTTGATGGAAACGCGCAGTGGCCAGCGCTTGTTCGGGCATGATCGTGTTAACCAGCATCTAAGGACAATCCTTAAAAAATGGTCACAATTCCTGGAATCACCAGAGTCAGCCTACGTACTTAACTCGCGAGATGGATGGCTATCTGAAGTTGCAATTGCAAGATTACAGAAGATAGCCAACCATCCCACGGGAGACAATAAAACCTTTATCGATCTTTTTGACTGTCCCGATCCGTCAAACCCGGACACCCTTGGATTTTCGTCTTGGGATGCTTTTTTCACGCGTCGGTTCAAACCGGGGATCCGACCAACGCCTTCTCGACATATACTCTATCCTTGCGGAGAGGGGGCTGGGGCTCCAATTTTGAACGCTTGCGAGTCGTCTCCCTGGCACATCAGCCGCCACTGCTCCCTGGAAAGCAATATCGTCCTCAAAGGACAGTCACATTCCGTGTCCTCACTGTTGGGGAACGGCACCCTTGCACCACATTTTGCCGGCGGCACCGTCTATCAAGCATATCTGTCGGCCTTGAGCTATCACCGCTGGCATTCCCCTGTATCAGGAACAATCCGCAGCATCCTCTATCTCAACGGGAGCTACTTCTCCCAGCTTCCCATGTCGGATATCCTGGCCATGGAAAAGTCGCAGAGTTACTTAGCTACCGTTGCCACGCGCATAGTAGTTTTTATTGAAGCTGTCGACCCTCGTGTTGGGCTCATAGCCTTTGTGGCAGTTGGCATGGGGGAAGTGTCATCCTGTGAGCCATCGGTCAGCGAAGAGGACTATGTTAAGGCTGGGGATGAGATTGGATGTTTCCACTACGGAGGGTCAACGCATTGCTTGGTCTTTAGGGGAGGAGTAGATGTACGCTTTGAGCCGCTGGTCGAGGATAATCAGGGGGACTACCATATCCCCGTAAGAAGTCTCCTGGGTCGTTGCTCTGTGTAGTCACTAGATAATAAATTTAATTTCGATCTGTGTTACATCTTTCAGTAACTTGATTGCTTTCTTGACCTGTACTGAAGGATACAAGGCTCACATGCCCCAGAAACCGAATAAACGTGCAATTTATATCGGTTTTTATAGGCACCAGAGGGGCATCGGTCATTGACGAGTCTATGAAAATCTATAATGCTAAACCGATTACATCCCCGCCGCTCAAGTCCTTCATTCTAAACCTCCTGAACACGCAATGTCATGTAGGATCGTTGAGGTGACGGCTGAATAATCAGTGCCGCAACCGTCAACTATCGCCGCAATATCGGTCGACGTTTCCGGTATTCCTAAAGGCGACGGGATCGACGTACCAGACATGCAGAAAGACAACATACTGGAGGCATCGGCCGCATTTCTCGATTGAGAGGTCTCCCATAGTAACCTCGGGAGCGGTGTGATTGCGGCGAAAATTGGAAAAGGCATATATAGAGGCGCAGGTACGACCGGGTTGGACCGAGGTTTGTCCCATAAAACTTAAACCTTTATTATCCAGTTTCTTCTTCCTGTCAACGTTCTCTCATGGTTCAACAACTCTTTCAAGAAGCTGGCACATATGCGCCGGGCAGATATCACCTTGGGAGTGAGTTGGAAGTTGACTTACCATGCAAAACCGTCACGTACATCAGCAATATAGATGGGGAGAAACTGCGCGAACGCCCAGAAGTGTTGGCGGCCGCGGCATGGTCAATCGCCGCAAGTAAGTGGTTTTACAAAGACGAACTAGAGTTCCAATTGGTCTGCAACAATGCCCAATCAAAACTGCCGTTACGGGCGTGCGTCGCGCCAGGTCTAGACGTGGGCAGTCTACTGGACCAAATCTCGAAACAAAGAGATGACAATAAGCAGAAAGCTTCTTCAGAGCCAGAGCGTTCCAGATTTTCGATTGTTTGTCAGATGGGTATAGAATAACTCCAGAAGGCATAATATGTCGGAAAAGCTGACCGTCGCACAGAATCCACCGAGCCTAAAGGCGACAGAATCATAGTGGTGCGATTCAATCTACAAGGCTCCTTCTTGCAGATGCAGATACAGTTTTCAGACAAGAGATTTCATTCAAAGGAGGCTGAGAACCTGGCTCGTATGCTACAGGGCATCCTCCAACAGTTACACAACATCTCGAGCAAATCTACACTGTTAACGGAACTGAACCTGATCAGTCAGCAAGATCTCAGAGAATTGTGGAACAGAAATTCGACTGTTCCCCCAGCATCTGAAAATCTCGTGCATAGTTTGGTCCACCAAATCGCCCAGTACCACCCAGATTTCCCTGCGGTGTGCGCATGGGATGGATCTCTCACATACAAAGAGCTGGTTGACCTGTCAACACGCCTGGCGCTTGGTCTAGCCCGAAAAGGGGTGGGTAGAGGCGTGGTTGTGCCCCTATATTTCGAAAAGTCTTTATGGATGCCAGTTGCACTTTTGGCGGTCCTCAAGGCTGGCGGAGTCTTTCTTCAACTGGCAAATTCAATACCCAAGGGCAGAATTGAGGCTATATTGAATACTGCGAACTCACCATTTGCGTTGGTTGGAAAATCCACACCAGCTTGGATGGGAGACATTGTGCCCACGCACACAGCCGAGGACGTAATGCTATTGGCGGAGTCCACTGACTCGCCTTTACCACAGTGTTCAGAAAACCAGGACGCTGTTCAACTATTTACATCCGGAAGTACTGGCACACCTAAAGGCATTGTTTGGACACATACTGTGCTTGCCACAAACTGTGAGGAGATAATGAGGAAACTGTCATTTGGGCCAGGGATTCGGCAGTTCCAGACAGCGTCGTACGAATTTGATGTCAGTATGATGGAATCTATTGCTATTTTAATTTCTGGCGGATGTCTTTGTATTCCGCAAGAGAACGACGGTGTGCATTGTTCTCCTCAAGCCCTTGAGGCACTACAGGCAAACTCGGTCTATCTCACACCTACGTTGGCTCGAAAACTCGATCCTGACAGTGTCCCTAGCCTGAAATACCTGGCGCTTGAGGGAGAGGTCTTACCCAAAGATATTGTGTCTAAGTTTGATAGGAGATTGACCATGTATAACTTCTACGGTCCGGCGGAATGCCCCCTCGTGTCCGCATGCACAATCGACCCGGATTCCTTCGAAACCGGGCTTGCTGGGGTAACTTCCGTCTGCCTTCGGTGGATAGTGGATCCGCACAATCACAACAATCTTCTACCCGATGGGGCTATTGGGGAGTTACTCGTGGAGGGCCCGATTCTCATGGATCGCTATATTTGTGGTGACCCCGATGTAGCAGCTTTTGTGACACCAATATGGCTGCGCCAGGGCTTTGCTCAATTTTCAGGACGCCAAGGGCGATTATTCAAGACAGGGGACCTGGTCCGGTGTAAGCCGGATGGCAGCCTGGTCATACTAGGCCGCAAGGACACGCAGGTTCAGATCGGCGGCGAACGGGTGGAATTGACTGAGGTCGAACATCATGTGCGCAAATTCCTGCAAGGCAGGGCTGGTGTTGTTGCCGAGATGATCACTCCAATTGCCAGTCTGAAACCAGTACTTGCCGCTTTCATTGCAATTCGTGACGAGATTAACCTCCCTTTAGGCGCCAGCCTCCAAGTTCTCACTGCCGGCATAAATGAGAAACTGGCGCAGTATGTCCCGCGTACATTTATCCCTGAGGTGTATATACCAGTGGATACAATTCCAATGACAGCAGCAGGCAAGACAGACAGAAAAGCACTATGCAAAATGGGCGGTTCTATGACTTTGGATGAGATATCCCGGTTGCAGGAATCCAGATTAGGAGCGTGTTAACCTGAAGGTCTGCGAGCTGAAACGGTCCGTAAACTGGGCGTTATTTGATAAGGAGAAGATATTGGACGTCCTGAAAGCATACATCGAATGGGCCGAGCGATTACGCCAAGCAATGTCATTCGTTTTGCTGGCTCTATCCGCGTGTAAAGAGACCGCCTTGGAAGAATTCCAGAAGAGCAGGTGAGCAAGGGACCTCAGACTACAGGGAGTGGCAACAAGACATGTCGGCTTTGGCTGATTGCGAACCTCCCCTAGAGTATAGTATGTTTGACCGGCATCTGGTGGGAGATTTTTTGTACCTGGTTGATTAAATTTTGTTCTCCCGCATACATCGAAACATCTTCCTAAACTACCGCCGCTTGCATTTAAGAAGAGACGAAAAGATTCCCCCGCACTCATACTTCGCCTGGTGAAATTTTGCTTCCGCACACCACAGGTGCAAATAATGTCGATTTCGAAAGGTAACCTGCTCATTTTGGACCGCTATCTGAAAGTCATAGTGCTTTAGGAAGCCATATTACCGAAAAAGGGGTCGTTCATTGATCCTGTCCCCGTTCGGGGCAGTAGCCACTGTTATCGGGGACGTGTTATTATTATTTATTATTCTTCCATTATTATTATCATTATTATTATTATTATTATTCCATATTATAGAGCATTTTTCTGTCAGAGACTATGCATGCTCTACCTACGACCCCTGGGTGGTAGGATTTGAACTAACAAACAGATACGTACATAGTGGGTAAAATCAAACATAAATAAGCAATATAACGTTCTAGGAGTGGGGGGGACCTTAAAGAAGGGGTTGAAACATGCTAAATTCCAAGGTGTTTGTCTTGTTTTTTGTTTTTGCTTTGTTTTTGGTTTCCCTAGGGGTCCATTTTCTAGTGGCGATCCCGGTTTCCTTTAGGAATTTGATCAGTTGTTCTTGCCCTGCTTTCTTCGTGAAGAGAAAAGGCAGATTTCGGTCTTTTTTGCAAAGGGTTAGACCCTTTTCAAATGTCTCTGAATGCGGGGCATTAAAAAAGCAGGTGTTATGGAGTTTGGGGTTTATTACTATAGCACGACGTGCATATATCGCTATTATAGTTAGGTGTTCGAACTAGATAGGATCTAAAATAGCCATGCCCTAGCTTTAGCTGGATAATGGTTGACCAGGTCTCCTTGGGAAGCTTTAGGGGGCTCGGTTTCCATGAAGCTATGGAATTAAAGCCCCTATATTGATCACTTTTCTTAGCATTTTCCTATGCTTTATCCCAATCCTCAAGGCATTTCGCTTTAAGCTCTCGTTTGAGATGGCTAACTGAAATTGGATATTTATAATATTTACTTGTCCATTCTGCGCCATATTTCGCTGCTTCGTCAGCTTTGGCATTACCAAAAATTCCCTGATGGCCTGGAACCCATTGGATATGAATATAAATATTCTTATCTGTTGAGAATCTCGGGGAAGAAGCTATGTCGTGAGGTGCTAGGATAGCGGTGACTGGATAGTATATTAAAACTATCGGTGCGATCTAATATCACTTGGTGAGTATTATTTTCTATCTAGGAGAGGAAGTGTAGATAAACACTTCCTTATGTCTACGTGTCCTTTAGCCCCTTGCGTGCGATATATCAGATCCCTACGGAACTAGGATATACGAAGGTGCCTTAGGCATCCTGATTTCCAACATTATCCTTAATTCTAGTTGCCCATTTAAAGATTCTTTGGTATGGTTCATAGCTGGTGTCTGCTGATTGAAGCCTTTTTAGGGCTGCTTGGCTGTCCGAAAAGATGTAATATCTAAAGTTGGAATTTAAATAGTCTTAAATGCTTGTTTTAATACTTTTTGAATAGCAGCTTTAGCAAGCTCTATCTCACGATCCTTGGCTGCCTGAAGTTCCAGCGCTTGCTAAACTTTGTTAGGTGAGTAAAACACCGCATATCCATTTTTAGGAGCGCGAAGCTCAAAGAGTAAAGGCTTTCCTTGCTGCTGTATCTTTGTTTCATTAACTAAGGCGTTCTCGAGGCCGCTGCACTTATTCTTAAGCAAGATATTCTCTGTACAGAGGTTATGCATCGTAGTGATAAGCAGGGTGGTTTTCGATAAGCCGATAAGGCTCGATACGGTATCGATTGTTACCCGTGTTTGTTGATTGTCTGTCGATTGTTTTCAACAAACAACTAAAAGGCTTGGCAAAATAACATAATCAGATATTAAGCTGCGAATTCGACTACTACTATATATTAAACTATTTTTAACTAATAAAATTGTTATAAATCCAATTTAAAATAAAAACTTAATATTTATCTTCTATGTCAAGCCTTTCTATCTCCAGTTTATTAATTGTGATCCTACTATGGTGCCAGTTTTTTAAATATTTAACCTTTTTAATACTTTCTGGTCCAAAATATATTCTTTCCTATAAAATTGTACAGCGCGCTCCTAAAAATACTCTCTCTGGTTTATTACTTATTACTAGGATTAATAGAATATCCATTGCTATTAGAGAGAGTCTTGGCCAATGCTTTTATTGTTAATCCTAAAACTATTATTAATAAGAAGATCCGGAAATTACATATAGCTGCTTAGAGATATAGTCCTAATACTTGTCTTAACTTGCTGGTTAAGTAATACTATCTAGACCTTAAGCTATCCGATTAAATTTATCCAGTTTTTAAGGAGTAGCATTTTTATTGTATAACATAATAGTAATAAGAGGAGTCTTATCTTGGTAGGCTTCCCAGAGCTTCTAAACACTTTGGAATACAGGTTTCTACTATTGCTTTTTCCAGTTCGCCTTAATATACTTTGTCCGGCGGCTAGAAGAAAGAACAAGTGCAGCAGTGTAAAGAGGTAAGTTATTTGTATAGTAGTAGTACTTATTAAAAGTGTCCCAGGCATGTTAAATCTAATAGCAAAGCTTTTTATTTAATAAATACTTAATCTATTATATAATATTAGTTGTAATAATTCTTCAAAACAGAGTATACTTACTAGGGCCTCTTTAAAATACTTAATTAAAATATCTATAGTAAAAAGCACAAGGTCGATTGTTGTATTATCTCCTTGTATTAATAATGTTGCCTTATAAAATAGTTAAAGAAATTCACCATATATATGGAGAGTTTTCCAGTCTTTTAAAAATAGATAGTCTTTCTCGAGTTCATGAAGGTACTTCTTGGTATAGATATTAATAGCAGAAGCTAGGGTTATTACCATACTAAGTATCTAATACCAGCTATTCCACCTTGTACAATTATCAAGTGGAATCCTTTTTTATACAAGATCTTCAAACTCTCCTGTACAGGTGGGTGAGCGGCGAATATAAATAATAATATTATAAAACTTTTTAAGTAAACTAATAGCGTGGAATACCTTTTTTTAAATCTTTTACTTTTTTTTAGTTAACTTTTTCCCCATCTTATTATCTAACTTATATAATTTAATTTGCTCCATGTCAAGTTTGTTTTAAAATAAGAAGGCTTGTACAGCAAGGTTAATAATATAGCTATTACAACAAATCCGCATATAAGCTGGGTTCCAGCTAATATTTTCTTTGTCTAGAAGATACTAGTCTATTATCCAACAGAGCTTATTATTTGCAGTATAATTATTAGAAATAATAGCCCTAGTCTGTCGAACAATCCCATAGTCCTGAAGGACTAAAAGAAAAGTATAAAATTGTTCTTCTTTGCTATAAAATACCACTGGACAAAGAGTAAGAAAAGCCTTTAATAGTTTTTCTTAACTTCGCTTAATAAAATAAGCACAGATCCCTAAAAGAAGAAGATTATTGGGAGAAGTCCAAATATTAAGTAAAAGATAAATGCTTGATAATACTAACTAAAGCTTTTTTTATATAATATCCTTTTTAGACTACTATGTCTTATGGATTGCTTTTCTAATTTTAGAATAAGCTATGGTAATACAGCTACCTGATTTAGGATTAAGCAGTTAATAAAAAGCCCGAAACTCTGGCGACTGGATAATTTAAAATAATAGGTTTTGTACAACAATTAATAAGACAAGAGCCTTTTAAATAAGATTCTTATTTAGGACTCTCTAAAGCACATAGGTATTAAGATCTTTTGTCTAATTAGTTGCCTCTGCTTTTTGGTAAAGTTGTTGTAATTGGTAAAGTGTTTTAGTATAAATTTGGCCTTTTTAAATAATAACTTTAATATTATGCTTTTTTAAGAGATGGTGCTAAAATACAGTAGTAGATTTTATATTATATAATACCCTAGTACAATACTTGCAGTAGAGTACACGAGCTTTATTAATAATTTCTGGCTTGTTATTCTTTGGTCTACGAGTATGCTCCCATGTTGCATGAGTAGTAATCCCCCTACTAAACTTTAACTTAATATTACTAGTAGAGTCAGTAGAAGGTAAAATAAAAGATAAATCTGCTTTAGAGGACATGTTGTATAATAGACAGGGAGGGATTAATTAGTAAAAATAATATCTAATAATACTCTAAATTTAGGATTAGATAAATGCAGAAACTTAAATCTATTCCTTTTTTTAAGCTAGGGGAACGCTCGTATATGTGATAGGCATAGCAGAGATAAAAAAAAGTAATATAAGCTATTATAATAACCGGTGTGTTATTAGTTTGTATTATTGGTTTATACTATTTGTTGTTTATTTTGTTTACTAGGTTTGGTTATGGAGGAACAGTGGATATAGTATAGGGATATCTACTTTATTACTTACCTTTAATCCTATTCCTTTTCTCTCCATGCTTAAGTATTCTCGTTGCAGGCACCAAATAAAGTTGACTTGGCTGTGTCTCGGAGAACTTAGGCTTGTTGTGGGGTATGCCAAGGCTTGTTGATAACAATTAACCAATAATAATATGCTGATTGCTACCCGACAATCGATATCGATTGTTTGTTATTAACAAAGGGACTTTCTAAGCGTACTACCCGGACTTCCAGTTGCACTACCAACTAAACCTAATTAGGTACCGCTTCCCGAATAGGAAGCGGTATATAATGTGACACACAAATTATTCTTTCCTTGCCTACCTACCTACCTTTACTACACCTCAATATGACCTCTATTCCACCACCTCCACCACCGGAATCAGCTCACCTAAAGGATCCAGCTAAGTTGGCTATATTCTACGCTGAATGGGCTTCAAAACATGCTTTTTTTTAAAGACTGCTTGCTCAATCTCACGCGATGATTA